CGTCAGATCACGTGCAAGGGCGTGCAGTTCGTGTCTGCCTAGAATCCCGAGACTCCAACATCTCGCGTAAAGAAAGCCCAAAACATCCCATTCTTTCTGGGCTCGATCAGCCAGACGAGTGGCTGTATTGAGTCTGTTCTATCTTCATTTGCGCATATATTCGGTCACTTCGATACCCTTATATGTCATGGAGCTGAACCCAGGTGGTGCCACTAGGGAGACGGAAAAGGAGCTTGACGAAAAGTATGATACCCGTCAAGCCATGTTATCGAAGAGCTAACGATCCTATAATGATACTAATTTTATTCTTGAATAAGATACCCAAATAGACCACGTAACCACGGACAAACTCTTCCTTTTCATGACTTGTTCATATCACTCTTTAACCCTCTCAACGATCTCAAAAAGAAGCCTGCAGGACCTCCCACGGCGCGAAGGAAGGCAGGGCCTCATGGGCGTGACAACCTCTCACCACACGAGTTGCGTCGTAGTGTGATTGAACGCTTCATCTCGCGATGGCGACAACAAGTCGGTAATGACTTTTTCCCAGCATTCCGCCTTATTGTCCCCGAGAAAGATCGTGACCGTGCCATGTATGGATTGAAAGAAAAGGCTATTGGCAAATTGCTAATCAAAGTCATGAAGATTGACAAAAATTCTGAAGATGGTTACAATCTTCTAAACTGGAAACTTCCGGGGCAAAGGGCTGCAACCGCAATGACAGGGGATTTTGCCGGTCGCTGCTTCGAAGTCATCTCCAAGCGTCCCTTGAGAACGGAGGTGGGTGATATGTCTATAGCCGATGTTAACTCTCGGCTTGATGATTTGGCTGTCGCTTCCAAGGAGGATGAGCAGCTACCCATCCTAGCTGAATTCTATCGGCGGATGAACCCAGAAGAGATGATGTGGCTGATCAGAATCATTTTACGGCAAATGAAAGTTGGTGCTACCGAGCGTACATTCTTCGAAATATGGCATCCAGATGCGGAAAGCCTTTTCAATATTTCTAGTAGTCTTCGTCGAGTATGCTGGGAGTTATACCTACCAAGTATTCGCCTTGAAGCGGATGAAGCTCGTGTCACTCTAATGCAATGCTTCCAGCCCCAGCTTGCTCAATTTCAAATGCACTCCTTTCAAAAGATAATTGAAAGGATGAGGTTGGCTGAAGATGATCCTGAGTTTTGGATTGAAGAGAAGCTCGACGGCGAGCGCATGCAGCTTCATATGGAGACGAACGACTCTATACCCGGCGGAAAGAGATTTGAACTTTGGTCAAGAAAAGCTAAAGAATATACATATTTATATGGAAATGGGTTTTATGATGATAATGGATCTCTAACGAGACATTTGAAGAATGCTTTTGCTGATGGAGTTGGAAGCATTATCCTTGATGGAGAGATGATCACCTGGGATCCAGAACAAGACGCCCCCGTACCATTTGGTACGCTTAAGACGGCCGCCCTAGCAGAGCAACGAAATCCATTTTCTGCAAGTGGCCATCGTCCCCTATTCCGGATATTTGATATCGTTTACCTCAATGGTAAACCCCTGACGAGATATACACTTCGGGACAGGCGTCGAGCGCTAGAAGCGAGTGTAGTTCCGGTTCATCGGCGTTTTGAAATTCACCCCTATGAAGTTGGCAAAAGTGCGAGTGATATTGAGCCTCTACTTCGGAAGGTAGTAGCAGAGGCCTCTGAGGGACTTGTCTTGAAGAACCCGAACTCACCATATCGCCTCAACGAACGCAACGATGACTGGATGAAGGTAAAGCCAGACTACATGACTGAATTTGGAGAATCGCTGGATTGTATTGTAGTGGGCGGCTATTATGGCTCTGGTAAAAGGGGCGGAAATATCTCAAGTTACCTCTGCGGCCTTAGGGTTGACGATACGCATGCCGAGGACGGGGCTAATCCGATGAAATGCTATTCCTTCTGCAAAGTTGGAGGAGGATTTACAGCAGCAGATTATGCAAACATTCGTCACCATACCCATGGCAAATGGCATGACTGGAATCCAAAAAAGCCGCCTACTGAATATATAGAACTTGCAGGCGGTGATGCACAACATGAACGCCCTGATGTCTGGATCAAACCCGATGATTCAGTTGTTGTATGCGTTAAGGCAGCAGCTGTTACACCTAGTGATCAATTTCGACTAGGCCTAACAGTTCGGTTCCCTCGGTTCAAACGGCTAAGGATGGACAAGGACTGGCAGAGTGCGTTGTCTGTCCAGGAATTTATGGACCTAAAGGCCGGGGCTGAGCAGGAAAAGAAAGAAAAGGACTTTCAAGTGGATAACTCCCGCAGGAAGCAGACCAAAAGGAGTAAGAAGAAAGAACTCACTGTTGCCGGCTCCGGCGAGGCAAATGTTGCCTATGTTGGGAGGAAGACCCATATTTTTGATGGGCTTTCGTTCTGTGAGTAAAAAAAAGAAGAAAAAAAAAAAAAATACGGCCTCTTGAGGTGAATTTTGCTAATATTCCTATAGTTGTCATGACCGAGTCCGTGAAGCCAATGAAGAAATCCAAAGCTGACCTGGAGCAGCTGATCAAGGCAAACGGAGGAAAGATATACCAAACAAATACCGCGGTAAAAGACACCTATTGCATCGCAGACAGAAGTATGTGAATGATTATTTATCTCTCAATTATCTATTAATGCTGATATGGTCAAGGAACCGTAAAGGTGGCATCATTGCAGAAGTCTGGCCTTGAGAACGTTATTCGACCTTGTTGGATTTTTGATTGCATCAACCAAAACGAACACGATACTGGGAAAGACGGCGTTCTGCTTCCTCTAGAGCCACGGTGAGTTGCTTTGAATCAATCTGTTTTATAGGGGTGAATGTTACTAACATCATGTGCAGGCCTATGTTCTTCACTAAAGAAGATCAAAAGGAGGAAATCAGCAATAACGTCGACAAATATGACGACAGCTTTGCCAGAGACACCAATATAGCGGAACTTACAGAGGTAACTATCCTCATTAGAGTGTCTTCAGCTCCTAGCAATACTAAGTTTCCTTTAGATCCTACACAAGATGGATGTTACATCAGCTATATCTAGAGAAGAAAGACTAGACATCATGTCCGATCTTACTGTAGATGGAGATCAAGGCTCCGTCCATAGTTATGTAGAGGGATGGCTTTTCAAAAGCCTGACAATATTCTTTGCCCCCTGCAGTCATCTGCCCAGTGTTCCCGGAAAGCCCTGTGTCGATGGGTTGTCGATGCGTCAGCAATTGGCTCGAAACATTACCATTTTTACAGGAGCCACCGTGACGGACCAGCAGAAGAATAATTGGATCACCCACGTTATTGTTGATCCCTCAGAAGATCGGGATCCGGAGACCGGCAAACCCAAAAACTACTCTACTCTGAGGTCAGGGTTTGCAAGCCGCCGCGCCATTCCTCATTTTGTGACAGTCCAGTGGGTTGAAGAATGTTGGAAAGAAAAGACACTGGTTGATGAAGAGCGTACGTATTCCATGCCAGCCATTGCTCTCTCTCTGACAGGGCCCTGCTAATAAAGTCTACGTAGGTTTTTCTGCACCAAAATAAGCCAATGAATACGGTAGTTATCATGAGTTTCTTAACTTTACAGAAAACTTCGAATCGACCTCTAAAATATATAGACTATGACGATGAAAGGATTAATGAGGGAAAGCATGAAATTAATGTGAAGTTTGGGTGCTCTGCAGTTCTATTTTCCCACACACTAACTTATGTTTCACTGGGCTCGTAAGTTTGTCCCCTTGATTGCCCAAAGCAACGCTTGTTGGGGACAGACAGAAAACTGCTCAGTCAGTCACCAGGGTGTCTTTCTATTACTATTCCATAGAGTCAGTCCTATTAGCATCACGTTCGTAGAAAAAGCCAGTCTAAGGTGGCCAACGTGCGGCGTTAGGAATCTGATATCAACGTTTCTCCCGTGACTGAGAGTCCCTGCATCCATTCTGCATACTCCTTCCTGATCTTCCGTTGCTGCGCACAATTGCCATAACTAATGAACCCGATGATTGGCTACCGTTTGATCACAGAGCTATATCCATATCCCTGACCGTCGTATTCTCGGACAACCTGGAGGCTGAGGGGGAAGATAGTTAGCTCACCGCGACAGCCTCGCAGACGGGCCAGTCCTCCTCTTCTAACCCGCCCAGCCCTCGGATATGTCTAAGGTGGTGATGTAGTTGCATGTAACTGCCTGGCCGGTTCGCCTTTCGATATCGACCGGCGCTGTCTGGGAGAAGCGCGGAACCTGGCCCTGGTAGAGGTACCTCACACAGGGCTATTCCCAAGGAAGCTCAGGGACTCGTGCTTCAGATCTGATAATAGCAAGCTCAACGAAGGCCCGTCTTTGGCCTTTTTCATTCGTGCGAAGCCGCAGTAGTCGAGGTGGCGTTGTTGCTCTTGCATCGACCCTAATCCACCCGTCCGTCTTTGCTCCCCCATATAAAGGTCCGCTGATAGTTATAGCATGCGACTAATTAACCGCTCCTCTGCATCTTCTCTCTCTCCTCTTCCTCACCCCCCTCTAGTGTGCCATTAATGACAGACTGGCAGGCTTTGCTTTTCGCTTGGCCTCGTCTCTGGTAGCCAATTGCTGGGAGACTCGGACTGAATGTGAGTTTCTGAGCCAGGGGTGCTAATTTGACATACATAAGAAGCCAGAAGAAGACTCCCGTCTTGTGACTATAGTCTGCTGCTCTGCTCTTTAAACTGCTAGACGCCCTCCACCCGCTACCTCTCTGCCTTGAATAAATGCTGACATTGACGGTGGCCGCTTGTAGTCGAACTGTTCCGGACAAAAAGTTGACTGTGTTTAACTATGTTCTTCATCCCTCACGCGCCGTGGCTTGACATTGCTGTATAGAAAAAGGCCCTCCTCTTCCTTCAAACCCTCCCTCTTCGAGAGCTGTATCCCCTTCGGTTTCGTTTTTCAACCTCTCCACCGTTCATCCGCCTGGATACGGCTTCATTCATACTGTTACTTTCACATGGCGGAAGATACTGTTGCAGAGGGGGCTGCAGAAACGTCAGCATTGCAATCTCAGCCGTATCAGGCAGCGAAGACGAAGCGAGGGAAGGGAAAGGGCAAGGAGAAGAAGGATAAAGATGATAGCACTCCTCCGGTCAAGAGACGATGCGTATCGACTGCGTGTATCGCGTGTCGCAAGCGGAAATCAAAGGTCTGTCTACCTATCATCGCATCAAGATGAATTCAATATATTTACTGACCTGCGCTCTGTCTTTCGGTCGTTTATAGTGTGATGGAAACACCCCCAGCTGTGCTGCTTGCTCTTCTGTCTACCATACTCCATGTACGCATTCTCCTTCACGGGGCTACTTGGTTATCTAGTTGCAGTTAATGACGTCTTTCAAATAACTAAAGGCGTATATGACCCAAATTCGGACCACCGGCGCAAAGGAGTATACAAACAAGACATCGACAACCTTAGGAACCGCAACACCACCCTACAGACGTTGGTGCAGGCGATCCTAACATACGATGAAGAAGATGTTCCCGATCTCGTGCGGCAGATACGCGCTGCAGAAGACCTCGAAGTGGTTGCTGAATCTATATTGAAACGGCAAAAGCAGCTGGGTCCTGCAGCAAGCGATAATAAAGGCACGTCTACTGGAGCAGAATCCCCCTTCAGTGATGTTCCCCAATTTGAGTCAGAACTTATTGGCAAGATAAGTGAACTAAGGCTTGATGGTGCTGTGAAGTATGTGGGGGGGACATCAAACCTGATATTCCTGCCTGAGCTCTCGGAAGATGATGAACTATACTCGGAAGCAGAATCTCCTGAAGCCAAACCAGATTTGAAGGACAGCGTCAACTCGTGGACTACTGTAACGGAAAACAAGGAGCTTATCCGGCATCTTCTCACCATGTATTTCACCTGGCATTATGCCTATTTCACAACCCTGTCCAAGGAGCTGTTTTACCGTGACTTCATAGCAGGCCGTCCCAGCCAGTATTGTTCTGCATTGCTTGTCAATGCAATGCTAGCACTGGGATGCCATTTCAGTGCCTGGCCAGCCTCTCGAGAGGACCCGAACGACTCGTCCACCGCCGGAGACCACTTTTTCAAGGAAGCAAAACGGTTAATTCTGGAGAATGATGAGCATACGAAAGCAAAACTATGTACGGTCCAAGCTCTTGCCCTCATGTCAGTCAGAGAGGCTGGATGTGGCCGAGAGGGCTCTGGATGGGTTTATAGTGGAATGAGCTTTCGTATGGCTTATGATCTTGGGCTAAATGTGGATTCAGCTGGCATGGGTTCTTATAACCTTACAGCAGAGGATATCGATGCCCGTAGGGTTACATTCTGGGGCTGTTTCTTGTTTGATAAGTACGTCTTTTCTAAGCTTCTGTTTTCCTCTTTTATGGGAGAGCATACACTAACATAAGCAGATGCTGGTCTAACTACCTTGGTCGCCAGCCCCAACTGTGTGGACCCCATATCACAGTCCCAAAATTTGATGTATTCCCTAAGGAAGACTCGGAAATCTGGTCACCATATACGGATTCCGGCATTTCAGACGACTACAGCCAACCCTCAAGGACAAGAGCCGTAGCCCTGCAAATTTCCAAACTTTGTGAGATCAGTAATGACCTGCTAGCTGCATTTTATAATACGGGACCGCCAAAGCAGATTGCTAAGCAAGAAGAGCTGAGGCGGTTGACCCAGCTGCACACTCGTTTGGAGGCATGGCGTAAAGCACTTCCTCCGGAAATGGAACCAAAAGATGGCCAATTACCCCAGGTCCTTCTGATGCAGTATGTTATCCACCAACGTCAAGAAATTTCTCCCTATCTATTTACTAACGGTTTCAATAGTATGTTCTTCCAATTACTATTTATACACCTTTACCGTCCATTTTTGAAATATACCAAGTCCACTTCCCCATTGCCAGCGCATGTTTCTCCTAGGAAATTATGTACCCAAGGAGCCTCTGTTATCTCAAAATTGTTACGTCTATACAAACGTACGTACGGGTTACGTCAGATTTGCAACATCGCTGTATACATCGCCCATTCGGCATGCACAATTCATCTCCTTAACCTACCCGATAAGTCCGCCAGGCGGGACATCGCACATGGCCTGAAGCATTTGGAAGAAATTGCCGAAAGTTGGCTCTGTGCACGAAGAACTCTACGGATCCTGGATCTGCTATCAAAGAGGTGGAAAGTCGAACTTCCGGAGGAAGCGTTATCTGTAATCGAGCGATCTCGGGCCAGATTCGGGTCCACCAGCTCTTGGGAACAGATGCAATCGCCTTCATCATCGGGAGCATCACCGAAACCACATGACCGCGTTCAGGCATCAGAACAACCAATGCATACCCCAACACATGAACCCGCCAAATCATCAACGGTGTCTGCGGTGATGAATACTCAAGCCACATCCCACACTTCTACATATTCCGCGCCAGTTCAGATTCCTCAAGAAGATGTTACCCAACTTCAATCGTCTGTTTCCACAGAGCAACGCCCTGCAGAACATGAAATGCCCTCCAAGAATAACGAATATTCAGCCAAACAGAAATTACCAACAGTGCCGCAACCTCCCATGAACACTACCCCAAGCCTTGGTAATGATATCGCTATGGGTCTTCCTCAATCTCCAACGTTTATAGACTCTGACAAGCTAGTCCAAGCCAGCCAAAACTGGTGGCTGAAGGACCAGAACGCCCTCGCTATAGGCATGGACAATTGGTCTAGTAGCTGGGGTACTCCAAATGAAGGCCCTGGTAACACCATGGACTACCCAACCTCAGGCAGCAACTCTATTCCCCCAATAGAGGCCACTGATGCTTACACAACCCATGCCCAGCAACCCATGCATATCGAAGGACTCCCCCCAACTGCCGCGGCTCTTGGACTCTCCCATCCAATCACTTCCGCTGGGACCTATAATACGGAATTCCTCGCATCTCAAACCAACCCCACCCACCCAAATATCGCAAATTACATGCCTCAGCGGGGTGATGGAGAATATTCTGAGCAAGGAGACATGTTCTACTAATCGTTGGTGATGATCTCCATTTGACGAGGGCGTCTTATGACTTATCCGCTGTCGCATAAATAGCTTTTTGAATATATAAATATATATATATATATATACACAACATATACCCTAAACTTGATTTTCAGCATCTATACCCCTATTTTTACCTTTATGCATTTGCTTTATAACTCACTCCCCCTGCTTATAGCGTATTCGCTAATCTTTACTTCTCTCTTTACATTACACTTAGGGCATTCTGCAGGTACTCTTCAGTACTACCATGCCTAATCACCAGCATGGTTTAGCTGGCTGGATTATGTCTGTTGTCTACAGCATAACTAGGAGTTCTTGATAAAGGTGGGTATGTCGCTTAAATATTTTATCCATTAAGTTACTGGCGTGAGACTGAAAACTGTCTGGTTTTTACGTTATCGAGAAAATTATATGGCAAAATAGTTACAGACAGCATCATAGTTCTAACGCGTTGTTTGACTTAGATAATGAATAGTAAGACTGTTTCCTATAGATTTTTTCATGGCTCAGTAGTACCTTCGTGTAATTATCTTACATAGCGTACTCCGAGGCGATGGTTAGTCAATTGGCATGCTCCATTAAAACTGTAAACGCTATAAAACAGACTGCATCAACGTAATCAATAAAAAGGGGTTAATCACTATCCAACAGAGGATTATGTATGTTAGCTGGTGGTCTCCAATGTTCAAAGTTGGGTAATAATAAAACATATTCATACCAAGAAGTAATCAGCAACAGGTTTCTTAGCCGGCATTCCACGGGTATCTTGAGGAGCAGCATCAAACACCCTATACCGTCTCCCAGGGCCAGGAACCCTCTTCGCATCAAGCATCCCAGCGCGGCCACCGAGGCTACGCCCATAATCACCATTACTCCGTGCAATGGTGCCTCCATTACTTGCATCTTCGCCTAGCTCAAGTATAGCTGCCACATTTCCACATCTGTAGCAATAGTTCGGAGCTGACCATACGGTGACGATGCCGCCGTCAAACATCTCTTTGAAGCCTTCCATGACAAGTTGGTGAGCACGCGCAATTAGGGATAGATCGTTTTTGTAGCTGAAATGCTTGACGATATCTGCTCCGAATAAGAAGCCTGCTCCGCGCGGACTTAGGCCCCAACCTTCAATTTCATCCGGATCTGACCAGAGGAGATCACACATAGCCCCTTCATGAGGAACTTCCTGTTTTCGGTCAATGAGCCGAATTTTATCAACACTATCTACCAAAGGGGAAAGGCCGCCATGAACACAGAGTACTGCTCCGGTATTGCTGGACATACTGCCCAGACTGTCTCCGGTAGCACCAGTCCCCGCAGGCCCAGTACGAGCAGGCGTGTTGCTAGGAATGGATGATATGTCTCTCGGCGGTGAGACGTCTCTGATATCATGTGCAATATTATTGGAACCCCGACTCCTCTTTCTGTAGGAGGCGAGCGTGACTTCACCCTTTGAGTTCAACACTTCAATCTCCAGTTCATCATCATCATCTATTGCCGAATTCAAAGAAGACTGGGTATCTTGCTGTTCTCCTACAGCGCCAGGCTGAGCTACCACTGGGCCCGAAGACGACAACTCTGTGCTTGCTCCCAAAACCAAGGCACCCAACGCTAAATAATCAAATACTTCACAACAGTACCGCCAGACATTGGCATTGCCGTATTTCCTAATGCATTCGTCGTAAAATCCGTAAACGGTCGTAATTTGTCTCGATTCATGGTTACCCCGGATGAGTGTCATGCGATCTGGGTACCGAACCTTGAGGCAGAGTAGGAGGAGGAAAGATTCGAGAGAATAGAAGCCACGGTCGACAAAGTCGCCCATGAATAAGTAGTTGGTATCGGGCACGTCACCCCCAACGCGGAAAAGTTCCATTAAATCATGGAATTGGCCATGGATATCCCCACAGATAGTAACAGGTGCATCAACTGAAACGACATTTCCCTCTTCAATTAATATCTCTCTAGCTTTGTAGCAGAGCTCTCGCACTTGGTATTCGGGGATAGGGCGACAGGAGCGCAGCTGCGCAATGGCTCTAGAAGGGGAAAAAGAGAAAAGCAAAGTCAGTAGAGGTGAACAAAGCGTTAGGCGGGTAAAAGGCCGATATACTTGTCTAGGTCGCTCATCTGTCAGGCGAGGACCGCACAAACACCCCCCGTGTGACTCTCCAACGGCGTCTATTTATTTTCTGACAGCTGCCCTAGCGCTGAAGGCTTTCCGATCCTCGTCCCCTATTCTTGTGCCCTGTAGGGGGTGGCTGACGATATCACGAGGGGGGTGGTTTCAGGACTTGAATTTTGCTATGTCGGAAGAGCCGTGGACCTCATGTTTCTATCGCAGGAAAACGGGATAAACGGATGCTCGGTACGCACACGAAGCTGATGGAACCTAATTTGGCACGGAATGCAGGGAATGTGCATCTGCTGGTTGATCTGGGGTAGGCAGGCCAGTTACGCAGCATTGGTGGCGCGAAGAAAAACGCGAGGCTGGTTTGGGATCCGTGGTTTAACGAGCTCACTAGCCGCTTTTCCTGTTAGTCAGGCGGCTGGCGCGATTGATAAGATAAGATCCAAGGCTCCCCGGCAAACCTACCAAGCGCCGCTTAAGAGATCAACATGGCCCTGCGCATGATTAGCCAGGCATAGAGCGTTCGGCGGTCTGCGGAAGGCTCATACTTCTTATCAAACTGCTTACAAGTGAAAGCTGTTTAGGAGGAGGTTGGAATGCTCGTACATCTGCATCCAGAGAGAAACCTGTTGCTTTGCTTGAAGATGACGACGAAACAAGCCTCGCACTCCTGGACATTCGGCATAATACGAATGGGAACTCTCAAGTTCTCGTCCTATCATGTCTTTTCTCGTCTCTACCATAAATTTTGTCTCCAGTTAAAGGGCTTTGTTGAGCAGCCCCCTCCGGAAGCCCAGCTCTATGCTCACCCGCGCGACCTCCGGCTACGAGACTATCACGTGATGGTTGCTCACTTTTACTTGGCCTGTGGTTGGCTGCAGCGAAAAAAAGTTCAACTCGAAAGACACCAGGAAGACATCCAGCCATCGGCCATTGTCCCATCAGCAGGACCTGCACGGCCAACTGGACACGCTTGACTGAATATATGCGCCTTTACTGAGCCGGTTGGCTATTTAATCCTCGCAATTGACCGGTGCAGGACACCCCCAAGACCCTCCTTCCACCACACCCTCAACGCGCAAGGAGTCAAAGACTATGGAGCATTCGAAGATCTATACGACAATATAACAGTACCCACGCTCTTGCTAAACTCCCGCAATCGATAATGCCTTCACATTTCCATCCGCGGTCGCGGTCGACCATGTCCCTCTTCACAGCAACACTCCTCGCATCCCTTCTAATAGTTGGCGTACCACACGTCTTTCCTTGTCCTGCTCCACGACGAGCACTGGCCGACTCAGAGATCATAGTCACCGCAGATGGACAGCAGATAAGGCGGAAGAGAAGACGGAAGGAACCGGTCCCCGCCGCCGATGAAACGGTATTATCATCGTCGGATCAGTTGGCCGGACACTCGGTACTCGGGTCTGCAGCCACGGATATCTTAAGTCAGACACCAACGGTTGGACGGGAGCTACGGGAACAAGCGGTGGAGTTCAGGCATATGGAGGCAGAGGCGAAAGAGCTTGGGAAAACTGCGCGAGAGTGTCCAGTACCGAAGCCGAAAGGAATCCTCGGCCAACTTTTTGGGTTCGGTGCGGATAAAAGCGATCAATTGAAAGCAGATGCCTCCCACACGGATATCCAATGGAAGAGAAATACGGAGTGATATGGTCAGCTTCTATCTTGAACGTTATATAACGGTTGAAGGGTACTAAATACCAAAGTCGTCCAGCAGGTTGGCGTTAATAAAGTAAGTGATACGTGTTATAGTCATGGTTAACTCAGCTACGTTTGGCAACGCAAATGAGAGTTCACTAACTAGTTTGATAGGTATCTATGTATATTACCTAGAGTATATTTCATCTACGATTGCTGTCTGTTAATCAGTTTCTCCTCTTACTTCAACCACCTTGGATCGAGTGACCTCCTCTGAATAGGTCTTGCTTGCGTTTCTCGGCTAGTGTCTGTCCTATGCAGCCCACACAATGAAGAAGTGCGAATAGGTCTCGGCTATTCTCACTCTCCCCTTCCTTGACTTTACCTTGAGAAGCTTTTAAATCGTTGCAACCAAGTAGCCTTTCACTATTAATCGGTTTCTGCACTCTTGCAGGAACCTAAAGTGTTTAGATTTAATAGGTACAGGCTAGTCTAGAGATATCAAGCTTGCTATCATATGTCCTTAAGTCCTTATAATATTATATAAGTTCCTGAAGGAGTACCATTAATTTTTTTAAAGTCTAAAACGTCTACCTGTCTTGGCTCTATAATCCGTTCTCTACCCGCGATTATCTTGCTATACATGGTATTTTATTGCATCATTTGGACTACGGTAGAATAAATACCTGGTGAAAGTTATTTAGCATTGGCTGTTGGATGGCTTTAGAGAAATAGCATAACATACAGACCGTTTTTCTTCAAGTTCGGTGCTAGACATTGCCTAGGGTTGTATATGTATAGCTAGAGACAAGCGCTCAGTCGATATAGCGGGCCGTTTTCAATGCCTTATAGTTGAAGAGATTGCCTAAGTAGTCGACCAGAAGAATGATATCAGGCATAACAGCAGTATCCGGATCAAGTGCATGTGAAAACGTCAGAATTCCTCTATGCAGGTGTTTCCCTTCTCACTTCTCAAATCTCGGGGCCCTACTTAGCTATTTTTTAGGATAAAGCTGACAGATGAATAACCGCCTTTAGGTACAAATACAGGCAAGAGATTGATAGAAAAGAAGGGTCATATCAAACCCGAGCATCTTAGTAGCGGTGTTGATGGTACTGATGACGCCTAACTATATTACACTTGGCCACCCTCGATTCTCCTATCCAGCAAGAAAGCCAATATACGATAGCCAGGTAACTAGGTCGCTAGATCTGACCTCAGGCAGGGAGTAACTAACGATCGGCCGCCAGGCTCGCCTGCTCCTGTGCCATCAGGCGGGTCTAGAACAACCGCTAGAACTACCAATGGTGAGGTATAAACACTGCTTCAGGAGCGTGGGCGGTCGTTTGGCAGCGATATGAGACACAAGGAAGAGAATTATAAGGGCTGGAATCATCTGCCATCTGCCATCTGCCTACTAAGTACTCTGTTTTTCCTTTTTTATTCCTTCCTGTAACTACAACCTTTATTATCTATAGCTTTTATCCGGAGTCGTTATTCCTAGTACATCTACCACTCGCACTACTGCATTACCTGTCTCTCGAATCGGCCAGTTGATAGTTTCCACTCCGGCGAAGAAATTCGTTTACACATGTAACTATTGCTTGTAGGGTCCGCCACCAGTGCTGTAGAAACCGTAGCCACAGCAGCGTTCGTGCCGCATCTCCTTTAACTACCACTAGATTTATGCGCCTGCTTAAGCTGCCGCCGCGATATTCCACCTAACTACCAGGCTTTCACAACCCATAATAACTGTAGATGGTTCGGCCGCTGCTCTAAAGTGCCGCGATCCCAATACCATGTATTTATATCGTAATATCGGGCGTATAAGCTAACAGAGAACGTTTATCCTACAACCGAGTGATAGATACCTGCCTGACTACGTACGACGTCTATCTATCTGCGACCTACTCTATCCCTTCCTTGTAATGGTTCACTCAGGAGGATAAAAAAAAAAAGAGCAAAAAAGAACTCCCTGACGGGGAATCGAACCCCGGTCTCCCGCGCTTGTTGTTCTCAGCGAGAATTGACAAGCGGAAATCATGACCACTAGACCATCAAGGACTGCTGGGAGTGGAGCGGCCGGTGGTGGCTTTTGCGTTGCTCGTGGGCGGCCCGGAAGCGGAAGCCTCCTTTCTTTTGCTCTCGACAGTGAGAAACACCAATTAGGTAACACCGCGGGTTCTAGTTAGTGATACCTCGATATAATATCGTCCAGGGGATATGATGGAAGGAAGAAGAAACAGCCTGTCTACAGTTTGGCAGTACTCTATACAAGCTCTCCGTCTTCAATCTGATAACCCTAAATAACTGCTAGTTACGCCCTGCCAGCCAGCCTTGCAGCTCTGGCGTGCGTCTCAACTGTTTCATCAGCCAATCCCAGCAACCAGACTCATTCCCCAGTCTTCAAATACGACCAAATCCAGCCAAAAATGATTAAAGACGCAGAATCCAAGGAGGATGTTTCTTGAAGGATCAACTTACTCCGGACAATGGACAATTTGGGTAGGAGTTAACTTCTTCGAGATGCAATAAATATGTCCTCCACGCCAGATCACTGCTTCCTAGCCTTGTCCGGCTCGACATGGGCAGTAATTCCGCCGGTCTACGCACGAAATTAGTAACGATGATGATAGGGGAAACTCCGTATATCAAACAACATCTTGACACAGGATAGTCATAGCACGCGGGGGACTTTTTCTTTTTTTTTTTATCACCCCCGGGATAATCGTCCGTGACGTACTGGGCTTAAAAATCATGCCGTCAAGCTAAGGCTCCGGCCAACAATAAGAAGAGTGCGCCGGCTCGTTCGGGGGACAAAGAATTTCCATCTGCCCTAACCTCTGGGACAATATGAAATTCGGCCTTCTGATCTGGCAAGGTTGGACTTTGACACTCTGAATTAGGTATCGTCCTTGGATGAAACGAATTATACCTACTGCAATACATATTCGTTAGCTCGTTGTTCAATTCGTGAGACGAGTAACGAGGAGCCTGCTCACACACAATGGAGCAGAAGGTAGGCTTAATGTCATCCCACCGTGAGTAACATATATGGAGGATATCGCTAATGGGGGAACTTACGGATAGCAGGAGGTGGGAATTTCCACTTCGCGGTTAGATCGAGGGTCATCGGAGTTAGTGACACCCTTAGCATTCGGTAAACGTGTCAGTCAATTCTTTGACTACGAGATTAACAATGCTTCTGTGAAGTGACGAGTCCCAGAGTGGTAAAGCTCAGCCACCCCGGTGTCACTCACCCAAGCCCATATCGCCAACGTCTTGGTCTTCGTCATCGCCGATGTCACCTTCAACGTCCACTCCAGAAACGCTCTCGGAATCAAATCCAAACATATTTGAAGTCCCAACACTTAAAGCTACCGTCGAGTCCGGGTTCCTATATCACCAGCGCTTGTTTGAGAACAATGTCCCCCCTGCCGAATGGAAGCAGTTCAGTGATGAGATGGTAGAGGCGTTTGCGCTTACGACAGCAGAGAAAATCGCTGCCTGGACTGTTGGAATAAGCGTTGGCCTCGTAAGCGCCGTACCCTTGCTGGTCTTTGGTGCTGCGCCAGGCTACTATGCTGGAAAGGCCGTGAATGCCATGTCCATCGAAACAAAAGTCAAGGACTACTTGCAAGAGGAAGGGGAACTGGTCACTGTCCTGAAACGCTGGAATGATACCGCCTTTAAAAAGAGAGGGATATATGTCAGACTGGCGCTTCCGAGGAAAAAGACAAAAGAAGGCTCTAAATCTGGCAGCGGAACTTTTGAATCCTTTATGTCTTTCGGTGCAAAGAAAAAGGCAAAAGGGAAGGAACTCTCACAGGATGGTGAAGGTGGTGGAGAAATCAACAAGAAAGAAGAGAAGAAGTTGCATAAGCGGTATCGGCTGATCATTGAGGTCGTGGGCGTTAAATCAAAGCAAAAGTCCTGGAAAGAACACGACAATAATATCCCTCTACCCAAGGGTATACTGGAATTGAATGGTGATGAAGGGCATAATACCGTTCCAGAATATACTCCGCGAGGCACACCCCCGTACAGAAGTGGCTCGCACCCAGCAGAACTTGAGCCAACTTATACTAATCGGATAGTAGAACTGGACGGTGTTAGTTATGGGCCTTCTGCAGAGCTTGAAGGAGGTGGTAGGGTGGTCGAACTCCCGGCGGAGCCCCGAACAATCGTTCACGAACTTGCGTGAACATACTAATACGAGACTCTTTTCCATGGTTTCCATCTTATGAGCTTATGTTTATGTTATTTACATGTCCAGAAATATACCCGTATCTATACTAATCAGTATTTTATTGCACAAGGTCCCGTTGATTTAAGAGACGTTACTATCGCTTGTATTAAATTGTAATGAACGCCGTAGAGCTTCTAGCAACTAAGTGGTAACTAAGTGGTAACTATGGTTAAAGATGCTACTATTATCAGAAGCTACAATGAATCTGTATCTGGTAGTTCTATTGCTCGTGGGATTTGGCTCGCTATAGATACCTTAAGGTTAAACATAAAAAGGTGGTAACTCAAGACTAATTAGTTAGTTCGTTTAGCTTTGAGCTTCTGTCTTGACGCGGCGTCAGTTCGTTGAGCTACCAACCCAAAAAAAATATTGACTGTTGATATACCACAGCAAGACTCGGTACTACTATTTCCATTGGAATCTCGTTGACTTAGAAGCTATGAAAACGGTCAGTCTATTCTAACCTACGCATATCAAAATTTCCGATTGCTCTCGCTATGAGCCGGTTATGTACCATCGTGCTAGACCTTCTCACAAACCCCAAACACTCGAGATGGATTTGTCCGCTGCTGCTAGCGTTCGATGCATGCCTATGTGCTGCTATCATATTCAAAGTGCCGTGTAAGTCCCGAAGTTATTGCTACCGGTAGGATTTACTTCCTCTCAAGGTACCCGGTTAACTGACAGATTGCTCAAACCAGACACCGAAATCGACTGGTCTACCTACATGCAACACATACACTTATTCCTTTCCGGTGAAAGAGATTACATGGCGATTAAAGGGTCTACGGGGCCTCTCGTCTACCCTGCCGGCCATGTCTACGCCTATACCGCTCTACATAATATGACCGACGAGGGACGTGACATCCCGTTTGCGCAGATGCTGTTTGCGGCTCTATATATTATATTCCTGGCAATTGTTATGGCATGTTATAGAGCAGTACATGCTCCGCCATATATATACCCTCTTCTCGTGCTCTCAAAAAGATTGCACAGCATTTTCATGCTGCGGATGTTTAATGATGGTCTCGCTGCAGGTTTTATCTGGGCAGCGATGTATATGATGCTTAAACGACAGTGGTATGCCGGTGTCTTGCTATGGACGCTGAGTGTGAGCATAAAAATGACAGGATTGCTTGCTGCTCCCGCAATCGCGGTTATCCTTACATTTGCTGTAGGATTCGGGCAGGCATTGGGGATGGGAGTGTTCTTCGTATTGATACAGGTATGTTCTCTTTTGGTGCCCTCTACCCATAGGTATTTAATTATCATTGAAGAAGATGATTAAATTTATTCTATTCTAGATCTTACTTGGCCTACCTTTCCTTCTAGAGAACCCAACAGGCTACATGACAAGGGCGTTTGAGTTTACTCGACAGTTCCTGTTCAAGTGGACCGTGAACTGGCGGTTTATCGGGGAGGATGTATTCTTGTCTAGATCTTTCTCGGTTGCATTGCTAGCAGTGCACATAACTTTGCTGGTGACTTTCCTGGCCTTTGTCTGGATCATTCCCGCAAAAATGGACCTTGGTTCTTTAGTACAACAAGCATTCCGTGGACGAAACCTGCAACGTAGTATATCAAACTCCTACGTTGCTACAACAATGATAACATCTGTGGTTATCGGCCTGCTCTGTGCACGGAGTTTGCACTACCAATTCTATGCATATCTTGTGTGGACATCCCCCCTGATACTATGGAAAAGCGGTTTCCACTCAGTTCTTCTGTTCATTCTATGGGCTGCGCAGGAATGGGCATGGAATGTCTATCCTAGCACAAACGTGAGCTCGACGATGGTAGTGGGTTGTCTCGCAATTCAGGTCCTAGGTGTGTTCTGGGGGATGCAGTGTGAAGAATAAAGGCTAGCTAAGCTCAAGGGCGAAACAAAAGACCTTATCGACAATAGAAATCAACGGTCGATCACACCTCCTCCTCGTCGTCGTCTGAGGGAGGGAGTTTTCCAACGGTGGACTCTTCGTCATCACTGTCCTCGACGACTTTCTTCACAAACTCCTTTGGCCTACGAAAGATAATATATTAGCACTCTCCTTGATCTATAAGGGATTACAAGCTTGCGACGAACCAGAAATCAGCCTTTCTCCACGCTTTGTCGTCCCTAACTATATTCACAATCTCTCCAGCCAGCTTGTTATCTCGCTCTTCTAACGCTGTGGAGTCTACAACGACAAAAGTGCCTCGTTTCATCCAGATAGTAGAACGGAAACGTGCTGGAAGTTCAACCAGTATCGGCTCCTTGGATGGCAGTTCGACGGAGTATACGTTGTTTCCTGTTGCCTTGACGACTCGGGCGATTGACTGTCCTTCCTCGAGTGCGGGTGGTGGATAGAGCGTCTCTTCGGCCGTAGCCAGCACCTTTCTCCTGGGCTTACCCATATTTCTGAGATACTGAGCCTGTCACTGTCAGTCAGCCGGTTCGCTGGTGAACGACCAGATAACTTTCAATTTTGATCTTCGATTTGCGGCCGGCAACACCCGCCTTAGGGACCCTGGTGGGGTCACGTGCATATCAATGATTACAAAAGCCAAGCCCCTTTTTATATCGAGAAAGAGAGCAAAAGGACGACGAAGATGAAAGGTTGATGATAGGCGATTGTGTTCCGCAGGGAGAGAAGGACGGATTAAGGAGACTAGACGACTTTCTCCGTATCCTTTTCCTGTTGGGCTATATGGTCAGCAAGGGCTGGAGGAAGATCACCTAATCTCCTAATTCTCTCTTACGGCACAAGCTCCGAGACATTATCATGCCAATGTCAGTGAGCTAGCTTGTCGGAAGCAGGTTCTTTACTCCTGCGAGTCTCCTCCGGACCATCCTCGGGTAACTATACAGTTATCCACGCTAATATGGAAAACAGAAAAGGAGTGTTTTGCATCGGCGAGGGTGAAGCTGCCGAAGCCTCGCTAGCTATCTCGCTAACTAGCCCGCTGATCTTTGTTCTTGCTAAAAAGGAACCAAGCTGTCTATGTACGGAGTAGTCAAGCAGTAACTAATGTATTCGCCTGCCATCTGAGCCGTGGATAGCAGGCGGCTGTTTTTGGGCCTCGTGTGTCCAGTACCAGGTGTAGAGACGGCGAGGCGCTTTTACTATTCCAGGGTGCATTCAGTAGCCGATGTGTATTTGTTTTCCCTTGGGGCCTGCAGATAGACAGGACACCTATGCAGCGATTCAGGGGTTGGGCAGCCCTACCGCGAAGAGGCCATAATAACACCACCACCACCGCACACAACCGCCGCTGGACGGCCATCTTCTACAGTTAGATGTCTAGAGACCACGAAAATAAGTACTAACTACATGTACCTGTTGATCTCTACTTCAGATGCTCATCTTCTGCTCTCTGCTGAGTGTATGTGTGGCCCCGGCGTAGATAATAATGTACTCCCCACCACGAAAATATTGCGGCTCTTTTCCTTCCCCTCCCTCACTAGCTGAACTAGCTGACTAGTAAGTTAAACTAAGTTGCGAGTCTAGAGAGAGAGAGAGAAAAACCCACCCAACGTCAAACCACCCTCAACTGGCTCGCGACCCCGAGATGACCGCCTAAGAGCCACCAACGGGCGCAACTCAACCTCCCTTTGCTTTCCTAACCACTCCTCGGACGCGGGAACGGCAGCTGGCATCGCTGCATAACGCTCTTCTCTCGCAGTGCTGTCGTAGTGGCCAGTCGTTCGGTTGGTGTTGTCCAGTTACATACTAAACGTCACTCAAGCAGTCATCTTGCACAACAGCGGGAGATACATGACGTCCGCCAGAAGCGCATGATCTCCGTCCCAAGCACAGACTCTCTCCTCCATACAATTGCACAGTCTTCCCTTCTTCACGATCTCTCGCTGATCTGGTCGAACAGCTCGCTTGCGTTGCCCCCCCGGGCCCTTTCGGAGACCCTGTTCGCTCTCCTAGCCCCCCCCGCACCCCGAGACACAGAACCACAACACACACTGCGAGAATACGCTCGTCTTATCTTAGCTGAACAGGCAACTCAGACGAGTCCTACATACCTATTAAAAGCGACTATAAAGCTGCCTCCTCGTTCAATACCGCAAACATGGAGGGCGACGACGAGCTCATCGCCACCGTGTATCGCAAAATCGATCGCGAGAAGGCCCTCATTGCTGCCGCGACAAATATGAGACAGTCTACCGATAACCCACTTGTACAGCAGCGAGTGGACGCCAATATACGGGATGGACGGAAGAACATTGCTTATCTTGAGGAGAAGATGCAAGAGCTGCAGCTTCGAAAGATGGGCCGTGGAAATACTTCTCCTACCGCGACGCGAGGGCCTGGTGACGGCCCGCCTTTACCCCCAAAGGACGTTGGCTCCTCATACCGCGGCAGTGACCAAGGCGGCTATGGGGATGTTGGCCCAGGAGGTTACAGCCAGGGTGGAACAGGCATGATGCCTCCCCGAGCACCTTTCCATGACCCGCGTCCAGACTCCGCCATGCCCAAGGCACGTCCCAATTTTAGCAAGTTAGGTCAGTTTCTTGCTACCCAGTTTCGAGTTTGCTATTGCACTTGAATCAATATATTTGATTTTTTACTAACTGGTGCTGGTTTGTAGATTTGATTAAATATGATACTCCATATTTGGGACCTAAGATCCAGCTTATGCTGTCACAGCTAGAGTTCAAATTAAGTGTTGAGAAACAATACAAGGCTGGTATTGAAAAGATGGTGCGGCTTTATCAAGACGAGGGCGATCGAAAAAGCCGAGCAGATGCAGAAGGCAGGCGTATCGAGAGCAACCAGAAGATTCAGCTGCTAAAACAGGCCTTGAAACGATATGAGGACCTTCACGTTGATATTGAGAGCGCATCAGATCACCCAGATGGTTAGAAGCTTCCTGAATACTTCATGGTCCCTTTTTCCATTTTTAAATTTACTAACCCACTGGTTAGATGACAGTTTGAATGCCCCCAACATGCGCAAGCCTCTGACGGGTCATCTAACCATGAAAATCCATGCTGTTAGAGACGTTGACCATGCTGCTGGATCTAGATTTTCGCGGGGTCCTGAAACCTTTGTGATCATGAAAGTTGAAGATGCAGTAAAAGCCAAAACCCGGGCTACTAGGTCAGACAAATGGACTGAGGAAACCTTTAATGTGGACATTGACAAGGCAAACGAGATCGAACTCACTGTGTATGATAAGTCCGGTGATCGACCAACGCCTATTGGTATGCTCTGGATACGGATTTCGGATATTGCGGAAGAGATGCGCCGCAAAAAGATCGAGACGGAATTCAATGCCTCCGGATGGGTTTCTGCTGATAAAATGGATCATGGGCCCATCAGACCGGATACGCAGTTCCAGGGAAGCTCGTTCCAACCTAGCCAGCCCGCCAGAACTCAACCCCCAGGGCAGGCTCCTATCGGTCAAAATGCTACAGTCATGGTTGACTCCTGGTTTGCTTTGGAGCCAGTGGGGAGGATACACCTTACGATGAGCTTTGGTAAGAATTCCTTTGTTGAAATATTGTCCTTCTACCTCCTACATCAAGGCACATGAAACCCTTATATAGTGGAAACTATACTAACAATGAGCCTATCAGCCAAACAACTCAAGGATAGGCGACCGTTTGATATTGGTCTCAACCGTCAAGGAGCTGTCCGTCAAAAGAAGGAAGAGGTCCATGAGAAGCAAGGCCACAAGTTCATTACCCAGCAGTTCTACAACATTATGCGGTGCGCTCTTTGTGGTGATTTCCTCAAATATGCAGCGGGTATGCAGTGCTCTGACTGCAAGTATACCTGTCACCGAAAGTGCTACCCTAAAGTTGTGACCAAGTGTATTAGCAAGGCAAACTATGAGACTGATCCGGATGAGGAGAAGATCAACCACCGCATTCCTCATAGGTTCGAGGGATACTCCAACATCTCTGCTAATTGGTGCTGCCACTGCGGTTATCTGTTGCCTTTCGGAAGGAAGAATGCCAAACGGTGTTCCGGTATGTATCACCATTTCTTCTCACCTATCTATAAGACAGGTGTACTAACTGGTATAAATAGAATGCTCCCTTACCTGTCATGCCAACTGTGCTCACCTGGTGCCTGACTTCTGCGGGATGTCCATGGAGGTTGCTAACCAAATTCTGGAGACTATTATCAAAGCAAGAAATACCAATAGGACTAGTGGTGGTTCAACCAAACCCCCTCGTCCCAAGCCTGCACCTATCGAAGGTGGACATCGGAAATCTCAAGACAGTTACGGCGCACCGATGATGTCTCCTTCGGCAGAAGCTGTCAGTGCAGCCAGCTCTTCATACATGCATCCACAATCTCCAACTTCTCCAGGACGCCCCGTTGCCTCTCCACATAGCCCTTCAAGCGCAGCAGCTGCCGCCGCCGCCGCTGCTGCTACAGGCATGCGCCCAATGCCACAGCAGACAGGGTATGATAAATTGCTTTCAAACCACGCCATAGTTATCGCTAGAGAGTCCTTTGTACTAACCGCGAATCTAGGTTACCCCAGCAGCAACAGCCGCAACCACCACCGCATTCTCACTACGACCCTGGAGCCTATGCGCGTGTTCAAGCACCACAGCTCCCTCCAATCCAAGTCGGTCATCAGCCCGCCGGACACCAGTATCCTATGGCGCCACCTCACCCGCAGCATCAGCAGCAGCAACAGCAGCAACAGCAGCAACAGCAGCAACATCCACAGCACCCACCGCACCCACAGCATCAGCAGCAACCAGCCCCTGTTACTGGCCACCCATCGGCTCTTGCTACGAAGGATCAAATGCCACCACCCGCTTCTGCACACCCCCAAAAGAAGGCTGGTGCTATGATTGGATTGGATCATTTCAACTTCCTTGCAGTTCTTGGTAAAGGAAACTTTGGAAAAGTCATGCTTGCAGAATCGAAGACGAGCAAAAAGCTCTATGCTATCAAGGTCTTGAAGAAGGAATTCATCATTGAAAATGACGAAGTGGAAAGCACTAAGTCAGAGAAACGAGTGTTTTTGATTGCCAACAAGGAGCGTCACCCGTTTCTGCTTAATCTCCACGCTTGTTTCCAAACAGAGACTCGTGTCTACTTCGTTATGGAGTATATCAGTGGTGGTGATCTAATGTTGCATATTCAACGTGGTCAATTTGGTCTTAAACGAGCTCAGTGAGTGCACTCCAGCCCCAGTTACATAGCTGAGTCCTAACTAATGATTTTTCACTAGGTTCTATGCTGCCGAAGTTTGTTTGGCTTTGAAGTATTTCCATGAAAATGGTGTCATTTATCGAGATCTCAAGCTCGATAACATCCTACTATCGCTAGATGGGCATCTTAAGATTGCCGATTACGGCCTGTGTAAGGAGGAGATGTGGTATGGTAGTACCACAAGTACATTCTGTGGAACCCCCGAGTTCATGGCGCCTGAGGTATGTTATCGCTTCTAATTCATTCTCAATCACTGGAACATAGCTAACAGGCCCCTTCTAGATTCTTCTGGACAAGAAATACGGTAGAGCCGTTGACTGGTGGGCCTTTGGCGTTCTAATCTACCAGATGTTGCTTCAGCAGTCGCCCTTCCGAGGAGAGGATGAGGACGAAATCTACGACGCAATTCTTGCGGATGAACCTCTTTACCCTATCCACATGCCGCGGGACTCTGTCTCAATCCTTCAGAAGCTGTTGACACGTGAGCCAGAACTGAGATTGGGATCTGGACCAACTGATGCCCAGGAAATCATGTCCCACCCCTTCTTCCGGAATATTAACTGGGATGACATTTACCATAAGCGTGTTCCGCCGCCCTTCTTCCCCAAGATCACCAGCCCTACTGATACGAGTAACTTCGACCAAGAGTTCACGAGTGTCACTCCCGTTCTCACTCCAGTTCAGTCTGGTAAGTGTCCTTTGTCCTTCGGCTCTAGCGTAACTCAAGCTAACATGTTCGTAATAGTTCTCACTCAAGCGATGCAAGAAGAATTCCGTGGCTTTTCATATTTTGTAGACTGTGACTAAACGTGTGTACACACTTCTTTGTCTTCTGCCTTTTTCTCTTTCTCGCGCATACTTGAGGTTTGGGGTATCTAGTCGCTTTCAAATGGTCTTCATGCGGCATCAGCACACTCCCCCTTTCTCCTACTCCGTTTCCTCAAACTTTTTCTATAATGATGCTATTTCTCCTTATTCTTGTTTCCTATCTTCATAATACCCTTGGTCAGTATTATAGTAAAGTTAATTGTCCGATATACCCATTATTATATGATCGATCACCATGTAAGGAGGATAAGGTTGTCATTCTTGTAGTGACAAAACTGAAAATTCCAGAAAAAAAAAAGAAAGAAAGAAAGAAAGAAAAGAGAAGAAAAGAAAAACGAGATTGGTGAGAGTGCTCTAGTTTTTTCTCTTTTCACCTCATCTCGACCCGTCATACTCTCTCTTCCACCTCTGTTTGTTTGCTGAAAACAAAAGTTGGAGCTGAACTAACTAATGATAGCTTGTATATCCTTAACTTGATTTTGTCATCTAACTAGTGTTTCTTTGAGCACTCGAAGTGAGCAGTTCAAACCTCCAAAGTCTCACCATATCATATACAACTCAGCCATCCTGGTACCTTGGATGCAGCGAGATGCCGCGGAATCAAAGTGAGCTTCTTAACTAATGCTAATGGCTCAGCAAGCTTGTGAACTCTCCGTCTTCCTTCAACATGTCAGAATTAAAGGAAGTCAAGCCGTTTTTATACGGATGAAGTCCCACTTACCCGATTCGGCAATTTTGACCACATTTCAAGTCTGTTTCGTTCTTCTTCATCCTGCTGGCTACCTGCTGGCACTCTCGTCTTCTGCGGATTCTACCGTAATAGAAACAAGGCCCATAGATGCAAGATCTGCTCGGCAGGCCTTGAAAGAATCAAACCCTTTGTTGCAAATTGATCAAGTCTCCATCTATAAAGAATTGATTCTCTTCAGCCTATCGCCAAAATGGATTATCTGTCCAGTATATGTCGACATTTCACCGCTTTCATTACCCTGCAGAATATACCCCGTCAAAACCAGAAGAGCACTGTCTGTGAAGCAATACCCAGAAATCGCCTTATTCATACGATGCTATCTCCTCCAAGTTCTTGCCGACCACGATGTAACCGACACCCTTTCAAGGGTAAGGTAAATAAGTATCAAAGTCTCGTGCCATTGACTCCAGAAACGCCTAGTGCTGGACGGAAGCGTAGGACCGTGCAGAAAGGGGAATTCAGCCAAAAGAATGGAAAGACTGCTAACTCAGATGATGGTGGTTCGTCTCTTGTCAAAATTGAACGGCCTTCAAAACGATTGAGGGTATATCTACGACCTCCTAAGTCTCCATTACAGAAGGGTTTTTGCCCGTCTTCCGGCTATGATAGTGAACTAGATGGCAGCACACTCATTGAAGATGGGCAGGGCAGCAAGGCCAAGGAATCTAGTCTAAGCAGGGATGATTTTTCAACTTCTGCTTCTGATACCTCCTCTGGAAATGAGTGTGTTGAGTCTTCAGTGTCTCACGAGGACCATCAACGGGTCTTTGGCGAGGCGACTGAAGTAGAAAAAGATAAGACGGACACACCAGTGTTACAGACACCACGTTCCAAACAGCATCGAAAAAGGAATCCGTCTCGACGTTTATGTAGTGCGGAAGTTTATCGCCCATCCCCCAAGATTATTGACAAGAATCTTTTAAAGCAAATTGTTCGCCGCGATGCCCACGAAAGTGATCTCAGTGAAGAAGAGATATATGGTTCCAAATATTCAATTAAAAGGGAGATCAAGCGTGACTTAGACATTGAGTTTTGCATGGAGAAAGCAAGGAGATGGGCTGCAGCAGTAGAAGGCCCGTCTGGAAATTGGGCTGACGCAGAGAGAGATCTGTATTTCCGGTTGGCCATGCGTGGGTTTGAGCCAGTATTACCACACGGCTGGAAGATGGATTTCATGACCCTACCGGGTTCGCTTTTTAAGCCTGCAAATGATCATACTGCATACATATCTAGCAGGAACGAGTTTCGAGGTATGTACAGCCCGTCAGAATACCACTATAATGACTGATAAGATTTTAGGTATGAAATTCTTTAACAATCTTGTTACATTGGGTGGACGTGTCAGGGACCGCATCACTTGCCATCTTCCCCCAGAGAAAGTGATCAAGCAATACTTGTGTACTTATCTTCAGTGGACTCTACGTGACATTGACATGCAGAAGCGGCCGCGATTTACACCCCCTTATTCCGTATATACCCTCAAACCCAATCAGACCACCAGAGATGCAGTTAATATCATGAACTCAAAACTTGTCGCCGTGGCTAAGGATTATCAAAACGCCTGGCGCCTGACCCCAAGCATAGAAAGCGATGATGGAGCGGATGACCATACTGAGGCTCGTCCACAATACCAAGATCGCACCTTCCCAGTGATCACAGGGTATTTAATTTGTGGGCCAGTGGTGGTGTTGATGACACTTGACTCTGACCCCGAGACCTTTTCTACGCTTGACGCCAAAATAAGCGGGCGGCTGATGTCCCGCTTCAATTTCTCTGAATACGGCCAGGATGTTTGGAACGCATTAGCTATTGCGATTGCGGCGGCACGGATGAGGAAGACAATAGCTCAGTGTGAACAAGAGGGCACAGGAGACGTGATGTGGATGGCTGATTCAATATCTGATCCACTAGATGAAGATTTATAACTTGGCCTCATATGGTAATCTAGGTGGTTCCTTACTGGCGTTATTCTTAATGACTGTGACTTTTTCAATTATTCTCTTTGTTGCTTCCCAGACTGTGATATTAACTAGTTAATTGTCTCGTATAATAAGTCATACAATTAAGGCATATCCGAGAGTCGACAACCAACAATACTCGGCTCACAGAGTTACAATAATGCTTAGGGCTGCTAGAATTCTAAGTTCGCGTTTATAATTCCCACACTATAGAGCTCTTTGTGGGTGATTGGATAACAATATCAGTTGAATATTGATAAAATTTACTTTAAGACCCTGGGATTTAAGTTAGTTACCGCGCGGCTAGTTCCTGCTTCCGATTAAACGATTATTGACTCCGCCAATCCAATTCAAGGATGAGTAATTTCCCATTACATAAGCTCCAAAGTCGGAGGTCACTTGACAAGTCAGCAGTGGACTCGACTATTATGCTAAACACTTAACGAACGAGTTAGCCGCTAAACGACCAAGAGTGCCTAACAAAATCTAAGTGCCCGTTCAAGCTCCATTGTTACAAACATTATCAGAATATCAAAAATGGATACTGCTCATGATCGTGACATTGAGCTCCAGCGAGCTTCTGGCGAGCTGATTGAAGAATTTAGGACAAAACTTCCCCCATTACTGTGGAAACACCCTAACTCCGGAAAACGAGTAGTTCACCGGTGGGCAAGAGCAGTAAAAGTAGAGAAGTTGATCCTCCTAGTTAGTTGCTCCTCGGCATCTTAATTGTATATATTTGCGAACAACTCTAATCTAACATCAATAGTTGGATCCGTTCCAAGAGTGGCCACAACTGTTGGATCCTCACCTTAACTGGATACTCACGCACCTGACGGATGCGTTTTTATCATATCTTCTTGGCCATAATCATAGTTATGGTTCTGTCACTAAGATTAAAGAGCCAGGCATGATGTACCCGCTAGCACGGGCAATATGCAAAATTTTATATACCCTATGCAAGGTGCGAGGCCCGAAGGTAATTTCTCGCCTTTTCAGCAATGAGCCGAAATATCTCGAACCAATGCTTTCAATGTTTATTGCGTGGGATAAAATTGTCAGTGCAGACATAAACAGGTCAACTAGGACTGGACAGGGCCTAGCGCTTAACTGGGAAGAACGATATGTTATGCTTCTATGGCTGTCGCATCTTTTGTTGGCACCGTTTGACTTGACCTCCATTTCGTCAGAAAATATCTCAATTCCTTACCAAAACCTATCACCATTCTCGGGGCTCTCTTCGAAGACCCCAAAACTTGCACTTGCAATCCTATCTATTTCACTAAAATACCTAGTCCTACCCGGAAAAGAGCGAGAGGGAGCCGTCCTCTTACTATCGAGGCTTGCATTAAGGAAGGATATGCAACAGCTTGGTATGTTGGAATCACTTGTCGAATGGGCCCTGGGACATTTGAAGCCCGGTATGGAAACTACACCTCCTTCGACATTTACATGCATTGGACTTCTGTCTTTCATAGCGAAACTTGGAACCCTTGCTCAGGTTGAGGACATTGCACCGTTTGTGAGACCAATATTTAGCCAAGCTCTTGATCTGTCTAGAGGGAGTTGCGATATATCTGCTACTGTGCAATCCTCAGCCTCCACTCGAAAACTATTGGTCAAAATACTTCGTGAAATGAATATCCTCTCATTAACACTAGAAAAGCGGCCGGATCTTTTACAGATCTCTTCACACGAAGTCTCTATAATCTTAGAAGACACAATTGATTATTTTCTCCTTGCTGTCGGTGACAAAGATACGCCAGTTCGATTTGCAGCCAGTAAAGCTTTGAGCATGATTGCTTTGAAGCTCGAGCCGGACCTTGGCGCGGATATATTAGACGCAGTGATCAGTGCATTGGACGACAACGTTCTCTATGAGGAAGAGAGCGGTAAATTGATATCTAAAGAAAAGGCTCGGTCCATGGTGGATAGACTTGTAGTGAGGAGTTTTAAATCTGTTGATGCCCAAAAATGGCACGGCCTTATGCTCACACTTGGATACTTACTATTCCGGCGATCACCTCCACTTGATCGGTTATCTCAGCTGTTTGAATGCCTAGTTTCGGGCTTAACCTTTGAACAAAGATCGTCGACTGGTGCCTCCGTTGGTGTCACCGTTCGGGATGCATCCTGTTTTGGCATTTGGTCACTTTCTAGGAAGTACTCCACGAGAGAGCTGGACTCTGTTGAAATCAGCACCACTGAAAACAACAATAAATGCCTCTTACGGAGCTTGGTAATAGAGCTTGTCTCCTCAGCTTGCCTTGATCCCTCTGGGAATATTCGGAGGGGTTCGTCTGCCGCCCTGCAGGAGTTGATTGGGCGCCACCCTGACTCAATCTCTGAAGGAATATCAATCGTCCAGGCTGTGGACTATCACTCCGTGGCACGGAGGGAATTTGCTATGACAGAAGTGGCTATAGCCGCTACCAAGCTTGATAATGTGTACTGGTCACCACTCATAGGAGGGCTTTTACGGTGGAGAGGGATTGGTGCTCCAGATCCAAAATCAAGAAGAGCGGCAGCTCTTGCTATTGGAGAATTAAGCTTGCAAATGTCATACGCTGGGATAGGTACTGTATTGGATAGGATTCTACATGTCTTGTCTTTGACATCCTCGAACTCCGTTGAAGCTAGACATGGAGGATTTCTGGCGCTTTCAGCCACAGTTGACGCATTTCTTCGCTATAAATCCACTAAAGACGGTACCCCTGAAGATCCTAGTCCTGTGATTGAATTGTCTCGACAAATCCATCGGCTCTGGGGCATATTTAGCTCTCAATCGGGGCCTTCAGTGGAAAGTTTGACTCTCCAAGAATATCGGCCAGACCTAACAGCAGAGGCTTGCTCGCGCTTGATATCCTCGCTTGCTCGCTCATACACCGTCTTTGGAAGCGATGCGTCATGCTTTGGGCTACAAATTGATAATGATTTTCTAGAAACGACGGTCACTATATTGTTGCTATGTGTTCAACGTAGTGACGATGAAACTGTTGCGGCCAGTTTTCAGGCTGCAGTGGATATGTTCGCCATTTTATCTGTAGAAAGGAAGTCTGCCATCATTCAGAAATGGCTTAACGAGGTCCAATCAAACCGGAAAAAAACAACCGGCCGTGGTCAAATAGCGGCACTGGGTGCAGTTTATCGGCATTCGCCAAGTGATGGAAGAGAGAGGAAACTCATACTTGACGAACTCGTACGCTGCACTAGACCGGAAGAACCTATAATTGTGAAACGCATCTCCGCTCTGAGATGTATTCTGACTGGGGTACTCCCGTATCTCGGTAGGTACTTATTCTCATCTTTAAAGACCCATTCCATGCTTACAAAACTGGAAATAGATAACACAGATGAACTTGAGAGTCATATCGGTGTATTGCTTGATGATTACACTACAGACAATCGAGGTGACGTTGGATCCCTAATACGGACTGAAGCAATCAATGGCGTACACATGATCTTAGCGTCTCGCTTAGAAAATCCGACAGGCCATTCAAACGTGCATAATCTGATGAAGCATGTCATAAGGCTAGCAGCTGAGAAGTTAGACAAAGTCAGATTTAAGGCCTGGAAATGCTTCGAAGTTTATTGGAAATCAGACACGAGCCTTCCTTCTCTGGAAACGAGGTTTGATCATTTTAGTGAAGTTTCAACAACTGCCTACTTTTCACAGCTTATCACCCTGGTTCAAATTGAATGGCTCTGTTTGCCACTGATAAAGGGGCTCGTCACCTCCCTCACCGCCGGCGCCGACAGTCTTATCATCTCGTCCCGTACTGCCGTTGTGAAATTTATCAACAGTCAAGATGACAACACTAGATATCGCATGCAGAGGGACATCTTTATGAGCTTGCTTACGGTTTTGGAGGAGAATATAACTGATGATCGTTATGCTATACCCACCGTTGAGAGCCTTGCATTTTTAATTGAAAATTGCTTCAATCCGGAAATACTGGAGCTGGATCCTGAGTATGTATTGCATTAGACTCTTGTGACTGGATTTGATTTCATACTAACGTCTACTTTCATCTAGATCTATAAGGAAGCTCTTCCACCTCGTCCAGAAATTTCACTTTAAGTCTGCTAACATTCCAAGAATTGAAGCTGGACTTAAGGCCTATTACTGCTTGTTTAACTATGAGCTCCTGAGAGAGAATATAGTGTTGAAGATGACAAAAATGCTGCTACACCCTTACCCCAAGGTATGAATTAGTTTTATCTTTCTATATTTTAATAATATACTGACGAATACAAAGATTCGAGCTCTTACAAGCGAATACCTATTTATTCAGACTGGAAACAAGTCACTGAAGACAGAGAACTGGATGCAGCCGCCGAAAGAGCTAAAAGCGACGGTGGATAACATAGTTCAGGCTATCTTATCATGATTCAAGTTGGAAGGTAGTTCCATGATCAACTACTTAACCTATATAATTATCAAGTAATAGTAAACATGTTCAAGATAAACACTCTAGACATCATATAACCATTAGTTATTTGCCTGGGCAAGCTTCGTAGGTGAGAAAATATTCGAGCAAGTGCTTAATTTTCAGTTAATAACTAGTTATTTGACGTATATTTAAACTTCGGCAATCTTTCAGGGAATCAATTCGATTTAACCGAGTCACGAGATAATACTAAGCTACATACATAAACTGATGGAGCTTTGTTACATAACTAACGCATAACTAACGCATAAATATCGAAATTGAACTACATCATCTCTTACTTTGTACGTTCCTTCGTACTGAAGCAATTATTTTACGAAGTATTCCTTGAGAGGTTAAGCTAAATGGTTTATTATTATATTATATCAGATACGGGACATCTATGACATCTCCCTTGATCATTAACTGCTAATCACGATGACGAATAGGTAAGGCCTGTATTTAAATCGTCGTACCCGCCACCAGAAGTGCAGCTGATGGCTTAGTCACTATCCCGGAGACAGGGATATCACGTGATTATATCAAACCTTAGTCGACCTTGCTGGGGCATTTTCTTATCATCACGTGACAGATCTTCGGTCTACAGCATTGCTACATTCCAGTTTAATAGCGATTGGAATCTTCAATATGATTTAGAGGATAACAAGGGAGAACAAAGCTCTACGCTCTGGGACAATGGCCACTGCAGCAGTGTCAGGGTCATCGATACCCCCAAATCCAACGTTTGTTTTCTCCTTTCCCCCGAAAAAATGGGAATTCATATGTGCTAACTTGTTGAAGTGTCTATGTTAGTGTTGCCTCGCACACATACCTTTGGCCCTTTTGGATACCTCTCGCCATCCGCTAACCTACACCGCGATGTTTGTGCGCGTTTTTCTTCCAATAGGTCCGGAATTTAGAAGAAAGGATTAAAGTCGAGCAACTAAAAGAAGCGTTAACCGAAATCTTCTCCGAGTACGGCTCAATCCTCGAGATTGTTGCGAAAACGAACTTAAAGGCGAAAGGTCAAGCATTCATTGTGTTTGATAATGTTGAATCTGCTACCCGCGCCATTGATGAGGTTAACGGCTTTGAGCTCTTCGAAAAACCGATGGTTTTGGAGTATGCTAAAACAAAAAGTGATGCAACAGTGATGAGAGAAGGAGGTGACGAGGAACTAGAGGCTCACAAGCGGATGAGATTAGCTGAGAAGGGTGCGCACTCTGGCCTAAACGGAGAGGTATATACCTATTATACTTTCGAACAGGCACTGACATTAGTTTTACCCATCAACAGAACGCAAGCAAGCACAGGAGGCCCTGGAAGCCCAGAAGAAGCTAAAACGCCCTGCTGGTGCTGCTGGCACGGCTGGTGGACCAGATTCTCGCCCAACAAAGGCGCAAAAGGGAACTGGACTCAAACCTACAGGAACAGCTGCGGCACCAGTCGTTCCCGACGAATATTTGCCCCCAAACAAGATCCTGTTCTTAAGAGAGCTACCCGAGACATACGATGCGGATGGTTTGAGTGCTATATTTGGAAGATTTCCCGGCTTTAAAGAAATTCGTATGGTTCCAGGGAGAAAGGGCATCGCATTCGTTGAATATGAAAATGAATCTGGGGCGATCAGTGCAAAGGAGGCTACGTCTGGCATGGCTCTCGGGGAGAACGAAAAGCCGATCAAAGTCACCTACCAGAGGCAATAATCGGAGCAGGGCAAGGCATCATAGTGGGTGCTGTTTGTTCTTATGGGGATCCCCACGGTCGTTCAGGCGTTGGTTCGTTCAGTAGCCATAAGGATCCAGATGTCGGTCTAAACGTATTCAATCTAGTAACCTATTAAATTATACTTTATTTCATGCATACCACAACTCGACATATTATATATAGCTCCTTGAATTCTCACTGCTATCGGCGAAAAGATATATGAACCTAAAATATAACATCTTCATCGGCATCTGCCAGCATGTCACTTGGTTCCGCTCCATCTTCTTTGCTTCTGGCCCCTTGCTTCTGCTGCTTAGCCTTAATCTCGGCGTCTAAAGCCGCAGTGTCCCTCTGTTTCTTGTTGGAAACCTAGATAGCATAATTCAGTAACTGCTGTATCTTAGCCAAAAGACAATAAATTACCTTTTTGAGTCTGTAGAACTCTTCACGGTCCAGTTCATCAAGTTCTGAGTTGATATCTGCATGTATATTAGTCAAAATAGTCACTTGAACTTGATTCTCAGCCTGCGTACATTTAATTGTGTTTTCCGTTCGAGGTATTATAACGTGCTCGCTAGTGGAGGGAGGGCATTAGTACTTTCAAGACATTTGCTGGCTAAACCACATCCATACATTGCATTAACTGCATCACACTGTCAGTTTTCAGTACAAATAGTAGTATATAAAATGGAAGTAGCATACCTCGTCTATTCACCACCTTGATGACTTCATCCAGAATCACGAAAGCAGTCTGTTAAGGCATCAGGGTTAACGGGATATATACCATCAGCAAGAAGTATAGAAGGGCTAACCTGTAAACTTGCAAGCTCCACGAGAGTTTCAACTGCCCTTGCATAAGTTTCACGGCATCGCTGAACTTGCTGCCCGCCCTTTCCAAGGCCTGTCAAGCCAAAATCATTGTTACCATCTGTAGTCAGGCTCTCAAACTGAGGAAGCAAGACACCAGAAACGTTCTCCTGTTTTGTCCTGATTCGGAAGCGAGCCTGTTTGGCAGACTCCTGAACCTGGAAGCCGATATCACCACCAACTGCGTACGTCACTTCGGCGAGGGAGAAGGCAGCAATCTGCATCACTCGGCCCATCTTCCGTTTAGCATCATCGATTCGCCGTGTGATCTCTAGTAAGAAAGAAAAATCAGAGTTCCGTCTGCCGGCGATAGCTGAAGCTGCGTACCTCGAAACCGCCTTAAGGTGTGCAGAGGTGGTTAGCTTTGGGTGCCTAGGTCACCAGTTCAGGGGAACATACTTCGTCAGCGCTTCACTCTTTCTCTTGAGTAGACTATGGCCTTGTTCAGCTCCCTTAAGTTTCCCTTTCATCAAACCCAGAGACTGCCTGGTGGGAAACACCGCCTCGCGATCCTGGTTTAGCCCTTGAGGTCAGTTCTAGTCACTCTGACACGTTGAATTGGACGGAGCTTACCGCTGAGCCTGACATTGCGGAATTTAGCTATTTTAACACTTAAAAGGAGAATTTCTCATATGAAGAACAGGGCTTAATCAAATCCTTGTCTTCCTTGCGCCTCCCTCTTGATATGGTAAAGAGGAAACAAACGATGTCATCACAATACTGAATACTGAAAGTCCAAACAAGCTCCCTGGGGTCCCACGAGTAACACGTGATCCCCACTCAATGGGCAGCCACTGGTTTAAATAAGAATTGATAACTATTTAATGCGCTGAGAGGTGAGAAGACGGACGACAACAGAAGACCCGGGACAGCCCAACCGTCTGGCAGAGTATATCACTGGCAGCACACTTGTGCATATACTCAGTGGTGGCCTTGTGTAGGTCCCACTAGTGGCGAGCGGGAGGATGCCTGGGACTCTTGTTGGCTCACGGCCTCAGGAGCTGTCGTCTGAGCGGGACAAGATGGACTCTTCTCCCTCTTCTCCCCGTCAAGATCTCTTTTTGATCGTGGGTTACCCTCTTGCAGGCGTGTACTTGCGTTCGATTATGAATGACTTAGAGTGCTAATTACTGTAGGCGAATGACGATGCTGTCTATGAACAGGACATCCTCCGAGACCCGGGAAGCATCAAGCCGTGGCTATCATATATCGAACACAAGAAGAAGAATGGAACACTCTACGAGCAGTCTTTTGTAAGAATGCCAGCTTGTTCATCGAATAAACATGGGTGCTAACTGCCAGTGAAGGTTATGGAGCGAGCTTGTAAACAACTGCCCCGGTCATACAAGCTCTGGAAGATGGTAAGCCTCATGGATGCGAACTCCTCCTCTCTTATGTCACTACTGGGACAAATTCGTTGACCACTCATTTTATATATAGTATCTTGAATTTCGAATCAACCACATTCGTGGTCGAAACCCTTCTATTCATCAAGCCGAATACAACAAAGTCAACGCGCTTTTCGAACGAGCAGTTGTCTTGCTGAATAAAATGCCACGCATTTGGGAGATGTATCTCACCTTTTTACTTGAGCAACCACTAATAACTCAGACCCGGCGGACGTTTGATCGTGCTCTTCGTGCACTTCCTATCACGCAACACAATCGTTTATGGAAAATTTACAAGTCCTTTGCTATCTCGGCATCCGGTGATACAGCAGTCAAGGTTTGGAATCGATACATGCAAATCCATCCTGAAGATGCCGAGGATTACATCTCGATTTTGGTTCAAATGAACCAATACAATGAGGCTATAAAATGGTACATCCGGATTCTAGATGATCCTCGGTTTCAATCAAAGAAAGGGCTAAGTAACTTTCAGCTCTGGACTGAAATGGTTGAGTTGCTTGTCAACAAAGCAAAAGAAATTAAAACTGGGCCTCATGTAGGCATCAATGTTGACCTGATAATTCGAAGCGGTGTTGAGAAATTCCCAGACCAGCGGGGTAGGTTATGGGCCGGTTTGGCTACATACTGGATAACGAAAGGAAATTTCGAAAAGGCCCGTGATGTCTTTGAAGAAGGAATAACCACGGTCATGACCATCAGAGATTTTACTATGATATTCGATTCTTATGTCGAATTTGAAGAGTCAATCATTGGTGCCCTCATGGAGAAAGCCGCTGCTCGATCGGGGAACGGCAAGGTAGATGAGGCCGCTGATTTCGACCTGGATCTACGCATGATGAGATTCGAACAGCTCATGGATCGTCGACCCTTTCTTGTTAATGATGTGCTTCTAAGACAGAATCCCAACAATGTGATTGAATGGGAAAAGCGAGTGGTGCTATGGGGTGACAACAAAACAGAGGTTGTGCGTACCTATACTGATGCCATCGCTACTATCAACCCTAAGAAGGCACATGGCAAATTTTATGAGCTCTGGGTCAACTATGCTAAATTTTACGAGCAAGGCGGGGATCTTGACACAGCCAGAGTAATCATGGATAAGGCTGTCAAGGTGCCATTCAAAACTGTCTCAGAGCTTGCTGAGGTTTGGTGTGAATGGGCCGAAATGGAGCTACGAAATGAGAACTTTGACCGCGCTGTTGACATCATGGCAAAGGCAACCCAGGCACCAAAGCGATCTACCGTTGACTACTTTGACGAAACTCTCTCTCCACAACAGCGCATTCACAAAAGCTGGAAGTTATGGAGTTTCTATGTTGACCTAGTTGAAAGTGTACGGAGTCTCGAAGAAACTACACAAGTATACGAACGAATTTTTGAGTTACGTATCGCTACTCCCCAAACAGTTGTTAACTATGCCAACCTTCTGGAGGAGCACAAATATTTTGAAGATTCCTTCAAGATATACGAACGGGGCCTTGACCTTTTCAATTATCCAGTTGCATTCGAACTTTGGAACTTGTATCTGACGAAAGCTGTGGACCGCAAAATCGGCATTGAGCGATTGCGAGACTTGTTTGAGCAAGCTGTGGATGGATGCCCGCCTAAATTTGCGAAAGTTCTGTACCTCATGTATGGGAACCTTGAGGAGGAACGAGGATTGGCACGCCATGCAATGAGAATATACGAGCGTGCTACTCGCGCTGTCTCTGATGAGGATCGATCTGAGATGTTCAACTTCTACATCACCAAATCTGCTTCAAACTTTGGACTTACGTCTACTCGGCCCATCTATGAGAGAGCCATTGCGGCCTTGCCTGACAAGGAAGCCAAGGATATGTGCCTTAAATTTGCTGAGATGGAGCGCAGGCTGGGCGAGATTGATCGCGCAAGAGCCATCTATGGACATGCTTCTCAATTCTGCGATCCTTGGACTAATGCTGAGTTCTGGCAAAAATGGGAAGCGTTTGAGGTTCAACATGGTAACGAGGATACTTTTAAGGAGATGCTTCGTATTAAACGAAGTGTACAGGCACAGTACAAGTAAGTCCACACTCTTTAATTGGATTCTATATACTTTGCGAGGCACAGCTAATCACAGAATTACAGTACCGATGTCAACTTCATTGCTTCTCAGGCAATTGCTCGCAGTAAGCAGATCACAAAAGACACTGTAAGCGAAGCTGCCAGCCAGGGAGAAGGAGCAGCCGATGCCATGGCAGCGTTAGAACGTCAGGCCCAGGCACCAATAGGCTTTGTTGCAGCCAGTACAGGCCCAGAAGGCGGTAACCAGACGGCAGAACCTCCTGCCCCTGCTGCGAATCCCGATGCAATTGACATTGACGACGAGATATAATCGGTCAACATTCCCTTTCCCTGGTAAATCAACCTCGCAATGGCCTTATTTCTAGAAATATCTGGACACTTTCACCAATTCCCACTTACGCCTTGCGAATCCGGCCTATGTTTATATTAGCACGCTCCTCACCTCTCTCACTTTCTTTACAGTCGGTGCTCTACTATTGCTCTTTCTTTTCGCTTGTTTTCCACAAGCTTTTTGGCTCAGCTTGGTACGCCGCCTGACGATTGTCCTCCCTTTCATTTTCGCTTCTGGCCTTCCCTATCATACCTATGCATTACTACATTTACTCCCCAGTTTAATTGTATTACTACAATTTCGAGTATCTTCTTTTGAGAGCCTGGGAAAATGGTGTTTAGTCGGGTTTTCTGGTGTTTGGTGCGGTGGTCTTCGGTTTTCTCGACGTTTAATAATCCAAACCTCAACGCAGTTAGCTACACCTCCTAAAGTAGCCCACTTTCTAGGCTCCATAGCGGGGAAAGAAACCAATTCTCGTCATTCGTCTTATGATATGTAACTGCTGGTATTTCTGATAGTCTATGTCTGGCGCTTAATTATGGTGCGGCAGCCTGTCCAATGAGGTGGGCTGCACACTAAGCCGAATGGAGAAACCAATCCAGAGCTTCCAAGGCGATTGTTACCTGTTAACTTCTGGGGAGTGGTGGAAAACACAACCAACAACAGCACATTCCTTCTAGTCTTCATGCTTGTTCATGAAAAACCCGGTGGATACAGCGGATGCTAGACGACTCAACGCGTGGAACATGTTATATTAGCCGCCATTTCTAAAAGTTGATATATGTGAGATTCTAGTTACCGCCTTCTCCTCCATCCAAATACTTACGTACTGTCTGCATATAGATTGTTTGGTCCCACCTGCAAATCACCGGAGAAAACGCCATAGGGTAAATATGAGCCTTGAATTACAGAGGGACGACAATGACGGCCAGCATACGCTACGTAACCTGCCGCTCGAGCAACCTACTTCGTCTCCGCTCCGCGGCGCACGAATTAACGGCGACCGCAACATGGCGCCGTTGAGGGCGGCTGCACCAATCGCCATTAACCCTACTGCATTAGTTACGACAGAATGCATTGCCGTTACGTCCGCTATGCGGAAGCATGCTCGATGGGCTCACTCCTCCGTGGCAGCAATCTTGGGCGGAGGTGTGAGCTCACGGAGCATGGACCGGGACACTTCAATTCCTTTAGGCACTGGGAACATGTCGCTCGGTCCAAAGCCTGCCCAGAATCATACTGCTTCAAAATCTGGTACACCAGACGCAGAAGGGGATTATTCGCTTGCCGGTAGATGGGGATTGAGGGGAAGGAGAGGCAAAAGCATCCAGGACAATCCTTTGATGTCGGCGTTTACTCGACTCCGGATCGACTTGAAGGACTGTAAAGATATACGTTTGTTCGATACACCGTGTCTATTGCATCCATTTTTGCAAGTTATCCGCTCTTCTTCGACTTCGGCGCCTATAACATCGCTAGCACTTTCGGCTATAACAAAATTCTTCGCCTACAATATCATCAGCCATGACTCTCCACGCCTGGCAGTGGCATTACAACTCCTGTCTGCCGCCATTACACACTGCCGTTTCGAGGCTAGTGATTCTGCTGCTGATGAGATTGTTCTTCTTCGGATACTGAAACTTATGGAAGGCATGTTGTCTCGACCGGAGGGTGAATTACTAGGTGACGAGAGTGTGTGCGAGATGATGGAAACTGGGCTGAGTATGTGTTGCCAAGTTCGCTTGTCAGAAGTCCTTCGAAGGTCTGCTGAGATGTCAATGGTGAATATGTGCCAAATAATTTTCCAGAGACTCGCACGCCTTGATGTCGATAGTGAGCAGCCAGAGGGAGAACGCGGGAATGGGAACACAGAGGAAACTCCGAGCAATCTCAAAATGGATCCCTCCGTGGATGGGGAGACTGTGGCATCCCAGCATGCATCAAGTTTAGGAACCGATACCACCAATCCCGAAAAAGAGGAACTTGTGAGCGGTGATAGCTCGACAACTATACCCACCATGGAAGGAGTAAACGCTGCTGTGCAAGCAGACTCATACGAAGATGTAGAAAAGGAGATAGCACCCTACGGGCTGCCCTCGATCCGTGAGCTGTTCCGCGTTCTTATTGATTTGTTGGACCCACATAACCCTCAGCACACCGATGCAATGAGAGTAATGTCTCTCAGGATTATAGATGTAGCCTTGGAAGTTTCAGGTCCGTCAATAGCAAGGCATCCAAGTCTCGCTCAGCTTGCAAAGGATGATCTATGTCGGCACTTGTTCCAATTGATTAGGTCAGACAATATTGTCATTTTGAATAGCTCATTAAGAGTAGCTGGGACATTACTTGCAACATGCCGCCGCGTTTTGAAGCTACAGCAGGAGTTATTCCTTTCTTACCTCGTTGCCTGCCTACATCCGAGGGTTGAGATACCCAAAGAAGAAGGTATAGATCCATCTCTTTACGCTGGGGTTCCACGAGCCCCAAAATTAGTGAAACCCTCGCCCTCACAGGCTGGAAGTGGCAGGTCTACACCTGTTCCCGTTAAGGATCGTCAGAAGCTAGGCATGGAAGGAGGTTCTAGAAAGCCAGAAGCTAGAGAAGCGATGGTCGAGAGCATCGGAGCTCTTGTTAGGATTCCTAATTTCATGGCTGAGCTTTTCATGAACTACGACTGTGATGTTGATCAGGCGGACCTTTGCGAAGATATGGTTGGTTTATTATCCAGGAATGCATTCCCAGACTCTGCCACTTGGAGCACCACTAATGTTCCGCCTCTCTGTCTTGATGCGCTTTTGGGATATGTCCAGTTCCTGGCAGACAGGCTTGATCAAGAACCACCGAGCGCGGATGATCCAGACCTCAAGCGGCTACGAAGCCAACGTGAGAAGAAAAAAATCATTATTCAGGGAGCTGCAAAGTTTAATGAAAAACCCAAAGCAGGCATTGCATTCCTTGCTTCTAAGGGCATAATACAAAACCCTGATGACCCCTTGGCTGTCGCTAAATTCTTGAAGGGAACCACAAGAGTGTCTAAAAAAGAACTAGGCGACTTCCTTTCCCATAGATCTAATGAAGCATTGCTGGATGCATTCATCGGGCTGCAGGATTTCAAGGGAAAGAATGTCGTTGAAGCCTTGAGAGAGCTACTAGGGTCTCTGCGTTTACCCGGTGAAGCTCCACTGATAGCGAGGATCGTTACCGTTTTCTCTGAGAAATACCTCGACGCTGTTCATCCCGAAGAGATAGCGGATAAAGACTCACTCTTTGTCTTGACGTATGCCATTATTCTCCTCAATACCGATATGTATAACCCGAACATCAAGCCCCAAAATAAGATGTCATATGAGGGATTCGCGAGAAACCTTCGTGGCGTCAACAACGGAAAGGATTTTTCAACCGAGTACCTTCAGGATATCTACTCGTCTATCCGGAATAGTGAAATTATCCTGCCAGATGAGCATGAGAACAAACAGGCTTTCGACTTTGCTTGGAAAGAGCTTCTCGTGAAAGCAAAAACAGCAGGGAATCTATCACTTTGTGAGACTAACGCTTTCGATGCAGATATGTTTGAAGCAACTTGGCAACCGGTCATCGCGACTCTTTCTTATGTTTTCATGTCCGCATCAGATGACGCCGTTTTCTCAAGGGTGGTCATCGGCTTCGATCAATGCGCCCAGATTGCAGCGAAATATAAACTGAAAGACGTCATGGATCGCATAATCTACTGCCTCAGCTCCATCAGTACATTAGCTTCAGCAACGCCTTCAAACACTAGTCTCAATACTGAGATACAGGCTGGTAAAAAGAGCGTCATGGTGAGCGAGCTTGCCGTCCGACTAGGCAGGGACTTTAGAGCACAGCTTGCAACTGCGGTCCTCTTCCGTGTTATTGTCGGCAATGAAGCTATAATACAACAGAATGGATGGGAACATATCATTCAAATTCTCCACAACCTATTCATTAACTCCCTTATCCCCCAGTTTGATTCTTTTTTCAAAGTACTTGATATGCCGCCTATACCCCTTCAGTCACCATCCCAAGTTATCGATCGAGATAGCCGAGAAAATGACACTAGCTTGCTCTCTGCATTCACGTCTTATCTCTCAAGTTACGCTGCGGACGATCCGCCGGAGCCATCCGATGAAGAACTTGAGAACACGCTCTGCACTGTTGATTGCATTAATGCGTGTGATATAGCCCAACTTTTCAACAATCTGAAGTTAGCTGCCCCTTACCACAGTATATATACGCAGGACTCTCTAACTTTTTTAGGACTATGCCTCTTGACTCCGTGGTAATATTTGTCGAATCCTTGCTGTCTGAGCTTCCAGACACCGGCGCCGCAGTCATTGTTGTAAAACCTGAACGCCCCGCAACAAACCCTCATAGGTCTGAGGGTAGCAAAGTTGACAAGAATAAACCCGCTTACAAACCGGGGGTTTTATACATTCTCGAGCTTGCAACTGTTCTTACCCTCCGAGATACAGGCACAACAGAACGACTTGGGGATAAATTGACCAGTGTTCTCCAGGATATAGTACGGGATGCCAAAAACATACACCCACTTATTCTGTCTCGAGCAGTATATTATCTTTTAACCCTCCTTCGCCACAGCTACGTATGTTTTAACTTCTTCTTTGCGTAATATATCGCGGATGCTAATTCAGCTTCTAGGAGCACTCATTCATGCGGCCTCCAGTAGTGCTGCATATAATTTCCAGCTTTGACCAACCCATTCTTGAAGTAGTAGCGGCGCCAGTTGTTACTGGCTTGCTACTGTGTATTAATGAATCTGAGGCACTGAAAAGTGAACTTAGCATGTCACCAGATTTCTGGTCTATACTTCAGAGGTTACACCAAAATCAAGAAGCGGCGCAAATGGCCTTCGAATTGCTCCAGAGCATTGTCGAGTCAACCGTCCCAGTGATCACTGCGGATAACTATGAGGCTGCTGTAAATCTCCTCAATGATTTCGCAACAGCTGGAGGGATTGCTACGGTTAGGGAGATAAAGCGGGAAATGGCTTTACGTCGACCCAAGCCCGTGAGACAAGTGAGAGTTCGGTAAGAATGCGATGATATATTAGTAGACTACCCGAGCTAATCCTGTGGTAGGGATAACCCATATGTAATCCGCGGAACTAAAGCTATCGGGGTGATATACCGAATTACCGGCCGGATACCTGCACTCATTCAACACTCTCACCTGGAGAAAAACGAAGGTACACTTCTTCATGCTTGGTATACAGGTGTCCCACATAGACTCTGCAAAGCTAACACTTTACCACAATAGCATGGGCGGCATATTGGTCTCCGATATTCAATTCACTCACAACTCAAGGCCTCAATCCGTGCCGTGATATTCGCAATCAAACCATGTCTGCACTTCAAAGATCCTTGTTGTCGTCAGAGCTTGCGTCGACAGACCATACCAAATGGGTTACGATATTCAAGAAAGTGCTGTTCCCACTGATCTTAGAGCTACTCAAACCTGAGGTTTATCAGTCAGACCCCTTAGGTATGAGCGAGACGCGAGTTCAGGCCGCCACACTTCTCTGCAAAATATTCCTCCATTACCTCGTTCTACTCTCTGAATGGGGCGAAGGTATGCTGGATCTGTGGCTGAGAATTCTGGATATCTTGGATCGGATGATGAATAGCGGGCAAGGAGACAGCCTTGTAAGACATGCTCTCTCCCTCTCTTTTTGATTTTGAAGTACACATGGGCTCTTTCTGCGTTGTTTTCCTCATTTCTCACTTTTGCAATGGAAAGGCTGCCGGGTAATAACGCGTAGCCCTACATTCCCTTTGACTGTCGCTTATCAACTTTATACAACGTTGGCTAACGTATTTGACATAACTTACAGGAAGAGGCAGTGCCTGAGAGTTTGAAAAACATTCTCCTAGTAATGGCAAACGGGGGTTATCTAGCCGCACCCCCGAATAATGACCCTGGAAAGGAAAGGATATGGACTGAAACGCAAAAGCGGCTTGACCGCTTCCTCCCCAATCTTTTTGGAGAGATATTTCCCACTACTCCTACAGACGCACCCTCTTCCAGACATGGGGGCAGTCGCACAATGCGGCCCGAGGCAAAACAGCAAAGTAATCCGGATTCCGTTGATAGCAAGGATCAAAGTGTTGATATGCCAAAGGGTACGGGCGGCACTGCAGACACAGAGAAAGCGAAAGTGGGACAGGCTGAGCCGACAGCAGCTGAACCTGACGATGAGGTGGAGTGAAAAAAACGCTCATCAAGGGCTTCAGTTAATATGTGCATCTTTTCTGTATATTGGTTAGTTAAATGATTAGCATGAAAGCATATCTTTCATTTTATTTTATTTTTTTTTGTCTTTATCTTTCCAGGCCCTGTGCGAGGATTGCGTATTCCTTCAGCCCTAACCGGGGTCGTAACCATCACCATGGATAATGAAGCTTATAGCCCAGATCCCAATGAGCCAGCAAGGTCGTGTCAAGCCATGACAACGATCACATGCCCTGCCGGCGAACCTGATTTATAGTTAGACTTCACCTGAAAGCAACCGTTTCAGCGCTGACCAGCAACCAACCTTACCAACTGGGTGATTGACCGTGGCTGTGCCGGAAGGGCCACGCGACCTCAGTGGTTGTCGAAACGACGCAGGGTCAAGGGCGCACTTTCGCTGACGTTATGAAATGCTCGGTAGCTCTATAGAGATGGCCCTAAAAAAGCTTGCTTTCTTGTGGCCGACTGGTATGGCTGAAGTACGGATACTCTTGTACAACAAGTATAACAACTTCTCTCTGTGTCTGATCCGTCGTTTTCAAGGCGAAGAAGGTCAGGAGCAGACGAAGTCATGCCAAGAGTTGAGGTCTCGGCGATGGACCCAAGGTCCAGGCCCCGTGACATCACGTCACGTGAATATATATATTATTAGATAAGAACTCTATATAAGGTTTACCCCATAATATGCATAGACCTCACCCCACATCCGCCAGAAAGGGCAAGTCCCATCTTCCTTGCTCCTTCCTTGTTCATCATTTTCTCCTTTTTTGACGTCGGCCAAAGCGAAGCTCGAAGCAACTGGGGTTGGGTTGCCGCTCGAGTCGTAGAACAGTCTATTGTACCTATAGGTAGGTGGTATGACCGAGCTGTGGCCTAGAACGCGATGTTGGAAGGTTGCCATGGGGGGCAGTTGTCTCGTCGCGAGGACCGTTGACTCATTAGCAAGACCTCCCCTCCTCCGCCCTTTGACAGAACGATACCGTTTCTCGTCTTGAGAGATGACGACCTCGAACGGTCTTAGTGGCCGGAGACGACAGTATGCACTCGCATTATCTCACGAAAGGACGATAACGTATCGACGTATGTATTATCATCATTTATGATGACGATGATGCAGGGGCCAGGATCAGCGAGTTACGATACGCCATTCTTCGTTTCCTCCTTGTGCTCCGTCTGGAGAGAAGGCCCTGCAAATTGTCGATCGAATGCTTGCATAAGTGTCAACTTTTCGCAGACATATTCTCAACAAGGGTGCAGTTCGCCCTTGTCTTTCGCGTGGCTTACTAGCTAGAAAATGCAGTTAAGTTACTAACTAGTTAGTTAGTTATACGAATCTCCAGCGAACAGCGGTCCCACATCCCCCGACAATCATACGCTTGAATGTGTGAAAAGGAACAAAGACGCGGCCGTGGCTGACTACTGGTGAATTCTTGTCAATATGGTCCTCTTTTCTAGGGGCAGTACCTAGTGTCAAGCCACGCGAGCACACGATGTGCCTCCTCATGGATCATCAGGTAGGCTAAGACAAGCGAAATAAGAAACTCTGCAGCATTGTTAACGCCTACCAAAATCCTCCTGGCCAAACGGTTGCGGTACAGGGGAGTGAGTGTTGAATGAGATGGTGGGACATGGATACTTCTATCACTGCCCCAATTCGCCACTTTGGGGATAAGTTTCACAGCATTCGAACCACTAGCCACATACTTAACCGTTCTCTAAAAGCGTATGCAACAGGGAATGTCGTCGTTGGACAAGGTTCTCGTCAAGATTCGCCAGGCCTTGGACACTCTATGGCCATTGGCAGGTCGCTCCTTGCTTATGACACCCCTTACTCCGCATTATATTATCAGGATCCACATCCATACAAGATGCAATCCATAACTCAGCTCTAACTTAACTGACTTAACTAGGAATAGAGCGCATGAGAAGGTTCGAGCATTGGAGGAATTGAACTCTAGACCATGGCTGCTCCACGATTCCTGGACATTGTCCTTAGCCTACCCCTCAGTGAAGCAAAGTCTCGGCGGATGTATGTATACAGGGCCGTACATGATAAGGGCAATTTTCACGGCCCGCAGTCATGATACGCGGACACAAGAACTGAAGAATATTGGCTGTGCAGGTGTTCTAGATGACTGTTATTTGCCTGTATTGTAGGACAGAGGCTAAACGGCGATAATGTATCTGAGTATTATTACTCACCCCTTGAATCGGGTCGTAGTAAGTAACTTTCCGTCGAGGCACCCCTCGCCCCAGGAGAAAGTACTTGCTTGCTGTCCGAATACATGTGAGATCGACCGCCTTTCATGTTCGGGAAGGTTTTCTTTGGAATAGCTATATAAGGGCCTCTCGACTCGCCATCAAAGTTGGAATTTTCGCCTTCTTTTTGTTCCCAACCGACAACGCTTGGTCCACCCTATGATCTCACCTATTTTCACACCTCAGTTTACCAGATATAAGTAAGATCTTCCTATCTATTGCACCAGCATCTAGCGGGTAATTTAATCTTCACTCTTCACTTGGGAGAACGTCATCCTCTGTCGTGTATAACGTCTTCGCTTACGTTCTCAACCTGCCAAACATTCCTCATGGCATCTTCTGACCAACAAATGAACGTTGATCGTAAGTTGATACCTGCAATTCCACTCAGCAAGAATACCGGAGGCTTATGTTATGGATTGAAATAGCCAACCAAACAAACCAGTATCAAGCCACCGGAGGGCCGATGGAAGATCTCAACAATGAACCCTTTGCCGACGAGCGAGGCTTCAACGGCTTTGGTAAGACAGCTTCCGCGCCTGAGCGTAAGGGAAGCGAGGGTTCAGCTCTTGGGTCCTCCCTCGGATCATCGCCACCAAGAGACAGACGGATGAGCAAGGAATGGGGTAAGTCGAAATATTGCTAGCCCCATGCATCTCAAGTGGCGTCACTGACAGGACTTTTTCTTTTTCTTTTTTTTTTTTTAAAAAAAAAGATGCCGCACAAGTTCCGCCATCCAGATTTCAAAAAAAGGAAGGGAGCATCTTTTCCACCGCAGGATCCAGGGACAGCCATATCACAAGAAGAGATCGGGATCACCTATATCATGCCAAATTGAAGGAGAAGGTTGGTTTTGTATGTGTGAGTTTAGGTTGGACCCAATGCTAACCTCGAGATCTAGGGCTGGGGCTCCTGAGAGGGTACTAACCCGTACCCTATGGCTAGGTAGTTTCCTCCATGATGTGCATTATAGTTTAGCAAGCACCTGAAGTTGCCTGTTCCATTCACACTGTCGCCCCGGCAAAGCCGGGCTTATTGTGGTTTATGACGCTCCCTGTTTTTGACGTCCTTGACGCTGGGTTTGCACCTGTCGGTACATCTGGTTAGATGTTCAATGGAAACCGGGCGAATTTCTTTCTGGGCATATCGCTTGGTTTTTGTGTCTTCTTCATCCTGTCTTTATTGATCATCTTTCTGGCCCAATTCAGATCGACTCAACTTGGAATTCCACCCACTCGTCTCAGTGGTCTGGTCTGGGTTCTTTTACTTGCGTCCAGCATACATCCTTATAGGACGAATACTCCGTCCACGTCTGGTAAAAGTGTCAAGTAACTGCTTGTAGCTGTCGCCGCAAACAAAAGAAATTGGTAGAATTGTCATTGTTGTTAGCAAGTGGAGCTCGGCTGAAACGCGCTTAACACAGCCGCGGCCAATCAGCGGCCGCCAGCCTGGCGCTGCTTGATACAACCCAGATCGATCTCAGTTTTGTGGTTCGTACCTTTTCCGATGGGCTGATTAATTAGTTATCTCACGCTGCACACATTTTCGCCCAAAACAACCGTGACGGCCGTCTTCTCCTGGCGAAGCGCAGACCCGTGGATGGTTTTTCTATTCCCCATTTTGTGTGCGACAAAGCTCTGTCGTGCATCAGCTAGTTAGCATGACGCGCTTCTGAAGGGAAATCCCCCTCCCTTCCCCCCTTAGCCAGCAGAGCTACAACGTGAGAAAGGAACAACACCGCGCTCGGGGAGGCCGCCTCGCCTGGCTAGACATCGATTGACGAACAGAAGACACGACAGACCGCATATATGCTTCAGGAGAACCGGGGAGGCCTGGTAGATCACTGGCTGAATAAAAGGAGTGGGAGAAAGCGGCGCCCCCTCGTCCCCCTTTAACGGCAAGATTCGAAGAGTGCTTGCTTTCGTACCGTTTGCGATAACGCGCCGAACAAACAAACGACCTACCTGTTTCGTCGATTCTACGTCATCTCTTTGAAGCGGTCGCCATGGCTTCCGCGGCGTGCTCCTGCGCGAGCCTTCCACTGGAACAGCTCGCTCTTTACCACGCAGTCGACCCGGTCCTGTCTTCGATATTTGTCTTCCATGGGCCTGCAACCACGGCCAACTCAACCCTCAATAGCTCGCGCATCCAAGTCCATATTTTTACTGCAGATGGCCTACAAAGCTATCCGCGCGTCACTGTATCGCCGGCTGCTCCCCTGTATGCAGCTGTAAACCACCTACCACGCGAAAGGCAGGGCGACGAAGTCTACCGAGGGCTGGCAGTCTGTTTATTTAAGTACTTCTCGGAGATTCCAGATTCCGTGAAAAGTGAGCTGGTTGCGCTCGCACATCCAAGGAGACCAAGCTCCAAACCACTGCAGTTCTTTGATGAGCTGCATGCAGCGGATCTCGCAGATAAGATGGAAAAAGTGGAGAATCCGGCTGCAGTGGTTCGCGACCTGAAAGATGCGTTCGCGGATAGGGTTGTTCCATGGGTTGACATTGATCTAGTTGTCCCTGCGGGCACCATAACAGTCCCAACGTCACCGGGCGAATCGTCACGCCAGTCACTGCTAGGATATAGTGAATCAAGCGCTGAGTCGCCCATCTATGAGAAGTTTGCTGACCGGTTCGGTAAACTTGCACCACTAGTAGATTCTCTGGGTGAACCCATTTTTCTACCTACATCAAAGTTGCGCCGAGCTCCGTCGAAACCTTCAAATCTCAGCAAGTCTAAATTGTTTTCCACTACTCAAAAGGAAGCCCTTCGGCTTTCCATGTGCGAGTTTGTCGATACGGAAGAAAGATATGTTCATAAAATGTATGACCTCGTTCATAATGTTGCGCATGAATTTTGCCAAAAGGCAAGGGCGAAAGCACCGACGAGTACAAGCCCAGATGAATCAGTGTTAGCCAAGCTGTTTCCACCTTGCCTTAACGAGATTCTTGAAGTGAATATGGGATTTCTGGATGCTATACGTCTTGTCCTGGAGGAAACAGAGAAAGATGCCCTAGAAGACCTATCCCATGATACCATGCTTGACCCATCCGCCTTCCCTCGTGACCCTAATACTGGCCGACGAAATGATCTTTTGGGCGCAATTGCTTTCGCCCAATGCTTGCTTGACTGGCTTCCGCGTTTCTCCAAGCCGTATGGACAGTATATGCATGCCCATACGGGATTCTACTCCCTCCTCAATTCTTTTCTGGGCGATCAGAATTCCTCTTTTTCTAAACGGGTCTATGAGACTGGAGAGCAACGGATGCGTTCGTTACTCATGGAACCAATCCAGCGCCTTCCACGATACAGCCTCTTAATTGATACTATGACTGCATCCCTTCCATCAATGCACCCAGCTGTGAAGTCGTTGCTAAAGGCGCGCGATACGGTCACAGAAATATGTTCACTAGACTCATATTCAGCTTCTGATCACTCCCAGACACTGATACACTTGCGAAAGATAGTCCATGAGTGGCCAGAATTTGTCGCTCCAGCTGGCCGTTTAATCACCGCTGTTGATGTGTTTACCCTCCTACCCCCTTTCAGATCAAGCTCGTCAGGCACAAGAGGTCAACCAGGCATATTGTTGCTCTTTGCTGATTGTTTAGTATTCCTGACTAAACACCCAGAAAGCAAGTGGACGGCCCGTGGACTCTGCGCTGAAATTGACAAGGCTAGAGCGGATATTGATACAGATAGCACGGAGATTTCACCTCCATTAGACCTTATGTTCGGTCAACATATGCTCACTACCAGCATTCGTTGTTCACAGTCTAGATGTGGACGTGTCTTGTATCTTGTTCCGGCCCGGAATTTCATTCAAAACGAGCATTTGCGTTCCCAAAATATTATTCTCACCCTTGAACTTACATCAACGTACGAGGGGAAGGCTACCAAACTTATTGAAGAGATCACCAAGGCTAAGATTGAAGGAAGGTTCCCAGAGCATTATAGAGAACAAGGGAAATGGTCGCTCCATACTTCAAAGGGGGCGTTTGGCAATTTAGGAACAATGATTTGTGTGTTTGAACATGACGAAACGGAGCCGGATATTCCTAAGTTTCCATCTAGTGTTAAATTGATTGTGGATGCTACAAAAGACACCGTGGCAGATCAACTAAAGTCTGGTCAGGTAGAAGTCGTTGCATCGATTTTTCCTATGCTGGGAGGCTCCAGGTTCAGAATGGATTTAGATTCTGTCGTCGGTACTCCATCCAGTGACACATTTTCTGCGGAAGATTTTACTGCTACCCTGTCTAAACGAAGTAAGTAAACGTTACTCCTGGTTTGAGATACAACGACTAAACCATTTTCCTAGTTACGACTCTTCTTTGCCCTCTTTCTCAATCCCCAAACCCCCTGCTTACTGAGATAATTCTACAGAGCAACTTCAACATACTGCGAGTTGTTGCTCAACATATCTTAGGTGCCTCCAAGGGATCTAAGACATTCCGGCCACCATCCCCAACAAAGCTGTTATCTACCCTTTGGAGCGCCAGCCAACCTAAAAATCTCGGTCATGCTCCTTCAAAATCGCTTCCATCACTCCCAGCTTTGTCCAACAATGTGCCAACTTTGCAGCCCCAATCATCGAATACCAGCTTAGACGATGTTTCTCCGCAAAAACTTCCACATGGGGGTATAAGCATTCCCGATGGAACCGCAAGTCCACTTGAGCAATTGGAAGAGACATTTACCGCTTATATACTTGCGATCCGTTCAAGAAGTGGGAATATTGTTGGTCGCGTACTAAGATCCCGGGACCGTGTCGATACGACGGCGGTAAATGAGCTTTACAATATTCTTCTAGAGGACCCAACCCAACTTCAAGCTGCTGCAGAGTCCCCTGTTGATATACTGATAGTTGCTTTTGAGACCTTCCTCGACAAGGCTTGGAAGGAGAAATTTGGCCCGATAATACCCCAAACTTCCCTCTTGATTCTTCTAGCTAAATTTGATGCCTTGTTTCCCGGGGACTTTGAAGACTATTTCCATGGCTTTCTGTCTGAGATGAGTCCACAAACTCGCCGTGCGCTTACAGCATTGATACAGCTGCTTGCGCAGTTGCTAAATGACTCTGGGAACGATGGTGACAGAGGCGCATTAACGGATGTGTTATCCGAAATACTCACTGAGGACGGCGACGCAAGGAAAACAATACCTCTCCTTGACAGGCTTGTTGAAGACTTTGAAAGATTATTTGATGAATCTGGACCTACAGCATCTGAGGGACACCTTGCTCACGAAATAAATCGAGGCCTACTAGCTCCTGGATCAATTGGTTCGAATGCATCGTCATTCAGAAAGCGATTTGGATTTGGATTGAGTCGGGAAAACAGTATTAAAGACGGGGAGGGCAAAGTCAGCTCTATTATTCGATCTTTGAGCAAATCGAAAGCAGCTTCGGAGAACGATGTTCTCTCCAAGAATTCACTAATGCGATCTAAATCCACTGATATAGACAGTCGTCTGCATAGTCTTCTAAGACCCCGATCCCGAGATCGGCCTCTTATGCAGACAATATTTGCTCAAGATGAAGAAATTAACCGCCCAACCAGCTCTAATAGCAGCACACAGCCTTCCCTCGCTTCCATTGTCGAAAACCCTGTTGTAGGGCGAACCTCTACTCCGAGAAAAAAGAGAAGAAGCTCACTCTCTGATCTGAAAGATCTCCCAACGGCTGACATAGCGCCTCTATTTGCAAACAGGGAGTTTACAAAACCTTCAAATATTCTCACTTCCGCTCAAACTCCAGAACCAGCAACACCACCGACAAAATCCCTTGGGCTACCCATCCATAGTGCGCAACATACGCCTATTGAAAATACTCCTCCGACTAGAATAGCATCGCCGGTGCGTCAAATAGCTGCTAATATAAAAGAGGATGTGCCTCCTCCGTCTCCTCGAACGACACTAGCAGATCGATCAACCAATACGAGGCAGCATGCTTCAACGATATCTATGCCACTTCGGAGGAGAGCAGATAGTACGCGGGCGGGAACACCGTCTAAAATTGCTGGACCGCGTGACAAACCCACTCGACCAAGTAGCAGCGATGGCTATGGTCGTAGGCTACAAGCACAGTCAAATTCACCCCCTAAACCGCAAAAGTTACGGATGCAAACACCGCAAAAGGTATGCTTTATTCATCATTTATATATAGTCCAGGATATCTCTAACATTTCCAAAGTTACGCGAGCGTGTGTTAAATGAACGAAAGGCCATAGCTTCCGCAGAGTCATCCTTGCAGGCTGAACTTGCATCCGTCACTGAAGAATTAATGTCCACTTCTCCATCTAGAAGACGGCCATTGTCATCTGCTGGCCCCCAGGCAAGGCCTATTACATCATCCCCTGCCCCTACTTCATCCAATGCCCTTCTGCAAAGGGTTCGCATGCTTGAGAGCAAACTCTCTGCATTAACTTCAAACCTTGGTGCTAGGGCAGCTGGCCTTGAAAACGATTTGGAGAACTCCCTCCTGGTCTCCGAAAAGCGAGCGCGAAAACTTGACGAACTTTACCGTGAAGCTGGAAAAGAGAACGAAGCATTGTATGAGCGATTTAATAACGAACTAAGTAAAATGACCAGGGAAATTCGACTTGGTGCTGGCGAGGAGGCACTTCGAAATCAATTGAAGGATGCACTTGATGAAGTGGCGCGTGTGAAAAAGGAGAATATGCGACTGAAAAGGGAAATCGGCGGGCTGAAAGCGCAACAAATAGGTGATCCCTCGAGCTAAAATGCGTCGAGCAGCCTGGACCATGACCCGTGACGTTGACGAAGCCTGCTTCGCGGGCCCCCTTCAACAGATATGCATGAAGATTGCCTAGATTACTGTACATCACTAGTTGATATGTCAGAATTGGCGTTCAATGGTAGAACTGGTAATAAAATATGGGTTTGGATTAAATTTCACTGTGAGGGGGCTTATTCAGTTCTTGTTTACGTTTATTCATAATGAATGGTAAATCATATGACCTAGTATGATTGGAACCAACGTCGTCGTCGGGGCATTCTTCCCAAGTGAATTATTAAAAGTAGTCTATATCTTCTCGAGAAATCATGGCAGTATAACATACAAAATCTACTTGTTTCAGGAATCAGGCCACACTATGAAGCACCCAATTCCTCACACGGCGTGTCAAATGCTTTCCAGGATACAGCTTGAACGGTATTCGGGTCTATCCATTTGTATCTCACTTCCCATTCCACGCTCCAAGGTACATCAAAAGTACAATCACCTCTTGCCCCCTCAGTGTCTCTAACGGGTGTTCTTACTCGTATCTTTGTCCGGAAGGACATTGGTATGGATGGCATCCCCAAAAGCTGATCTTGTATACTCTCAAAACTTTCACCGTCTTTAATTTCTGGTGCCACATCTGTTAAGATAGGGGCAGAAAACCGAATTTTCCCAGGAGCAAGAAGAGCCAGGAATTTCTGAAACACAGATGGTGCTATGTTCAAAACTGGATCTGGTGGTCTCGTTGTAGTTGCGGATATTGGGTTCTGAGAAGCTAAATAGGTTACAAGTGTTGAGTCCTGAGAGGCGTGGCGGGACGGGGCACGAGATTCACGTTCCTCATCCATGGTAAATTTGCCCTTTGCCATGTCTCTATCTAATGATCTCTTCATGGCTCCCCCTAGTATTTTTCGGATCCTGACCAAGTCAGTTGGACTCAGGGGGCGGAGACGGATTGGTATTTCAGAATTAGGCGAATATTTGGGGAACTTTGATTTTTGTTTCCCCAAGAGTTTGTCACCCTTTCCAGGTCTCTCTTGAGAACGATCGTATTGCTGAATGCTAGTGCGGCCACGAATGCGGATCCAGTATCGGTTATCCCAGAGCTTCCAATCGGTCCATTCGGTATATATGAATTTCCCGATATCCTGCCGCCGGCTTTTCTGTCCTTTCTTCTGCAATATAACTCCGTGTTTAGTTTTTGTGGCTAAGTAATCCGGTATTGCCAAAGCAAAGTTTATTGTAGGCTGTGGTTTGCCTGAATGCATAGGCTGTCTTGATAGAAGCCAAACATTATTTTGTTTAGCAGAAAGCGGTGTAAAATCTTGGTCTCGAAGCTGCAGGTTACCGGGCAGGTTCTGGAGACTCGGGAGATCGGAGAGAAGCAATTTAGAGTTGGACTTTGACGCCGTCTTCTGATTTATGGCTTGCCACAAAACTCCGCCTACGGTAAAAACGGTGCCATTCATGCCAGATGGATCTATCCCGAAAAATGCCCTGTAAGCAGGATTGCGGAATTGTGACAATGCACTCCATCGGTCTGGGTGTGGTGATATAAGGTCACATAAGCTTCGCAGAGCTGATGCGTAAACATCCCGTACCCCATCTGGAAGAGGAGTGCGTGCCTGAACCGCATTTATCTGTTGTTTCGGAAGCTCAGAAATTATTGGCATTTTGACGACCATGGTACCGAAGCGGGTATCGAGGCTGAGGATCTCTACTTTCTTTAGGATAGATTCGCATAAGTCTCTGAATTTTTCAGTCTGCTCTCTCGATTTATCCACCAGCGACAGAATGGATGGCCGCTGTAGGGCGCGTGGAAGCAAATTTTCTGAGTTCAACAGTTGTCGTACTGTATTACGGATAGTAAATGTGCGATCTTCATTCGTGGAGTCCAAGACAAATGGTATTTTGTGTTCCTGGCAGGTTGCTACTAGTCGTGATTTCGAAAAAGAACGGAAAGGGCGAAAAAGATATATTCCACCAGTAGAGACTTGCATTTGCCCCGGAGCAAAATTTATGGTGCGAGAGGGCATTCTGAATGATGGGTGTGATATGGTCCCATCCATATTAGTGCTCTTTAGGATGTCCTGTAGAGATGTGACCAACCCGCTCTTACTTACCCCGTATAGTCCATGGCACTCTGGAATGGGTGCAATCTCATCAAAGCCGACCAAACCAAGTTTCCTGTGGCCTTTGGATACACGCATAAGAGCAGTCTCTACATTATCATCTTGATGATGCCCTAATAGCAAGGCCCTGACGCCATCTTTTACACAAGCTTTGCCTAGTATTTGATAACGAAGCATTCGTGCCTGCGTTTCAAATCCCTTTTTCGTCAATATTCCACCCTCAGGCCATTGCAAAGTAAGTACTTTGGACTGGACACCTAAAGGATATGTTAGCATGCCAATTACTCGAAGTTTACTAATATAAGGCGGGGATTACCTAGATTTTCCACACGCTTTGCAACTGACTGCGCCTCCTGCGAACTTTCTGGTCTGTATTTATGATCCACAATATAGGCCGTTACTTCCAGGCCTGGCATGAGATTCTGTGTGACTAGCTGACTGCAAAGGTAGGCTAGAGCCATTGAATCACTTCCACCACTGACAGCAAGACCTAAATAACACTTTTTAGAACTTCAGTCTTATATCAGGCCGTGAAGCATATCCTTCACTGTATCTCAAATGGATAACAGCAACACACCTATTCGTTGTAAAGATACATATTTACCCCCTTGCCAGGCTGTCCATAGTCCAGTGAGAGCTCGGTAGAACTCTTGAGGACTAACTGGTGATGACACAAGCGGCCCTATGCTCCTGCTAGAAACCATTATAGATCAAGGGATTGAATCCCAAGCTAAGGAATCTCCATAGAATAAAAGGGTATAAGAACCGTTCTATCTGGCTCTCGACTCTCCCAGAGCGTGGAAAATGTTTCTTTCGCTTTATCTTCAGTGGGCTTGTTTTCGGTGACTACGCGGAAGTTCTATATCACGTGATAATAGTTCCGCCCCGGTTCCGCGCGCTTAAAAGTAATCGCTTAAAATTTCAGGAAAGTCGTATGGACATACATTTAGCCGCTCGCTTCGGCGATCCGGATAAGCGAACGTAACTGCCCATAATCCAAGTTCTTTATTGGGCATCATTAGGAACAATTGGAACCATAAAATACACGGTTTGACCGGATAATGTTTTCTTTTCATAGCGCTCGGCGGCTGTAGACTTTAACACTCCTTTTTCTCTCGCGGCTAACTAACGAGTCAACTAAATTCTGGCAAAATTTCAAGAACGAAAAACCTTTAAATTTGATCAAATCAGATTAAAAGACGTGCAACAGTAGATAAGAGCTGTTTACCTTACATGTTCGCTCGGCTTACTATGCCATAGGTAACATAAACATTTGTGCCGGGCTACTATTGTAATATTCGACCACTGAAAGACCCCGAGATTCAATGGCAGGTCAGAAGGATAAGTCGCACGCGACACAATCCGCTCTGTGGACTAGGTCCCTTCTGGTGAGTACATTAACTAATCTACGATGCCCTAATCAAACAAACTGACTTGGATCTTGATTGTATAGGCGGGAGCAGCAGCTGGTCTCACCGTAGACGTTTCTCTTTTCCCTCTCGATACAATCAAGACTAGACTGCAGCAAGCCCGACATAAGACACATGGATCTTCAGTTGGGCGTTCATTGAATGGGAGTGCCAATGGCCTAAAAGTTTTACGACAGACTTTTCGCGGGATATACGCTGGTTTGCCCTCCGTTCTGCTCGGATCTGCTCCATCAGCTGCGAGTTTCTTCGTCGTCTATGATGGCGTAAAGCGATATTTCCTACCTCCAACCACCTCGTCCTCGACTGTCCCATGGCAGTACACATTTCTCACACATTCCGTTGCATCGTCTTTAGGCGAAGTTGCTGCTTGTGCTGTTCGCGTACCGACGGAGGTTATAAAACAACGAGCGCAAGCCGGTCTCTTTGGAGGCTCGACTTTACTAGCCCTCAAGGACATACTCTCTCTGCGCCATGGAAACGGGAGTCAGTATGGGCCACTCCTGGTTATTCGTGAATTATATCGAGGAACTTCTATAACAATTGCCCGAGAAATTCCTTTTACCATACTACAGTTCACCATGTGGGAAGGGATGAAAGATGCGTATACTACCTGGAAGAAAGATAAAAACGCAGGTGCTAAGGTAACAGGTATATCTGCTACGTCGAGCGCGGTTTTTGGAAGTATTGCCGGGGCTATCTCTGCCGGGTTGACAACACCACTGGATGTCATTAAAACCAGGGTGATGCTGGCCCGGCGTGGCGGGAATCCTGAGTCAGGTATGGGAAAAGTCAGAGTCAGGGACATAGTCAAAGGAATATGGAGAGATGAAGGTGCTAGCGCATTTTGGAAGGGGATCGGACCTCGAGTCGCTTGGATTGGCATTGGAGGGGCCATTTTTCTTGGGAGCTACCAGAGAGCGTGGAACTTGATGGAAGGCCATCACACCGAGCAGAAGCTCTAGTCAGAGTTGCTCTAGGGGCTCTGCAGCATTCTTCCCGACTAATAGGGCTTGACTGGTTGTATTATTTATTTTCAATTCATAGATGTCTATTTATAGAGACCTAACATTCGAAAGTCATGTGACCCGATAAGCTATCGCGGCTAAGTTTAGCGTTTAGTGACTGCCTCCGCATGTTCGCGGGACTCCAATATTTAACAATTATACGACTCTCTCAAGACCAACAGAAGCGAAAAATCACAAGGCAACCTCTACACTCTATACCTCTGTGGTAGACGTACTCCGGATCTATCACATGGGTTTCGGCTTGGTTTGTCAACTGAAGAAGTCAAGCTATTTTACGCACTAGTGTTTACTCCCTTCGAAAGTCCGTGGGCGACCAACATACCCTGCGCCGGACCGTGATAACGGCCGAGCAGTGCAGTGTCGGGTCGTATTTTCTGGATGGCTAGGAAGTCAACCCAACGGGTCAGCTACGGTGAGTGCTTTCCCGCTGAACCTTGATATATTTATACCTCCCAGAGCAATTTCATTGACTAGTGATTGTGGTTAGTGCTGTCACCACCAGATGCGCCTGGCGGTCACAGATTGGGTGTGAATGGTCTTGCTGTTGATACTACAAGCTCAACTCTGTAAGTAACCCTTGCGAGACTGTTGATTTGACGATGGATCACGATTCCACTATGATCAGCGATTTTGAGTAGAACTAGTCTGCTGACATTTCCAGATATTCTGCCGGGCGAGATGGCGTAATGTGTGCCTGGGATTTGAATCTCAACCTCCGAACACGTAATGACCTACACGATTTCACACAAAATAATACACCCTCCCGTTTCTCTACCGCTACCTCCTTCAGAAGCCAAGTCCAAGCGCACACACATTGGATCAACGATATCATCTTGACTCAGAATAATTCGACCCTCGTTTCCGCTTCTTCAGATACCACAGTAAGAGCATGGAGACCGGCAGCCGATGATCATGCACCTGCCGTTATTGGAAAACATACTGATTACGTCAAATGTCTTGCAACTCCGCAACCAGACGCTGACTGGGTTGCCTCTGGAAGCTTGGACCATAAAATATACCTTTGGGATATAAATGGCGGCGGGGAACGTTTAAAAATCGACGTTTCTGAATATGATAAGACACCTAAAGGCTCAGTGTATGCTTTGAGTGCGAAAGGGTCTATTTTAGCCAGTGGCGGCCCGGATAGCGTTGTTCGAATCTGGGATTCTAAAACGGGAAAATTAATCACTAAATTTGTCGGCCACACAGATAACGTTAGGAGTATCCTTCTTAACCGCGATGCCGATACAATTTTGACAGCATCGTCTGACCAAACCGTCAAAGTGTGGTCCATGGCAGCTGGACGATGTATGCACACTCTTACCATGCATAATGATAGTGTATGGTCACTATATTCGGACCACCCCCAACTATCTGTGTTTTATTCAAGCGATAGATCTGGCCTCGTGGCGAAAACAGATACCAGAAATGCTCCAGATATTGATCAGGGCATTTGCATCGCTGCCTTGCAAGAAAATGATGGCGTGTTCAAAGTTGTGGCCGCTGGGGGTCATATTTGGACAGCGACACCAAAATCCAGTATCCATCGTTGGAGCGATGTTGATATACCTGCAGAAATTGAAGCTTCCGCGCCTTCGCCACTCTGTCGACACACTTCAAGTGTGTCATCCCCAACACCCTCGGATGACAACAAAAATGACCCGCTATCTTCAAACCAGAAAATTCCTCCTAGTTCTATCCTGATTTTGTCAAACGCTGCTACGTTCCCTAACCCTATGCACCGTGAGGCTGATGTTGTAAGCTTATCCGTCTCTAGCTTACGAGCTCCCACTGATATTCTCTTGGATGAGGGAATAAATGTCGCAACTCCTCTTCAGTCATTGCCTCAAGAGACAATTGAAGGGCAACATGGCATGATAAAGCACATCGCTCTGAATGATAGAAAACGGGCCTTGACCCAAGATACCGCTGGGGATGTGGTGCTATGGGATTTACTTAGGGTAAGCTTTCATAATAGCTCTCTTATTCTCAAACACTAACGTCATATAGTGTGTTCCTATCAAGTTTTTCGGTAAACGCCATCTGGATGATGTTGCATCAGAAGTGAATACTACTGAAACAATTGCGAATTGGTGTACTTTACATACAAGAACTGGGAGATTGTCTGTAATTCTGGAACAAAACAGGTGCTTCGATGGAGAAATATACGTTGATCAGGCCAATCTCCCTAACACAGATACTAATGCATATCGAGAAGATCAGAGAAGTAAGTTATGATCTATCATGTTGTAATAGAATTCTTTGATAACCGTTGTCATAGTCAATTTTGGGAAATGGATATTGAGATATCTCTTTGATGGAATTGTCAAAGAAGAAGTCCGACGTGATGAGGTTTACAGACAAGCCCTTAAATTGAAATATGAACAGAAAGGAGAATGTGACTATGATATTTTGGATACTATAGCGCTTCCAACAATTGCGACACCCGGTTCTCCTGACACACCAATTCCCCCTAGCTCTCCTGGGATGAAAGGTGCGGGTGCAACCCGCTCAGCTATGGCTCCAGGTATGTCAATCGGCATCGGTACACCAAACATGACTTCACCTTTCCCCGAATTACATAATTCTAGCAATGGGCCTCTCACAAATGACGGTTCTGTTGGTAAGGACCCCACGGGCTCCTCCGATTATTTCACCAATGCGATGAAACGCCCATCAACGGATGCTGCAGATTCAACTGCAAAATCTCGATTCTCTGACGAACAGCCACCGCCTTCTGCCCCCATTTCAGGCCCCTTAGAGTCAGAAAAGGAAGAGAGATCTAAGAAAGGAACAACCCTTTTTGGCAAGAAATTCCAAATGACGTTCCCGAAGAAATCTAAAACGTCTACGGAAACAAAGCCAATTGCGGAAGAGAAGACAGAAGAATCAGATAAATCCTCTGAAAAGGATCGCGCCTTTGATGAAAATTTTCGCGGAGTTATCGACAGGATACATGCCGATTATGATGCTTATGCGGCGGCAAATCCTTGCAAAGAAATAGAAACATTAATCACCCCTACACCAGAGAATGAGGCACCAGTTTTGAATATTCCACCTCATATAGGTATCCTTATCCAAGAAGAAAATCCAGATTCAGCCGTTGCTGCAGACCTATACAGGGGTACTGTTGGAACTGTCCGTCAAGATATTGACATATTTGAGAAGGCTGCCCCTACTTGGCTGGCTGATCTCCTACTTCGTGTAAGTGATTTTTAGTTATATTTCCTCATCTCTTGATTCAACGATGCATTGCTGACTGCCATACCTTACTCCTTACTTGAAGAATATTGTTCCTTTTAAAGAAATACCCAAAATCGCATTCTCCTTGAAGCCATATCAGGATTCTCTTCCAGAGGTCGTTAAACCTGATACGTAAGTGCATCTCCTGGAACATATTGGCTTTGCGATACATTAATTCTTATTATCAATGGGGAGCACACTAATAATAAAGTACAGGGCCGCTCCGAATAATTCATCTCGCCTCAATGCAAATCGAATGCTTCGTGCGAAGAAAATTCTTGCATATGTTGCAGAACGAATTGATCCGCAGAATGCCGAAACCCTAAGTGAGGATGCTCTAAAACCCGAGGAGTATCTCGAGCTATACTGTCAGAATACAGTAGGTCACCTAAAATGAATATGTATGAAAAGTGAAAGAGATGGAAAACATTAACAAGATATCTATGTAGCTTATACCTATGGATATGACCCTTGCCACCATACGTACCCACCTATGGAAGACAGGAAACGATATGGTTCTTGTGTACAAGGCAAACGGAAGGCGAAAGATTCCAGTTTCTGTAGAAGACGGCGAGGCTGAGAAGAACAAGAAAGTTGGATTTGATCTCGCGAGCGCCGAAACCACAGGAGCTGACCAGAGACCACAAATGAATGGAAAACACACTGACACAGATGTAGCTGGAGCGACGCTGGCTCATTCACTACCTGAATCGGACGTCGCGTCGTAGGCAAATGATATTGTGGTGCATCATATAAATCAGCAAATGATTTAACTAGTCATAGGTTTGTGTATATATTGGGTCATGGCGCAGTACATAATAAAGAATGTCAACTATAATCAACTACAATTATTAGGGTCCGTGGCATAAGACTATGATCAAGGTATATATATTATAAAAAAAAAAAAAAACAATAGGGCATCTGAGTATTATGTAGGCCATAGGTATCAAGAATCCACGCTCTTCTCCTTTGTATAACGCCAAAGGGGGAAAATATGGCCAGGAAACAGACAAAGACCCAACTCCTACCAAATAACTGTCCACATTTATAATTGCATATCAAAAGGAGGCAGACTTTTCTGTCCCAAGCCCAAACAGGACGGGGAAACAAAGTAAAATCAGAGAAGGGAAGCAGTAAATATGAAGACAAACGAACCAATGCAAGTCATAAGGGACCAAATCCTCCAAAATATTTATGTGATTCACAATAAAATCTATTAAATACTTATTTCTTAGCGGGTGGGGGTGTAGGAGGCTCTAATATGTGGGTGTGTCCGGGGGCATTGATAGTCTGGCCGGATTCTTCCTGCCTACAGACCTCACAGCTCCTCACCCACTCGTTGTCCAATACATCCTGTAAGGTGGCTCTTTCCTTAGGGTCGAGCTTCAGTAAACGACTGATGAGGAGACGGGATTCCCTAGGCAGAACTCGTAATAGCCGCCAAGGTCCTTTGATAGGTTCTTGACGTTGGCCTGTCGCCTTCTCTGTGTTGGCAGTCCCCTTCGTAGAAGTTTCATCCTTAGTGTCATTGGTGACATGCTCATGTTTGGGGTATTCTTTGTGATCTGATCTACGGCGATGGTGGTGGCCGTCACCTTTGTTTCCGTTAGGCATGAAGTTATTGGTTGGTTCTCCTGCCACGGATCTCGGCCGACCTCTAGAAGGGTTACCAAATTCTTCGGGTGGTGGGGTATTGGGAGAGGGTTCGGCAATGAACAGTTTGAACGAATTATCCTCTTCCTTGGGCTGTTTCCATGGGAATCGACGAAGGATCATGCAGCAAAATATTATTGCTAAGGACCACATGTCTGCTGCACAAGGGTCATACTTTTTATTATCATAAACCTCAGGAGCCAAGTATGGGTCTGAGCCAACGACACCTGTATGATTCATTAGTGGTCTTCGTCTTGTTTGTTTATAGGATGATATAACGGAGTGGTAGCTTACCTGTGGCTTGAACGGTCCCTGTTTCGAAGGGATACCTGAATACAACAGCGCTACCGAAATCTATCAGCTTCATAATACCTTTGTCATTGACAACGACATTATCCAGCTTGAGATCTCGATGGGCCAAGCCCATGCTATGGAGATAGCTGACTCCGTTCACAATCTGAAGCCACGAGCAAGCAATCTCTTCCCTTGTCATTTTCCCGGTCATAACAATGGCAAAAAGATCGTAAGGTGCAAATTCCATAACCTCATACCAAATGCCGTTCTCGCGAATAATATCCAGGGTCTCGATGATGTTTCCGTGGTGTAATGTAGAGCCAATGCAAAACTCCGCTGTAACTTTCTTCGCGTACTCCCTCTCTGATTCCCATGAATGTTTTTCCCTGAACTGTTTAACAGCAAAAGTGACTCCATCTGAGCTACGCTTGAGCAGCCTGACGGAGCCTCCAGCACCTGCGCCCAAAACTTTACCTAGCTTTCCGTATTTTGATTGCAGGCCGTGGTCATCGGCAAATGGCACACTAGGAGCAGTAGACTGGAAGGGAACGTGTTTGATGGAGGACCGGGAAGACTTCATAGAAGATGGTGATTCTCCACGTTTGTGCTTGCGATCTATTCTAAAAAAGCGTCTTAGTTCAGACATCGAGCCTGAATGTTTGGCATCAAATTTCTCATCATGATGTCGATCTTTCTTGCCACCGAATAGGTGGGGATGTTTATGATGATGGTGATGATCCTTGGCTTCAGATGAATGAGCAGAGCGTGGAATGTTGTGCGTTGATAATGAAGTGGTGGAATGTGATTTATGTGGACGACGTTTGGCATCGACTCCTCCAAAAATGAACCTCTGATCAAGATTCGCTAAGTTTTTGGTCTGTGGAGGTCTCTTGTCCCGGGCATATGGGTCATTTTCGTCCCCTAAAGGGGTTATTGTGCCTGATCCCAGAAGCGGAGAGGCAGGCCGTTTGACTTCGAACCTAGGAGTTCCTGGAGGGCTCTCTTCCGAGGGACCGACGAAAAACTTTCCACGGTTTAAATTCGATAGTTTTGGCGGAGGTGTATTGCTGTGTCCTGAAACTGGGCGTGTTGAGGGTGCTGTAGAGGGTGAGGAAGGCCGGGATGAAGAAAAGGAGGTTTGATTTCTGATATAGTGCTTGGAGGGTCGTTCGCTAGATGAGGAGGCTTCGGGGGTCATCTCTGTAGTCTCTAGTAATGCACGGTTATGTCCATCTTTTGGGTGTTCCGGCAAGTCGATAGGCCCAAAGGCAGGAGACTGGGGCTGGGATGGAGGAGGAGATATCGCTATCGATCTGTTGAAATCACGGATACTTGAATTTTGAGAAGGAACCTATATAAATGTACAGTTAGCAATGCTATTTAATTATTGAATCAAAATATCATCAAAGCTTTCCTCTAAACAATGAAGATCTATCGGTCACATACCCTCGAAGCAGGCAGAGAAACTGGATCAAATGCAAAGTTGTGTAGCCTAGTTTCCTGAAGCCTGGATTTCTGGAATGCAGAATCAAATGGTATGAATTCACCACCTGGGCCCGCAGGTGTAGGGTCAGCATTTCCCTTGACAATGGTATCTGGAGAACCACTGGACGATAGCAAGTTCTGTGGTGGCTCGATCTCCTGGTTCTGCGCGGCAAAACGGACTGTATTTGGCTCCTGGGCCTTCTCCTCCGCCGAACCTGAACTAGCAAGCGGAGCCATGATGACGATGAGGTACTCTTCAGAGCACGCTTCAGGCGGTCTTCTGGCTCGATATGTTTCTGCTGCGTTTGTCCTTTTATTTTATATGGAAGTGATGCTGCAAGATTGTTAACTGGGAAGGGCCTAGGGCAAGCTCTCTCGACGGACTTGCGGGCACAGAATCATTCCTCCCAACGCGTCGCATCCGACCGTCTACTGGTGCAGATGCAACGGCGAGCGTCCTTCGGCGCAGCGCAGGCTGGGATGCTCCTGCTGGGGGGCTTTTCCAACTAGGCCAAGCCAGGGAGGGCGCGAACAAATAGGAGGGGCACGGAAGTCGGAAGGATGTGCGCCAGGCATGCGAATCGCGGCAGGGTGGGAGAGACGGCGGCGTCAAGCAGACGACAGCAAGCAAAAGACTCCGTATCGGTTGGTGATAGCAGAATGATAGATGAGAGATGAAGTGCTTGGAAGCGAGGAAAAGACGAGGACGAGGTTCGACGAAGAAAATGTTGCGGTTGAAATCGATTTTCGGCCAGGCAAAGCTTGTTCAAACTCAACTTCTCCCGGAACTCGGAGGGAAGAAGTTTTGATATGCCGGGCTCGTGTCTTCTGATGACACTGCGCGAACCGCTAGACGCAGACGAAAGCTGATCCCCGGGAGACTTGCTGCTGGCCCGACTCGACGTTTACCGACGACGTTGTTGTCTTCCAGTCAGTCGAGAAGGTTTTTAAAACTACCAAGAAACGCAGCGGCCGAGGTAGCTGAGTCAGCGAGCGATGGCAGCAGCAGAAGAAGAAGAGACGAAGAGAAGAAGTCGTTGGTTTATCATACACTGTGGCTGCCGTGCAATACTGTACACTGCTCTCTGGGCATTTCCAGGAGCTCTCTGCAAAAAAAAAAAAGGGAGGCTGCTGAATATATATAGAAAGAAGCCCAAGAAGTAGAATTGCCCACCCGCAAAAACGCCATGCAATGGCCACGCAGAACCCGTTCGATCCGGCCGCCCAGTCTGGACGAACTCTTGCAGAAAGTAGATTACCTCGGTACATGTTCCTCAATGCTTCCCCTTTCCTCTGTTCTTCTAGAACATCTCCACGCGAGGTGAAGGAATATATCGCGTTCACGGCACAACCTTGATGCCGATGGACTTTGCCTGGGCTATGATGCTCATACATAGTCCCTGGAGGCTCAAACCCGACAGTCGAAGCTCAGTCTGTTTTATCTTTGCAATCTCATACACATGTTTCAAAGAGACATTCCCAATTGTCTCGTGGCCCGGTCGTTCGCCGCCCCGGATGCGAGCTTTCCTCGGTTCAACCTTGGCCGCTTGCAGGAGAAGCCAGGATGTCACCGGAGTTCTGAGGTCGAATGTAAAGGATCGATCAGGGCGGATGGTGACTCGTGCGGGTATCGGAGTTCCGACGTTGATGTGTGCGGTTCGCGCATTGAATTCCTGCTCTCGCTGGTTATACATGCAAGTCCTGATTCACGGCAATTGAGTCAACAGCCAGCCTACCTTACAAAAGTCCATCGACTTCACGCCTTTACTTCCCAGCGCCGGGCCAACTGGAGGGCTGGGACTGGCCTGCCCGGCGCCCACGATGAGCTTCACCACCACGTCCTTTGGTATAGCTTTGGCGGCCATTGTTGCGGTTGCCCTCGCAAAAACAAGCCAGAAACCGAGTGAGTAAAAGAGCAGCGTCCTCTTTTCTCCTTCTTTCGAGATCTTCCGTCGTCAGGCCACCGTCAATTGTTTGCTTCTTCTTCGTATTCCTCTGCGTCTTCTTCTGCTTCTTGATTCCTGTCAAAGATCAAAAAGTTCTTCAGAGCTTGCGCTAAACTAAAAGTAGCAATATTAGCGCTAGCCGCAGGTCCTGGTCGTAACCGCCGGGATCGCGCGTAATAGTAAGATAGCCGCGGTCCTTCCAACGACAAGAAGAAAAACGACGAGGAGCAAGCAAGCAGAAGGAAGCCTGAAAGAAATTTTGACGTTTCATTTGCATCTGTGTTGCTGTGCCTTCTTGTAACTAACGCGCACAGCAGGTATCTCCTGTGGCCAACCAGTACGGTATATCGTTTATCCGCCACATCCGCTCTTCTGCTTCGGCCTTTGGTCGCGCCTCCTGCTGGTTCCCCTCCTAGATACAATCCCCAAGTCGAATACTGTCCTCTGACAGACTCAACAATGAACTGGTTTAAACAGACGTATGTACTATCTCTCTCCGTGGTCAACTATATAGATGGCATATGCTGATGTGTTGACTTTACAGCCTGGCCAACGTTGCCGGGACACAGGAGCCGATCTATGGGCCCACGGCTATACAGTCGGTGGTTGACCAGGCAAAGACGATACCCTACACGGAGGTGAATAAGGATCATTTACGATGGGCAGCGATGCAGTCGACTTGCGTCGAGACCCAGACCTTCTATCTCTTCTCGGATAACGGAGATGTTGCCTCCCTCCAGCTGATCTACAACAATGTCGTGTGAGCTTGTTCGACGATGAAGATGTCGGAGCGCATCTTTTTCTTAGCCTCTGCCCCCCCTTGTTATCTACTCTTTCATTATTTAGTAGAGATGCTGATATATTTTGCACTCCAGTGGCCTCCATACAACTTGCCAGTTCAATTGCAAAGTGTTCTCCAAGGATCCAGCGAAACCTCACTTATGGGCCTCCGACCCCGTCCAGAACCATATTTTTGCTGAAGATATGCTCTCTTTTGGCGGCGACAATGTTGCCATCTCTCTCAATGATGAAGGGACCGCATATACCATCAAGTCGGCTATCAACGAAGATAGTCTAGTCAATGTTACCATCACCCGCACTGCTCCAGGTTTCGTCGCAGGTAAGGACGGAATCTCGACATTCGGAACCGATCCAATGAATCCATGGGGCAGTATGAGACATGCCTTTTGGCCACGATGCAAAGTTGAAGGTTCAATCATTACCCGCGAAAGAGAAATCGACTTCGCCGGAAAGGGATTTTTCGTCCATGCACTCCAGGGCATGAAGCCCCATCACCTTGGTATGCTCCCCACACCCCTTAATTCCGTTTCTTACAACTCATGGATACCAATTTTGACCATCCGATTTCTCGTTATAGCTGCGAGATGGAATTTTGTTGACTTTCAATCACCCACCTTCTCTGCTAGCATGATGGAATACACGACGCCTCCTTCATACGGCTCCACCGTCGTGAATGTCGGTGGCGTAGCAAAGGATGGAGAAATTATATATGCCGGTGCCCCAAATTCCATAACTCATACTGAAGCCACCCAGGATTCTGAGAATGACTGGCCTGAACCAACTGCTCTAAAGATCACCTGGTCTGGCAAAACGGCAAACGGTAAACTCTTCGAAGCTATAATCGAAGGTTCCCTGGGCCAGAGAATGGACCGAATTGATGTCATGGCTGAAGTACCAGGCTTGATCAAGTCTCTTGTCGGCAGTGTTGCTGGGACACGACCATATGTATATCAGGTCAGCTTTCGACTTCTGTATAGTCTATTCTATGTCTGTCTCTCCAGAACTGACATTCCTTTCCAAACAGTTCATTCCACCGCACAAGCTGCCCATCAAGATTAAAGTTGGAGATGGCGAGGAGATCACAGAAGAAGGTACCCTTTTAATGGAGGCTACCTTTATCTCCTAGTGGGATATGTCATGTCTTTCTATCCTCTTTCTACGATTGGCGTTCGTTCAGGTGTGGCTCCGGAAGGTTCTGCTGCTTCACTCTGCTGTCCCTCGTTTGTCTCTATCACATATATGTTTGATGTCCCCTCTGTCCCTTCGCTCAATGGCCAAAATTTGCCGGCATGTCATGAGTCAATGGCGGAATAGCCACTAAATTCTGGCATTACATCACGTATATATGTTTATATATACGCACGCACGTACATATCATCAACACCTATCTATAGTCATTAATCCCAGTTCCCGGCTTTGTGGTCCAGGGACATACTGTGTGTTTCCTTTCGACTCCAGCTGTGGACTCAGAACTCACTCGGAAGCCAATCGTCCTCCCTCTCTCTGAGTCTATGACCAGTAACCCTAGCAGCCACGAATATACATATACCTGTCATGTCATCAAGAGCCAATCCAATCCTCAAAAGAACTCAGTCAAAGCTAGAGGTCCTTATCGGTGTTCTTCTTTTTGCTGGCCCAGCTTTCTGTTGTCCATTGTCCCAGTAACGCTAGGTTGAATAACACATAAAAACACAACACAGAGCAACTCTCTGCATCTTCACTCTCTTCCTAACCGCATCGCATATTCTATTCCATACCCGATTCATTCCTCCATCAATCCACCTATCTAGTTCCCTTCCAAGTCAGTTCTATCTCTACCTGAAATTGCACAGCTAGTATCGTGCCTCTGCCGCTCAAGAATGGAGGTACCGCTTAAGCTGAGCAAGAGGAAGAACCATACAGCCAAATATTTGCCCAGAAGATACCGGTAAGCTCGATTGTGGTCCAACTCTTCAAGGAAGCCTTACCAATCGCTCAATGTGGCTGCAGAAAGAACAAACGAGACAACATCATGGGCATAAGTAAGTACAGCGAAGAAGTCCCTACCTGTCAACTCCCAGACTGGATATAACTATAGAAAAAAGACTAACAACGTATCTACTACAGCTAAGCCTGCAATTCGGTATGAGGACTTTCACGGCATTTCATTCAAAAGCTACTTTACTACCATTCTATATTGGGGCTGACCCTGTTTCCCAACTGTAGCCGCCTGGCGCGCCGTGGGGGCATTGTACGCATACAAAAGGCGATTTACAAGACAGTGCGAGAGATTGTTGTCTCTCGCCTCCAGACGGTAAGGAAGAGCTAGCTTAATATAACCCTTGATATGAAAGACTTTTACTGACATGCTCCGCCTGACAAGATACTGGAACAAGTGGTCATGCTCCTAGAATCTACTGACACGCCTGCTAAGACTCGCAAGGTAAGCATCGCTATGCTCTCTTACTTGAATACTCGGCAAAGTAGCTAACATTTATTACAGATAGTGACGAGTTCCGATGTGAGTTTATATTCAGACGTATTGGCTATGTTATCATTGGCAGCTAACACCGTACCGATGGCTAGATTGTTTTCGTCCTAAAGAGGGTAAGCTGCTCCCTACTATGTAGACACATAATATACATATGCCTGAGTGAAGAGCTAATCATTCTGTTTGTAGCTTGGGACGACTGTTTACGGTTTTGATAATCACTAACCGTCTATTTTCTGACCGCTACGGCTTCCCATTTTGACCAAGAATCTTCCTTTTGTAACTTTGCCAACGTCTTTGTATGACGGGCTGCCTGTTGGGTTGTCGATGGAGCATGGTTTGTTCTACAAGGGGAGAGAGTTAGCTAGTGAGTTAGGCATGCATCCAACAGGGATAACTATGAAAATCCTGGCCAACGGCCGAGCGGCTTGACCCGCAGAGATCCTTGAAGCCGATTTGATCATTCTTGCCGATTTTGGTCCACTTTGCAATGTTCTCTTGGATGGTCTGCATCCAGTGCATGAACGCGCGTCAATATAGTGGTCAACTTGAATAACTACATTTCGACAGAGTAGATGTTGTAAAGGCGAGTGCAGTTGTATTGTACTTAAGGGACAGCATGTGGCCGAGTATTCAAGTTTCTATCTCAGTTGACTGGGTGGGCTGGTTATTGATAACTAGTTAATGGCTGTTAAGACAGGCATCGCGCATGCAATATGAACGAATGGCAGTAGTAGCGGCAATTCAATAAGTGTGACTAACGAACGAGGGTATACAACGAATTCAACATGGAAACCAGAGTAGAGCCTAGCCAGCGAATGTATAAGGAAAGATAATGAGAATCCCACACCATCAAGACAGGAGATATAAAATAGAAAGAAAAAGGAAGAAAAATATACAGCGTTACTTGTTCCTTTCCTTCATAATAGTATGCTTCAGAAAGCTCCGTGCCCATGCATCTTGCTTATCAAAACCGATATTAAATATCCCTGGTAGAAAGCGCTTCGAATGGGCATGATCGTCAGCAAACATGGGACCATCCAGGGTCCGAAGTCGGCAATTAGCAGTGGCTGCTTCTAGTAGCCTTGTGCCCACTCCGTTTGTTCTAGCGGACTGTCTAACCGTCCATGCACGGATTATGCCCGTCCATCTAGCAGAGCTCTTCCGTCTGGCTGACCGTGGTCGTACACCCGGTGTACTGGCGTCGGTAACAGTCTTACAGGTCCTCATAACAAGGACACCAATGATATCTCCACCTTCATCGCCGTTGCCAGTGTTGGGGTCCCGAGCAACGAATACCTCATCGCGTCTATGTGATAGGCCATGAACAGAGTCTTGAGAAAGCCACTTAATATCCCGAGTCTGCCGGATTGGGACCATATATCCCTTGACCATAAAGCGGATCACCAGGATCAGAACAAGGAGGCTCAACGTCCAGACGCTGAGGATTAGGATAAGGTCAGCGGGCGAACCCGAGTAAATAAATTTAGAACTCGATAAGAAAAATAGTATTCCAGCCGCAATCACTGCGGGGTGTGAAATGATTGCTCTGACGGCCAGTATTCGTTGCTGAGAGACACTCTCTGAGATTAGCCCAAGGGCAGATGTAATTTCTTCCTCGGACTGCGTAGGGTATACGGCGAGATGGCATTCGGTAGGTAGGGTACCAGCTGAATCAACGCATGAAGGATTTGTGGCCCTAGAGTTTCTTCGTGCCAGTCTCTGGACGGCTGGTAGTGAATGCAAGCCTTCCTGGCTCCCTGATGAACCATAAAGGGGAGTGCATGATGCGTCAAGACCGTTCTCTATGGAGATACCATAAGGAGAGTAAGGGTTATAGCTTGCATCATCCGGAAAAGTAGATATTTGTAGATTAGTCCTTAGAGAAGAAAGGAAAGCTAGCATTCTAAACGTTAGCCCGAAAACACGGCGGGTCACCATCGCCTTTTTACACAGTTCAATGGGACATACCAACTGGAATAAGAAGCCCCGGGATATGATCACCCATTGTCAAGTTCTGCAGAGACTCCTCTACCGTAGAAACGCCATGAAGGAGCGGGACTCGAGAAAACATAGAAGAGAGGCCATCTTTCGAAGTAGATGGAGCTGGGCGGGGTTCCCGGCTCTTTGAGTGGCGCCTCATTTCTGATGTATCTGATGATGAGACAAATCAGTTAACTAGTTAACGTGTCCCTGAACAATAGTAGTATTCAGTATTCACGAAGGTCCGTTAAATGTGGTGTTTAATGTTGCGAGAGCTGATATTTGCATCCAGGCAGACGAGAAGGAAAGGAAAAGAAAAAAAAAAGGAAGGTATGCTGAAAACTAGTTATCCATTATTAAAAACAAGAGGTAAAAGAGAGGCATTTAACGGGCAAATAAGCAGAGAATTCCTTCAAGGGGTATGAAAAGTCCAGAGCATCGGATATGGCTTCCAGGTTCTCGCATCCTTTTCAGCGAGGGGGATGCTGCCCATGAAGAGAGGGACAAGGAAGAAGAAAATAATCTAGTAGAAGTGAAAAAAGGGAGAAAAAGAAACGAAGAAAAGAGAACGGCCAAATGGAGTCGAGCGCACCAACCTGATGGTATATATAAAGTAAGCGTTATAGAGAGATCCCTTGTTCAGCCTCTCACTCGCCCGTCCAGGGTCCCGTCCATGTCTGGCGAACGGGCTAGCAGGTCCACTCGTGAGCTCGCTTGGCCGGGATCCCGCAGTTGATGCCAGTGAATTAAATAACCGACATCCGTCCCCATCGTCTAGCGTCAGCAGCAGCCGAATCAGACCCGCTCTGCGTGGACGAGCTATCGTCAAACGATGGAAGACGGTAGGAGGGAGATGCTGGCGTTGTCACTCCACCACCCTTGGACGCGGAAAAAGCAACAAGCAGCAGCGCAAAAACGACAGGGAAGAGAGGGCGAAAAATGCCCGTCCCGATGCCACAGGAGGCCTGAAACGCAATCTTGGCTTTCTCCTCCCTTGAGCCTGAGCAGCCGATCAGGAGCTTTTCGTGTTTGAGGTTCGCTTCCTGGTGCTTCTGTGCCGCTGGTGATGACGAAGGGGCGCCGGGATTCCTGCTCGATGGCGGGGGATCAGCTGAGATATGATATCAGGTCTGCACGGCGTAGGCAGGCACCCTTAAGGAGTCGATCCGAGAAGATGCGATTAGCAACGAGTTGCATTCGCCTCAAGACGTAACTAAGCCCATCCATCTCTGTGTACTTACGCGTCCGACGTACTCTGTTCGCAGTACTCCGGGCCATCCACACCTACCACACCTCCGTGTAGTTCTGTACTCTGCTTCCGTCGGGCCACGTTGGGGGCAGGGCGTCAAGGATCTGTTGGACTAACTATAGATGAAGCCGATAGGCCTTTCCTGGTAAGCAGACAGTCGTTATGCTGTACTAAGTGGACAGGCCAGGGGGACTTGACAGGTTGGTCTTGGACACAGGCAGCCAGGCTGGCCGTTTGAGGTGCTGAGCCTCGAAACACGTAACGTCTGGCTTCGTCTCGCTCGATCTAGCCTATTAACGGCCAGTTGGGCGCTTCTAAGAGGGTGTAGGAGTGGGAACCTGGAGTGAAGCCATGTAGTTTGGGTGGTGGGTTGGATGACTGCTATACGGAGAATATGGAGCACGGCAGCCGATCTGCGGTGGATAAAGACAGATATCTAGATGGAACGAACTCACTTCAATTAAAGGCGAGTTAAAGCAAGATGCAGCGGGAGACAATTTGGTATTATCTGAAAGGGTATGTGTGCGTGCGGTTCGTTGTAATACATGTGGTGAATAGAGAGGAGTTAAAAGATTAAAAGAATGATATATGTACCGAGCAATTAGCAGGAAGAAGAGATGATAGAATCAAAGTAGCTCCCGTAACAGATATCCTCGCCAGACCAGACCGCTGATAGAAAAGTAAACAATTCAATAGCAAAAATTCGAAGCAAAGCAATAGAAAGTCATGCCGGCTAGTCGAAGAGCATTAAAAAACAAGGCTAACATAGGAAAATAGGGGGAAAGGATTAAATCTGCATAGTGTAATAGAGGTTTTGAAGGCGGCATCAGATGTCGGGAGAGGAAGGAATGTAGATGGCGTCTTTCTAGATGGCAGCTGTTTCGACCATTAGTTGTTCGCCTTCGTCAAGAAGAGTGGTGATCTTTGACAGATTCGAGATCATCCTCTTTCCATGGCCGACCAGAAGTAGTTTTTCAGCGTTGGCAGGTAGGCCAAGGTATGTAGGTGGCTCTCGCTCGGGTAGTCGATTCACCCATGCAAGGAAGTCCTGGATGCCCGTAGATGTTGGTAGGATAAGAGCCTCGTCGTTTTCCACGTCGGGAACGAGTTTATGGTCGTCCTCGAACGCTGCGGGAGTCAGGAACGTATCGACGAGCTTGGCAAGGAGTGCAAAGTCCCCAGCATCGTCGATCTTTCCACCATACGTTTCTGTGATCAACGTCCGGATCAGGTCCCAAGGAATCTTCTGTGGGGCGACATTTGAGCGACCCTGGGCGATTGACGCAACCCAGGTATCAATGATAAATGCAGAGCATTCGTACTATAGATTGACGTTAGTTTTTTTTCTCCCCTGCTGTAGAGCTTTGGAAGTACTTACATCACTATCATTGAACTCCCAGAAGCCCTTCCATCCTAGACTTGGTGCATACCGTAGTCGTTCTTGAATAACTGCGTGGAGGAACGAGAGCAGAAGGTACAGTCGTGCTTTCTCGACAGGTGGACTGGTTGCCCTTAGGCTCAGAGATGACAGGGAATCCTTCACATTTGCACGAACACCAGCTGGCTGTTCATACATCAACACTCTTGATGCTCGAATCAAGTTAACTGGAATCTTTGGGCTTGACTCCATAGACAGGAAGAGTCTGAAGTCCTTGTGTGGCTTAAGCGATTCCAGACGTTTTTCGAGACTCTGAAGCCACGAAGGGGCCAGATGGACGTTCTTGACAAGAACCCAGCTTCCTGTTGCTGCTGCGTTGCTAATAGCCTTATCTGCGCTTTCAAGTCCTTCGTTCGAACCCATGGCAATGTTGGCACAGTTTCTGTGTGTTCTTTCGACAAGGCCGTCGACTTTGTAACTTGCATCGAAGCCGGGGCTTGAACTAAGGGCAATCGGGGTGGTTGAAGTTACCTGCTCAACAACCTCCTTCAGATCACCATTGTCATCAAGTAAGCCTTTACCGAATACAGTCACAACAAATCGCTCAGCAGCCGGCACAAATCGATCAAGACGTAGAAGTTTAACAAGCAGCAAGGATCGTAATTGTTGGTCAAGCTGGCTTGTCCCCTCCTCCCAAACGTTGGGAACGAAGTTTTCTGCGAATTCTTCCGAAAGGAACAACTCCCATTGTTCAGCCGAAATATTTGGCAAACTTGACTTAAATACCGACATCTGGGCGAGTGCTGACATTGCAGGTTCTCTGAGGTTGCCATCTGTAGACACATCACAGCCCTCGACAGTGGTATCCAGTATCATATCTATCAATCCCTTGTCCATCGGGTATGGAGACGCTTGGGCAAGAAGGACGGCCAAAGTCACGCGGTCCTTTTGGAGCAATCCAAGTGACGTCCGTTGGAAGGCTGCAATAAAGAGATCGCGTAGTATTATGTTGACTCGTACAGTATAATCGCGCTCCTGCGCCAGCCTCTTGTTATTGTGAAGGACATCGTTGAAAATATCAACAAAGTATTGAAGAGAAAATTGGTAGAAGTGATTAAGGTGGTGAAGCTGTTCAAGGACTGCAAAAACGGCGCTACACGATCTTGCGATGATGTTGTATTGCAGTGTGATATTGTCAACCTCTGCCATCACTCCCTCAGTCTCAACCATCTTGTTGGAAATTTCCCAAGCTTCTTTCTTAAGTGTTTCAAGCGTTTCAATGACATTGTCATCATCAAGAATGTTTCCACGAGATTCGTTTAGCGCCTGGAGTAGTTTCTTTTCTAGTTGGCGAAGATGGATCTTGAACTCGCCTTGCACCTTGATGAGGTTCGTGCGACGTTCGTCAACATCTGGACGTTCGGATTTCAACACTTCATTAAGAGATTGTGTTTGCAAGCTGCTTTGAGTAACTGTAAAGTTGACAAATGTCGTTCGACTACAGATGTCCGGTGGAAATGAGGCAGAAGGATCACGAGTGGAGAGGAATAATTTGAAAGACGGCGAGAAATCGATTTCTTGCTTGCCCAGTTGTATGAGCACACGACCACCAGTTTTCTGGTACTCCTTATTGAGAACATGATTAAGAATTGGGTCTAAGTGCTCTGCATCTTGAATGAGTATTGGGTTGCCAAATCTAAGAGCACTCTCGAGCTGTTTGACAAAGGAATCATCCAAGAAGCTGGTTACGGTAAGCTTTCGATCTCTGTTCTCCTTCTCTAGGAACTCCGTAACACGGCCAGAGGGATCAATGATAAGAGGGTATCTGTTGAATCGGTTCAGGATAATAGCATTCTCTGTGCACAAATCGTCAACAGGGAGTGAATTGCCCTGCCATGAGAGTCTCTCGTCCGCATTTGACAAGTACTCTGTTACTGGGTTGTGTGGTTTCAAGTCGATGTTCGACTGAGATAAATGATGCATCCAGTCGTCAATCATCGCCTTTCTGAATTGTTGATCGTAAAGACCACCGTATGCAAGGAATGCTGCTGCAATGAGAACATCGCCGACAAGGGTTGATATTTGCGTCTCGAACGTCTTGCTACCCTCTTCCCACCTAGACCGTTCAGAAGATAAGCTGTCAAGCAGACGAACACTTCTGTCAACCTTGAACTCAACCCGGGACATCTCGCTCTTGATGGCTTGTGTCTCACTAATGAGTGCGGCGTATTCGACCTTGTAGGTTGCAATGCTGTTCTCAAGGTCATTTATTGTGTTTTCAATTGCCTGAGCTTCCGCCTTAGTCTGCAATGCCTGTTCCTCCAATTGGCCAACTTCTTCTCTAAGTGGCCCGACACGATCTAAAATCGAAGAGTAATGAACTTGAGCCTGTACCCATTGTACTAAAGGTCCACAAGCCTTGCTGGCATGATTGACGCGCTCGAACGAAAATTCTTCTTTGGAAAGGAACTCATTCAACATCTTTGCCCTCAGCTGACGGGTCATTTGCCTTTCATTGTCATAATTGACGATGCTTGCAATGAAATCGTCCTTGCGAACGATGCCTTGAATTGTTTTCCAGCTCTCCACTTTATGACCTAGGAGTGCACACACTGATTCAAGCGCCAGCCTAACACCGGATGGAGGATTGCTCATCGATCTCACTTCAGTCAGGTGTTGCTTTTTAATGTTGCTGACGCTCTTCTGTGCCTCGAGAACTGCTGGTTCGGCATTAGCAAGATCATTAAGCACAATTTCTTTCCGACTAGCAACCTCCTTCTCTTGCTTCTCCAATGCTGTCTGGATTTCGAGTGATGCCGATTTACGCTGTTCGGCCTCCCGTTGGTCAGCAACCATTCGTTGAAGTTTTTCGTTAGCCTCAGCATCTTTCTTTTCAAGCTGATTCTTCTTTTGAGCCAAGCTAGCCCTTAGATCCCGCACTTTGTCAACGGTGTCCCGAAGTTTTTCTAGACCCACGTTGAGATGTCTCTGTTGCTCTTCGAGATCCTCACGTTTTTCATTAAAGAGCTTAACGTAGTGCGCCACAAAATCAAGATAGTGACGAGGGGTAAGGTACGTTGACTTGTCCTGCTGTTTTTGGAGTCGTTGGTTGAACCTATGCAACGAATAGTGAACATAAACCATCGCATTGACCACAGTGTCGCGGTGAGATGCAGGGAGGGAAAGACCACGGTATGCAACTGGTATGCTATCTGGAGCAATAAAGTTCGGCTTGTCAAGGTCGACAGACTGAGTGAGTTCGTATCCAACTTGGTATAAGGCTTGGTCTGACCAATCTCCCATCCAGTTGAGCACGCATCTGTTGAAGAGAGCGGGGCTGGTCGCCGCTTTAGATGATAGACCGTCTTCAGGGGGGTTCATAGTAAAGACGACATGAAGGTTATTGACAATTTGTTGGGTGAACCACTTATAAAGCTCCTCCTGAGAATCAAGGAGTAGGCCTTGTCGTTGGGCGCCCTCCTTACAAGCCGTCATCAGGGAAGCAAATTCGTCACCTTCAAACAGACCAGGGACTTCGGCGTTTGCAAGAAGGGTGTTCATCCGCTCCAAAAACCCGGAATCCAACACATTGGCCTCATCCATGATGAAACAAATCTTCTCGCCTTTGCATCCTGCCCTACGAAGAACACTTCTGAGATCTTCGTCGAAGTCCTCACCGGAATATTTCCCGTGCACTTTGATCTGAAAGACTTTGAGGCCATTCATCCAGGCAACAAACCGAGACAATGTAGTCTTGCCACTACCGCTTACTCCGATCAAGATAAGATGTCCCTGGGGCTGGCGGAATACTCTGTCGATACGCAGAGCGTGCTCCAAGACGTCATTGAAAAGTACGAGAGGAACGTCGACCTCTTCCTCACAGAACGTGCGTAATCGCGCCTTGACAAAATCTCGTAGTTGTTCTTGCTCCACAGGAACATAGTTTTTAGATAACCAGTTCGAGAACAGAATTGGTGAGCTCAGAGCAGCAACTTCATCAATATTGGGGAAATGCTCCAGGGCGATCCGTTTGACTGACTCAGCAGTCCACTGTTGCTCACTTTCGTCCACGAGTCGATCCTGGAATAGCCGCAGGGCCTCATGTGCCCAAATTCTGACCAAACCCTCGATGGAAAGGTTTTCAAGCGGCTTTATTGCTTCATATACACCACGGACCCATCTGGTCAATTCTCGCGGGGAATAAACATAATGTGGTTGGATCTTGGTGGTGAATCTAGCTTGGGATTCTAAGTAGAATTGCACCATAGCTTTTGTAAGGGCCTCAGAGTATCCACGGAGCATTGGTATGATTTTGAGAACTGCAGAGTTGAATGTACCGTAAATCTGCAACAAGGATATTTCGCCGGGATAGTCAACCATAACCAATGGTGCGTGGCGGAGGAACCGCTCACCCAAAGGTGTTCGGCCTGCATCGGTTGGAGGGTTACACGCACCGACAAACTGGATTCTATCGAGAGTAATCCATGTCTTGTCCGAGGTTCTCCAGAAACCATTCTGTTCTACTAGTTGCCTCAAGAATGAGATTGCACGCTGAGTTCCATATTGGTCGCGAGCTGGAAGATTTATTTCATCACAGAAGATGACGAGCCAGCGGCCAATTTGGCTAGGAGACATCACCACGCCATTTAGTGTCTTCTTATATTCACAGTACTGTTCGAACGTTTTGATAAGCAAGTCGGGGGTTGTAGCACTGGAAAAGTTGAGGCCAACAACCTCCATATTCGGTAATTTCCTCAAGGCTGAGAACAAAGTCATTGTCTTTCCAGAACCTGGTGGACCACAAAGAAGAAGCGGCTTATGCTCCGCAAGCCAGGAATAGAGAACATCTTCGTGACGAACAGTATCCAGGGTTGGGATGATGACATCTGTTTGTGTGACTGAGTGAGTATTGATCTCAATGGAAGGTACTTGAGACTGCCATGGGATCCATTCAGCCTTGGGTAGTGAAACATCATAATCAATCAATGATGCAGAATCACCTAGCAGAGGAGTATCGGTAGAAGAGAAAGCAACCACATATTCACCAAATTGTTTCCTCTCACCAAGAGGACAATCACCAGTGAGTGACCACACAAGGGCTAGAAGAAGCTTTTTCGACATGTAAGACTCTGTTTGCTCAGGTTCTAAGGGGAAGTCGACGTGTTGGATGTTATACTCTAGGATATTACGACAAGCTTTGTTTAGCAAGCTGAACAAAGTGCCGAGGGCCCGAATATCACTGTATTCCATGATATGTGTGTATTTCCTAGCCTCTTGCAGAGCATTGAGTATAACATTGTCCCTTGATAGGAGCTCTCCAAGGAATGTTGCAATGGCACCTTGAGTTGCCATAGTTTTTGCGGAAGACTGTCCAGCAGGAACACTGTCATCATCTAAGTCTTCAAATATTTTCTCCTTGAGCGACTCAACGTAGTTTGTGATCATCATAGTTGAGGTCACAGTGTCATCATTGAACCATACCATACCACAGCGACTTACAGTAGCGAGGGTGGCATACTTGAGATTCTCGACCTCGAACATAACTCTAACATTTGGAGGAAGGTTTAACCGCTCGCCATTGGGTAGAGTAAGGAGCTTATTATCGTCCAGAACACTGTTGAGATTTTCAACCCATTCGGGGTCTACATCACCATCGAACACAATCCAGTGACGCTTTGAATCCTCACCGCGAAGATTGTCCACAACTTTTCGGAGAATCCCTGTGAAAAGACCGTCTGTCCATTCACGAGTGGTATTGTCGAGGTTTCCATATAAAGCTTCTTTAGACATAACTTTAGAGTCAATGATATGGGAAACACCTTCTACCCCTTCAGCCCGTTGAAGAGCCTGCAGGAGAACTTTCCATGCCGCACTCTTACCAGCTCCGGAGCTTCCCACCATCATCACACCATGATGAATGCCCTGAATCTGATATAACTGCAGGATTTTGGCGATCCAAATATCTGAGGCAACGTAATGGTTTTCAGCAGCAATATCTTTAATAGCTTGAGTAAGTTTCTCAAAGTTTGCTGGGACGTATTCAACTCCGGGAAAATCACTAGCCTGAATCTCTAACAGAGTTTCAACGTCTTCCCGAATGAGTTTTGGTGCAATTGTCTCCCGGATACTTTGAACAATAATCTGTGGTTCAATGTATTCATCCGGCCCAATATCTCCATCTGAATTTGCGAGTCTTAGTCGCTTCAGGCCACCCGAGCTGACTAGAACGCTCTTCAAAGCACGAAGGCCGAAATCATAGTGGGCTTGCTTTGAAAGGCGGCTGGCACAATGATCGAAGAAAGGTACGGTTTGTCTGGAAAGGGATTTTGCTTGTTTGAAGCCTTGTGAAAAGAGCATGACTTCAGCTATGAGCTCTTTATCAGGCTTTGACATGGCAACACTTCGGAAGAGTTTCTTCAAGTTATCTGGCAAGTTTGAACGGCCAGCATATCCAGGGTTCATAGTAATGAAAATTCCGGTGTTCATGTTGACTCGTAATTGCCGCCCAACAAGATCAATCTGAGCTTTCGTTTCGTCTTCACTATTCTTCAAGCCAATCTGGATGTTTTGGATCTGTTGTGAGACTGCGGATAGTATTCGTTCTTCAAGACGATTGAACTCGTCGAAACAGCCCCAGGCGCCCACCTGGCAGATACCAAGGAAGATTCTGCCCATTGCCTGGAAATCAAAGGTGTCGTCACAACAGAACACAAGAGTAAACCGACCAAGCTGCAAACCAAGTGCTTTCACGGATTCCGTCTTACCAGTTCCTGCTGGACCATACGGAGACCCACCTAATCTTTGGCACAGTGCTTGTGTAAGGGTCAGGAAACACCGGTCTGTAAGCGGTGTGCGGACGAGGCGTTCTGGAACACCTAGGTACTCAAAGCCATAACTTAGTTTTGCGTTCGCCATATGGATATAGAGTCGCTGTAAGAAATCTCCAGTTGGCTGGTAGACATATCGCATTTGCAGGAGCCACAGGTAGTGGGTTGGCAAGGAGGCGTTGACACTCATGAGTTTTGCTATAGCATCTCTTTGATGAACGAATTCGGTAATTAAATGTTCACACTTCTTGCGCGTAATCGGATCTAGGTCACCAAGGACGGTGAGAGCAAGTATATCGAGGACCCTCACTTCCGCGTCATACAATGCTGATAATCCATCACCTCCGGCTTCGAGGGCTCTTTGAACAGCATTGGTCCAAACAACTTGACTGCCCAAGACCACAATTTGAGCTGGGTAGTTTGCGATGTAGTCCTGGAAAGCGGTGGAGTCAACTTCTGAAGCGCTATAGATGGGTTCAAATTGCTCAATTGCCTCTGTCAAAAGCTCCGCCAGCGTCAATTTGACGTTGTTGTCTAGTGCAGTAAGCCAATCGTTGATACGAGGCGTTTTCACTAGCGACACTTCACGCTTCAGTATAACTTCCTCCCCTTCCTTGGAGCTAACGCCAATGATATTACCATCATCGTCGATGAGAAGACCCGAAAGTCCAGCGAACATCTTCTTGAAATGTTTTGCAACTCGGAGGGTATCATTGCTATTACCAATTATCTCAAGGAGATCTTCATCTCCAACGAAATAGAAGCGTGGGAACGATACACGTTCCTTTTCGAGGTATTCACCCAGTGCCTTTTGAATCTTGTGGAGCAGTTCTGCGAGTCTTTCAAGCGACTTCTGGACACCAGTAATGGCGAGGATATCTAGTACCAAAGGGGACTTGTAGACCTTTTTCATGACTGCGAAGAACTCAGAGTTGATATTTTGGAACCTTCCAGACTCAAGGGGAAGGAGATGCTTGATATCGGCATTCCCAGTAAATACTCCTTCTAGGTAAACCCATTGTCTTTGGACATCGATCCAAACGTCAAATAGGACATGTACCCTGGTGAGTTTGTCCTCCCAAGTCGTAGCCTCTTCTTCGAATTCCTTGTAATATGGAGAATGTCTCATTGCCTGGAGAGAGTTCAGATTTTCACTACACTTCGCAAAAAGATCATCAAACCCACGTATCAAGCGACACTTGTTTTGGTAGTTCACCAAGTCCAAGGTATAGCTTTGCCAGGTTTCACGAACGCTTCGCAAAAATTCCTCCAATGCCATCTCTCCCTGAGCTTGTGTAATAATGTCACGAATAACAGACTCACTGGGTCCAAGTTGAAGATCCCAGACGTCTCCTAGGGTCATTGATATCTGTGAGAAACGCTTTCCTGGCTTAAGGGCCTTGAAGATCTTTTGCCAATGACGCTCCCTGACAGCCTCGGATTTCATGTCTGCAAGCAATGGGTTGACTTTTAAGAAGCCGCGAAGAACATTTTGTATATGCTCAAAAGCAGCATACTGGCGCATTCGACTCGGCATTTCCTTCGTCATTTTGATCAATCCATCCAAGGACTGACGAAGTTTTCGCGGTTGGATGCTATTCCAGAGCGTATCGCGCAATTCATTCAAGCTCTTCCAGATTGTAGACAAGGCAGCCCATACAGCCATAAAATCTTGTACTTCCTCAAGAATAGCAGCGAGTGTGGTTTCGGGGCTGCTAGGAAGATCGAGAGCTTCCTTTGCCTTTGACACCATTTCAGATTCAGACTGTAGCTTCTCGAGACGCGACTGGAAATAGCTAAGTGTGGCAGAAGCCTCTTCAGGAGGAGTTGATCCTGAAACAGGTTTTTCTTCATTCCACTGGCTCACGGCTTCTGCAATCTTCTCGTTAATGACTCTGTCTTCCGCAGATATTTTAGCTCTAAGAGCATCTGTCTGGTCTTGCACAGTTTTGCTTCTGCGCTCCAAGATCTCATTGAGAGCATCCCACTCTCCAGAAACTCGATCAGCAGGAAGCCAGTCGCTAGGTGCTTGATATCTTTGTCGGATAAGCGTTGCTTGACCTTGCAAGAACAAGTCAATCTCAGGCTCCCAGAGTTTTGCTTTTCTCTTGCATTGCTGAACAATTGTAATAAATGAGACAGCTTGGGCGGTGGATGAGGCTTCGAGTGACTGTCCTTCCAGGTCTCGTCGAGCCGCTTCAAGTTCAGCATGTACATCTCGCATACGAGCTCCTAGTTTTCCTGCAAATTTAAGTAGAATCTCCCGTTGCCATTGGTCGTACTTTGCGTTGACTTTGGTCTGGACTTGCTCATAATCGATGCGAACATTTCCAAATGAACGGCGAACCTCGGATGTGTCGAATGTACCACGGCTTTTGCGAATTTCATGCAGTAACTGAAGCCATTGAGATAGGTCCTCTCCAAGGATATCGTAAACATGGGATGATTGCAAGTCCCATAACGATTGGAACTGAAGCCATTTGTCTACATACTCCGAGATTTCCTCCAATCGAGCTTCTATAAGTGAGTACACTTCGCTCAATTCTTCAGAGCAGTACTGAGGGATATCAGAAAAATGAGTTTCAGAATAAGAAACATTATCAGCATGGATTGACATTTTGTATCTCGAAGACTTGATCTTCTCCAAGTTACAAAGGATGCCGACCCATTCATCAAAATGAGCAAACCACGAGGCTCTAGCGTACTCCAGCGGTGGGTCGAGATGCATGACCTGGTTTTTCATGGAAATTTCGTGGAGAGACTTTGGGAACTGAATATATGATGTGTCTTGCTCCTCTTTGTTGCCGATCGCCTCAATAGTATGGCCCGTTCCAGATTGTTCATCTCCGGCATGTTGGAAGGACGCAATCCAACGTCTAATAGCACCCCGAAGTCGATCTTGAAGGATCGTTTCGATTTTAGTATTGAGGTTTGCAACCCAGTACCCAAGATTGGCGTAGTTTTCGAGGTTGAGTTTATCGATCGCAATCTGAATCTGATCAATGCGATTACGGAATACAGTCACGTCGTAAGGGCAGGTCTTCAAAGCAAGAATTGCTTTCTGAATGTTATCATCCATGGTGGCCAGGGTCGCTGTCTTTGATTGCAATACAGAGGTAGAAATTGCAAATTCACGGACAAATTGAACATGCTTGCTCTCACCACGACCGGAACTGACAGAAGGATCTGTAGATCCATTCGCAAGGCCTTGTTTGACATGGATCTCGTAAGAATGTATGAAAGACTCCCATCGCAAAGGGAGACCCTTTACTATTAGGGCCTGGACATCATTCTGATACCCATTGAGCAGGATGGCAGACTGTGACATGGATGCAATGGCCCTGATGGTTTGATGTAGAGTCCGAACACTCTCCATCAAGCTAATCGCAAACGGATAAACGCGTTTGGCTTCTTTCGAAACGCTAGTAATAGCGTGTGGAATTTGGAAGTTCAGCCAAACTAGATTCCGCACTTCCTTGAAGAGAGCAATAATTTGGGCATCAAAGTTGACGGCTAACTCAAGAGAGTTTCCAGCAGCGCGATTTCGAGTAATAACGAATAATCGGCCAGAGATGGCAATATTTCGTCGTTTGACATCCTGTACCCAAGCTTGGAATACAGGTCGAGTATCTAATTTCTTGCGGAACATATTGCTCTCGGCCTGTAGCTTTTGGCCATCTGCATGAAGATCCCAGTCTTCACCAAGAACATCCTCGACTTTTCGCATATAGCCATCCAATTGTCGTTCTATTTGTTGGGCCCAAATAATAGCTCCCGAGACAGGGGGTAGATCTCGGAGTTGTGCCATTGCATGGGCTTCTGAATGTCCATACTGCTGCTTAAACCGTTCATGCAAAGCCGCAATATCCTGCTTCACATTATCAATAAGCTTGGTTTGATATTCACCAATAGCACTCCTAATCTTTGGTCGAACCAGCAACGCGTTGAACTTTGAAAAGACTCGGAATTTCTCATTGGCATTTTGTGCTGTGGCAAGCTTATCACGGAGCCGAGCAATCATCAAATTTTCGACACGAGAAGTACGCTCGTTGTAGGTAGACTCGGCTTGGATCCATGCCTGTGTTCCTTCAGGACTGACGTCAAGAACATCTACATCCTTGAGAGCATTATATGCCTGGGTGACTTGCTCTACAGCGTCAACGTCACCAAATTCTTCCAAGGCAGTCGAGTTATCCGCTCCGGCAGACAGAGATGCGCCCCCCTGGTTAGATTTCGTGCCGAGAACACTGATGATAGTTCGCTGAAGCTGCTCATGGTTCGTGCGGAAGGTGTTAATAAACTTAAGTCGGTCCTGGGTTTCTGCGTGTTTTGGTTTAACCTTGATCGGGATAAATTTCTCGTTGCGCCTCCTCATGGCATCTCGAGCGACGTTGGTAAATTCTTTGATATTCTCGTCCCAGGTTCTCCAGACAATCTGAGCAGCACGCATAAGTGAGTGGAACTCAGTGTAGTCATAGTGCATGATACTCCGTCCCGGTATCAGCTTATGAATAGTCAAGTCCAGATCTCCAGAAATTGCTGCAACAAGAGATAGTGCACGTTTTATTGGGTATGGACAAATACGCAGTTTCTTGTTCAAATGCGAGAATATGAGATTCAGGGCTTCTTGGACCTTCTGAAGGGAGGTTGCAGACTCCAGTTCATCGAGAGGGAAATCACGGAGTAGCTGGTTATACTTCTGTACGGTTTCCATCGCCTCCTTCAATCCAGTATCGGCGGAGAAACTGAGAGTGGTAGAAAACCGCTTTGCATGTCGAAGAACGTCCATAGTAAGTTGCACTCCAGCATCTCGTAGTGCAGTCTCAATGCCTTCGAGTGCAGTCTCCATGGATAACCAGAAATTGATCTCTTGAACCGCAGATCCATTATCAGGGTCTCGAGACATTTTCGTAATCGCTTGAATCGACTTTATCCATCCATTCACATTATTCTGTATACTATTTATAACTGCATGGTTATCCAAGACTGCTGCAGGCACTAGCTCGACCGACGGTTCGATACCCCGACTTTGAGCTTCATCCAGAGCTGCCTGCACAATTTCATGCAACGGAAGGTTAAGCGCAGGTATCTCGATGTTCTGCTGCAAATGTGATAGAGCAAGTTCAAGCTCTGCAAACTTCTGCTTCGCACGAACCTCTCCGGTCTTAGGATCGGTGTCATTCCTCCCCTTGGACCCTTGAGCACCATCATGCCCACGCGTGCACGCTTCGTAGTACGGTGATAGACCATGATGGACAAAGGAGTATATGATCTCATACGGTGAAATCGGCGGGCCCTGTGGGGTGGTTGAATTGTTTAAGGAGGCAAATCCAGGCAGTGTGAGGACCTGGATCTGTGAATAGAGAGGAACGGTAGGGTCGATGGGCTGTCCTGGCTTGAAGACTGCCATAGCCGCCGTGGTGGTAGGGGATATGGATAGCTCTGAGCTGAGAGTGTAGACATAATTACTATGCTCCGCTGCAGTACCGTTAGCCAGCCGAACATATATTCTAAATCCTGCCTCGGACATCGGTGACACCTACTGTCATCGTCTGACCCATTGGTTTGCTCTGGTACAACGGTATCTTTATGCGCATACAGGGCTATCTGCGATTCAGAGGCAAATCGTCCGCAACGCTGGAGTGTCTCGGAGTACTTTGCTTGTGAAAGTAAACTTCCACTGCTCTCAAGGTCTCTCCTTAAAGCTCCAAGCGTCCCCTGGATGACTTCAGCTAGATAGTGAAGCACGACTTCAGGGTCGACAATCATCGAAACCGTCGGTGATGGGACGCCATTTGCCGCCCCTGGAGAGACGACCTCCATGCTCGCAGACTTAGAGTACGCGACCCGTCGCTGTCATCGAGAGTTATGGTAGGAGGAAGAAGGCAAGACTCGTGGGAAGCATCGACCTAATATGCGGTGACCGTGACGTGTCGTGCATTAAGGGAGATAAGTCAATCACTATGAGCTTGACACCCTTGGGCTCTCGGGCCTTGATCTTGTCTGTCTTCAACGTGGTTTTGGGCTCCAAATTATCCAGCTTCACCTTTTTTTTTCTCTGGCCTGCAATGCAGCGATGTTTACATGTGTCACATGACTAAGTGCACGCCGGTTTCAGGGTCAGGGGTATGATGACTAAGCACAGGCCTTTGATTTTAACGTCAGACTCAAGTGTAGGTTTTGGTTCCTGGTTTCTAACTAGGACATAGGGGGTAGACATAAATAAAGGAAGGAAGTGTAGGAAGAGGTAGTTCAAGAAGACGAGGGGAATGCATTCACGTTGGATGGTATGTGGCTTGGCCGTTCACGTCTGACCTTCACTCCTCCGCTGTCTCCGGCTCCTCTTCCTCGTGCTCCTCCTGTCTCTCGCGGCAGTCGCACTTGTACTTTGCTCGGAAGTCCGCCGCACTCATCTCCTCAAGGATCTGAAGGGCATTCTGACTCGCCTTCAACTTGGCATGGCGAGGAGATGAGGCGACCCCTTCGGCCACGATGTCGTCGTGGACGCAAACCGCCGCGAGGGCACGCACCGTGGTGCCGTCTACGCATGGTATTTCATCTGCTTTCAAGGCGTAGAACGTGCAGCCGAAATCTACGGCGAGTCGAGTGTGAAGGAAGGTAATAGGGTGCTTGTTAGCGAACGTATCGTACACGCTCATGTCCTCGAAATAGTGCTGGATGAACTTTCGGAAGAAATCATCCACAACGTCAAAATTGAAATTCGAATCCACGAATATGGCTCCGAGGTACGCTTCAACAATGTCCGGTAAACACTAAGCAGATGCATAAGACTATCTCTTCGCATAGTTGGCTTGTAGGATGGTTTACTCACCTTTGGCGGTTCGTTTGTGTATGTCCAGGCCTCAAGGTTTCCTTCCATTTTGATTTTCATAGCCTGCAGTTCTTCTGTGTAGCTAGTAATTTGGCCTTGGAGAGTATTGCTGATATGGATAAGATGGACATGGAGGTTCAAGCTGACTGCAAGCGAACCAAGGAACTTGTTGGATACCATTGCCATCTAATCATGTCAGTAATGTATACCTAGTTAGGGGAGGAAGTGTTGTATTTACTTTGTGCTCTGTGAGCCATTGAGGGTCTTTGTCGGGGTATCTCTCAAAAAGATGATTGACGCAAACCATATCAAGTAAAGAATCACCAAGGAATTCCAGACGTTGGTAACAAGGGACATTTGCCCACTGAGATGGATACGATGGGTGCATGAAAGCGGACCGAAGGAGCTTAGGGTATTTGAAACAATAGCCGAGCTTTGACTGGATCTGGTTGGCAACGTCAATCTCAGATGCGCTGGCTGATGCTGTTTGGTAGTTTGGCAAAGAGTACAGTCTTGAGTAGTCTGCCCATCTTTCCACGCGATGGTCATCACTATTGACGAAAACCGTGACTGCCTTGGTGGCCATGTCAAATTTGTGATCAGGACCTCCAGCCAGTAGAGATGCTCCAATTAGAGCCTCGCATACATCGGCAATAGTTTTGTCAGCAAGCGCATGCTCAGGACCATTTGGACCTTCTTTCTTGTCTTTGCCTTTAAGCAGTGTTAAACCCTCGGGATACCATGCTCGTCTAGGGTATAAGTTAGCGGGATGTCAAAATCAACAGGGAGTATCCCATAGTCAGCGTACCTTGAGAATGATCTGCTGCGAATGAACTTGAAAATCTCCAAATTTATTGCATTGTTGAACAAATTCTGGTTGCAGATGAGTAGCATACGCTTGACATGGTAGTCGTATTCATCGTTATCCGGATTCATGGCAAAAAGAGATATGGATGTTGCCATCTTTAAGAAGCAGTCGCCAAGGAACTCAAGCCGTTCATAATTCTTGCCCATTCCGCTTTGGAATCGAATTTGTTCCATGCCGTGCTCCTCTGTGTTCTCCGAGTCTTTAGTCAATGCCTCAAGCGCTAGTTCTGGTGGAATCTTCAGTTGGAGGTTTTCACAGGCCTCCAAGGCAATGAGATAAGATTCCATTCTCCAGATCATTGCTGGGAAAACGAATATTTGTGTGGCCAAGGGAACAGAGATCTAGAGAAGATAGTCAGCATAGTCTTTTCAACATATGATAGAGAGAGTCCATACTGCGGAGATTTTCAATGCCTCCGCGCAGACATAGTAGTCCACAGGAGGACTTTTCGGGTTCTCATCTATATCCAGGAAGTTTCGACGAAGTTGTATGAGTTCCGAGCGCAAAACTGGCTGGTCCCAGTTGCACCTTTGCATGAATCTAGCTCGCGAGTTTTTAAACAGGCTGAGACAATAGTTCATAATGTTGTCCATGTATCGGCGTCGGGCCACGTTCTCTGGAACTGGGTCCTGAGGCCGTCGAGTTGGATCGACTTTGATTGAGAAATAACGATATCTCCCATCCCACTTGTCTACCAAGAACCTGTTCTCGAGGAATTCGTTAGGCATATCAGGCGACCAGAGAAGTTCCTCGTTTTCTTGAATATATTGTAGCATCTGCCAATCGATCAGTTCGACTGGGTTTGACTTTTTGATGTCTGTAACACCGTCAAGTTTCGCGGGTGCAATCAAGTAAGACACCAGCGATGAATTTTCTTCATAAATTTTGTGAAAGACATCCTCGAAGACCCTGAAGGTGAATTTGGTCAAAAGTTCCAATTCAGGTGGTATGACTTTGAGTCCTTCCTCAACTCTTATGCTGCAGCTACCGCATTTCTTATTGTGTTCCAGGTATAAGGGGAAAGAAGGGAAGTCAGGCATTGGAACTCTTGTCAACAATACAATTGGATGGTAAGACCTTTGCAGCTTCTGACAGTCTGAGAGTGAGAGAACAGTGGCGTATAAAATCGTCGGGGACTCTCCCCTGGAGAGTTCCCACGCTGCAGGTTTGGATATCATGCTATATTTGTTGCTTTTCTTAGATGTGATAGCGAGTCGAGCATTTCTCATTACCGGGAGTCGTTTGTGATAGGTTGAGATGAAATATTCATCAAGTAACCTGTTCTTGCGCAGCAGCAGGCACGTCTCAAAGGCTGCAGATTGTTTTGCAAGGAGCTTCCGCGAGGCCGACTTTCCCATGCATCCTCGTATTGGTGATTTCTCGGGGAGTATGGTCTCGCAGATAAAGGCACCATCTTTCGGATGGATTATATAACTAACCTGAGTTGACAGTTCTTTTTCATATTGCTATCTTCGATTAGCGTCAATGATTGAACCCAAGGATGACACTCTTACCAAAGTGCTTGCGTAGTGTGCAAGAACAGCTAATGAAGAAGGGTAGGTCAGCTTTGCACCCGTGCTTTTGATAGTGTAAGACTTTTGCTGCCTGTCTTTTTCTATCATCATATCAATGTCACCAGTTCCCTTTAATAACCTGTCCTCTGGAAGGGATTTGCAGAACCGAGTGAGAACTTCCTATAGATAGCGCCATGGAGTTAGATTCATTTTTCCGCAAACTCTTGCTAAGAGAAGTTACTGTTACTACCTCCGAGCGGCGAACTTCCTCAACCGCAGTCTCATGCATTAAGTTATTGCGTTCCACCATATGTGCAAACTGAGGAATGACATTAGCTTGGACTAGGGAAACTTCCAAATACGTAACTCATACCGTGGACTCCATATGCCGGGCTCTGCCTCTGCTCTGAATATACTGAATGAGTGTAGAGTAAAGATCGAACCTGAGATTGAAGTCAGTTCCAGGACCCGGTATTAAATACTCGTTGAATTCATTCACTGTTACCTAACAATGAGATTGCAGTCTTGAATATCCAGCCCCTCCTCGGCCACGGACGTAGCAAACTAATGACACTAGTTAGCTATTGATAAATAAAGAAAAGAAGTGAAGAGCTCATACCAAGCAATTGATCTCTCCCTTCCTAAAAGCTATCACATTCAGGAACTGTTCTCTGAAAGAGATGTCTAGTCCAATTTTATCACCACCAGACCGGACACCAACCAGTAGGTTTGGCCGAATATATTGAGATCCAATTTTCTTGAAGAGATCCCTAAGAATTCTTGCTGTATGGCGTTGTGCGGTAAAGACAATGCATCGGGTATCTGGGTTTTCTTTAAACCGCCGTAGCAGCTGGTCTCTCAGTAGCAGCACCTTACGACTGAGAAGCTCCGGATTAGCGACTGGGTCACCAAACTCATGTTCCTTGATGATGGCTCCCGCCTCCCTGATCCTTTCAGCTTCCGTATCACATGAGGGCTGGTTGGGTATACTTTTCATCAAAGGCCGGTTTGACCTAGCTTCTAGCTTAGGCAGGGTTTCCTCACTCAAACAGTAGCTCCATATCCAGTCAGAACACCAGCTTCCTAGACTTGAGGATGTCTCACGTGAGAATTTAAATATCTTTTCCAGGACTTTAATATCACCAAACTTCTGCCGAAGCTTTCTATAAAGTGGCGTCTCGAAAGGCAATTCAAGCCTATCATATTCCCAGATTTCTTCTGTTGGCCGAGTCACGCTCTGCCGTAGAAGAGCAGGATTTGATGCCGTAGTTATCTGGCTGTCAAGCATGGCTTCAAGAGTCCTGTGTTAAGATTGATTAGCCCAGAGGGGTTTCCATATTGATACAAGGTACACACTTTGCTGCCCCCACAACCTCAACCTTGGCATCCACTGGCGATGCAGTCATGCCAAATATTTTTGGCTTCCTCTCAGGCTCTTTTAAATAAAAGTCCTTGATAATTCTATATAGAGTATTTTAGCTCAATGTACGTATTATTAAAAACATCACAATATCTTACCTTGCGTACGGATGCTCCTTTTTAGCATGGTGAGCCTCATCAAAGATCAACAGGTTGATTTGGTCAATCTGAATAAAGGAATGAAGCAGGCATTGATGAAGTACTTCTGCCGTACAGACAATAACCATATTTCTTTTGAAGTGGCCTTCCCAGGTCTCCTTATTCCAGAGATCTGTCTGCATTGCACCACAAAATTTGTCTATCTTCTGAGGTATATTGTTCTGTAGTACAGCTGCTTGTTGATAAACAAGCGTAACACTATCAACCTACTTAATATTTAGTATCTTAGCGTATAGAAGTATAAGGTGAAGTAACTAACCAGAAAGAATGAAATACGAGGCGGCAGTCCAAGACTACGATCTGTCAACTCCTGTTCAATGACATGCTTGAGGAGAAGGACGGCAATAAGTGTTTTGCCTGAGCCTATATTACAATAAGTATTAGGTTAATTAAGCATATAGAGCTTGAGTTCATACCAGTCTCGAGTACAGCAATGATATTCTTCTCCTTTGATTTCTCAAAGAGCTCAAGTTGGTACTCACGAGGGTCATGGATAATCGAGGTATAGTCCTGTTTGGCAATTATATTTGTCATTGATAGCTGAGTATCATCAGTTACCTTGATAACAGCCTTGACATCCTCCTCTGTGATAGCTTCAGCGCGCCGTGACAACCTAGTGGATGGGATGGATTAGGAGCAAGCAAGAAGGTTTATGTTAAGGGCTAATATCACATACAAAGCCTTGAATTTACAGCTGAGTGCTCGCCGTTTCTCGCTTGGGTGGGTCGGGTTTGGTTTTTCATCTTCTGTCTCGGACTCAATAGGAGTCCCTGATCGAGTCTCGGGGTTTGAATCAGTAGCCGGAACATTGGTGTTCTCCTCTTTCAATGTCTGAGGGACACTTGTAGTGGCCTTGTCGATGTCAGAGTTATCCCCCATCATATTGGTATTTCCTGACTTCAGAAGGCTAGAGTTGTTGGTTGTGAAAGCGCAGATTGACCAGGAAGAACTCTGAGAAGATATAAATAGTGTACCTGGACGCAGCAGGTTAGTGAAACGGCCAGTTCACTTATACGCTAAAGGCTGAGAAGTGAAAGAATATATCACAGCCAATATCTGCATTTACTGTCTAGTTGGTGAATGGCTAGCGAGGTTGCAGACTGATGTTTGCTTTAGGTGGAACAAGACTCGTTTCTAGCCCGATAGATACCAGTTAAAGTGAATGCATACAAAGAAACTGGATAGCTCGCTTTATTTCATTGTTCTATCAGCCCCTTGATACAATTGCCTTCGCACCAGCCATGAAGAAGCATCAGCCAAACTGCATACAACAAAGTTGTTGCTGAAAGGGAAAAGTGACAGGGGAAAAAAAGGAGGGGCTGTGTACGGAGTAGTTGTTCGATACTAGCAGCATACGACCCTAAAGTAGTGCTCTTCGGCTACTTCAGACCAGACCTGCAAGTTGAGACACCGATAGATGCCGCCAAAGAGCCATTAAGGGATCAGGCAGATTAAAAAGAAGAATCCTGCCAATGTTTGATATTTGATGTTGAGAAGCTTCGTATCAGCATTCAAGTTAGAGTTCAGGGTAGTTACGGTCACGTGGACTGGCTCAAGGCTAACTAACCAGTTAACTAATGGAGCCCGACAGGGTCAACAGACACAAAACCGCGAAGTCATTCAGAGCAAAGGCCTTCGAGAAACAGCTATCTGTAATTTGACGTCAAGAATCACTCAAGTTAGCAGTGACTTACCATGAGTAGCTCGTCCCCAAGCCTGCAATCCTGCCTCGCTTCTGCAAAGGCAAAAAAACAAGAGCTCGAGACGACGGCGGCAGATACAAACAGCCCCGCGTTCCGGGAAGAGCTCAGCAAAGCTATATCTGCCTTTGAGCAGTGCCAGAAACTCATACAGCAGCTGTCGTTGTTCAGTCCCAATGAATCAGCGGAAGACATAACTACCGGAGATTTACAGTATGCAATATAGCCCGAGGACACGACCAGATGTGAGCTAATGCCGGCTCGACGTGTAACTTTAGGTTTTTGACAGTCCCATACCTACTCGCCGAACTACACCAACGGTCTTACAGTACGGATCGTCTTAAAACACTCCAGCAGACGCGAGATGAATATGAAAGGTTTCTTGAAGCACTAGACCAATACGACCTTCTCTCGCCTTCAAATAAAAAGCTCTACGAACAGTACCTTGAACAGCCGGAGTCGTTCAGCCTGACTCCTACCAATGATGCATCGGCTCGCAGGCAAGTGAAAATAACGAGATTCAAGGAAGAGAAGGAGCTTAGGCGGAAATTAGAGGTTTGTTTGTTCTCAGCTATATGTCTATTATTCAAGGAACACGACGGACGGTTGGTTGCTAACGGAGGGAAACTATAGTACCTTTCGCAAAACAGGGATTCGAGTCACAACGACGATGACCTAGTACGGCAGGTGTACCTCGCGGAAATCAATTTCTACACGCACCGAACTTTCCAATCCCTGGATATGCTGGCGCAAGAACTATCCATGCTTAAAGCAGCTCAGTCGCTTCCCCCAGTCCAAAGAACAGACGAACGCAAACCAGGGCTTTCAGACGGGAAGGAAACGGGATATTCCGACCGTCTTGACATGATTGGTTCGCAGATGGGTCGTGGTCGGTATAGCGGGGTGCTGCTGAGCCCAGACGGTAAACCACTTCAGCCGTTTACCTTGACAAGCCGGAGAACCGATATTCAAAGGGGCGTATTCCGACCGGGACACAATCTCCCTACGATGAGCATCGATGACTACTTGGAAGAGGAGAGGAGACGGGGTGGTATCATTGAAGGTGGTGGTGAAAAGTCGGGTATCCCAAAGGAGATTGACGAAGATGATTTTGAAAAGGCTGATGAGGAGACTCTTAAGGCGAGGGCCTGGGATGAGTTTACAGAGGCTAATCCTAGGGGTTCCGGAAATACTTTGAATCGGGGCTAGGCCATGTCTTATTCATGATCTTTGCTGAGGAAGTGTGCCTCAATCCTGGGCAAATGCCATGTTAGCTGTGCTTTCTACCGGCACTGGCAATTGACGGAGGCGTACCCGGCGGGGAAAATTTTCCCTTTTCAGCTCCGGCCACTTTGTCAGAGCTAGGTCGAGCAACTCACGACCCAGAATCTCATATGCCTGAACGCTGAATTAGACTTTTTTGGAATGGAGGAAGAAAAGAGAGCAGAAACGAAAAGGGTATACTAACCTTGTCTCCAAAGTGGAGTCCATCTGTAAAGTACCCCTTATCAAAGGGCTTTGCACCAGGCATGCCTGAACCCGGAAGCATTTCATCGATGTCAAGATGATAGAATGCATCGTCCTGAGTTGTCCCTTCAATCCTACAGACAGACTTTGTGAGGGCATACCAAAGGTCTAAGACGGCCACTCTGCTAGTCTGGGCTTCATACTCCTTACCAATCTCGACTATTTTCTTTGCATACGTCCGTTTCGACTCCCATGTTCTGTGCCCACGGCTCTGCGATGCCACACTGCGCAGAATAATGGCGGCATCTGGGTTATCCAGGAGAGGCTCCCCTACCGGAACTGGGACATTCACTGGGGGTGGTGAAATAAGGATCACTTTGGTCTCCTGCGTGGCAGGGTCGTCCAGTATGGTATTCAGGTAATGGCGGATATGCTCTTCATACTCTTCAAGGGGGACCATGGCTCCACTCAGTGATAGACATGCATCGTTGGCTCCCAGGAATATGGTGATAAAGAGCGGTGCTGGTGGTCCTCTTGACTTAATAGCTCCCATTAGGTATTCATTAAATTGTCTCCGCAACGACCTTGACGTTTGTCTGATCCAAATAAGCCCATGTTCGTAGAATTGCCACCGAGTGGGAAACGGATGCTTAAACATACCCAGAGTAGCCTACTCTCCTAGTCAATTTGCGATTCTCCAGCATAGCCACTCTCATAGCAAGCAATTTAAAAGTAGAAAGAGAAATATGAAAGAAAATTCAGGATAAACTGCCTACCTTCGTTCACGACCTCCACTCTATCTGCATAGTACTTCTGCAGCTGCCAGCCAAAGCCGACGTCTTGCGAGAAGAAACCCCTTTCGGTCAGGGAGTCGCCAAAGAGATATATCCGCGGATAGTCGTTAGGCGTGACCTTGTCCAGCCTGCTGTCCCGCCGGAAGTATCGATAGGACATGGCTAGTCAGTTAACTAGGTAGTTAGTTGAACTAGCCTGTGGGGATATAATTTAAGGTCGAGAGAGTAGGGCGACTATTCTGTCTGGAAAAGAGAGAGACAGCGGACCGTCGACAGCCTCTTCCTGGCTATATGGCATGCGCGGGGCAAAAGAAAGCAGAAGAAGACGAGAGAGCTACGGGAAGATGGAAAACGGATGCGAAGGCACGCATCCCGGGGTTGAGATGCTCTTGTTCTAGGCCGGGCTCTGCGGATGCAGCGCCTGCAGGAGCCGTCTAGTTCATAGACATACATATACGCATTGGGTTGGCGAGCAGCCTTGGTTGGGCCGACTAGTCACAGCCTCTATGCCGCCGCCCAGTGGGACACGGGACGGGAGCGGTTTTAATAGAACTCGATAGACACTTGGACTCTTTTTTAGAGCTACGATTTCACTGCCTAGATAGACTAAGAGCGCGAACTAGTCGATATCGGGCGCCATCCCCTGAGGCTAACTATGGGGCCCTGTTGTGCCTAGATCTTGGAGAAAGCAAAGAGACAGGCGCATTCAGTTAACTATGTAGTACGACTCTCAGACTGAACCAGCCCTCCTAGCAGTCTGACTGGTTAACTATCCCACGGGATGAGGGCAGAAAGAGGGACGAACGCGAGGTGGTTAGTGTTTACCATGCTTTCTTCTTCTGCTGGATGACTTCAAGGATCTTGCCCGCCCCTTTCTCGACCATTTCGCCTGCAACGGCCTTGCCAAACGCTTCAGCTTGCTCTGGCGTGTGGACATTGCAGTCCTTCTCGATTTCCACGGCCTCCTTGCCGTCTATACTGGTGACGATGCATCGAAGCCTCAGCATCTCACCCTTCCCACTCGCATCCGGAACCCATTCAGTCTCAACGCCGAGGGGAGCACTACATCCACCTTCCAGTGTCCGTAGCAGATTTCTCTCGGCCAAACAAGCGAATGTCGTTTTCTGATCTCCAATCTCCCGCAGCATCTCAACCATTTTCTCATCGTCAGCCCGAATTTCAACCCCAAGCGCCCCCTGGCCCACAGCATGGAGCATCTTCCCATTTTTGGAATCGAGATACTGTGCAATGCGATCTCCGTGTCCCGATCTCAGCAAGCCAGCAGCTGCAAGTATGATACACGTAAATGGGCCGTCTTCCGCATCCAGCTTGGCCAAACGTGTGTCAATGTTACCTCGTACATCAATGACCTTGAGGTGTGGATAATGGCGGCCGAGCTGTGCTGTACGGCGGACGGAGGACGTTCCAACCACCGAGCCTGCCGGCAGTTCCGCAAGTGTCGTCTTTGGCTGGCCCTTCTTGACCACCAGCGCATCTCTGGGATCCTCACGTTTCATGATGGCGCTCAGTGTGCAGGCCTCGGGGATTTGCGTTGGGACATCTAGTCTGGTTAGTAACTGATTTCCCATCAATATTGCTATCTTATAAAACGACCATACTTTAGCAGGCAAGAGGAGAGCATATCACACCTTTCAAAGAGTGCACTACGAGGTCAAGCTGCTTTGCCAGCAGCATCTCCTCGAGCTCTTCCGTCCACAGATTCTTCGACGTGAACTCCCGAAGCGGGGTAATCTTGTTCAGATCGCCAGCAGCATCGCGAGTGTGCACATTGAATTCGCAGTCTGGCCATCTTGCTACCAGGGCATCCCGTACGATCTCTGTCTGGAGTACGGCCAGGTTCGATTTGCGCGTTCCGATGGTGAACGTCTTGCGCGGGGCGTCCATCTTATATGATCGTATGGCCCGTGGGATTCCAAATGTATAGCAAAAAAAGGGTGCGTGTGAGACGCGATGCAGAGTAATCAGGCAATCGTGAAAAAAATAAGCTGCGAGCTATAAAACGAATGAATCTGCCGATGGAGGTGCGATACTGCTATTCCAGGCGAGAAAGCTGTAGAGATTGGTCCTTGCCGTAGCTCTGGAGAGACTGGAGCACTAGGAGATTGTCTTATTTTATTTTAATTTTTTTTTTTTTTTTGGCTTGGTTTTCCCAAAATTATGGCTCTTTGCAGGCCTCTGAAGGCATAGTTCTCTTGACCACCAGGCCATCACTCCAACATTTTTGAGTCCTGTCACTTTTGAACTTAGGTAAGAGGAAAGGGGCCCTGACTAGCTCTGCAATACGGCCACCAAACTAGATAAAATAATATTAACAACAACCGATCGAACGTCGCTTTTCAAGGTGAGCTTCAGGACGCAAACTTATGGGGGCGGTCTTGCTGACATGTGACACCCAAACTGACTAAGCAAGCAATATCACGTGAAACTGACAGAACTCCAGGGGCGGCTTTCGGCTTGGCGATAACCTCGGCATCTCGACGAAGAAGCGCAGCAGAACGAAGAAGGAGAAGCAAGAAGAAGAAGCGAGAAGTCGATAAAACGAGAAGAAGACACCCCTGAAGGCGACGAAGGCGACGACACTGCCGAGAGCCGGCTTAGACTCCCCCGACATAAACAACCTGTGTTGACCTCAACAGCCTTGACTGCACACTCAATTATATCCATCCTACTTCTCACCTCGCCAACTCGCCCCGACGACGTAATAACCTGGCGGCGGCAGAGCACCCCCGGGACTGCCGTTTGACCTGCGGCGCTGTTCTAATACCAGGAGATCGAAGATGGCCTCCAGTAGCGGTAAGAGGACCATGAAGGTCCCGCTGATACCTCTTGCCAGAGACCTGGTCCTTCTCCCAAGCGTCAACCTGCGAATCCCGCTCTCAGACCGCCCCGATATCCCGACGCTCCTCACCTCGCTCTTCAGCAGACATGCAAAGCAACGACAAAACAACACTCCGATCCTGGTGGGATGTATTCCCCTGAACTCACCCTTTCTGTCCAAAGACGGCCAGTTGCTCCTCACCGACGGGGACAAGGCGAGGGCTCGGTCGATAGACGAGGAGCCTGTCAACCCTGCAGCAGCCGGAGTCAACGACCTCTTCCAGTATGGAACGATCGCTAAGGTGGTCGGAGTCCAGGGAAGAGCAAATGCGGAGCCCTTCCTGCTTGTCGAGGGAGCGAAGCGGTTCTCAGTGCAAAAGATCTTGAAGGAGAAACCTTTCTTTGAAGCAGAGGTGTTGGTCTATGACGAGCCAGGTAGGATAGCTTATATTCCGCTAGGCACTGTGTACTCTGCTAACATGGGTTTATTCCTCTACAGTCCCTCACTCTATCGACCCCGAAATCCCTGAATTGTTCCAACAGCTTAAACAGCTATCTCGCGAACTCCTAACTGTTCTGCGACTCGCCTCTGTTTTTTCGGCTTCGTCCAGCATGTCTCCTCTGATTGCTCGGCGGTTTGAACTTTTCATCGCGAAACGGGATATATCTCAAGCTGGTGCTTTGGCAGATGTCATTGCTGATTTGATCGATGCCGGCTTCGAGGAGAAACTCCGAGTCCTAGCTTCCGTCGAGTTGAAGGACAGACTGGAACGTGTCATTGAAATGTTGACCAAAGAGGTCCAGGGTATGAGAAATAACATAAAGGTGACAACATTTACTACAACAATACCTTCCACCATGGGAGTTGATATCAAACAACTCGACCCTCGGCAGCGGGAGCTCTACCTCAAGCGTGGTATGCAGATGAATATGCCTGGCATGCGAGGAAACGGAAGCGGAGACGACGGAGAGGACAAAGAGCCAAACGAGATAGACGAACTTCAACAAAAGCTCCAGGAAGCGCAGCTGAGCCCTGAAGCGCAGAAGGTTGCCGACAGGGAGATTAAGAGGCTTCGCAAGATGAACCCTGCAAATGCTGAATATGGAGTTTGCCGCAACTACTTAGAAAATATTGCGGAGATTCCCTGGTCTAAAGCCACCGAAGACCAGCTAGGCCCAGAAACATTAACTCGGGCTAGACAACAGTTAGACAATGACCACTATGGACTTGAGAAGATCAAGAAGCGTCTTTTGGAATACCTTGCTGTCCTGAAGCTGAAGCAATCTTTAAACAACGATGTTGAGTCACAGATAACTGAGCTCTCCAACGACCTCACAGCAAAGCAAAACGCCACTGAAGACGATGACTCTTCTTCCATCGCTGAACGGGATGCCATCGAGACAAAGCTACAGCTGCTCAAGTCGAAGCGTGTAGTTGATAAATCACCAATTCTTCTTCTGGTTGGCCCTCCAGGTACTGGCAAGACTAGTCTGGCCAAATCCATTGCTACATCACTCGGTCGCAAATTCCACCGCATTTCTCTCGGTGGTGTCAGGGATGAGGCCGAAATTCGTGGCCACCGCAGGACCTATGTCGCAGCTATGCCTGGACTCATTGTCAATGGTCTTAAGAAGGTCGGAGTTTCAAACCCAGTTATGCTCCTCGACGAAATTGACAAAGTTGGCGGCGCAAACTTCCACGGCGATCCATCAGCTGCCATGCTTGAAGTCCTTGATCCTGAGCAGAACCATACCTTCTCCGACCACTATATCAATATCCCCATTGATCTGAGTAAGGTACTATTCATTGCTACTGCAAACTCTCTGGAAACCATTCCTCCACCACTGCTTGATCGTATGGAGACTATTTACTTATCCGGATATACCACTGTTGAAAAGCGGCATATCGCGAAGCAACACCTCCTCCCGAAGCAAATTCGAACAAATGGTCTATCTGAAGGCCAAGTCATAATCACGGATGAGGTTATGGACAAGATTATAACCTCTTATACCCGTGAGTCAGGGGTTCGGAATCTTGAACGCGAAATTGGCGCCGTATGCCGGTTTAAAGCAGTTCAATATGCAGACGCCAAAGATTCATCGCAACTTGACCAGTACAAGCCTAACGTGTCCGTTGATGACCTCGATGAAATACTAGGCATTGAACGGTTTGACGAAGAAATCGCTGAGAAGTTGGCCAGGCCAGGTATTGTCACAGGCCTTGTCGCATACTCCTCTGGCGGCCAGGGCAGCATTCTCTTTATAGAAGTGGCTGATATGCCGGGAAGCGGAAGTGTTCAACTCACCGGTACCCTAGGTGATGTTCTCAAGGAGTCCGTCGAGGTGGCCCTTACCTGGGTCAAGGCTCACTCATATGAGCTTGGTTTAACACAAGATCCTAATGAGGATATCATGAAACACCGCAGCTTGCATGTCCACTGTCCTTCTGGGGCCATTTCTAAAGACGGCCCTTCTGCCGGTCTCGCCCATACCATTGCCTTGATTTCTCTTTTTGCCGGTAAGGTTGTTCCACCTGAGGTTGCCATGACCGGTGAAGTATCTTTACGTGGACGGGTAATGCCCGTTGGAGGAATTAAGGAGAAACTGATTGGTGCTCATCGAGCTGGTGTCAAAACTGTTCTGTTACCCCAACAAAACGTCAAGGATGTTCGAGATGTCCCGAAGGAAGTCCAGAAAGGACTTAATATTGTCTACGTTACGTATGTGTCAACGTATTATACTGCAATTGAAACCAGCTGCTAACCATATCCCCAATTTATAGGCACATCTGGGACGCTATCAAACAGATCTGGCCCGATGGCCATTGGCCTGGAGAGCAACGTCACCCAGTGTTTGAGAGTCGGCTGTAGTCGTGCTCGCTCAAATGGGAGTTTCTCCTATGATACGAGTATAATGGAGCGTATAATGGAAAACGAAACGGTTGTTCAAGGACGGGGTTATCACATACGTCAAGGAGTTCAGCAATGAATATTGCATGTTTCGGTTGTCTTTTGCTTTCTCCCTCGTTTCAGCGTTTAATTAACTCTATACTTCATTCATTTGTATATTTAGCAATGCTTTTGAAATTAACTGCATGACTTCCTAATGCCTATCTCTAATATGCAACTGCTTATCAGAGATGGAACTTCTAATCAACACAGTAACAGGGAAGATATAATAATATAATCTGATAATACATAGCAGTAAAAATATTCTAAATGTACAGCCACCAGCCCATCCACGCTATAGCTGGTCAAACAGTAAAACATAACCCTCCAATATCCGAGGGATTATCCCAGAGGCACACTCTTGTCATAGTAGTCCTCCATTCTTGTCTTCAGATAAGAAAAAAAATTTATATTCAATAACTACACGTGCCTTGCGCCGGATTGAAACTCGCAGTTTTAGCTTCCTGGTGACTGAACTGGTTCCTGTGTCTTCGATGCTTCCTTTGGCTCGCGTTCTTGCCTGTTGAATAATGGCCTCTGAGAGCTCAGGCCCAGTGCTTGCCAGGTTGGCTGCCACTGCTCTTCACCCTTTAGAACCTGCTCTGCTTGTTCGGCTAGCATCTGTCGTTTTCGTGTGGGTGCCTTCATTGGCGCATCGTGAGCGTGCGCAGCCTGGAAGTCCTCTTGCATCTTCTTGGCTTCAAAGAATGTGTCACGTTCCCATCTAAGTAGCAGTTAGGAAATTATCCTAAAAGATCTCATTGTCTAAGTCTAAACTTACGGTCCAAAGTCTTCTGGTTCTTCCGGCCACACGAAGGGTTCGGTCATCTCAATTGTCATTTTCTTCTTCGGCATTGGGCGTCGCATCGGGCCAACGCCCTGCCTTCCTCGGGGAAGTTCACGCGTAACCTTCTGCTGTTCAACATAACTTCGTACTTTGATAACGTCGACATTGTATACTCTCTTCATATAGTCTTTCATGTCAAGTTTGTTGAACGTAAGAGGAACCCAAAAGGAGGCATATCGAGGAGGTAAGAACGGAGTCCTTATGAGCGTAAGCACGAAATCTGGTCTGCATAGGGAATCAACACAGAGTTAGCAATCTAGCAACATGATCAAACCGAATTGAGACGTCAAAAATCCTGCAAGTGTTTTTGAAAGCAGGCCAGGGCTGTTATTCGTGGACTGACAAATATATCTGCTTCCGCTGGTCAAGTGGAAGTGGTTTCGGCAGACTTTTAGGTATCGCCTTGGATATTGTTGATGCCATTGCAATATCTATCCTCTCAATAAGGGTTAGGGAATTCAAGTGAGGACCTCAAGAGGCGGTATGTAGTGGGAGAATTAATAGAAGAAGAATGAATGGCTTTTGACTTGTCATTGAAGGCACTTTTTTTTGAACATTTGAGGTTAAAATGGTCACGGTTGGTCTCTCCCGCGCACCGTACTCGAACTCTATCTGGAAACCTTAATTACCACCAATAGTTGTTGATATGGAAGGGGATGTAGAAAGCCAGAACGAGCAAACGCTGGCTTTACTGATACAGCCAGTCCAACAATTAGAAATATCGTGGTCTCATATTCTGATCATAGCCTAATTACATGAAATTTTTAGCCATTTTCCCCCGAAATAATTATGGAGGCCCAGATATGGTCAGGTTTTCCATCCCTATCCTAGCATCGGGTTCAGGTATCTGCGGTTTCTGCTCGAGTTGTTCGTCTGCTTCTGAATTTTCGAAGCCATTATTCCCTCCTTCTTGATCTAAGTTGTCATCTTCATTTTCTTCATTCTCATCGATATCTTGCTCGTCATCAATGTCTTGGTCGTCATCTTCAGGGCCCCGAGCATCACCATCAACACCAACTTCTTTCATATATGCCTCCAGCTCCTTAGCCATCTTCTTCGAAAAACCCGATGCCTCGACAGCCACATCTAGCCTAGGAGTTCCGTCTGTTCCCACCAGTTTTCGGGCCTCGGAGAAGAAAGGCCCTGGTTCATCACTGACAAACCCAAACCGCCGCTGGAAATAACGTTTGATGCAGTTGACATCTCTGTCAAAGTACATCTCAGCATTCGCATGATCCACGGAGACCATCTGAGGAAAATCAATCACAACTGGCGTGAGCTTGATATTATCTTCTTTCTTGTCCTTATTTTCTTCATTAGTTTCCATAGGTATTTCCTCTTCTTTTACTAGAATGTTAAATTCGTTATAATCGCCGTGTATCAAGCCAAATTTGGCCAGTTCCATGATAGTGTCGATTAATTCAGCATATAAAGCAGCAGGGTTGGGAACAGAGGATATTTGCCGAAGGGGGAATGCATCAATCATACTCATAACGATGGTATGTCGATTTTGTGAAATAGGTTCAGGGACAGAAAACCCATGATCCCTTAGAGCCTTCATGAATGCAAATTCTTTAATCGCAGCAAGTCTGGACATGTACATCCATGACGCAGAGCTTCGGTGTCGGAGGTAATCTCGGTTATTCTTGATCGAACGGAAAGATATCCGCCCTAATCGGTGTATCTTCAAGATTCGTTGCGTTCCAGATGCCTCTGCCACGGCTATAATATCTGATTCTTTCCCGACGCCTATTTGGTTTCCCACAGAGTAAACCACCTGTTGCTTTTGGTACGTATTAAGAGCAAGATAATCAAGGCCTCCGTATGTAAGCCGATAACCATCATCTAATAGAACATCCTATATCAGTATCTTCGGTAACCTCTATCATTTCTCTCAAATAGCGTATGCGTACATTTGGCATTCTTCACGCGAGCAATTAAATTGAGCTTTGCAAGATTTGATATAGACTTATGAACAGCACTTCCCCCTCGTAGGCCGGAAAGTCGAACGATTAGTGGGGTTGGAACGACTTCATGGTTTCTGCTTCCCGTCTCAACCTGGAGACACAATTAGCAAAAGATAGAAATTCGCCAAACATGAATTTACTTTACCCCTGTGAGTACTCGAAAGTCTTCCCCGGTCAGGTACCTCAAGGATTTCGCATCCAACTTCATGGTTATAAGTATGCTCAAGCTCAAGTGTGTCTTGTCAATACGCAGAGAAAGTCCGTTTTTATGGATGATAAAAAAAAGTAGCGCGGGCGAGCTTATCGTCACGTGATTATGGCATGCCCGGGCGGCTGCTAACTAGCGCTTGATCTAGGCTATCCATCTAAGAATAGTAAAATAAATCCACAGCAAGATGTCAAATCTAAGTGAGGTGACTAACGAACGATTCAGCTTTATTACTGAAAATACTGCCTTATAGAGAGGATAATTGCCCTAACTTATACTCTACCAAACTCTTTCAGGTTGCCTGGGTTGCGAGTATAACATAATCTAGCCTAAGCGCTAGTACTAAAATAGGAAAAGGTAAACGCCCAACCTCACTTTTCCATTTTTGGCCAGGCCTTGCCAGACATTGGTCTCACTCCAATCTCAAGCATCGACATCTGGTCTTTGCCAGCTCTGCGCCCACGCATCGCAACTACGCATGGCTTTTTGACCTTTTCGCTCGTTTTTTGGTCATACTGCAACTGGTCACGGACATTTACCCTCCCCTCTTGCTTCAACTGCACTCTTGGATTGCCGATTGGGACCCCTTTTCAACTTCGACAGTTCAGCGCCCCGCTGCACGCCTTGCTCGTCCGATAGCCGCATTCCCAACAGGTGTGCCAGGCCTGGACGCCATGGGGTTTGGAGATCTTGACTCGATATGCCGGAAGGCGGCGTTGCCACTATGCTCTCTCGTTGGACCGAAGACGGGGTTCGCAGGGACGAGAGGAATACTACCAAACTGTTATGCGAGAAGCATCGAGGTCGCCAATACGATTATTTTCCAGGGCGCGGCAGGAATAATACATATCATGGCTTTGGGAATGGCAGTGGTTATGATCATCCATATCCGATCGAAGTTTACCGCAGTCGGTAAGGATATTTTGCGCGAAAACTCTTTCTACATGTAGAAGTGATGGCGACTAATGCGTGCATTCTCTTTTATAGGCCGAAAGGAAATCATAACATCCTTCTATCTTTATATGGCTCTCACTGTCTGCTCGCTTGTGCTTGATACGGGAGTAACTCCGCCAGGCAGTGCAGCTATGCCTTACTTTGCTGCGGTACAAAATGGTCTGACGTCCGCGATGTGTACCAGTCTTCTGATCAACGGCTTTGTTGGATTCCAGTTATATGAGGATGGCACTGCCCTTTCGGTATGGTTGTTGCGGTTCTCCTCCTTAGGAATGGGCTTAGTGTCTGGAGCGATATCTCTCTTGACCTTCCAGGGATGGGCAGGTCTTTCCCCGACGAATACTGTTGCCATGTTCGTGGTTCTCTACGTGTTGAATGCCTTGTGTTTGGCTATATATGTGATCATGCAGATTATCCTCGTTGTCAATACTCTCCAAGATCGATGGCCTTTGGGACACATTACGTTTGGTGTCTTCTTCTTCGTTGCTGGACAAGTCATTCTATACGTGTTTAGCGATACAGTCTGCGAGGGTGTTCAACATTACCTAGATGGATTGTTCTTCGTTACTTTCTGCAATCTGCTCTCTGTCATGATGATCTATAAGGTAAGATTTCTGAAATATCCCCCTCCTGCACAGTCAATACTAATCAACTTCCAATAGTACTGGGATTCCATCACCAAGGAAGATCTCGAGTTCTCGGTTGGTCTAAAACAGAACAACTGGGAAGTGAAAGAGCTTTTACCTGAAGAAGAACGCCGGGCCACCTTTTATGTTGACACCAACTCGGAGTATGCTGGCAGCATGTACCACAACCGAAGCTCAGCACATGGTGGCCATCCAGCTTATTAAACCGCATTTCGATTCTTTTGACCGCCACTCACCTTCTATAATTCATCTTACTTTTCGAACAGTTCCCCCCTTTTGGAGTTCTATATACCATATAATTGATGATTACCGCCCCTTGTACCAGCCTATCTTGTCTCCATGTCCCTTGCGGTGGTTATTACATTGTGTTTTTCTTTTCCCTGACGAGCTCTTGCGTATTTGGCGTTTCTATTTCTGACCCTGTGTGCGCTGTAGCATATATATGCATGCCTTTGACCCATTTATGTATCATTTTCATTTTCTCCCTGTTATACCTGCTGATACTAGAGCACTACATACCAACCAATACAATTTTGTTCATTACCAATTGCATTACGCATGGTCCGCATATATGTACGTTAGATGCGAGATTAGTCGTGATCGCCTACAGGGCAATGCCCGTCGAGTGCCCATGTATGTCACTCGAGGACAATCACTCTTCTCACCAATTAACCCCCTCAGCTTTTCCACATATCAAAGAACCCAGCAAGAAGCAATTAGAGCATGCCATGCCAGGAACAATGACTGAATAACACGAGATAGCTCGGAGATCGGCAGAAGGTCTGCGTCACTCACGGTCAGAGGGAGGTGAAATATCAGGCATCAACACGGGATGCGTGATAGCGTGACATCCTTCAAGACAACATGCCACCTCCAAGCGGGAAATCAAAATCCCTGTTGCATTATTGTCAGCCACCATCAAGATACAAAGGCTGCGAGGGTGAGCCGATATGGATGGAGCATGCAGGTATGGTGTGGTGTTGATGGAGGGATACTGATAAGCAGCTTCTGCACAGTGTCAGCGCGCCAACCGGGTTTCAGAAGTAGTGTTCGGGAGAAGCCGGATGCATCCGGACATCTTTCAATATCTATCATAGGTTATGGCTGTTAGTTAGTTGGTCATGCTGTAGCACTCACCTTCTCCGACACCAATATTGGGGGTTTATCGAGGAGAAGAGGCCGGGTTTGCTCTGCATATTGCATGCTTTCTTGTGCTTCTTGCTCTATATGTAGCTCCGTAGTAGAGAGACACTAAGTCATTTGGTTGGTCAAAGAGAGTATCACGTGATATGGCTTTCCCAAGCAAAAAATCTTACCAAAGGGCTTTTTGCACGATGTGAAAAACGACGAAGCAGCGAATAAATCAAGTGTTCACGATGCCTCCACGACTGCCGCTGCGGCTTCTGTCGCAATCTGTCTCGTCGATTTCATCCTCCATTCAGTCACATGTCTCACCATCGTTTCTTTTCCTATTACCATCCATCCATACCCAGACCCGAGCGGCTTCAATTCTAGCCTCGCTCTCCGACAACCCAGGAGCATACAGCAAGAAGATCCGACGCGGCCTTGGTCCTGCCTCAGGCAAGGGAAAGACCGCCGGTCGTGGTCACAAGGGTCAGGGGCAGAGAGGAAGCAAGAAGGCATTCTTCAATGGAGGACAGACGCCGGACGAAGTTGTGCACGGAGAGAGGGGCTTCGACAACATGTGAGTTGAAAAAGAACGTTCAATTGGAGACTACTTCCCTTATCTGCATCAAACATACTAATATAATGTGCGAATTGAACCATAGATTCGCGTTGAAAATATCTCCCGTCAACCTTGATCGCATCCAAGACTGGATTGACCAAGGCCGCCTCGATCCTTCACAGCCCATAACACTCCGAGAACTGGTGAAGTCTAGATGTATACACGGCATAAAGGATGGAGTTAAACTGCTCTCACGCGGCGGAGAAGGCGCCCTCAAACAACCTATCACGATCATTGTCTCGCGCGCCTCTGCCAGTGCAATCCAGGCCGTCGAGGCAGCTGGTGGCTCCATCACGACTCGATACTACACCAGACACGCCATAAAGAGGATTTTAAGCGGCAAGACTGATCCTTATGTCTCTCTTGCATGGAAGGATACCTCGGAGAAGCTTGCTGAGGCAGCCGCCAAGGGCGAGGACGTTTCTCACATCGACACCGAGCTGATGCAGAAAATTGGCATGGGCATCGATAAACCGTTGACAAAGGGCAATGGGTTCCAGTACCGTTTACCTGACCCGACCAGCCGAAGGGATATTGAATATTACCGAGACCCAGCCCATCGAGGGTACCTGAGCTACTTGGTCAAGGAGGGAGACAGCCCCAGCTTGTTCTTCACGCCGCCATCCGCAGAGCAGAAGGCGAAGAAGGCCGTCAAGAAGTCGGCAGAGAACAGAGTCTGGTAGTGTTCTTGATCTTCTTGTCGGCTAATAATAACCTTGACCGTGGCTGTTGGTTGTCTGTGGCCCTTCTTTTTCTTTTTAACCTCTCTGCTGTCTTTTGTGAAACCGGAATGTATGCTTTTGGATTCTTGGGGATTACATAGTTCATGTAAGATGTACCAATTGTATATTATAGATAACTTCAAACAATAGAAGGAAGTGAACGTGATCATCTCCATCCTTCCAGCTCTATCGTACTACTACCATTGTTCACCAAGTGCCTTCATCTCCGTGTGCCCGGTACACATCGCAAGCAAGCAGAATCTCAGAGGCTGCCGAAAAGTAACCTGCCGAAAAGTAACACTACACTCGTCAGATCTGACACCAAGACCAGTCATGCCAGGTTATCAAATATCATTCCTAATGGAAACTCCTATCAGTTTCAAATACAACCAGTCAAGCCAGCGCCGAGCAGACTTGTCCTGTTTCTTTGCTTATTATTTCGAGCCCTTGTCAAGGCCTGCATGCTACTAGTGAACTCATAATATGAGTGTACAACCACTGTATATGCCGTCTATCGTCCAGCCAGCGTTGTCCCTCTGCACGCGCACTCGCAGTCTGAGGCAGCTCGGGATGCAGGAAGTCTAACCTGCAGGCAGCAAAGCCAGGCAAGTCAGAAGTTAACACATGCACACATGCGAGCAACGGGTTATACAGCAAGCATTGGAAGGGAAGAATGGAGGATTGTGCTCCGCAGCCCGGAGAGACGCAAGGAGTTGCTGCGTTTCTCCGTGAAAACCTGCAGCCGTAATATGGGGTAGATAAGAGTGCCTTCCAATGAACGACGCCGAGTTACGCTTTAGTTCGCGAAGTGTCAACCGAGCCCTCGCCCCAAACGCCGTCCGTCCGTCCGCTTCCCCCACGTCGAGCAACGCTCGAGTAACGAGAGCAGCAGTGAAGTACATACTTCGGCGGCCTCGTTTGCGACCCACTAATGATAACTCAGAGCTTAATGTATGGTGGTGCCCTCAGAGAGGACAGCGACAGTCCTGGTGACGGTGGTGAGGGGCGGACGGGGAATAAACAAGTTCGCTGCGAGATCGCCGGCGCAAATATCAGGATTTCAACCTACACCTTTCCACCTCCTCGTCTTTGCCACAAAGGTAAAGGGGAGAAAGACAGCGCACACACTCGCCCATCCCGTTTCGGTCAGCGGTAGGGATCATTGCCTCTCGGAAATAGGAATAAAGGCTGCGTCTTCTCCTGGCTCGGAGGTAGGGACACCTGGGCAGGGAGACTAAGCGACCCGGACAAGGGAGGGCCCTGTCCTTGCACCAGAGGTGTGATATATGTACGGCCCGACAGGGAGGGACAGGAGCTAGCTTGCTCTGCCGGCCAGATTGACTCTGACAGACAGTAGTAAGTAAAGATGTGTATATGCAGCGTACGAGTTGAATGCACAGGGGTGAGCAGCCTTCTTCCCCACAGCAGTCAAGTGTAAACAAAGTGTTCTCTATACACAGATGGTACAAGGATACATGGAGTCCAGCGCCAATGAGACGGATGTCCGTCCACTGGAGAGCAAGGGGTATCTAAGTAAGATTAAGAGCAGTGTGGAGTCTTAGCTAAGTTAGCTGTCGTTTCTTACGATAGAAGGATAAACAGACGTGGAGAAGAGGCGAATGTAGGTATAGGATTAGAGGACTATACTTATGAGGGGGAGTAGTGGACGAGGCCCGAAACCGCCTTGAGATGCTAGATAGGAGGAAGGGAGATGAAGAGAGGAGCGGCCATGCAGGTTGATAGCTAAGTACACACATATTGCAACACACCACACCACACCACACCGCTTCTCATGCCACGCCATCCGCCACGCCGTATCATGCCATGCCATGCCATGCCCATATGTCCATTCATCATAAGAAGCCAGAGCGAAGAGACATTAACAAATAAGTAGGAGAAGAGACGTAAGACACACCGTTAACACCAGTAGCTGAGCAGAGCAGAGAACGCAACACATGAGACCCATGATATCCGACGCAGATGAGGAACGAGTCAAAGAGGAAAAAGAAGATGAGCCAGCCATATCAAGATGTTTCCCGCCAACGAGTACACGAACGAACAAGAAGGAATAAGAAACAAAGCGAGGGATAACTAGCCGAGAAGATGGAACGGATGCGAATAGGACGGAAGAGGGTACAGGGTATCAGTCATGAGAGCGTAACAAAAAGACACAAGCAATAATGATGATGATAATAGAGACAGGAACATGCATAAGACATGAGGCAGCCATCCCAGCAAACAATCGACAAGCATGAAAGTAGATGATGTTAACAAGAGGTAAGAGGAACAAGGGAAAAAAAGAAAAAAAAAATGAGCAGAAGAAGAAAAGAAGAAGCTAAAACGCTTAACTTTCAAAACGTGGAGAAGTGGAATCAAAGCGAACATCAAATGAATGCCTCCAGATGCTAGTTGGTGATGGTATTGGGTAGATGCGATTGTTTTTCCCCATTCACACCTTTCATGAGGAGAACCCCCATCGATTGAGGCGAGTGGCGAGCTCCACAGTATCTGCACAGCTTTGAAACCATCGGCAAGCAAGGACATCGGAGATCGTCCATCGTTTCACGGGGTCCATCTCAAGACACCCCTCAATCATCTCCAGTGCGCCTTCACGGTCTTGCTTCTCGGATTCGTCCGAGGTAGCCAAGACAGCGCTGCGGTCCCATTTGCCGGCCAGAATGTTGCTCGGGATACGTGGCTGAAAAGAACTCTGGAAAGGCCTGGAACCGACGATAAGGGAGTAGGCAACGACGCCGAACGCCCAGACGTCGACGACGGGATCAAGGACCCCTACGTTGGCCATCAGGAGCTCGGGGGACGCATACTCCAGGCTGCCGGCCACGCTGGTGCTTGTGTCGGACGGTCCGATGGTTCTAGGTGGAGGTCGATCAGCGGCGTTGTCGTAAGGGTCCGGCGAGCTGCATGTGTCGGTGGTCATCCATTCGGCCATGCCAAAGTCACAGAGGATCAAGCGGGGGATATCTCCAGAATCCTCCTGGGGCTGCAGTAGACAGTTCTCCAGCTTGATATCGCGGTGGACAACACGGGCGTCCTCGTGTAGGTATCGAAGAGCACAGGCCAACTGGTAGGAGTACTGCTTTGCGTGGGAGAGTGGGATTTCATGGCGCTTCTTCTTGACCAAGTCGAAGAGGGAGCCTCCTTCGGTAAGTTTTGTGAAGCAGAATGTAGCGTAGTCAGTTTCGTAGACCGCGTCAAGCGGCAGGATATGTGGATGGTTAAGGTACCGCCAGATGCGAACCTCGTGGTCAAATTCGGCCTGGGCTTGGTCGTTTTCTCTCTCGCTTTTGCCCGAGAGGTACTTTTTCACGATCTTGACAGCATGACGGATCGTCTGGCCTTCGTCGGTGACTTTGAACGCTTCCTTGACGGTGCTGAAGCCTCCAAATCCGATCTGCTTGCCGATAACGTAGTCCTGCCCGATGACTTGACCCTCGTCGTCAGGCTTAGGAGCAGGAGCCTCTTCACGGTTCATGGTAGAGAGAAAAGCGCTGGCGGGTGATTTACCGCTCATGTTGGGCGATTTGCGAGAGTAGGAACGCATGGACTGTCGTAGACTGTTTGTACGTCGACCGAAGGAGTAGCTTTCGGTGAGGCTGCCGTAGAGATGACGGGAGAGACTCGGCCACGAGTCTCCTTCGCTGTCGATCGAACCATGGCGGCGGAGGTTTGGTGAAGATAAAAAGGGTGAGGTGAGGCTGCCCTGGCGTGAATCTGGCGGCGTTCTCAGTTCATCAGAAAGGGGAGAAGCCGTCGAAAGTGAGGTCAAGGACGTAGGCCGTGGAAGGTCAGCATCGGGGGAAAAAACCTCTGATAAGGGGGAAGTCCGTGGAGAGTGACACTGAGAAAAGTCATCTCCAGAGCTATCATTATGACGAGGGCCCTGGTGGTGGTGGCTGTGACGACGGTTGTGGTGGTTATTATTGTGAGAATTGTACCCGTCCCTGTCATTGTTGCTGGCTGCTGCCGTCTGAGCGAGACGCTCGGGAGCAGCGTTGGCGTAGAGCTGCTTGAGCTCTGACGATCCAGGACCCGAGGCAGACCTGACGCCAATCTGGCTTTTCCTTCCAATGCTACCGATGGGCTGCTCCAGGGCGATTTGGTCACCGGTTTCTAGCGTGACCTGGGGATTGAAGCTGATGGAGGGCCTCCGAGTCCTGCCAAAGTGGTGGTCCAGGGGTGACGGGTCCTGGTACCGGTTGGGGTCATATTCGCAGACCTCATCAACGCCGGGAGAGCCATGAAGCTTGTCCTCGGGGTAAGGCACGCTGATGGGCGGCGTTGGTACGTGAGGCGTCCATGACTGCTCCGCCTCCTCCTTTCTGGCAGCCGTATGGGCAGCACCAGCACCGACACCGACACCAGCACGAGCAGAGGGAGAGGCAGAGGGAGACAGGGGCGGAGAGGGAGAGTGGCCGCTGGGGGGAAGGCGACGGTTCAGGCCATTGCTTCCGCCGCGTTGATACATCGGTCCATGCTCTTCGTGGTCTAACACGGGAGACGAGGTGGTGAAGTCAGCGTCGATGTTTAGTTCTGTAAATGCGAGCGCCTGAGCATGGGCCATACCCTCGGCGAAGGGTATGAGGCGAAGACGAATAGAGTACAGCGGCAGACCACGTTCTTCTGGCTTATGGACGCTCCTGAGTGTGCAGTCTCTTGCAGGCGTGGTCGAGGAGGTTGTCCTGGCGAGCAGACGCAAGGGCACATACGCAGGATGCAGCAAGTCTTCTTTGCGCGAGTCGTGTTTCCTGCTACGCAAGGTAGGTAGGCCGTTTTTCAAGAGTGGGTATGGAGTCTGGAGCAAGAGTCAAAAGGCAGTCAAAGGCAGTCGAGGCAGCAGACTTGGTGATGATATATGGGAAGAGGAAGAAGAAGAAAAGAAGAAGTCGAGGTTGAGATGAGGAATAGGACGCAGGAGAGTGGCCCAGTTAGGCAAGCCTGGGCGTTCGCGCAGCAGCGCAAAGAACGAAAAAAAAGGCGAAAAAGAAGGCCCCGGAAGAACCCGGGAGGTCGGACCAGCTACGATAATACCCCTTTGGGCCTAGGGTAGGGCAGAGATAACGCGCGGGCGCTTATCAGTAGCGCCAAGCCCTCTTTTTATCGTTGCTTTTTGTTGCTTTTTTTGTGCGTGTTACGCTTTTCTATTACGAAATGAAGTTCTCCAAGTGGGTGCTTGCGGCGACGGCGCCTTGCCGGATGCGGACTGGCGAGGGCGAGGGCGCGGTGACGTCAGTGTCATGTGAGCTCATGTGACAGACAACCTGTCAGCGATGCGGGGATACGTCGGGCCGGAAGTCCCGTGACGGCCAGTGTAGGACAGCTTATGTCATCATATAGTGGTCCCTTCCCTTTTGGGGCGCTGGGATGTCTGCGCTCCCATTGGCTGCGGTGCGTTTAAACTCATGTTAATTCTGCACGCTGATTCGCCGGCGTCCTCTGGTCCTTCCGCCTCCTCCTTTTTTCCACTTTGGTCTTCCTGGCGATGATGGCTTGTTTGAGATCTTCCTGAACTGCGCAACAGTCGACCTGCCTCGCTCGCTCTCTCTCTCTCTCTCTCTCTCTCTCTCTCTCCTTCTTCTTCTTCTTCTTCTTCGTCGTCTTCCTCTTCTCTGTTCTGTTCCTTGTTCTCGCTCTTGTTCGCCTTCGCTTCTCTCGTTTTGTCGTGTTTTTCCTTGCCAACGAGCCTTCTCTCTCGATCGCTCCTCTGTCGCGGTAAACGCCTTCGTCAAACGGCCATCTTCTTCATTTTTGCATTGGTCAAGACCTGGATGGGTGGTATATTGGACGGATGTTTCAGACAGTTCGCACGTTTAATACATCGCGCAGACGGAGTACTTGATTCATAGTGCTACAAGAAGGACTGTCTCGTTGAGGGGAGTTTTATTGCCTTTGGATACGGAGGACTTTTAGTATATTCCATTCCATGAATGGTTGTCAAGCTCTCGCCAACTCCCTGTCCTCTCTCGTATTCCTCGCAACCTTCCGACATTTTTAATTTTTTTTTTTTTTTTTTTTTTTTATCTCTCGCTGTCCTGCCGGTGATCCAGATCGAACGAGACATTGATCGATAGCTTGCCATTATGACGAGACCACAGATGATCCGAGCAGGTGAGACATTGAACGGTTGATTGCATTGACGGTCTCGTTGCTGACGAACAACCCTTGTTATAGATACAATTGACCTTCAGAACCGCCAGTCTCCTTCTACCCAGGACCATGCTAGAAAACCAGGCGGCGCTTCTGCCGCTGACGGACGGAACGGTGCGCACCAGGACCAGTCTCTCCGCAAGGTGGAACAGGAAGCTCAGGATGAGATGTCCAAGGGTCCCCTAGGATCGGATGGAAACTCGCAGGTATACTCTCACCGGGACGAGCTTGAAGTGTACCGGGAACACGACGAAGCAGACGGTAGCAAGCCCAATGGCTTAGCGAATGGTGACATGTCCCACGAGTCAAGGAACGGAAGCTCGACCGAGGAGGAGATGGAGGGCGATGAGGACGACCAGGACCTGGACGACGACATGATGGACAAAATATCAAGCTCGCCGTCCATTGACGATGGTGTGTACAGCATAATCACTCTCCACTAAGCGTGCCATGAATACTAACCTATCCTACAGAGGATATTGATTTCGAATTTGTTTACGCTTTGCATACCTTCATTGCCACCGTCGAAGGTCAGGCTAATGCAACAAAGGGCGACACCATGGTCCTCCTTGATGACAGCAACAGCTACTGGTGGCTGGTGCGCGTCGTCAAGGATGGGAGCATAGGTACTTCATTCATGCCTCTCCCCAACGTCCTAACTGCCCGCTTCTGACTTTGGTATAGGCTACCTGCCGGCTGAACATATTGAAACTCCAACTGAAAGGCTGGCCCGTCTTAATAAACACCGCAACATTGACGTATGGAACACATTCCTATACCCGATTCTACTACCTGTCTTTCTCCCTGCTAATCCATACTTCTACAGTTATCCGCCACCATGCTAGGAGACAATGCCGAAAAGTCAAAGAATCCGCTAAGAATTGCCATGCGCAGAAGACATGGCAAGACTGTCACCTTCAACGAACCACTCTGCTTCGAAGCCCAAGAGGTTCCAATTGACTACTCGACAGGCTCAGAAGAGGAAGAAGAGCATTTCTTAGAAGACGATGAGGAAGATGAGGATGAGGATGAGGAAGAAGAAGAGCACGAGATACATGAGAAGTCTGCACACACCAAGCAGCAACAGCAGCAAGATGCCTCAAGGAAGGATGAAGACATGGAAATTGAGCCACTACGGCCCAAGCAACAGCAGAAAGATACGGCTGGTTTGCAGGAACATCAGTCTGTGCAGGAACATCAGTCTGAGCACAAAGATAGTTTGGATGAACATAATGATGACCTTGACAAGGGTGAGTTTTAACTCTCTATTCTTCGTTGGTAGGACTATATGTTAACAAATCATTAGACTTCCAACCCGGACGGTCCAGGAATGGGGTCGTTCGCAATACAGATTCATTCTTCAAGGACGATACCCTCGAGACAAAGAAAATCTCTCTCACTCCCAACCTTTTACGTGACGATTCCATTACTACACAGCAACCAGACAAGGATTCGAGAGTGCGCGGAAGCTTCGAATCTTATGATAAAGCGTCGCCTGGTGACAAAAACAAAGATGACAAGAAACGCAAGGAAAAGAAACCTGGAATGCTCAGTGGCCTGTTTAAGAGAAGGGACCGCAAAACTAAGGCCACAGATGACGATGACGACCAAGAAAAGATCTCGGAGGAATCTATCCGATCAAGTACTCCAACCAGTACCATGGGCGATTATGGCAGAGACGGGTCTAAACCAGCAGTCACTTTGCAGAGAACTCCCAGCAAGCTTCAGAAAACGCCTCCTGGAGAGCAACAGGGCTCTGCTGCAAGACATGAAAATGGAAGATCCACTTCACGACAAGAAGTTGCAGCTCCTCAATCGCCGTCAGCAACTAAACAAACGTTTCATCGCATGGCCAACAGCAACAGCAGCATCAACAACCTCAGCAACGGCCCCAGCCACGATCTTCCTCGGCGCAGGGTACACGGGTACGATCTCCAGAGGTGCTCAGGCCACTCACCAACAAACAAGATAGATCAATACAGGAGAGACCTGAACCCAACCTCTCCCTTGTCAAGGAGCCCCGCGGTTCATCAGAATCCGCACCAGACGCTTCCGTTCACCCACCAGCGAATCAAGCCCAGCACCAATACTCATCCTCCCAAACCTCAACATACTCCACCCACTCAAGCAAGAAATCAGCCAGTATCTCTCACGCTGCTGACCCAGCGCAGCAGGGCCGTGAACTTAACAATCACTATGATGACACCTTCGAGGATCAGCACTCATTATCCCATGACAAAGACCAGTATTCATCCAAACCAACTCGCTCACCTTCCCCAACAGTCTCCCCCGCATTCTCCCAAGACCCCACTCTCGAAGATGACAGAAGCCAGGAGCAATCCGTATCACCATCCACTAGTATCCTCCCTACCTGGAACGACAGCGGGCTGCGAGCATACATGGACGATGGCAGTGATATCCGCGATCTCCTAACCATCGTACATGACAAATCCAATGTCCCTGCTGCTGGGCCAGACCATCCTCTCATCGGAAGCCTCTTCCGGGAGGAAAGCAAGGCATTGAACGATATGTCAAGCCGCTTAGATGATATGCTAAATTCATGGCTGAGCAAGAGCTCACTCTCTCCCTAGAGTTCATTCCTCGCTATTTCTTACATCTATCCCTCCTTCATTATTTTAAGTCAAATGATAACATCACCCTATGATTAACGACCACACATACATTTACCCTTCTTCACATACAACTCAAAGCAATACAATACAAAGTATCGAGGCCTGCCTTGGATATTGACTATCCCTCCCGTCCAAATCGGCCGTCACGTCAAACACAACTTGGACTGTCTTTTATTACTTGAAAATTTCTCCGGTCAGATTAGCCTTGTACTTATTTGCTCGCTCGCTTCACCATTTAAAAACCACACGATACCTACGGAGTATTATTCTTTTTGCTGTTCCCGTTATTTGAACTTTCCTTGTCCCCTCCTTCATTCGTTTGCTTGTTTCCTATCTGTTTTTTCTGCGTTTACTTTGATGATTTATTACACGTTTGAAGCGGGGATTCAGCCTAGCTGGATGCGGGTTTTTCAATATTCTTTTCTCTGGGAGATATCTCCCATTTATCGCGGCTGCACGTTTGTTCAATGTTCAAATGAACCATTTCCCCCCCCCCCCATCTTTCCGAGGCTTTATAGCCGTCGTATTTCATGTCCTAGCATTTCTTGTTGGACATTCTCTGGAGTTTTAGGTATGGGCGTTGTTTTTTCTGGGCGGACTGGTGCCATAGCCTTATCAATACTACTTTTTACCCTACGATACTACCTACATATTGCCACACAGAGGCATTGAGTTTCTTGCAACTCAGTCATTACTAGGGTATAATCACTGTCGGCCAATTTATTATTTGTGAAGCACAAGTAACAACATCTCGCCGTAAAATCTACATCTACCGCAAATATGAGGTCCAGTTAAATGACAAAGGCTATTGCAGGAAACTCCAGCCCGTATCTAGAGCTCTATTTTTGAGCGCTACTATTTTCTAATGGAGGCAATCCATAAACCCAGGTATCAAAATCATACTTGCTGACTTCAATAATTCCTTGGGCATCGGTTGGTAGCGGGGGGTACTTCTGCAGTTCCCATTTGTACCGTGGTGTTTCTATTTCCTTATTAGCCTCCCGTCCGAAGACACGCCTTGCATAGAATTGGGAAAGAGAGGGGGGATTCCGTTTATTAAGCTTCGACTCACTTTCAGCACCATTACCCTCTTCCGCATTGACAAGGTGCTTCCTTCTAACCTTCTCAGCTAGCTCCTTATCAACAAGCACAAGTGCAACGGTTTGCCATCCAGCAGATGCAACACTGAGGGTGAAATATGCACCTAGACCATCTGTATCCTCGGGCCTGATGCCTGGGAAGTTGTCCCAATTCTCTCCTGCTCTTTCGATACAAGTAGTGTATTTCTCCAGGAGCCCATGATCATTCTCTTTGAGGGGCATCAACCAGTCCGAGCTATCGCCCTGAGATCCAGCTTCACTTGCCAAGTACTCGAGCCACTCCCGTTTCTCGGGTTCGAACCAGACATTGTGCCGTTTTTCTTCCGCAAATTCAAAATAGCACACATCTCTAGAGAAAGACTCGGAATCAGGCTCCGTGAGGCCACGAAGGGGGACACCTCCTAAGATACTCCCAAGTCCAAGCGAGCCGCAACCCCTGGGTTCTCTTCCATAGCTGGAAATTTTTCCGTTGGCATGGAGAGCGGTGTAATGGTAATCACCGAACGAGACTGATATCACCTCGCTATGTTGTAACCCAGCTGGAAGTTTTGGAGACCAGACACGGTCAGGATCATCAGCAAAGTCAAATGCTGTTTGGATATGTTCGACGTTCCCTATCATGACCTCGCCTGTTTCGGTAAACACTGCGAAGTTGCGGAAAGCACCCTGAATATCCCTCAAGATTCTTCCAGGTGCAGCAAACTTGGCGAGTTCGACTGTACGCTGGCCATCTTCCTCCGTTGCGAATACCTTGTTCAGGTCTGTGATGAAAGCAATATACCCTTCAAGCACAATATAGCTAATGACCTCACCTAATCTGGCTTCATCCTCTACTCGCCCTCTATCGGAATTTGTCCGCTGGAAACCGGTACCTGGCACAATCTTACCTAGAACGAATAGCAGCGCAGACTCATCATTATTCAGAGGAGGATCGTTAATCTTCCAGTAAACTATCCCAGTGCCAGCGACAAATGCTGAGTTTGTATCCCAACCAGCAACGACTTTTGTCACGGTTCCTGGAGTGTGTGGATCCCTTGAATTAAGAACCGTTCTAGCACAGGAAAACTCAACAAGTCTAGCACTGTGATCTCTATGGGACCAACTCCATATTATTCCTTCATCAGATAATCCAAGAATATGTCTTCTACCAGAAGAGAACTGCTTGATGGCTGTTGATTTGTTGTAAGATTCTGCGGAGGTTGCAGGGTATTCTGCGTCAAACTTGAGGCGTTGGTACCCGCTCGCAGTTGAATAATCATAAAACACCCCATCTATACGTCCAGTGAGGTATAATTCACCATCCGAAGTTAGACATGAGGAGGACCAGCCTCTTAGTAGATATCAGCATGCTGTATTCAGTGAAGACAGTGACAGAAGTGGGGTTGATTGAGGACAAACCCGCATTGTAAATCAACTATATTCCGTATTCCAGCCACAGCCGAAGACTCATACGGCCAGGTTTTATTCACTAAAGGTTCGCATGGACGCCCCTCTCCCCCCCATTGATATACCCTCGTCTGTGTCCGAAGGTTTTTATACAGCCAATACCACCGCGGTCCATTAGCACGTAGAAGTGGTTGAACGGGAATTCGATAGGTTTTTGTGGTAACCTCCCGCCAGAATTCCGGGTTCGTTAAAAACACTTCGTGGAAGTACTTGTTCACTGTACATAGCGTGAGGAAATCTGGAACATCTAGTAAAGGAAATATGAGGACCAGGATGTCCTCGGGAAGATCATCTAGTTTGGCCAGAGTCATTTTTCGTGGCTATGAATTCGCAAATAAGTTTTGTTCCTTCGGGACCAACTTGACTTTGAGGATGCAGTCTTTTTCACATAGTTAAAAGTGATAACGACGTAAAAACGAAGTAAACAGGATCCAATATTTGGAGCATCAAAGGGAGAGGATGATGTCATTATTGATTACATAATATACTTTCACGGGACGTATCATAATTAATCCGCGGTTCAGTGCCAAGAACCGCTGCTCCTACCTAATTTGGTATGAGTATTCACACTCCAAATATGACGGAAATCATTGAAGAGCCTCCATTAGAAGACCTGCACCTAGATGATCTCATACAATGAATGAATATCGGAAGACACGAAAAGTCGATTCATTCCGTATACCGCATCCAGCTATAGAGATTCATTCAGAAAGATTCAATTCAAAGAGTGAAAACTCCCAACCTTTCAGATACATATTTCGTTCAAAAAGTGAGGTATTTCGACATGACAGCCAACTAAGGTACGTCAGTGTTGAGGTGGATGTGACTGTAGTCCTACTGGTACTCACATAAATTAGGCGCAGACTGACCCATGCTCGTTACAGTGTCCGCTGCAGCACCACCAATGGGTGAGGCAGTGATCACCGGATTCTATCATAAGTTAGCAAAGAATTAATTATGCCAGACATATTTTGGACTTACTGCCGCCACATAAAGATGAACGAGTTCCCATTATGCCGGCTGCTACGGTCGTAGCAAGGAGTGCCGAAATGGCGAGGACAACCACTTTAAGCTGCATTATTTAGAGTTGATGGGATGAGCCGATCAAAGAGGATATTTCTCAGCTGAGCTGGTGAAATATCTTATGGCGTTTGTGAGCTTAGTTGGGTACTCAGGGGAAAGAAGCACTCCTTTATACCTTGGGTCAGAGAAATAGGCACCCGACTTCAACATTTATATTCTAGGTGTGGCATAATGCACATATGATGGATCGTTGCAATCGCAGTATATGCCTGTCATAGTTAAGCCATGTCGCGAATAGATTCATATAATAGGTAATGATCTGACGCGAAGAGAAAATTCACCCCTGTGCGAACCCAGTATGGCGGGTAATATGCTCAAGTCAATACCTATTCAACTCAAATCCATACAGGTAAGCCCCTACCAACATGCAGTTATCAAAATAACCATTTGCGGGACATTGGTGCCGTCACCCCAGGCGACATTTAGATCGGCAGGTAGTTGGCGTAAATGGCTTTTTTTTTTTTTTTTTTTTTTTTTTTTTTGCAGCATTGGCTGAAGTATCAAAGGGGAAAAAATAGGCCAGGAGAGTGACGGTGACCAGTGAGTTGTACTCCAGACAAGGCAATAAGTGTAATTTGACTTTCTTTTCACCAGTCGCGCCCGTGTCACAAGGTTTATATTAATTGTCTTTCTGCACGCTTGGTGTTTCAAAATATGTTACTTTGATCTTTCAAGGGCCTGGACCTATCGGTGTCTCGACGACGGCTTGACAAACGACGGGGTAAGGAGCTTGAATATGGCTTTGCTTTTATTTATCCGGAAAATGAAGGGCGACATTGGATTTAGAACTGGTTTATTTATCATTAACAGATCCAAATTATCTACTTATGGCACAACATTTTTAGTAGCCATAGAACCACTTGAGGCAAGAATACTCACTATCCGACAGCCATTTGCGGGTGGAACAGATCGTTGGCTAACGGTCAACGGGCCGCGGCTGTTCCATAACTCGGTAGAGTAGTTAAGTAAGCCATAGTCCCTGGTCCGTGGCTCAAGCTGTACCATGGGTGGGCATCATGGAACACAGAGGAAAGGCCAACATGAGTCACAAGCTGGGGTATAAGGGTTTTTATTGCTACGTATGAAGTGTGCAACTTCCTGAGATCGACATGGGGCAGCCCATTGCGGGCAGGAGCTTCAATGTTGGCCATATTCATTGTTGGGCATACTAGCCGTGTCTTTGTTACCAAGCATTTCATCCAATCAATAGCGTATAAGATCGACAAATGACTGCCAGACTAGTCTTCCATTCATATCTCCCGGAGTTGGCAGATTCCTCGGTAGACATCACTCCTACCCCAAGGGGCATGTACGTTTCCTCCTGGGTCGACTATACCATGGCAGTAGGGCTGAAAGAGTCACGGGATGATAAACTTTCACGTGACCACGGGTAGATTCGCAGCCTTATCTTATATAAGGTTCCTTACATAAGGTTATTTGCGTTAAGGTTTTTGGGGTCTCCCTGACTCTTTCCTTCTTTGGGTCGGCATGACGGATTTTTGGGAAGGAGCGTGACCTCGTCATGGCGCATTCTCGCTATCTCATCTTCTCTTCGTCTGGCCGTCTCTCAGCCTCTCGTTCGCCTATCGTCTTGCCCGTTGTCGTCTACACTCAACTCTCTCCTACACCCACTCACCCGAAGTCTCGTTTTCTCGGCGGTTCGAAGAGCCGACGGTTATATCTTCTCCGCATACGGAGTAAAGCGACACGTGTGACTCTTCAGCTCCGCTTATATATATACCGCCTCCACTCAATAACGCGCCTCAACATCGCACTTTGGGGTAGAAGGAGTGCGGTCAGGTCTGTTTCCTCCGACACACTTCTCGCACTACAGTTACCTATCACGTTCAAATAGGCTGAGGTTTCAGAGACTTTTCGGTTTGTGTTACCTCAGCGAAGTCAGCCACGGAGTGCATTTATACCTGTCAAACTGCCCATCTCTGCTCCTCGCCACGGAAGTTTTACCACACCCTCATCTACCCAGCTTCGTCGTCTACCATCCTATCTACGCTGGGAATGGAAACAGCCGGTCTGCTATAGCCAACAGACAACAGAATCATGCCGTCAGCAGCATGGAACTCCGCCCATCGTTCGCTTCCGGAGCACTGTGAACCGGTGTCTCCGTTCTTGCAACTGATCTCATCTACTTTGCAAATATGCCTACCGACCCCTCTCGCCCTAATTTCGTCCACACTTGGGGTGCTAAGTATTATCTCCTGGCTCTTTGCCCAGCTCCCGCAAATATACAAGAACTACAAGATAAAGTCAACGGCAGGCTTGTCAATAGTCTTTATCGTGGAATGGCTCCTGGCTGACACAGCAAATTGCATCGGTGCCATTCTCACCAACCAGGCTGGCTGGCAGATCACGATTGCCACTTATTACGTGACCGTTGACCTTATCATGACGTGTCAACACTTCTGGTACACGCACATGAAGCAGTGGCAACCCAACCGTCTTAGATACGCCAACATCGGCGATGGTGAAGACAGCGACACGGATTTCCCACCATCAGACTGCGACTCATTCCAGCAACTACAAGATTCCCAACGTTCATCGTCTGCTCGCCCAGCGGATAAGTCGAAGGCGGGAGGAAATCAATTATCCGACGAAAAGGCTCAATCTCAAGCCTCCAACGGGAAGCGATACGTCCAATCAGTTGGCCTTGGAAGTTCGTTGACTTCTCCTAAAGCTGTATTGTTTATTTCTATGCTCTGTGCAGTCATAGCCAACGCCTCGTCCATCCCAGCGTCTGGACTTTCAAGGCCACACCCAGTCATACCACCACGATCAAATACAAAAGAATTTGTAGGCCGGATATTCTCTTGGATTTCCACCATCCTTTATCTCGGATCCCGGCTACCGCAGCTGTACAAAAACTACACGCGTAAGAGTACTGCTGGCCTGTCGCCACTGCTCTTCATTGCTGCATTTTGTGGAAATATGTTCTACTCTTCTTCCTTGCTCACCAACCCGAATGGCTGGCACAATTTCCCGCCTTACGGTGGAGGCGGATGGGCCGGTCCAGATGGGAACAATCGAATGACTTGGATAATTCTTGCAATTCCATTCTGGCTCGGGGCTACTGGTGTCCTCTTGCTAGACGTGTGTGTGGGAATTCAGTTCATGAAATATGGTGAACAAAAAAAACAAATAGTTACCCGCGTAGGGAGAGGCCGCCACAAATGGATACAGGTCACTGGTTTCATGAAGGGCTGGATCCCTTCACTATCTCCCGATAGAAATGCATCAAATAATGAAACGCAAGCACTTATTTCCCGTGAGGGTGATAGATATGGTAGTGTTTGATTTTGATCATCCACTTTCCCTATTCACGACCTTCCCCTTCTTTTATACATATTTTTTGACTTTTGTTCAGTTATTAGACGATTTTGGAACCATGATTTTTGTCAACTCTTTAGCAATGCTGGTGTTTCATTTGATTCACATTTCAGCAGGCAGATACCCATCTTTCATATCTATCAAGATCTATTTACGTTGTTTTTCGATATCCTATTACCTTTGCGTCTCGAGTAAGAGGACGCCTAACCCTTTTATACATATAGATGGATCGAATACTGGGTCCTTCGCTTTCCCCGTTCACGGCAAGAACTTCAAGGATAAGCCCATGATATTTCCCATATGGACCTTTGCTCTCCGTTGTTCATATCTTCGTTTTGCTGTATTCACTGCGTGTCAGCATGTTTCACGGATATACTATAGTCGGGAGAGATTTTATGATGCACTATAAACATACTTATCTTTCGGTTTTTTTCGGTTTTATTTCTTTTTAAAGCCCACTATAGAACAATTTCATGGTTCATTACATCCAAGCCCAAATTCCATACTTAAAATTTCAATCACCTCTTTGGTTAATGATGCGATGAACCTTTTTGACATAGACCAGAAAACTGGTATTATGTAGGATTGTGTCAATTTAAGTGTTGGAGGAAAACCCATAACCCCTTTTCCATGGAAGTACCTTTGCCCATTCCCAACTCCACAAACTCCGGAGTCTCAAAGGGAGTCCACATTGAAAGTATCCTTGGAATATATACCCTACGCCATTCTCCCTTTCTAACCTGTCAATCCATTCTTCGGTTGATACCTCGTTGAACGAGAGAAAAAAAAAATGTTACCCGATGTTGAGCGAGGAAGGAGTGAACCCTAGCGCCGTCTACAGTTGCGACATGGTCCCCAAGGCACAGGTATTTTGGTAACTCGTGTGCATGGGAAGGATGGGTGCTTTCGACGCCCACAAGAATGGAAACCACCGACTTCTCTATGTCCGCAAGAGCACTGATGGATAACTTGGTGGCACATCGTGTCTTGGTTCCTGGGGCTTCCAAAACAAGAACGTGAAGGGTAACGATGGCGGGTCCGGATTCTATACGCGTGAGTACTACCCCTGATAACTTGAGCAACAGGTATTCTCACCTTGAACACTCCTGTTCTTTAGCAGATACAGCGTATGCAGAATGGAGACGATGCTGTTAAAATAGTTTTGATGTGGATGGCAATATACTCATTCGAGTACCCAGATATTTATATCCTTTGTCTAATGCTGACTGTTGAACGACCTTTGACTGGATGTGGTGACCAGTGCACTTTCATCAAGTAAATAGATTTCAATTGAAGTAAGTGCTGTGGATGACTGTTGGTTATCACCGATGTTCGAATCAATATCTGAATATCAAAAACCTCTACTTCAATAAATGCATCCGTTTTACAGATGAGACAGTGAGAAAGCTGAGAGAAATACATAATAGTTAGTTTACAACTCTAGTGTAGGGGTTGTATATATAAGTAAACGTTACCTCGTGGCTGTTAAGGGAAATGAGCATAAGTAGTTGGTATATACAGGGGCAAAACACTCATTGTAAAAGCCGCCGACAGCCCCTTCTGTCTTCTTCATAAATATCACAGTGAAGGCTAAATGACCGTTTTTTTTATTCACATATATAGAGACAAACATCAAGGCAAAAGTAGTAGATTTCCTCATTATCTCGAAATAGGCAGTGGATATCTGGTATCTAACAGTGATACTCGATATTAACTGCTACTAAAGGGTTCCCGTAGCATAATTCCCGAGTGCCTAGATTGCATGCACCCATGATGTACTAGTGTGTGAAGAAAAGCACACTGACAACAATTTCATGCATGTGTAATACTTGCAACATGCAGACACCCAAGTCTGAAGAGGCCAAAATCGTAAACAACCGGACTGGCTAACTGATTGCACCCTTGCCCTCCCTATAAATCCTGCCATTGGTGGCGGAAGGGTAGCTGCCAGAGCATCTCTGTACCCGATTCCCTCCGGGGATGGTTTCCGGGCCATGCATGAAGATCTGTGCAGGCGGTAAAAGGGAGGCGGATATGGTTGGCCTGGGACGTCTTACAGCTCGTGATATGATCTACAGCGCCAGGACGGGGATGGCTGTTCATCAGCTTTCTTGCAGTTGACGCCGACCGGGTTGTGTGACATTAAAATGGTGAGAAATTGTCTTTGGTTTGGTTGTCAATGGAATTGTTTGTCTGCCGGATGCGGATGATAATTGGGCTAGGTATATTGGCCGTACGCTCAATTGTGTAAATAACACATCCAAGCTCTGGATATAATGGTAAATTCTGAAGTTATTTGTAGCGTGTCGGGTGTATATTTGACGAAGTAAAAAGGCATCGGCCGTGGCTTTGATAACCAAGGGGCATTCTCACACACCATGAATGAAGCAGCAACATGGAAATGATTTTTGTCCATCCACCGTAAGCATTTCTCTGATAAATATTAAACGAGATACCTGAAAAAGACAGGCTGTTTTGTGACACAAAACAACTACTGAAGCAGGTGTTTAAAACTAGTTAGTCAATGTCAACTGAGAAAGCAGTTCCACGATGCAGGGTCCCAAGGAGACACATATATCGATTCTCTGGTATGCGCAGTATTTGCTGCTAGCCTCATAACAAAGCTAGCTATACTCACCTTACAGGGCGTTTATTTCGAGTTGTCAGAGTTTTACTTATCGAAAGTTGATACTTCACATTTCCGTGATGAAAGACGCTGCTGATGGTGGTGGCTGGTCCATGAAAATATTGAAAAGTGCCCACTCCGTTCTGCTACGACCAAAGGCTTGGAATTGGCCGATCGTTTGCTTAGGCTGGCTCGCTTGCATGATTTGGTTTCTAGCTGGATCGACGGGAGGGACAAGGGCATGGTTGGTACACTACTCGAGTGTCAGTTGCAATGCTGTGTTCCGGGTGAGATGGAAGTACTTTGCCAGTCTATATGGTGACGATTTGCGGATGAATGCATGTAGTCATTATAGTCGCTCTTCGAAAGATAGAGATTTGGCAAGATAGTTACCTTATAGCGGGTACAGTAAATGAGACAGGATCGGAGGGAATTATCATTAAAATATAGGTCTATTAATATTAATATATGCTGTCACCATGCACCCACACGCCCACTCAACTCATAGACACATTTCAAGTAATTGAATAAAAAATCCCACATTATACATAGAAAGCCTTATGCATACCACATAGGACTGGTTAACCACAGCCAGAACAAGCAGGACCAGGCTAGGTTGATACACAGACATGGTATGCCTCGTCTTTGTATCTCCCTCCTCTATATTATTTTGCTTTTCTTGGATATTCACAAGGCGTAGATGCTAAAGGGAAGCAAGTAGATAAGGGGTTGAATGTACACAGAGGACGCGTATTTTAAAAGGGTCAGCTTTGTATGCACATTAAGAGTGACAAGCCATCCAGGGAGAAACTAAGGGATGGGGGAAATAGTGAATGTCTCCAGGTCAAAGATAGAGGGTAAAGAAAAAGAACCAGGAGGCCAAGCTGTAGTGCAAGGTATACCAATAACGCCATTAGAAAAAAGGAGCTGGATATCTGTACACGCAATGCAATGCAATGCAGGGGATTCCACCTCAGCACGACTGCCACTCCGAGCAGTGGCGAAGTAGAGGCCACAGCATCTATCTTAATGGACGCTTGGTATCCTGGACACCTCTGGCGATGACATCTTCGTACCTCCACCGTGGAGGAGTGGGTTCTTTGGAAGAGGCTGCTTGCTGACGGTACCATTCGGCTTCCATTTCTGGAGTCATGCCGTCCGGAGGTGGAAGGGCGCCCCCAGCAACGCCGCTGGAGAACTTAAGCTGCAGAATGTTCCCGATCTCATCACATGCGGCAAGCAGTCGGTCAAGATCATCTTTGGTGTGGGCGGCAGAAACACAGAATCTGGCACGGGAAGAGACAAGTGGCGTAGCAGGATACCCAACAATGACGACTGAGATCTTGCGCTTTAACATCTCGTGTGAGAACGCGGGCATTTTGGCGGGATTGAAGAGCAGAAGCGGAATTACAGGGGAATCATCATTTCCATAGACGATGAAACCGAGTCGTTTTAACCCCAGGCGGAGATAACGCGAGTTGAAAGCCAATCGCTGAAGTCGTTCTTCACCTTGACCAGGGATAAGCTCTCCAGTAATGATTCTCAGGGAGGAAGAGATCTGAGCAAGGACTGGTGGCGTTGGGGCCTCACCATAGAAGACAGCAGGGTTGGTCGCTCGAAGCTTGTCGATGATGACCCTGTCGGCGGCTATGTATCCTCCATTTGCACCGAATGATTTGGTCAGGGTTCCCATGAGGATATCGACATGCTTGGTATCAATGCCGAAGAAATCACAAATTCCGCGTCCCCGAGGGCCAATGGCACCAATAGAGTGAGCTTCATCGATGAAGAGATTGAATTTGTACTTCTTCTTTAGGGCAAGTATCCCAGGAAGATTGCACAAGGAGCCCTCCATCGAGTAGAGACCCTCGACTACCACAAGGATCTTCTTCCATGGTCGGTGTGTTCGGGGCTGACCTTGAGAGATTGCCTCCCGCAGTCGCTTCTCTAGGGCTTTGACGTCGTTGTGCTTGAAGGTTGTGATAGAAGCGCCAGACAATCTAGTACCGAATCGGATCGAGGCATGGTTCAACTCATCCGAAATGATCAAGCAGCCCTTTGATACAAGTGCGGAGAAAATGCTTGCATTGGTTCCGAATCCCATAGAGAAAACCATAGTAGCCTCCTTGCCAACGAACTTAGCAACGAGGTCTTCAACTTCAAGGTGAATGTCCTGGGTGCCAACTTCGCTTCTGGTGCTGACAGAGCTAATTCCGTATTTTCTGATGGTTTCTTCGACCGCGTCCGCACAAGGGCCTTCAGACTGCGCAAAGCCAAGGTAGTTGTACGAACTCATGTTCAGAGTATCAGTATAGGTGCCGGTGAAACGAAAATGGCGGTTCTGGTCATCACTGACACGGTCAATCAGAGTGATAAACCTTCCAGGCACGCCAGTGACAGGTCGTTCAAAGCAATCGTTGATTCTCAATTTCAAACGGCGCACATAGAAGTTGTCAAAATCGCTATTCAGGGCCGCGTAGCCGTTTTGTGGTTTCAAGTGTCGGTAATTCTCGCTCTGGAACCGCTTTCCGAAGAAATCACGCACATGTCCAAATGCTATTAAGATTAGGTAACTGATGTAAGTTGTAAGGAGGTAGTAGTATGGAGGCTCGTCCATGACTGGTTCGGGGAATTGGCCCCCATAATGCTTGGAGACATATCTATGAGAAGGATGGCCGAGAGGGCCGAATTGGGCATGCTGCCTGGCTATACGGCGAGCATCCTCGGTGGAAGGGGGCTGAAAGATCGTCTTAGGAGCGGAATCCATGGTGTTACCATCCGCGGTAGCACCGGATACAGAGATCATAGGTAAGGACTGTGAGATAGGTTGCTCGGTCGAGGCGGTCTTTGGGGGCCTAGGAGAGGTAGAAAAGAGCTGACTGAATCTGCTTGGTTTCGGGGCCGTAGGTCGTGTAGGAATGGGGCCGTCTCTCCCGGCAGTGGGAGGAAACGGAGGTAGGTCGGATAGGTTTGCTGAAGGAAGGTCTGTAGGTTGACGCGGCATCTCAAAGTGGCGTATGCGATGTAGGCCGGTGAGCTTAAGGTTCCTAGGTCGAGATGATGGAATATTTGCTGGGACGAGGAAAAGAGTAGCCGGAGAACAAGGTGTGTTTTTATTTTAATTCTCTTCCTGCCTCTTTGTCTTCTAATGGAGGTTTTATCACTGTGTAATCACTCTGTGCAACCCAGCCTTGGGTATGGGCAACGGCGATGGACAGTATGACTGAGTACTCCGTAGGCCTGGAAAGAGCGTTGAAAGAGTCAGCAACAGTCGGACGGCAAAACGGGAAGAAAGAAATCTAGTCCAAAGGGAGTGCAGCTAGAGTTGTTTGCCGGGCAGCCCAGGGTTTTCGACTGATAATAAATATAATAAGGCCAGGACTCACCTTCAGGAGGCTCCGAGCGGGCCGGGATTAACTAACTACCTAGCTCGCAGATGACCCAGGGAGGCAGTTTCAGCTGTGGCCCGTGAGCCCTCTCAATGCCTTCAAAACCAGCTACACGCGAGTTGCAAAAGCGCCCTTGCAGCCAGCAGTGCCTGAATACAAGCAGAGCGAGCTGAAGAGTAGTGGTGCGTGTGGTGTTGCTTGGGCTGAAGTCGACGGTCGTTGTTTTATAGACTGGGGTTCCCCAAAAGGGGGCAAGCGAAGGATGGGAAAACTACAGGCGAGCGTAAAAGAAGGTTTCGTAATTTTAATTTTGCCTTTGCTGCCTGCCAAAGGCTGCGTATATTTTGTATTTTTTCCCGTTCCGTGGCGTATCAGATTATTGAAATTTTGCGCGTTTATCTTATCGTAACTTTTGCGAAAGTTATACCCTTTTTTGGGCGGCCTGATACGGAGCGTGACAGTAGCTGTAAGTCGAACAGCATGCTTATCCAGTGGCAGCCCGAGAAAAGTGACAGAGATCAGCGAGCGGCTCGTAACTTTCGTACCGCTTTCGTAAGGACCGTAATGACATAAGCCAATACAACGGTGCCTGACCTGATGCGGAAGTTTGCTTGGTTTGCCTCCCGCTGTCATTCCCTTTTTGGGCCGTTTTCATTGGCGCTTTTAGGTCCGCGGCTGCTTAGCTAAGCCCTGTCGACGGGCGGCCGTTCAGGGCGGCCAGGGATTTTCACTTTCGCTGTGTCGGATATATTATAAAGCAGGCATTGGAAGGAAAACTTATTTGCGAGACCCTGGAAAATGTTGGGAACGCCGTGCAAGGGAGGCTTGTACCCGGCATATGAAGCACGGAGAATAGCTCGGAGGGCATATATATAAAAGGTATGGACATCTCGCTCGTGCCTCTGGTTCTAAGCCGAAGCTGACGTTTGTTCTAGCTGATTATCAGACAAGTTAGATACCGGGCCCCCGGCTTTTCGTTGTTATCTTCCACTCCCTTGTTATCGTGATGCCGTTCATGGATCAACCAGAGACCAACGGCAATGGCCATTTGATGGAGCCGAAGGAGCTCTGGCGCCCGTCAATTCCCGAATCTACGCAGGTGTATCAATTCAAGAATCGCATAATTCAGAGACACGGCCTCTCGCTGCAGAACTACGATGATTTGCGCGAATGGAGCATCCGCAGTCCGGCCCTTTTCTGGGAGGAAATATGGCATTACACTGGAGTCAAGGCGCACAAGTCTTACGACACCGTAAGTATCTGCTCTTTGAGAACTTGCAGGATGAGAGCCAATTGCTCTGTTTACAATTTTTTTCTCCTGCGGTTGAGCGGACAGTCATGATGATGTCGGCGCATTTTGCCCCGCTACGCTGGGAGAAAAAAAAAAAAAAAAAAAAGAGAGAGAGAGAGAAGAAAAGAGAAGCCGAGAAAGAGGGAGAGAAGAAGTGAAGCTGACATTGACTGCTAGGTATTTGATGAAAACGCGCCGCTGTTTCCTCGACCGTCGTTCTTCCAGGGCTCGTTGCTCAACTTTGCAGAGAATTTACTCTTCCCGGCCTGCAACCCCAACGAAGATGAGATTGCCGTGATATCTGCCACAGAATCTACCCGTGAGAGCATCTCGTGGAAGGACCTCCGCGAGCGAGTACGTGTCTGTGCACTTGCTTTAGAGGCTGTCGGTGTCGTAGAGGGGGACCGCGTTGCCGGATTTGTAGGCAATCATGCCAACACCCTGGTCGCCATGCTGGCAGCCACCTCACTCGGCGCATTATGGAGTGGTGTGTCGACAGATACTGGAGTCCATGCCGTCTTAGAAAGATTGAGACAGATCGAGCCCAAAGTGCTCTTTGTGGATAATGGAGCTGCCTACAACGGCAAAGTTCATCCGACTCAGTCAAAGGTTACAGAGGTGACAGCCAATTTAGAGTGTTTGGACATGGTTGTTGTCATCGACGCCGTCAAGGACTATCCATTTGAAATCCCGGCTGCCAGTCCTCCCAAGGGAAAGAGTGTGGCTTTGCAGGACTTCCTCTCCTCTGCAGAGGCTATATCTAAACCACTGGCTTTCAAGTACCTTCCCCCCGACCACCCTGTCTACATTCTATACTCTTCTGGCACGACCGGTGCACCAAAACCTATTGTTCATGGAGCAATTGGGACCTTGATACAGCATAAGAAAGAGCATGTCCTTCACTGCGACATGCGGCCCGGTGACCGCCTGTTCTATTTCACAACCACCACATGGATGATGTGGCATTGGCTTGTGTCTGGCCTCGCTAGCGGTACTAGTATAGTTCTCTACGATGGATCTCCCTTCCGCCCACTTGACCCCGAAAATGGAAAAGGTGATATGGCCATGCCTCGTCTGATTGATGAACTCCAGATCACCCATTTTGGAACCTCTGCCAAGTACCTCTCTGTTCTAGAACAAAACTCCCTGAACCCCAGAGAGCACCCCTTCCGGCCTGTAACACTCAAGAGTTTGCGAGCTATTTTCAGTACTGGATCTTCCCTCGCTCCGTCTACATTTGACTTTGTTTATTCTTCAATCCACCCGGACATAATGCTTGGCTCCATAACTGGAGGAACAGACATTATCTCCCTCTTTGGTGCCTGCTGCCCCATCCTCCCTGTCACACGAGGTGAAATCCAGTGCCGTGGTCTTGGAATGGCAGTCTCTGTCTTTGACTACGCCGGAAATGACATTGGTGCATCCGGTGAGGCCGGAGATCTCGTTTGTCTTAAACCCTTCCCATCTCAGCCAGTCATGTTCTGGCCTCCGGGTCCAGTTGGCGCTGAGAAGTACCGAGCAAGCTATTTTGACACCTTTGGCCCTAAAATATGGCATCATGGTGACTTCGTCCGTATAAACCCCAGGACTGGTGGATTGGCGATGCTGGGACGGAGCGACGGGGTGTTAAAGCCTGCTGGCGTCCGTTTCGGAAGCGCAGAGATCTACAATGTCATACTCAAGCATTTCGCAGATGAGATTGAAGACTCTCTCTGCATCGGTCGGAGACGCGAAGGTATCGAAACAGATGAAACCGTCGTATTATTCGTGAAATTAATGGGCACAGCGCCAGCGTCCTCCGGCACCTCAACGCCTGTCATTGTTGAAGAGCCAAAAGCCATTTCACAGGATCTTATTACCCGCATACAAGCCGCTATCCGCAAGGAGCTGAGTGCCAGACATGTTCCAGCGATAGTCGACTCATGCCCTGAGATCCCGGTCACGTCTAACGGCAAGAAAGTTGAGAATACAGTCAAGCAGATTCTGTGTGGATTGAACATAAAGACTGGCGCTAGTGTTGCCAATGCCGCTTGCTTGGACTGGTACCGCAAATGGTCTAATGAACATTAGATTTTCCTTTAATATGTCGTAGATTAGATGGGTATTTATACACCGCTCCCGGTTTTATTAATATCAAAATTATGATGTGTTATGTCTCCCGAGTTCATCCTCCTTTTGGTGTTGGGCTAAGAGAGTGACGCTCGTAGGCGGTTAAGCCGATGCCAAGCCCTGAGTTTTTATCTGATCCCCCCCCCCCCCCAAAAAAATGCCATGAACTACAGGTGTCAATCGTCTCCTACCACCCAACAACATACAGACAGAGGAAAAACAGTTTGCCTTTCGCTATGCATCGACTGGCTCTCAGAGCAGGCAGGTCCAGGAAGCCTTTCATACCCCGTCTTGCCCCAAGAAGTTTTGCAACTGTTCGACAACCAGAGAACAAGGTATTCATCGCTAATATTATAACCTGAAGAGACACATCTTTTTTAACGTATGGATATGCTGTAGGATCCTGTTGAACTGGACCAGATAACGACTCTTAGTAACGGTCTACGTGTTGCTACCGAATCTCTTCCGGGCCCTTTTGCCGGCGTTGGAGTCTACATTGATGCCGGATCGAGATACGAAAACAATGAGCTCCGTGGTGTGAGCCATATCGTCGATAGGCTCGCGTTCAAATCAACTTCGAAACGCAATGTAGACCAAATGCTTGAATCCCTAGAGAGCCTCGGGGGAAACATACAATGTGCCTCGTCACGAGAATCCCTCATGTACCAATCCGCCAGCTTCAATTCGACTGTCCCTACAACCCTTGGCCTATTAGCGGAAACAATCCGAGACCCTCTAATTACAGAAGATGAGGTTGCCCAGCAATTAGCGGTTGCAGAATATGAAATAACCGAGCTTTGGGCAAAGCCGGAGATGATATTGCCTGAATTGGTGAATATGGCAGCTTATAAAGATAATACTCTGGGAAATCCGTTGCTTTGCCCACGGGAGAGGCTAGGGCAGATCACCAAGGCAACCGTGGATAAATACAGGACAGCTTTTTTTAACCCGAATAAAATGGTTGTTGCTTTCGCCGGCGTCTCTCACACAGATGCTGTGAGGATGACAGAGCAGTATTTCGGCGACATGAAGAACCAGAAGTCTCCTCTTCTAGCCCAATTTGAATCAGAGACATCATCTACACAGGGTGAAGAGGAGGTACCGACATTTCCAGCCTTCTCGCCTTCGTCCACCACCCCTACCGAGTCTCCAAATTCGTCAGCACCACATTCGCCTTCATCGACGCCTCCTTCCTCTGCTTCTTCCCCAGGTCTCCTCTCCAGAGTCCCATTCTTCAAAAACTTATCTACCTCGGCCCCAAACCAAGCAACAGTATCCCCGCTTAACCCGTCTCTTCTCAAGACAGACTTGATCGATGTCAATAGGCCCTCATACTACACTGGAGGTTTCATGTCTCTCCCGCGCATTCCTCCTCCAGCAAACCCGGCTATGCCACGCCTCAGCCATATCCATCTGGCATTCGAAGCCCTCCCTATATCGTCTCCAGATATATACGCTCTAGCAACACTTCAAACTCTTCTTGGCGGTGGTGGATCATTCTCAGCTGGTGGCCCCGGTAAAGGAATGTATTCACGGCTTTATACCAACGTACTGAACCAACACGGTTGGGTAGAAAGCTGCATGGCCTTCAATCTCAGCTATACGGATAGTGGTCTATTTGGAATATCAGCCTCATGCGTACCTAATAGTATAGCTAACATGCTCGAAGTTATGTGCCGAGAACTTCAGGCTCTCACACTTGACTCTGGTTACTCTGGCCTCCAGGTACAAGAAGTTAATCGTGCTAAGAATCAGCTTCGCTCATCATTGCTGATGAACTTGGAATCACGTATGGTGGAACTTGAAGACCTGGGACGACAAGTCCAAGTTCACGGCCGCAAGATCGGGGTCCAAGAGATGTGCAAGAAAATCGAAGCCCTCACAGTCGACGACCTACGACGTGTTGCTAAGCAGGTATTCGGTGGCTTAGTACAAAACCGCGGTCAAGGCACTGGTCAGCCTACCGTTGTCATCCAAGAAGGTGAAATGGAAGGTACTAAACTTGCACCATTACAGTGGACTGAAATTCAACAAAGGATAGCCAAATGGGGCTTAGGCCGAGCGTAATCACGACTGAAGTATATTTGAAAGCGATGCTCAGTTGGATGCCGGATCAGTCGCTTCCACGTTTTTGGAATTAGAGAACTGTGTATTATTAAGATAGGTCGGATGGTGTAATACTAGCATTATGAATAAATATCTATATACTCATGGCTTGACATAAACGCTGCAAAACATTATCAATGTAGGCTAGCTAACTACTATATCATTCTCATTACACTCGTAAATCTGGAGTGCAGGTATTAACCTTACTGCTCTGACTCTGGGATATCAACTCTTGTACTCAAGAAAATAGCCATATCTTCTAGCTCCATCGGAGCGAACCAATGTTCAAGCTCATCGTAAAGCATCCACGTTACATCCCAACCAAGCTTTTCAAGCGTCTGCGCCGCAGCCTCTCCTAGGTTTGGCGTGACGGTCTTGTCCATATTGCCATGAGCCAGCCAGATTGGAGTAGATAGAGCAGCTGTAGCTGCTTCTGCTGTAATAGGAGGTAAATCTAAAACTGACTGGCAAACAAAATTCATGGCTTGCAAGGCTCTCGCACGCCTTGATTCTTCATTCCCTACTTCTTGTTCTTCTTGGTCCTTTGGGATGAAGTCGGCGATTTGTTCTTTAAACGGGAGCCATCCACTCATACCCACCAGCCCACCCAAGGGGAGATGCTCATCGTTTGCATAACTGAGTAGAACATGAAGTGCCTGCGCACAGCCTTGGCTCAGACCTCCAATAATGACGTTTTTTGCACCGACGAGTTCCGCTTCGGAGTTAATTATTGTTCGCAGGTACCTTGTCGATTCTCTTAGTCCTCCGTAAAGCAAGTCATTATGCTCCTTGGCTGGAGAACCAATTGGACCGCGGTCAAACCACTGAGGAAGATATAGATCCCATTGAGCTAAATGCGTCGTCTTTGCAGACGGGAATATAAATTTAAGGCCGGGAAAGCGCTTGGGCAGGGTATTATCGGAGCTGGGAGCAGATAATACTGTTGTGATTATTTCTGCCCCGAACACACGGCCAACCCCGCCCCGACCGTGAAGAAGTATGAGGGTATGGGTATGCTTGCTTCGAGGAGGTATTACAGTCGGCTCTGGGAAAGGGATGGTATGCTCTCTCGGCTCAGATTCTGTTGTTTGTGCGGCCATAATTTCTTGTGTTTTTGGAGGTGGTCGTGGAAAAGAGTAGTTATGAATTCCGTAATAATCAGTGGAGGACAGCAGTTTAGTCCAATATAGGTAACAACTTCAGCTCTAGGCAAAAGCAGACGGGAACAGGAACAGGCCACAACTCTAGCTTCTCCCAGTATTTCCAAGACGAAGCTCGGTTTATGTTTAATTAATGCCTCTTCTCGTGAGGTTCAGTGAAGCCCGCCCGAGCTTATATTGAAGCCGATCAACAACATCTAATATATTGATTACATAATCTAGCTCCGACGAGAAAAGTTTGGACGAACTTCCATCGCTCTCGACATGCATGAAAAAGAATCAAAGACCAGCCATAAAAACCTTCTACCAAACCATCAGTACATCTTGCTCCTTGGAACGAACCCCAAATCTGAGATTTATCTTATACAGCTTCATTTACTTCATATCTACCCTCCGCTTTAATCTGTCACAATGGTCAAGCTCACCGAAGTCGAAGATGAACATTTCAAGGAAAAGCCTACATCAACCAAGTCTGATGCCTTGCTATTGAGTGATGACGAGGATGAGGATTACACCGATACCGGTATGCTCTTCTCTTCTTTCATCCCTTTATCAATCGTCATGATTTCCTATGGTGCCGACATTCAATGCATTGCGAAGACTACATCGCAACGCTCAATTTGCCTTTAGGGAAAATACATCTGCTGAATATAAAAACAACATTTGCTAATTTTGGACTATTTCACACTAGAATCTGAGATCTCTACAGATTCATTTGATGACAATCTCGACAACGAAACGCTGTATGAGAGAATTTGCGCTCTACAAGATATTATCCCAGCCCAGTCCAGACACAAGATCAGCAATGCTTTCTCTTCCTTCTCTTCCTTTGCAAAATCAACAATTTCTTTTGGCGGATCCGCTTTGTGGGTTGTAAGCACGAGTGCATTTTTGCTCGGTGTCCCATGGGCTCTTGCATTAGCTGAAGAGCAACAATATGTTCAGATGGAAAGGGAGCAAGGAATGATCAAAGGAGCCAATGAGGTACGTGTTTGGTCCATTGACTTAGCCCCGAAGCATTGTGTAATGGCTAATCTGATTTTTTTTTTACTCTCTACAGATGTTGACTCCTGGTGCCACAAGCGCTCTTACCGCCCCTGATTCCATTGCTGTGGAGGGTAAACCTGCCTTGTAATCGACACGAAAATTCGAGATGAGGTGCAGGCTGGTGCGAATAACAACATGTTACAGCCATGGCGTGTCTAGTGGACAAAAATCATTATTGACTTGCCTTTAGATCAATTAGCTTGTCAATATTGTACACATGAATCATGCAATATTGGCATCTACCAGTGGACTGCAACTACTGCAAATGGGACATGGGCTGGGCTTAGGGTGGTGGGTGGCTACAAACGCATGTGAGGAAGCGACCAAGAAAAATTCACTTACCTGGTTGTTGGAATTTTATTTTCGCGGTCAGGGATTGAACACCGTCCATGTCTTCCCATTTATTTGTTACTTTTGACGACAGCTTTTGCCGGTTTTCTCTTCTCCTTGAATATTTACACATGTACTTTACATTTGGTAACTAGTATCCATTTTCCTTTCTGTCCTGTATTTTATAATCATGAGAATTATGTATCAACTGTGATTGTATTTTCAATTATTAACCATGAAAATGGAGACGATTTGGATTTGGTTATATTTTTTTATTCCCGGTGACTGTAGGGGTACCTTGAAAATAAAACGACATTTCATCATTAGTTGAGCTACCCATGCGCAGCAACTATGAAGGGCTCATTCATGGATCCGAGATGCAAATAAATTATCGCGCTGCATGTGTCGGCATCCGTACCCGAGTAAATTCCAGGAGACAGGAAATTCAATTGTGCTTCCACCCCTGCACTAAATATAAACAGCTAATATCGAGATGATGTCTATACGGGAGTCAGCGTAATTAAGAGCGCGGAAGAGCAGGGGAAATGGGAGTAGCCTACGGTTGAAGCTCGTGCAGTCTTCAAGTTGAGGTTGAAGTCCCTCCAGAGCCGGTCGACCTCTCCCGCCTCCACCATAGCATCGACAACCTCATTGGCATATTTTGTCCGCTTTTTCTGACTCCAATGCTCTCTTTGTAGGATTTCACTACTCTCAAGAATACCCATTCTCTCCAAGTAGCCAACAACCCATTCATTGAGGTGGTAGCGCCAATGAATTAGAGTATGAGCCATGGATGCTTTTAATTTGCAGTGTCTATCAAAGCATGAGAATTTAAAAATGCTAATAGCAGTCAATACACGAGACATCTTTGGCTCACCTTCCAAGATAAAAGTGTGTGTTCTCGTTGGGTATCGTGTTTCCCTCGCAGTCGACGTTTTCACGCTCCGTACTATCGGAGGCCTGGTCTTCACTGCTATCATCTTCAACAATAGATTCCAGTGTCTCCTGACTGTATGGAGGCCCGTCAAATCGGATATCATAGGATGCCGGGTGTTTTGACCTATTGCATGCATCACATGGATGACCCTCTGTAATTGGATAAGGGAGGACCACAATCCGCGGCCTTGCTTTAAGTGAACCTATAAATCCCTTATTCCAGACTGACGATACAAACTGAGAGCCAGCCAAACCCGTCACTTCATCCTTCACCTTTCTAAATGCCATTTCATAAACGGCATCATCTCGACGAAAGGCTGGGTTTATTTTGTTGTGCACCATCCATTCAACAACATCCCTAAAATGATCCTTCAGCCTTTTGTATCGATGCCTAGTAAATTCAAATGGAACCTCAACCTCGTCAGCTGGGACACCCAATTCACCTTCGTCATCCTCCAAAACAAAATCAGCATCGTATTGATCGAGATCCTCGGGAAGGGCAGGTTCAACGTCACTATCGGCGTCCATTTGTGAATCTTCCGATGAGGTAGTGTCTTCGGAGTCCTCATTATCTTCCGATTCATATGGGCTATCGGGATTGTTATCGTTGGAATTTTTTTCATTTCTGTCTGTTGTTTTTGATTTATCTCCAGCACGCCGGCGTTTAAGAAGTTCTAGTTGCCGTTGACGTTCTGCTTTGGCTGTTGAAATACTGAGCATGCCCCTTGTCCGGCTCTCAATTACGTCTAAGAGATCATTAGAATGTACCAAAAAACGTAAAGGAACACTTAGCATCTTTCAGAAGGAGCTGAACCAGGAGAAAAAAAAAAACACTTTTCCTATCTTTGACTTGCGCATACCCCTGGCATATTCTTCTTAGTAGGGGGGTTTTCTTACTCGAAGGGCGAAGTATTTCAAGGTCTTCCTCCAGATCAATTCCATGCTGTTGAAGTTTACCGCCCTTTTGTACAAATTCATCAGGCACTAGGTCCTTTTCATCAGGGCCTCTTTTGGCACGGGCCTCTAAGGCAACCCTCCGTTTCCTGAGTGGGGAGGAGTGAATTATATCGGAGTCTGATTCAGAATAGTGTTTTATTTTGACCTGGTCACGGGTGACCGGTGCCTGAGGAATAACAACCTGTACAGTTGTCCTTCTACGCTTTGTAGGCGATACAATCTCATCACTCTCCCCAGGGCTAGATTTCTTTATGCCCGAGTTTGTTCGCTTCCTTGTCTTTGGCTTAATGCTTGAGGGAGGGCGAATAGGATCTTCGTCAGATGAGACGAAGATAGACTGTTCTTCTGGTATTGCCCGAGGCGTAGTAGCAGAATTCTCCCCCTCAGGTGATGACTTCTCTGAGTGAAGATTCTGATATCGCACACGAGCCGGACTTGGCTCGCCAGCCGGAGGTAACGAATTGACAGGAGCAAATGATAAGGTTGTTTGCCGTTTCCGAGACGGTCTGGCCCTGCCAGTCCTGCCCATTGTGAGAGCAGCGCGGCAAATACGATATCAGATATCTGGTAACGGGTATCGTGTTTGGTGCCTGGAGAGAGAAGCTCCTCGCTACGCACGCGTCTTGAGGTCATCCCACGAAAGCACGTGAGCATTTGCTTTCCAAGGTTCCTTGACTGGCGCATTAGTTATAGCTTACCTAATTGCCCGCCGATCGATTACATAATAACAGAAGGAGAACAGAAGTGCTATTATTAGATACGATACTTATTTATCATTATATAAGCGTCGTCTTCTTCCCACTTCAGATTCTCGATGAGCCTTGAGCCTTCAACGGCAGCTTCCATCGCATCGTCAGTTTGCTCGGAAAATTCAGGAATCTCCTTGAAAAATAAGTGGTATGAAAGCTCCCGGAAGCTCCTTACTCGGCTGTCAGGAGTGAGCGAACCTTACATGGCGCCATGACGTAACCACCAGCAGCTTCCAGCACCAAGGCTTGCAACGCCATCATAGTGGAGAAGTATCGACAGCTTGCAACAAAACAATATATGCAGACGGGGGGGAAAACAAGTTCCACAAGGATAATCCCCAGCGCCATTGGTGATTATTGGCCACCCAAACAGGATTGTTGATGTTGATCCGTCCGTGAAACGTTACCTCCGTGGCTAGATGGCACTCCGAAGGCGAAAACATATCTGAAATTACGGCCAGGATGGAACGGCAAAGTCATGACGTCAAGGGAGGACCGAGATCAGGGATATATCCACCTCCCGTGCAATTCCTTCTCCTCGAAAATCTCTTCATATCGACAACGTATCGGGAATAGTGGATTTAGCTTGCCCCCTAAGGTGCGCAGTCAATTGATAAGTTCATCCCTGGTGTAATCTTCTCCCTTTGACCGTCTTTAAAAGACGTCTTTTCCGGACTTGGGTTCGTCGATTGGATTTTAATCACAGTCTTTCATTCTTGTTGCCCAATACATAATATATTGGTGCTGCAGAAAATTCTACTATTCCTCGTCTAATAATTCTCGCTATATGCACTGTTACTAGCCTGCCGCCATGCCTAGTAGCAAAGCAGTAGTGAACACTCCGGTGAACCCGGAGGTAAGAGACAGGGTAAGTCGAAAGATCGCTTTGCGACACGTTATAAAGGAGAATCTAATGTGCCTTAATAGGAAATCAATGAAAAGCTTCAGTATTATGGAATCTATTCAGGTTTGGCTCCTTGCAATATCGGTCGAGGGGGTATATATTTGAATGAAGCAACAGCTTGCTAACATCGACATCATCTCAATTAGCTTTTGCCAATGGCAAAGTTCCTTCGGTATGGCCCTAAATTCAACTCCTTTTCAAGCATTATTTTTATGGTTACGTGTTGCTAATCACCTTCAATATAGAACAAGCAAATCGATGTTGCTTTAAACAGCCTTCTTGCTACGAAGTCCCTGGCCAACCCATCATCTGAACTTTCAACTGAAACTCGACAGATCATTGAAGATTTACGCCATGTAATAATCAGCGCGAGAAATCTTGTTCTTGTCAAGAACGATGGGAACATGATCCAAGAGTTTATCTGGGATGCAACAAACTTCAAAGGCCCGGGAGACATTCAAGCCCCAGATACTTCCGGCGAAAAGGCCGCCGCGAAACAAAATGCTCAGCAAACCGCAGCTGGCCTCAGGACTCTCGGGACTTTGCTCATCACCAACGGTCAATTCCGGAAGCTTTGTAAGTTTGGAAATCGCTCCATTGTGGTTGCAGTCGCTAACATGGTGGCCTGATGTAGTGCAAGATGCAACGATCTTGATACGGGACATGGCTAGTGATTCTGCGCAGAAAGCTGCCGGTGCCTTGAAGCCATCAGAAGAGGACTTAGCCCAAATTGACAAGCCTGCCGACGAAAACGTGTGGCACGAGTCCCCTAACCTATCAAAGGAAGCCCTTAAATCACGGTTCAAGAAAGAGAAATCGGAAAAGCCTCAAGGAAACGTTGATACAGTCAATGGCTCTCATTCCATCAATGGGGCTAATGGTGTCAACGGGGTCAATGGCGTCGATGGTGTTGCCACCAGCCAGCAGGCTGGCACTTCAGGCACCGCTGATACTGCAGAGGTCAAAGATCAGGCTACTACGACGGCCAAGCAACGTTCAAAGGAAGCAGCAGAGCGGACCAAAAAATTCCTTTCGGAAAAAATGCCTCGAGAGCGGAGAGAACAGACAATCTGGCGTATTAAGAAGATGATTGTTGAAATCCAAGGACACGCTGACTGTAAGTTTCAAGGTTAACTCTATATTTGGGTCGTCAACAGCAATCTGACTTACTACATAGATCAAGAAGCTATCGAGACTCTCTTGTCGATCGCCGAGGGATACGCCCGACGCTCTAAAAGCCTATCCAAACAGGGGGCAGGAACGCTGAAAGGTGCAAGAGATCAATCGGATACTCGGAAATTAGAGTCTAACCTGAAAGTATGTTAATAGGATACCTCACCGAACATAAAGATTCACTGACGCGGCTCAAGACTGTAATCGAACGATTTGCAAACTCTACCTCGACTGATGATCTGTTTGATGCCATCAAGAAGTTCTACAAAAATGCGGAAAACGATCCTCGACTAAGAGAGTGGTTCCGAAACGTGGATACCTTCATTAGGTATATATCTCTTAAGGCGTCCCTAGGAGATCCATTATGAAGAAATATAAGTTAACATGACTATAGGAAATGTCTCAAAGAGCAGGGCTTTGTTTTGCGTGACGAATCTACTGCGGAGTGGAACAGACTGTATGATGAGGGACGCTTTTTACTCACCAAACGCTACAAGAAGGACACCGATGAAGTCGTAGAGGAGGGTAAATTCCTGGCGAACCAGTTCGATGAAGATCCGTTGAACAAGGAATTCGGCCAATCTTTGAAGAAGTTCTTCGATCATCTCGGCCATGATGCCAGTGGAAATATTGTTTTCCAGAAGAACCTGTTGAAAGACTTTGTTAATACTGTCCTCCCAGGAACGTTGGCGAATCTTTCTTATATTCCTCTCCCTCGAATTGAAGTATCCGATCCAATGATTGATGTGGTATGTATACCCTCATCCAATAGTACTGGTATGAGGTTTCTTTTAATGATGTTTACTAACCTGGGTCAACAGGTTATTGAAAACTTAGCTGTTCAATGTGATAACCTGATGCCCAATATCATGGAATTCAGCAGCGACAATTATTGGAGATGGGGTAGAAAGAAGATTGGCAATCACAATGACAATAAGGCAAGTAATATCATAGTCGTGCATTTGATATCTTCCTAGCTTCTAACCTTTGGTAATTATAGGCCATGATTTCTGCCACTGGAATCCAGACCGATTGGAGAGGTAAACAAATTCATTTGTGCTTTTGTAGAGCTAGCTCACTAACAACTTTCGTTTAGATGTAAGCTACTACATCAAAAAGAAGAAGGGCTTCCCACATGTCTCAGACACCGGTGTGATGGATATCTTCTTGGGTGGTGATGGATTCAGCTTTAAGATCATGGGCTCTTCAGCACAGAGCAAGGATAAACAACACTTCTTCAAGGCCGATAAGGTCGTTGTCAACATCAAGAACCTGGACATCAGGCTGAAGAAATCCAAGCACAAGGTCCTCTTTACCTTGTTCAAACCTCTGCTTTTGTCAGTGGTCCGACCTGCCATCCAAAAGGTCCTGGAGCTGCAAATTCGACAATACTTCAGCAAGGCGGATAAGTTCGCTTATCAGGTCCACCAGGAAGCTCAGCGTACCATTGAGTTGTCTCGGAACGATCCCGACGAGAAGAGCAATGCATACACTCACTACAGTAACGCGCTCAAGTCGCAGATGAAGGCCCGCAAACAAGAGACCGAGGCCAAGAAGAAGCAAAAGCCTCCCAGAGACACTAAGGTTAACGTTTGCATCAGTCAATACGATTCTATTTTCAAAGACATCGTTCTCCCCAGTGGCATATCCGCCAAGGCGACAGAATATAGGGACCTTGCTGCAAGGGGTGAAAGATGGGAATCCCCTGTGTTTGGTATTGGCTCGGCTGCTCCCTCGACCGGACTTCCACGACTTGATGCTGTCAAACGGAAATACAGAAACCGTGGTATGGGTGGAATGCAGCGACAGACCTTGCCTGTCGCTCAGTCAGCAGGACCATCAGCGTCTATGGCGGAACCTACTCATGTCATGCCCTCCAAGATGACTGGCCTTGCCGACGGTTTGATGACCATTCCTGGAACCAACGCTCCAGTTTAAATAACCAAAAACATTCCTATTAAAGACGTGGCGCGTGATATATCGATTACCCGTCACTATTACTAATATCATCTACTCTCCTATGTTTTTCCTATGTTTTTTCCTTTTTATTTGAGTTTTATGTTCTGTTGATTTGTTTCGAATGATACCAATGTGAATTTCGGTTCCAACCAGGCTTTGGGGGAGGAGGTTTCGAGTGCCTGGAGAATCTTATCTTTAGGTACTGGACCGATCTTTGAGGCAGCTTTGGTGAGAGACATTGAAAGCCTGCGATTGGTAATTATTTAGTAGTAATCCGGGCTATCCCCGATTTGTTAATATGTAATTCATTTTTCTTAATTTGGCCTGTTTGCCCGACCTTGTTTATCCTGATATCCTCATCTAAGGCAACTCGAAAGAATCACAGGAGAGTAGTAGCTCGAGAGTAAGAAAGTATTTGTTTCGCTTGACCCAAAAACTATGCAGTCTTTAAATGGCGTTAGGTTAATTTGAAATTATACAGGTGGGCGTAGTAGTACTCCCTAATAATATAATAAAATAATATAATTATGCTTCAAAGTATCGAACTTATCAACTAGTTATGTGTCAATGAAACATAAACCTGCTTAGAAGTACTTCCCAGCATAGGGATGAACACGCGATACAATTTCATCATAAAAATACATATAGAACATCGAAAGTTCAATTGTCCTATGTAGTACATCTTTGGTTTCAAAAGTTCGCAATTATGTATATGAAAGGAAGAGCAACAAACAGGTGAAGGAGACAGAAAACCAGCTGTCTCGCTAAATTAACCGAGAATGAAAAGATTGGACAAGAATAGGGATATTTCTCTCAAGAAACTTGGAAAGTGGTAATTTGCCGGCTGGCAGTTACGTTTAACAATGGAGGTGGATAGCTGTTGAATCAATTAGTTAGTCTAGAGAACAAGTCATCTTGAAGGGAGCTAAAGAGGAAACTTACCGTTGGCGAAGAGAGCGTAGTTGTCGGCATTTCCCATGGCTCTTTTGTGAGAGAGTCCAGTTGCACGCCTGTAACCGTACCCGAAGTCCTTGCAGTACGGTTTGGCCACATTTGGATTATGGAGTGCTTCGTGGACTATAGTGGTGACACGATCCTGACCATGGCACTTATTGGTCCAGTGGGGTAGTTGCCAAAAGGGGCCGCAGGGGAAGACCGCATTCTGAATTGGAAGAGTGTAGGCAATGGTTCTGGGCCTACATCGGTGATGCATATCGGAGCAGTGCCACTTAACAGAGGGACTCTCCATAGTGGATGCGCCGGACGCCGAACGAAGGCGCTGGGAAACCTCCTTCATGGTTCCAGGATCTTTGGCGCGGAAATATTCTAACACTTTCTCTGTGTTGTTTTGAGCAGCGGCTGCAGCTTCACTGGCAAGCCTTTGAGCGTCTTGAAGGGCGGCCCTGAGGACCCTCTCCTTCTTCGGATTACAAATATCGAAGGAGGGTCGCCGCTTTTCGAGGCCCTCGGAAAAGTCGTCGTCGAACGCTCTGGGGACCATGGCAGCCTTGAGGGCGTCGATCTCCATCTCAAGCGCGTTGGATTCGTAGTAAATGTGGTCGACGATATCTGTTTCCCCATCTTCTGCAACAGGAATGGCACCGCGAGCAGAGAGTGTGTACTTGCCGCTCCGCTTCAAGTTGTGGACTGTGGCAATGTCGAAGAGATGTTCCACACTATCTTTGGGGGCCAGACGAGTAAAGAGATCCTCAGTCAGATCGCTCAAGTCGTAACGGGGAAGCATGCCAGTGAACTCGACATCATCACCTACGAGCAGTCAGTATAACACAGTCTAGTCTGGGTAAAATCCAACGCCTATCTTACCACTCTCGTGGGTTACATGGACCTTGCTAATTGGGTTCTCATCCATAATAGTGTTGAAACTCAGTAGGTGCAAAGGACGCTCCCCATTGTTGGTGACAACAGCCCTGACCATAGTGTGACCAGCGGGAACGAGCCTGACGCTAAGAGTTTGGTTGTTTGATGCGTCGGATGCCGGGGTTGGGAGAGCGAGAGCCGGGGCCATGAGGGTACCAACCGCAGCGAGTGCCGTGAAGAATTTCATTGTTGCAATTTGTAAAAGAATGACTTCGATCAAAGAATAAGTTAGATCAAAAAGGGCTAGGTCAAAAAAAAAAAAAAAAGAGAGAGAGAGAGAGAGAGAGTAAGAAAGAAAAATATGTATGTTTGAAAAAGGAAAGACAAAGGAGTGTAATAGTTCTCTAGGAACTATGGGTTTTGACTGTTTTGTTTGAAATAATAAAAGCCTGCTCTTGAAGGAGAAAAGAGTTTGCTGGCTTCGTTCGATGATGGTATTATATATTGCCTCTCGAGCGGTCCCTCCTTAGGAGATGAACAATATCAAAGTCATCATCCTTTGGCGCGAGCAATGTTTATGGAGCCAGAATAGCTAGCTCTGCCGCGAGGAGCATCTTAAGGTCTGAGTCCTGTGCTTGGCTGGATATGGTGGATTAAGGGGGTTCATGGAACCTAAGCAGGAGGCATCAAATCATAGGAGCACACTCCATCTGAAGGCTATGGAGAGACCCCTTGAGCTCCACGGAGAATTCTATCTGGCCAATCTTATTAAGTAGGGTTTAGCGTATAATAACATGCAGGAAGCAAGCCAAAGAAGACAAGCCTTTCAGCGTGCCTGTTATTAAGGTATACCTTAAGCGGACGGATAAATCCACCTAGAGCTAAATGCAAAGATCCAAATTAAGCTGGCCAAGTGTCGTTGTCAGGGATTGAGAAAATCGAAACGAATCGGTATTTGCTCGGGGTCCGATGGAGAGATCCTAGTCGGAGGTGTCGATGTAAATATCCGCAGCGAATGAAAAGCTCAACTGGAAGAACATCATAAGGTGGATTCGATATTGATTTCCATGGATGCCAAACACAATAATAGAAACTGATCGTTGAAGGAGACGCTGGCACCACATATCAGGGCCTTCAAGTGTGGCACTTGTCGAGGGTTCAAGAGGCAACTTGCGTACCCGTCAAACCTCACGCGCAGGCAAACATGTCCCCTCCTTAGACATAAGCTTGACTTCACACTCCAACATCCTGCATTTTCCATGAAGGACAACTGCTCCATACGGATAACCCCGTGCGTTCGTTGTTTTCCATCTAGGATTTTTTCTTGCGTATCCTTCAGTTTGTCCGGCCAACCCTGGAACAGGAACTGTAATATGAAGCACCGATGATCTCTTTGATGCGGACGGAGCTCGTGCCCAATCTCCAATGGTCAGTCCTATGACTGACTAATGAGCATCCCCCGTCGTAGACGCCAAAGAGGAAGCGGCCAAGATTGAGTATGGAGAGAGAAAGCTTGCCTCTTCTTGACCACCGCGCAAGATCCGGTTGCTTGAGACGCTAGCGTTCCTCTCCCTCGCTGTGTTTCCTGACGGCGCGGTGAGGTGGAGGAGGCATAATATCGGGTGAAAGGAGGATTTTAATGATGACAGTTCACCCTGACTTTCTTCTTAGTGCGGCTCTATTTCCCTCGCGCCAAATTATCCAAGCCTGCATTCAAGTTAAGTAGGTAACTAGTAGTGCAAAATGCCATCTTTGCGGAAATCCAATGTAGTGCAGACATCCGTGCTACTAAGTGTAGACTAGTCAACTATGCCTTAGCGATTCAATGTTACCAAAGGGTAACTACCAGCTCGCTTGACATTATTATGCCGCTCGCAAAAATGGGTGAACTGTTGTTGCCTGGTCCGCAGTTCATTTCCTCAGGCAAATCATGGGCTGCCCAGTGTAAAATTGATCCACTAAGTGAGAATGACATGACGCTTGTTTGAGCTTCCGCAGGGCTTGCATTTGCTCCTGAGGAAGTGCGTATGGTGGTGGCTGGAAGTCCAACACAGCCGAACGCTGCAAGGAACCCATGGCAGGCACACTTATAGCTAAGCTCTTCACCAAGACGGGTAGATCAAACAACTACACAGTAGCTGTCATGGAGAGTTCCATCAACGGCATCAACCCAGTGACTTGGTTGAAGATCATGTTGAGCATATTTTCACTCTGCACATCCTCTCTTGGGCGGGAGATCTTCACAAGAAAAACTTTCCACTACCTGAAGAGCAGGAACAAAATAGCAGATATGACACGTATATCAGCCCACTCTAGATGGTGAAACAAAATGAAATTGCCTCTGCTGCAAGGTTTGTTGACGTAAGTAATTAACCCTTCTCTATGTCACGCCTGCCATGTTTTGCATATATATATATCCTTCTGCAGGGAGAAGAGAAATCTCCGAACAGGAATACTGCTTTTTATGTCCGAGGGGCGACTTCTTTCTACCCCAGGGCCATATAGGATGGCGGTATCGGTATTTAGGCGCTTCTGAGGGCCAAATTAGCGCCATCCGAAGAGACGCTGCCAATGAACTATATGGGGTATTCGTTTATAGCTCGCAGACTCCGTCATGACTGTGGCTGGCCATCCACCACCGCTCTGCACCGCCTCTCATCCGCGTAACTCACCATTTCGCAAGTAATGATAATGGCAGAGCGGGCAGCGAAAAAGGGCGGAAGATGGAGTATCCGGATGTAAAATTAATTCTGCCCAGGGGTTGGAGTAAGGCGTTGTCGACTTGTTTCACCCTCTGATACCGCGGCCCACACGCAGACCGGAAGGTCTCTGCCCTTTCTTCGAATCAGAGGGGAGAAGACTCGAAGCAGGGTCAAGCCGGTGAAGTGGTTTGCGGTCCACTGGGACCACCAAGCGGTCTGTTATGTGGCTTATCATTTGACCGGACTGCAGTCCTGAGCAAGCGAGACCCGTCGTTGAATCAACCACCCCCTTGTTGCAGGCTCCGTTCGGGCTTGCATGGCTCGGAGATGGGATGTCGTGGGAGAGTTTTCGGTCGTGCTGGGATGTCTGTCACCTCTGCGACTGCCGTCCTTAGCTCACTAGCGTAACAGCTGGCTTCTCTCGGCTGTCTATGGTTGTTGTTGTTGTTGTTGTTGTTGTTGTTGTCATGAGGGAGCGTCACCGTGGTCTTCCCCTGTAGTCAGTTTAGTTAGCGGTTTGACATGATCGCGGAGTCGAAACATCAACGTCAGCGTCAACAACAACCTCCAAGTAGTTCGCTCAACCTCGTAACTTCATCATCAGCACCAACAACTGGAAGCAGAGAAGAAGAAGAAGAAGAACAAACGCTCGTGGTTTTCATGCCAACCGTCGGAAACCTCGTTTACCGGGCAAGTATATTTGGCATCTTTGCCTTTGCCCTGATCGTCTATCTCACCACCAGCTCGCCGTGGATGCCCTTCACCGAGAACTGCTCCGACTGCTCATCGCCCGCCATGGACGACCAACTCTCCTTCCTTCAGATCTCCATCTGTCCCGGCCGTGAAATTGTGCCAAAGGACGAGGAGCTCAAGCTCAAGGTGACCGTCACGAATACAGCCGACTCCCCGGCAACGCTCCTCACCTGGAACACCGTCTTCGATACTCTCGCACCCTCGCTCGGTGTCTTCACGCTCCGTGACCTCACTGACGGCACGGAAGTGGAACAGAACATCATGATGATCCGCCGTCAGATGCCGGCTCGCGAGCGTGATCTTGTCGAGCTGGGCCCCAAGCAGTCAACCGAGACCAGCGTCGTCTTCAACAACCTGGAGCTCACCTCCGGCCACAAGTACTCGGTCCAGGCCAACGGCTTCTGGCAAACCGTCTGGACCAAGCCCAAGTCAGAGGTCGTCTCGCACTATCTCGACCTCTCCGGCGGGATGAACGGGGACTTTTCCTCCAACACCGTCGAGTTCTCCAAGGTAAGTCCTCCAAGGGGAGTCGTCGCTTGATATATGCGAAATAAATAGCTGGACTCGCACTAACTTGCCGTAGGAGTGATCTGGACTACGGCCCGTCTGTCGGCAGCCAGTTCTTCAGCCAGCCAGCGTACACGGGTTGATGCGCTTTCTTGATATCTTCTTGTCTATATGTTAGTACCTGTATATAGTTACCACTACTCCATACACCACGATAGCCACAGAATGTCAGCCAGCTTCTCAAGCCTCGCGGCTCCGTCTTTAGTGCCTTGGCCGTGTAGTTAAGCAGCTTGCAGCAAAAGAAGATGGAACAGCTCATGCAGAGAAGGACAACGCCGAGGGCAGAGTGGCTGAGGCCTGCGGTTCCCGTAGCCGACTTCGACCTGTTTCCCGGCTTGCTGCTTATTATTAGTGACTACGTCCTACTGGCTAGCCTGCGCCTTGCTCCGCCCGCGGCCAACTAATAGTTAGTTGGTCAAATTAGTTAATTCGTTAATTAACTAGTGAGTTGACTGACTGACTGATTAACTTCTCCCCTGCGCTGCCTCGTCTTCCTCCATCACCAACAGCCACTACTACCACCACCACCACCACCACCACCACCAGAACAACAACCCGCCCATCGAGTCTCCGGCCATCTCGTCTTCTTTGGCACTCGCAGCTCGTTCACTTCTCTCTTTATCCTCGGCTTCAGTCATGGGTGTAAGTCCCCTTCCAGCCCCCGGAGAGCTGTGTGTTTGCGCCACTTGATTGCCCCGCCATATAACTATGCGACCCCTCCAAGGCTCCAGCGTTCAGCAGCATCACAACAGCCCGTTATTTCATCCATATTAACCCAGTCTCTTGCGATTATTTACTGACTTAACGGCCTGCTTGCCTCTCTTGCCTTGTAGCTCGCCTCGAAAATGGCTGCTGCCAACCAGGGCGCGCCCTCCTCCTATCCCGGCGGCCCCCCTCCCCCAGGCGGCGGCCCAGCATACGTATGTCCATACACCATCTACTTCAGTTATTCTCGGAGGAAGGATGAAAATACAGAAGCGAATTCCGGGCCTCTTTCCCTCTCCTCGGTGCTTGACGAGAGAACCGCCGGCTGACTTCTTTTCTGTTTACTAGCCCGGACAGCAACAGTACCAGGCCTACCCTGGCCCAGGCGGCCCCGGCGGCCCTCCGCCACCCCAAGTAAGCGACCCCGTTTGACACACAGCTCCTCCTGCTTTCTTCAGACAACATTTGCAATGAACATCCTCTGTCCGCCGTTATTTTCACCGCTTTCTGCACCTGTTCTCTGTTGTTGTCGTCGTTTTTGCTTCTTTTGGTTCCTGTTCCGTTGTTTGCTTGTGACGTCATAACTATGGCTTGTTTCTCGGACCAAGTAACAAATCTCTATAACTATGCTTTTGATCGCGAGCCAACTGCAAAAGAAAAGGCCTCTGCTGGCCTGGCTCATGACCATAGCAATCAATCCGAACTCCCATAACCGTGCCTAACGCGAAGATGCTCTCAGGCCAGTCCTCAGCCTCAAGCTCCTCCTTGGAGTGCCTCGCCGCCGCAGAGCGGAACTCCAAATCCTTACTATAGGAACCAGCAGCAATCCCCCCAGCCCCATCAACAACATAATGCCTATGGCCAGCAGCCTGTCTATGGTCAGCCGCAGCCTTATGGCCAGCAGCCCGGATATGGACAGCAACAGCCACAATATGGACAACAGCAGCAGCCTTATGGACAAGAACAGCAACAACACCACCACCAACCCTATGGAGCACCACCGCAGCTACCAGCCTACGGGCAGCAATACCCTCCCAACCAGGCTCAATACGTTCGTTTATTTTCTCTTCTAGAGTGTTTTTCCTTTGTTCAGTTTCGTTTGCTAGAGTCCTCGTTTCTCTTTCTCTCTTCCTTATCTTCTGATTTACTTCAATGTGTTCATCACCTTAACAACGTTCTTTTTTTTGTAGGGACAAGGACCACCCGGCCAATTCCGTGCAGGTCAGCCTGGGTACCCTCCTCAGGGAGGCCCCGGTTATCCTTCCCAAGGCGGTGCACCTGGCTATCCTCCAGGGCCACAAGGAGGTCAGCAGTTCAATGCTCCCCCAACTCCACAACAGCAGGCAGCCTACAAGCAGGTTCTTCAAAGCTGTATCAACGAGAAGAATCTCCAAGGAATGTACCCGCCAAACTCTCCTATTCTCGACCAGATAGTGAGCAGGATCAGCGGCCAGGTGGATCAGCTCTGTGCCACCTGGCGAGTTCCCCGCGAGGTTGGCCAAGATGTTGTCAAGCTTGCGCTCTTCGATGTTATCCTCTACATCGACGACAGTGGCTCCATGCAATTTGAGGAGAACGGCGAACGTATCAAGGACCTCAAGCTTATTCTTTCTCGCGTCACATACGCCGCCTCTTTGTTCGACGACGATGGTATCCAGGTTCGCTTCATGAACTCCAATGAACAGGGCAACAACATCCATAACGAAGGGCAAGTCGAGGCCCTTATGCAGCGCATGCAGTTCAAGGGCCTTACCCCCATGGGAACCAGCTTGAAGAACAAGGTTCTGGAGCCCCTCGTCCTGGCTCCTGCCAGAGCTAATCAGCTCAAAAAGCCAGTCTTGGTCATCACGATCACAGACGGTCAGCCTGCTGGTGAAGCCCAGGGAGCTGTGTTCGATGCCATCCGCAGTGCAACCCAGGAGCTCCAGTCTAACCCAAGATATGGTCGTGGAGCTGTCTCGTTCCAGTTTGCTCAAGTCGGCAATGACTTGAAAGCCAGAGAATTCCTGTCTAAGCTCGACGAAGAGCCTGGTATTGGTGAACTTGTCGACTGTACTTCCAGTATGTCCTTGACTCCTTGTCGGTAAAATTATCCCTTTTCGAAGCCTATACTAATGATTTCTTAAGACTTTGAGGTTGAACAGGACGAGATGTCTCGCGCCAACCCACCAGTCGACTTGACCCCTGAGCTCTGGGTAGGTTATACCCATCTGCGTCATGCAAGTGCTTTCAAAATGCTAACTTTTTATTCTTAAATATAGCTTGCGAAGATGTTGCTTGGTGCCATTGACTCCTCCTACGACACCAAGGATGAGAAAACCCAGCGAGCTCCTGGAGGAGCACCACCACCGGGGGGCCAGTACAACGCACCACCGCAAGGACAGTACGGCGGATACGGCCAGCAGCCTCCCCCACAGGGTGGATATCCCGGCGGCGGCTACAACCAGCCACCACCACCAGGCGGTTATGGACAACCACCACAGCAAGGCGGCTACGGTCGTCCTCCGCCTGGCCCTCCCCAGGGCGGGCCGGGCTATCCTCCACAGGGCGGATACGGCGCACCTCCACCCGGTGGCCGTTACTAGACAAACCCAGACTGTGTGTCAACTTCTCTTCGGATGAAGGTCTTTTTAGTCGCTTATTGTATTTCTTAATAAGGCCTGTGGCCCTTTTCATGTACTTTGCACCTAGGACCATTTTTTCTTATCTACTTTCACGAGCGCAGAAAGAAATCGTTCGGTCTGCGCGGTCGCCAAGGGCGAAAAAAGGGAAATCTGCTACTGAGAAGACCAGGAATGCAAATATAATGGCTCTATTATCCTTACGCTGCCCTCGCTCACCGTAGATGTAGAACAGAGACACGGCCCTGCCAGCGTCTTCCACGCCCGCATCTGGCGCTAAACTCCGCGCTCCATGCGCTACTTATGCGCCGAGAGCCGTTCCTGTCCCGCCATTGGCTGTGCTAGCGGAAGGCCCCGCTTTTATCCCCCTGGGGGCCCGCAGTCACGTGCCTGTCATGTGCAGCCTTTTTCAACGCCAAGCCGAGGCCGCAGGCGGCGCATCCTGCCAGTTACGTCAGTCGCTTCTTTGTCTCTCGTCCTTCCATCGTGTCTTGTTTCACACGAAGCAGAGCGCAGGAAGACGAGCGACGCTGGCGCTGACGACGACGAGGAGCACCGGCTGCAATCGACGACAGGAGGCTGAAACCGTTGCAGCAGCGCTGCTTGAGGCATGCAGGCAGCTGTGGCAGCCCTCCGCCGCCCTGACTCTCGATTCGTGACTGCTTGCGGTAGAAATAGAGAACGCCTCCCGTCAAATGGAGGGGCGTCCTACCACATCATAGGACGAGCCCACCATATAGCGTTTTACCAAGTGATTCGACAGCCCTGTGTTCTTTTTTTTTATTTTTTATTTTTATTTTTTTATTCTCACTCACGCCCTTCGTAGGGTGACAATCTGTCTTTTCTTTCTCTTTTCTTGACCTGCCTGACCTGTCCGGGAAGCGCTGGCTCGTTTCTACTTCTGGACCTCTTCGATCGTTTTTCCCGAATAGCGAGTCGTCGATATAGGGATCGGGCGTCAGATTCCGTGAAACTTGCCCGTTTTTCATAAGACATACACAACCAAGGGCGTGACCGTTCATCCTCTAAGCCATACAGGTCTTGTTGAAGACGGAGCGCCCATATATAACATAATTCTGGGTAGAGAGGTGGAGCAGCAGCCTTGGGTCGAGAACAACATCCAGGTCCCTTTATACGTCATACAGGCTGGTCTCCGCTACGATAGTCGAATATGGGCGAAGGGCTAGAGTCAAGCGGGCGGGGAAATCAGAATACAGTGGAATATGAAAGTATAGCTCTGCAGCCTACTAGTGAACAACAGCAGCAGGAGCAGGAGATCCCTCAAAATATGCATGATCTTGACCAGCGAAGACACTCCCTGAATCGAGTACGGTTTTCGTCTGATATCAACCGCGCCGCCGAACAAACGGTACCGACTTCGAGAGCCGCCGAGTCAGACTCCAACGAGACCTCTCTAACAACGACGCCCGTTTCGGCTTCACCAGGAGTGCTTACTGCTGGGCGCAACCGAGGGTACTCCCTTCGTCGAGTCCTCTTCAACCGGAATCTCTTAACGCAACAACAACAACCAGAAGAGCCAGATCTAGAACGAAATGAAGCTTCTACAAATGAACAGAGCGACAAGGAGACCATTGACAGTGGTACATTTCCGAAGGTCGCTACGGAAAAATATTCTGTTTTACCACAGCATTCAGACTTTCTGAAATCTACGACCTCCTTCCTGACAGCAAAGCCGCGACAGACGTTTTCCATTACCCATACGATAAACAGCTGGCTCGCATTTCTACTCTCCCTATTCAAAACGCACATCCTGCGTATCAAGGATATCCCTCCGAGTGCTGACGGGCGACATGTTGACCTTGATGCCTATAACACTAAACCCCGGACCGATGAGCGAACCGGCAAGCACTATGTATCAAATACAATTCGCTCGAGCAGATACAGCCTATGGAGTTTTCTCCCTCGTCAGTTAATCGCGCAATTCTCAAAACTCGCAAACTTTTACTTTTTATGTGTTTCCATTCTGCAAATGATACCCGGGCTGAGTACCACCGGTACTTTCACCACTTTAGCGCCATTACTTATCTTTGTGGGGATATCCATAAGCAAAGAAGGATACGATGATGTCCGTCGATACAGACTTGATAAGGAAGAGAATAATCGAATTGCATCTGTACTGTGCCCGTCTGAGGAGGCGCAAGATGGATCATATGAATCATTACCAATGACAGCTGGCGATATGAGCTCAAAGGCCACAGATCACCCACAACCGTGGATAAATGTCAAATGGGTCGATATAAAAGTTGGTGACATCATAAAACTTGAACGCGACCAGGCCGTGCCAGCGGATATCGTCCTACTATACGCTGATGATCCCAACGGGATAGCATATATCGAAACCATGGCATTGGATGGCGAGACAAACCTCAAGAGCAAAAAGCCATGTTCTCTCGTTGCTAAAACATTCAACTCAACGGATGATATCATCAATGATAGATCTACACACTTTGTTCTGGAGGATCCAAACATGGACCTCTATAAGTTTGAAGGCAATGTCACCGTCGGAGACGAAACCGCGCCCCTGACGAACAACGAGGTAGTTTACCGCGGTAGCATTCTCCGAAATACCCATGAAGCAATCGGAATGGTAATATATACTGGAGAAGAGTGCAAGATTCGTATGAATGCTACCAAGAACCCTCGCATCAAGGCCCCAGCAATTCAGAGTGTTGTCAACCGAGTCGTGGTCCTTATTGTCATTCTGGTTCTTTCACTTGCTGGTGCATGCACAATTGCATATAAATACTGGTCACGCAGTACGGAACGCATGTCTTGGTATCTTGAGCAAGCAAATGTTTCTTTTGGCCCGATATTTTCCTCTTTTTTGATTATGCTGAACACAATGATTCCAATATCGCTGTATGTGACTTTGGAAATCGTCAAAGTCGCCCAGATGTTCCTACTAAATGATGTCGACATGTATGACAAGACATCAAACACTCCAATGGAGGCCAGGACTTCGGCCATCAATGAAGAACTTGGGCAGATCAGGTATATCTATCTTTTCTTATTTTACCTCGCTTCTTGTAGTAAGGACGTGCTAACAGGCTTAGCTATGTATTTTCGGACAAAACCGGCACCCTGACTGACAATTCGATGCGATTCCGCAGCATGAGCGTTGCCGGAACTGCCTGGCTTCATGACCCCGATTTAGTCCAAGAAGCTGCTGGCGAGACTACAAAGCAAATTTTACTCCGCAGGCAAAGCAAGGGCAAGAAGCCTACTCGTGCCAAGTCATTTGGTGATTCAAGCCAAGGTCGACCTTCGGCGGTATCTAGACGGTCTGGGGTATCTCAAGCGACTGCCCGTGAGCCTGGGACTTGGAAACCCAGCAAAAAGTACCGTTTCTACAGTGGTGGCAAGACTACGGAGATGCTGCAATACGTCAGGCAAAAGCCTCACACTCTATTTGCAGTGAGAGTGAGATTTTTCATCATCGCTATGGCCCTGTGCCACACTTGTTTACCGGAGTGCGGACAAGATGGCGAGTATACGTTCCAGGCTGCATCGCCGGATGAGGTTGCCCTTGTGGCTGCTGCAAAGGAATTAGGATATCTCGTCTGTGACAGACAACCAAACAGCATCACAATTCGGCGGTCCGAAGGCAATAACAAGGGTAACGACACGATCGAAGAGACATACGAAGTACTGGATATCATTGAATTCACCAGCGTACGGAAGCGCATGTCAGTCGTTGTGCGCCTACCAGATGGCAGGATTTGTGTCTTTACTAAGGGTGCAGATTCGACTATCACCAAGCTCTTGAAGCAGTCTGCCCTGGCCATTGATAAGATACATCAGATCGAACAGCGCTCGAATGAACGCAAAGCAATGGAAAGCATGGAAATTATCCGCCGAAACAGTGAACATATGTCTCGTGGGGGCAAAAAGAGCCTTAGCATTCGTCGACCCAGCTTTGTAGGCCGGCAATCAAGCGTTTCTGGCAAACTGGGCCCGTCTATCTGCCAGAGTATTGATGTCTGGCTACGTGACCGTGAGACGGACGGTGGCTTAGATATCAAGGACCACGAGCATGAGATGCAAAACTACAACCCGCGGCCGTCTGTCCAGCTTGGCAATGGAGGAAGTCCGCGGGTTTCGTTCCAAACCGATGATGGAATGGTGGAGGAAGACCTGGTCGATGAGTACCTGGTGACTAATGAAGCACTAGTATTTGAACGCTGTTTCCAGCATATAAGCGATTTTGCGACGGAAGGGTTGCGCACCCTACTGTATGCCTACCGATTTATAGGGGATTTGGAGTATAAGGAGTGGAAACAGGTGTACAAGGAAGCAACGGTCAGCCTTGTTAATCGGCAAGAGAAAATAGACGAGGCGGGTGCGCAGCTTGAGACACAGCTAGAGTTAATTGGCGCCACAGCGATCGAAGACAAGCTTCAGAAGGGCGTTCCGGAGGCAATTGATAAATTGCGACGGGCAAATATCAAACTTTGGATGCTGACGGGAGATAAGCGCGAAACGGCAATTAATATCGGTCACTCGTGCCGACTGGTCAAGGATTACTCGGTGGTCGTCATCCTGGACTATGAGACAGGGACTGTGAAGCAGACGATAGAATCTACAATCTCAAGTCTCTGCGCTGGCGGGGTGGTGCATTCAGTCATCGTGGTAGATGGCCAAACGCTATCGATGATTGAAGGGGATGATGGACTCCAGGAACTCTTCTTCGATCTGGCGATCCGTGCGGACTCAGTGATATGCTGCCGGGCGAGCCCCAAGCAAAAAGCGTTCCTTGTCCGGTCGATTCGCAAACGCGTCAACGGTGCTATCACCCTTGCGATCGGTGATGGAGCGAATGACATTGCAATGATACAGGAAGCACATGTTGGAATCGGGATAACAGGCAAGGAGGGACTGCAGGCAGCCAGAATATCTGATTACTCTATTGCGCAGTTCCGGTTCCTGCTGAAGCTGCTGCTCGTCCATGGACGATGGAACTACGTGCGGGTATGCAAGTATACGCTAGGCACCTTCTGGAAGGAGACGCTGTTCTACCTAACTCAGACAATGTTCCAGCGCTCTAATGGGTTCACCGGTACCAGTTTGTATGAACCCTGGAGCCTGAGCATGTTTAATACGCTATTTACTTCGTTGGCAGTGATATTCCTGGGCGTGTTTGAAAAGGATCTTGCCGCGAGCACGCTCTTAGCAGTGCCGGAGTTGTACACCAAGGGCCAGCGCAACGAAGGCTTCAACATCCCTGTCTATCTCGGCTGGGCTATAGTGGCGGCATGCGAGTCAATGATGGTGTACTTTGTGATGATTCGACTATTTGGTGATGCTATCTTCACGGTAGACAACGGCATCTACGCCATGGGCCTGCTTACTTATTCGGCCTGTGTGATCATCATCAATGTCAAGCTGCAATTTCTTGAAATCCACAACCATACAGTGCTCACGTTGATCCCACTGGTGGTATCGATAGGCGGCTGGTGGCTCTGGAATATCATCTTGTCGAAACAGTACAAGCACGACGCCATCTATAACGTGCGGAACAACCTTATCCATTTCACGGGGAAAAATGCACTCTGGTGGACAACATTGATTGTGATTGTGGCCATCGTAATTTTGTTCGAGATTACCATGGTCACAGTGCGCAAGACGCTGTGGCCTACAGACGTGGATCTGTTCCAGGGATATGAGAAAGATCGAGATGTTAAGAGGCGTTTTGAAGAGGCGGCTGCTTCGGAGCTGGCGCAGGGATGGGAAAGGCCCGGAAAGTATGGGGGCAACGACGACGACGGTGCCAGCGAAGAGGATGACCACGAGCATGAGCTACAGCTCCAGGATCTAATTGAGCGGAGAACCAAGGAGGAACATCAACAGCCATAGCAGCATCATTCGCCATGAGGGAACAGAGAGGGTGTCATGGCCAAGGCTTGACGATCTTTTTGAACACGCAGGAGTTCTTCTCAAAACGAACGGGCTTTTTTGGCTCGATATGCTGCGTCCGGGCAGGACATCAAGTGACCACGCAGAATTTTCCTCTTTTTTTCTTTTCTTTGGGTTGTTTCCCTTTCATTCAGAACAATTCTACACGCGATGTTTACAATGTCAATCTTGTTTCTTGGGTAGGGTACTGGGGGCGGCGTCTTTTAGGGAATGTTTCGGCGTTGGGCGCTGCATTTAAGGTTTGTCAGTGCTACCTTGGTTGATACCTGGTTAAGATATAGCAGGGGCTGGATAGTATCCATCCATGACCCTTCAGCTGTGCTTCCGTTCGTCTGTCCCTTTTTTTTTTTTTTTCCCGCCGTTCTCCTCCTTGTCCGTGTTCCTGTTGTCCTTCTGTTGTGTGCAATGTTCTTTTTGGCTCCATACAGAGTAGTATTTGGTGTATAATACCCTGCTTTCAGCACATACATAGACTTGAGTATAGACACTAGCATGAGCCCGCCTCATTTCATGATAGCCCGCATATTCCTTCAGGATAGATGTTCTTCCTCCATCCATGCCAGTGTGGCCTCCGCCACGTAAGTAGGTACTTCCTGTTTAAGTACTCCGTACTCTGGGCAGGTGAGTTGAGGCGAACTAGCCCTGCACAGGGATGTCGATGGACTAACTGATCAGGTGCGTTCGTGCAGAAACAAGCCGACACCCGCGCTGCAGGGCCGGAAATCCAGAACCTGATTCCGGATGACCTCCTTAAGAGCGAGCTCAAAGCTATAATTAAATTAGATGTCTTATGTATGTCCGGTTAAGCAGCGGCGGATCTCTGGCGCTAGCACAAGAAGGCTGCTGCTTCCCCTTGCACTAATCCAGGTACGTGACTTTGGCTAGCCGGCTGATCGGGGTAATTAGGTAAGTTAGAGGAGTCGAGCTGGAGACGAGATGAGATCGGATGAGATCACGATGCCTTCGCCTACAGCTTGACTTTCGAAACTTTCCGCCCGCTCGTTTTTTGTGCCCTAACAGTATAATAGTTGTGGAGGAAGGAGTAGGTTAAAGCCCCTTCGGTGGTATCAAGTAGCTATCCGGTATCAGGTATCAGGTATCAACCAAGCAGTGGTGATGTGGTTCCGTAGACGAGGCGCCCCCGTACCAAGCGTCTAACCAGCAGGTCAAACGTCCACCGACCTGAAGTCGACGCAACACACAGTGACGGGGTTGCGGCTGCTCTTGTCTTTGAGTGTTTGTTGGCTCTGGCATGGTGGGGAGAGGAATACCTGGTGCCTGGTGCCTGGTGCCTGGTCGACGATGACTGGCTGGAGACACACTGGCGATGGTGCCTGGGATGCGCCTTTATGCAGTGTCACTGGGGACATCCTGGCGCCGCTGGAGGGAGAGGACAAGGGCGACGGGTCAGGAGCAGAGTCTGAAACAGACCCCTCCCCATGCCAGGCATTTCCCGAGCAGGCCATCTCTGGTCGAGTCACTCGTCTGTCTCTGTTCCCAGGGCTTGTCTCTTGCCTCTGGCCCTCTTGTTTCTCGTCTGTTTGGTGTCCTGGTGCCCCGTCCTCTGCTGGCCTGATGGGGTGACCGGGTCTGCTCTCTGCCCTCTGCTCTCTGCTCTCTAGGGGGGGTTCCAAGGTGCCTCAGAGACAGCCACCCCATCCTCGAGCCGAGTCCTGCGGCGGCCCTCTTGACCACCATCCCCGTCTGTCTATCCTCGTCTTGCTGTCTATATCGTCGTCGTCGTCGTCGTCGTCCTTCCATCCTTTCCTTCATCCTCCTTCCTGTCTGCTTACTCATCTTATCACGTGATATCTACTTAGCGCTACCTCGCCCGCCCTACAAACTGCTATGCGAGCCGAGGTATCTTTTTGTCGCGCCGGCTGAAACGCTCCAACCTTTTTTTTTTTCGCTTCTGCTGCCTTTTTCCGCGACGCTCACCAACTCCTTCGACTTCGACTTCGACGCTTCTGCAACCTCGTCGCCTTCTTCTTCTTCTTCTTGTTGTTGTTCTTGTTCTTCTTCTTCTTCTTCTTCTTCTTTGCTTTCCTCACGCCGTCCGCTCCTTTACACGGCTTGTCTTTCGTTCTCTTCTTCTGCTGCCTGCCCGTCCGGTCCCCAGAGACTCGACTGTCGCCCACGGCACAACCACCGCTCCTTCAGCCTGCTGCCTTGGTCCAGCACTTTTGCACTCTTTTTCACTACTTCTTTCGCTTCTTTCTTTCCTTCTTGACTCTTCTTCAATCGGATCAACCAGCTTGAGCTACATTCATTCACTGCTTTCCCTTTCCGCCGTCGTCCTGTTCGCCCTGTCGTCTCGACTCGACCCGTCTGAGACAGCAAAAAAGTTCCATCCGCCGTAACGCCCTTCCTGCCAAACCACCACCACCAGCACAAAGGAAGCACCCGCTCCTTTTACATACACCACGCTCCTTACACCTCTCATCGATGTCTGGATACTTCACCTAGAGAAGAGGTCTACACTCTACTGCGCGCGCCAGCCGGTACTCTTGGTGCTGCTTTTCGCTCTTTTTTTTTTTTTCCCTTTATTTATTTACCTCGAACTTGACGTTTCGGGTTTTTCTACGAATTTCACGATCATCGTTTCAACCATCACCAACTGCTTGTCGACTGGCTTGCGACGATCCTTCGCATAAGAGACGAAAGACGTCCTTGCTACTTCTACTTCTCATACCCGGGCCTTTTATCCAATTCCGGTTACCCCCCCCTTTTTTTTCTCATCTCCGCTATCCGCCGAGTGACGCATGATTTGACGGCATGGAAACATCTTCCCCTGTCACTGCTACTGCTACTCCCAATAGTATATCGATCATGTCCGATGCCCCCCTTGCTACGCCTGCTGGCATCTCAACTCCCACAGATACCATGTCGTTAGCCACGCCTCCCCCAACAGCCACCTCCCAGGCATCTTCTACCACAACCACCACATCGTCCACTACGGCCGCCACATCTACAAGCACGGCCGCTACTTCAACCTCTATGGCCAGTGCGAACGCCACTTCAAGTGATAGTCCTGCTTCTCGCCCCGCCTCCCGCCGTCCTCCACGCAAGAGCACCTTGACTCAGCAGCAGAAGAACCACAAGCGCCAGCGCGCCACCCAGGACCAACTTGTCACCCTTGAGATGGAATTCAAGAAGAATCCCACTCCCACCGCTGCCGTCAGAGAGCAGATCGCGGAGGATATCAACATGACCGAGCGTTCGGTGCAGATCTGGTTCCAGAACAGGTACGCTAAACTTAATGTCACTTCTATTGGCTCAGCGTCCTCAGGTACCAAAATACTAATTTCTATCATCGTTTGTCTGCAGGCGCGCTAAGATCAAAATGATTGCTAAACGGGGTATCGAGACTGGAGAAGACTGTGATGCCGTCCCGGAGTCGATGCGAAGATACCTCGCACTCCAGCTGGATCCTGCCGGTTCGAATGCGCGAAACATGCTAGGCCGTGCGGGGGGCTATCCTTCGAACGAGCCCATGATGCAATCCGCCACCTCGTCCAAAGTTGGTATGTACATTTATCCCTTTTTTTGTGGACCTCTTTATCTTCCAACTTTCGATTTTGACTAACAAATTGCAGTGATCCAGCATTTTGCGTGCCGCTCTCTTCGCATTGGCACCTGGCGGCGTGTTGGGCAAAACACCATGGACCTGGTCATCTTCTACTCCCCAGACCAGGCATGCATGACTTACTACATCAACAACGACTCCGCTGGTTACAAGATCGAGTACCCCTTTTCAAGTATTAAGAATATCATCCTCGAGCCCGGTGACCCTGTTCCGCCAATGGACGGCGCCATTCCCCGATCAGGTGGCTTAGTCATCGAACTAAACCGTCCGCCAAATTTCTATATGGACTCTTCCAACTCGGGAGGATTCTACCAGTGCGGCGATTTCACGGAAGAACAGCAGGCCACCAAGTCGCTGATCCATCATCTTGGAGGCCATCCCAAGGTCTTGAGTGTCCAGCTAGCCAAGCTTGTCTCACTCGAAACGTTCCAGAACCGCCATGTTCCAGTGTACCCCTTCACGCCAAACACCCCTTTTATTGATGGCTCTCCACAGTTTGTGCATCTCCATCGCCCTGCATCGCAGCCAAATCACCTCTCACGAGCTCAGAACCGGCTCTCTGTCGACAACCATTTGTCTGTAGGCCTATACCCCAACAGAGGCCACAAACGCCAGCGCAGTAGATCCGTTCCTGGCCCTGTCGACTTCGCTGCCCTGCACGCCATGCCGGCTTTCCACTTCCAGTCCGCCAATCCCTTCCAGCCAAGCACTCCACAGCACCAGGAGCATCAGCAGCCAGACATCTTTGCTCCTGTTCCCCTTGCACACTCACAGTTTCAACTTCCCCTGAACATGAGCGAACCTGATCTCCACATAGATACATCTACAACCCAGCCACCGCCATCATTCAGCATGTATCCTGCCTCTGCAACCACCGCGGCTGCCACATCTACTCCTGCAACGGATTTTGTATCAACCCCGCTCTTTAGCAGCGCACCAGATCAGCCTCAATCCCTGGGAACACCGTTCAGCTTACCTTTCCTCTCCCCTTCACCAGCCGTTGACATCGACGTCGATTCTGACCCCCACAGCATGTCCCACCAGCATCAGGCCCAAGCAGTTTCTTCTAACGGCCACTCACCTCCCTTAACAGCTACCCAACGTTCCTCTCCAACCAACATGTTCGCCTCAACCGTCACAACCACAGGTGTTGATGACGGAATCATCCTCAGCGACCTATATGCTAAACAGAATCTCGGGTGTAGCAGCTCCATCGCCTCTCCAGGCATGGAAATGGAGGAGTCATTTGCAATGACTTTTCAGGGTATGAGAGGACATGGTCACGGTATGATGGGTATAGGATTTGACAGCGGTACGGTCGACCCGAGTACCCTTGCTGCTGAATCTTAAGAAAAGCCAAGGACGTTCTACTCGGCGTACAGGCCTAGAGCAGGATGTACGCATACGCATTTATGCAACGGGTAAAACCGTTCCGTTTAAACCCATCTCTCCTCTTCAAGCAGTCTTGATTCCCCCACCCTCCTTGGGTATTCACTTATCTGCTTCTTGGTTGAGTTGGTTTTCTTCAGTTTTATCCTTCTATCCAACTCAGTTCAGCCATTTACTTGTTCTATATCTGGCATTATTTGCCATATTTTTTCTTGACTTATATTCACTTCTTGAGACTACGGCCGGGCCTGTAGATGACCCCGTTTTATCTCAGCTTATTTACTCCTTACGTTGCGGTGCAGTCACCTATTTGCAGTGCAATCTTTTTTTTTTTCGAATTCCCTTTTTAAACCCCTTTTTACCTTTTTTCTTCCTTTTCTTCTCTACTTTCTTTCTTGTGTGTTTTACTCCTTATTGACTTTTATGAGCACCCCTGCGCCTTTCTACCTACAACCCGTTATATATAACCCCTTTTCATGGCAACATTCTCCGCTTCTATTTTCTGTCTTGCCCTTCTCCTCTGCTTTCCTTTTCCCTTCTTTGCATTTGTCTTTCTATGGGAACTAATGATGCCCAATCGACGTTATCTCTTATTTATTTCACCCAACTACCCTTACCTTCTTAACTTTTGCTTTCTAATTACCATGAGCACGGGCAAGGAACCGTTTGCCAATTGGTACTGGGAGGAAGACAGAATGGACAAAAACAAAGAAAAAAGCTATCTCGTTTACTCCCCCCGCGCCTATCGTTACCTTCTTTGGAGCTTGTTACGTACCCGTCTCATGACCGATCCCGACTTACTTAACCCTTGCTTTGTATCTATGCGTGTGTTGGAGATGCCATGGATATACTTAGCTAGGCACACTCACATTGCTTTCCCTTGTATTTCTCGGATTCTCTCAGAAGTATTTTCAATGTGATATTATAGCTTTTTATTGTTACATTATCCCATTACCATCAGTCTTAACGGTCCAAATCCCCACAAGACAAACCCTCCCCCGTAAACGCCATGTCCCAGACCATCTAGGCCCGGCTCCCTTTTCTATTCAATTATTCAGAAATAAAATAACCACACACCCCTAAAGATGTTGCCATGACTTCGGCAGAGTAGCTACGACTCCGCTCCGCTGCAGCTTTCTCACTAAATACCTCTCCACGCCCGCCAGGGTACCACGGTAGTTCTTCCCCTCTCTCCCCTTCATATCCTGCGTCACCCCATCCCTCGTCCAAATGCTCCATGACCCCATCAATGAAGCCATAAGGACATCCGTTCCCACCCGGTCACCAACCACAGCAACCTCATCCGCCCTATCCACCACTCCATTCCCTTTCAGGTACTCCAAAACTGCCGCATACGATAACGGCTTCTTCACCGCCGACGTCCCAGCAGGAGACCTAAACACTTTGATCTTCAACTTTCCCAAATATTCTTCTAATTTCCGGGCGTCCTCCTCGTACCGCTTACTCCGAGGATTAGAGCCAGCGGTGTTGGAAACGATCAAGATACCGTCCGGGTTAGTATTCATATTAAAAGGCGAGGACTCGCTGGTCCGTAATTTTTTCAGCTTCTCGTAGTATTCTGTCGGGAAAGTGGTCTTATGAGGCGGTGTTAAGGTGTTATCTTTGTCAATCACCAGAGCCCGAATGGTGGGTGGTCGAGCCCCGGCCGCCTCTGGGGCAACGGAGTCAATTAAATGATAGGATAGATCATCCGGTAGCTGCAAAAAGGTAGGAATGATGAGATGCGGTATCAGAAGCGATGGATTGCGCATGAACGTTGATATTGTCAGGCTGAAGCCGGCGAAGTTAGTGTTTAGCAGTGGCATTGTTGGTTCCCTGGATTTTGCTTCCGCTGGAGCTCGACACGCAATCTAGTTCCTGTAATGTCTTGTCGACATGAATTGAAAGAGATGATATCAAATGGGTATTGGATTTTGCTGCCGTATTTGTCGCCGTCAAGCTGGTGTTGTTGTCATGGCTTTCTCCGTAACGAGAGCTGTGAAGTCATAACTTCCCATGGTGGCCCGTGCGTGGAGCTCAAACCAAGCAAACTTTCTCTTTTTTCCTTTCGATATCAAAATCTCCAAAAAGACCGGCCAAGAAGACTGAGTGACCGACGAACAAACCACCTTTGACGCGCGCTCTTTTGGCCTGGATATACGACTCCGCTTGACGTTAGTGCCATTTCTCGATTGGATTCTATACCTCGCGGGTTTATTTCTCTTCCTTTTCTACTCAAGCCTCCGTAACATCAACCACCATGGGTAAATTGACCAGTACCATCGGCATTCCCATCAAACTTCTTAATGAAGCACAGGTCGGTTTTCCCCTCATGAGGGCGCGATAAGGGATTTGCGACCATTCTCGTCTTTTATATCTGCACTTCTTCGCCAGTGGGGATCAAATGGCTAACAATTGTCTAATTGCAGGGTCACGTTGTCACCCTCGAGATCACATCCGGTCATGTCTACAGAGGGAAACTTCTTGAAGGTGCGCGCAGACCTCTCTTTAACGCGACTCGGCCTATAACCTCCTTATATTATAGATATTCACTCAATACTACTCGAATTTCTCTCTGACAATCTTGCTATAGCTGAGGACAATATGAACGTACAACTCAAGGATATCACCGTTACAGCGCGAGATGGTCGTGTATCGCATTTAGACCAGGTGTATATCCGCGGAAGTCATGTCAAATTTTTTATTGTCCCCGATATGTTAAGGTATGCGCGTTATTGAGTACTCCAGGCGAACCTTCTCTACTCTTATAACTAACCTATCTTTACCTCTCCACAGAAATGCTCCCATGTTCCGATCCAGAGGCCAGCGAGGACGAGGTGTTGGTTTGGCTAGAGGCAGGGCAACTGTCAACAGAGCAAGAGGGCAGCGAAGAGGTTAAGGATCCAACGATAGAAATGAAGTTCCTGGGCTGGCGTTTTATTACATTCGGTCATTCTCTTTCCTGCTTGTTTGCGAACACCATTGCTGAACGAAATATACTTGATTTAACGGCTTTTAATTATTGTCTAGTCATGTAGGTCTGTCAGGCTGGGCCATTTCCAGCCACATCAAGGAAACAAATAGAGAGGCTTTAATCAAGAAGCTCAGAATAACCAGTATATATTAATCTGATGGCCCTAACATCAATATCATTACAAATGTCTATTATGCGGCTGTGTTTAAGCATCTCAAACTGGCCCGTTTCATCATGTCAAGTCGTGTGATTTTGAATATATCCATATATATGCTTTTCTCAATCGCAAAATCAACAACTCCAGGCAGATATAAGATACAGATACAATCCACCATGTCTTTACCCCTGGAATGGCCAGAGAAGGCAAGGAGCAAAATGAAGCAAATTTTGAACCCTCGCCGGCTCCTAATTCTTGCTCCAAGTACGGAATCTCACGCTGTTATCCCACCTTTTCTCACTCGCTTGACCGGCCAGCCCCCCGTCCTCCCCTCACGGCAATCGGACACGAAACAAGCCGGTAAGTAGTCTCACACTGATAGCTACCTGTTTTGAAGCCCGAGAATCCATTCTAAACCGTATTCTAGACCGTGATGCGACAATCGACATCTCAGACGTCGCATCTACATCTACTACCCCACCTCCGGCATCATTTGCAGGATACACCGCACACACGCCGTTACAACTAAGTACAAAATATTATAGCGCGGACATACCACTATGGGTCGATGAAGTTCCATCACTTTCTTTAATACCTTCACCGGATCTTGCCTTGCCATCGGTGGAAGAGGAGGATGCGGGCTCCCCGGAAGCTTGGAGAAAGGAATTCACTAGCGAAGAAGCACGAGAGGTCAGGAATGCTATAGGCGCAATAATACTGTGTGTGCGAAGGCCGAAACCGCCTGACCCGACTTTAGTAAAGGATAACGTGCTGGACGGGAATGAAAACGCCAGTAATGTTGTTTTCCAACGCACGGTGGGCAGAATCAAAGACCTTGCCCGTGTGGTTATAGAAGTCAAAGCCCAGGCTGAGGAAGAGAGAGGCGAAATAGGCGATATTCCCGGGTTGATTGTGTTGGCGGGGGACGAATGTGAAAATGGATCCCTTGCTGCAGGTAATGCTTCGTCGGAGTATGGGGCATTATGGTGGGACGAACAGTTGAGTGACCTAGGAGCTGGGCCTGGGCTTGAAGTAGTCTTTTGGGATCATAAAGCAGTTAGCCAGGATCCCTCAGCGAGAAATGAATATGGAGGTAACATGCCAATTCTCTTAGGTATTCAGCCACGACTAGCTGACTTTTCTATCTAGAACTCATGGGAATTGCAAGGGTGCAGGAAGTGTTAGAAACTCACCAATGGTCATCTTCAACCTCAGATGAATTTGAGCAAGATTTGGAGTTTCTTAGCTTACGTGGAGATGAGGAAGCCACTGGAGGGTTTAAACTAGAAGCTCATGAGCTCGAAAGGGAGATGGCTGGCCTTCGACTTGCAATTAACAGCAATATGGATAATGGTGATATCGGCGAAGAGTTTAAAGAGACGGGAGATGATAGCATTCAAGTCGAACAGCTCGAAGGACTGATGTTGAGAATGCAGGCCATAAAGGAGATGGGAGCAGAATTACCTGACCAGGAAAGGAAGAGGTTTGCTGCAAAGGCCATCAGGGATCTAATGAAGGATGTATGATATTTTCATTAATTGTATTAAGGTAATTACATTTTGTAGAAGCCTCGTTTTTTTGGCTTGTTTTTTTTTTTTTTTTTTTTTTTTTTTTTTTTTTTAGTCACTGCCATGCTAAAGCCAATTCTCAGTTGGCTTTCTTTTTGCCCTCAGCCTTCATAACTTTCCTCCTCTGCGCCATCATATGGGTAAACAATATATAAGACCCTAGATTATCAAATTAGCAAGACATTAGATGTTCAGATGTCATGGGGTTATGAACAAATTAGCCATACCAGGAATATAAACGAGTAGAATGGCAATGAATGTAAAGCGGAAAATGGAGAGGAGACCGCTAGCGTTAATAACCGTAAGATAAATCAGGAAGCATTCACTCGATATTCCAACAGGGTATAAGATAAAAAAAGTGTTATATCTGAAATAAAAATTATTAATGCTGGAGTCAGGAGGGAAATGGGATGGGGAAAATGCGAACCTCAACCACAGGATGGCTTTAGGAATACCCTGTCCCGATATCTGGAAGACAAAAAAGCCATATCTAATACATTCCGTAACGCCCCAAGCAAACAGACATCCGATGAACCCCCAATCACTTAGTTGGGCAGATCTCATCCCATGTCCGAGAAGGAAATATTTATTCACACCCGTACCGTCAAATTCGAAGATGGGTAGAGTTGGACTGAATGGTGAAAAGACATACATGACTCCCCAGACTAACAATAGCCTGCTAGCTACCTGCATGGTGGTAGTCACAGCAGAAGCTCGAACGAGTCCAAACAAGGAATGAAGGATCTCCAGAGCAGCAAGAGATTGAGTCGTTCGAAGCAGGGGAAAAAGATAGACAAAGAGCCCAGAAACTCCTTCACCTTCGCTCCCATAGCTGCCATGGCTGTCACTGTATAACTGGAAGAGAGAAAACAGTAGACGAAAAGTGAGCGTACTCCAGAGTCCCAGGGATACTAAGTTGTACAGGAATAAGTATGCTTGCGTGGGAGATGAGGCTGGCATTGAAGATCTAGAGGATGCCATCTTGAAGTTTCTCCTTGCCTCGCTTTGTGCAATGGCTGTGGTATCAACTTGTGCAGGTTCAAAACAAACGATGATAAATTGAAGTTGTCTAAATTCCCTTTTAAGGAAAGTTTTCTTAAACTCTATAACTAGTTCATATAACTAATGGTTACGCCAATTGCTTACATAACTACCTACATCAATCAATACATCACGTGAGCTGTAGTTTCCCCGTCCCGTCCCGGGTAGGAAGCAAAGCTCGGGCTGGTGAGTTTAACTGATATCCATTACGAATTCATTTGTTAGAACGGTATATAATTTTCTGAGAACGGTTTCTATAAAGCTGAAGTGTTGGCCAAGATAAGGTATTGCAAAAGGCAGAAGCAGGTAAACAGGATCAACTACTTTTTTCCTTTTCCCTTTTTCTTCCTTGCGCCTCCCATGCTCCCAATTACCTGGCTAGTGCTCTTCACAGGTGTAGGTGAGCTGTGGTCATCATCTGCCTTATCATTGACCACACCACCCTGTGTTCGATCAAGTGCCCTTTGTTTGCCCTTTTTCCCTTTAGGCCGGTAGCTTGATCTGTCTCTCAGGGGAAGCCATCTCTCGGGGTCAACTTTCTCGTTAGGGTCCATATTCTTGGGTTTTCGAATCCTTTTATTTTTCTTTAACGCATCCGATGAACGCCGTTTCTGGCCTTGTTTTAGTGCAGAGGCAGCTGTGCTCGCAGGTAGTTGAACACCAGCCGCTTCCAGATGCGACACATCTACACCAGCAATCAACTCTTGAACTGGCAAAAGAGACTCAAGGGAGGACTCAACAAGGGCCGGTGAGGAAATAGCGTGAGAGGCTACGAAACCTGCAGTTGCGATACGATCACTGCCATCTCTTGAATGAAGATTGGCAAATATTTCGGTAGCAGTAGATATATCTGCCGAGTCATGAGAGTTGAAGAGAGATATTGCCGCTCCGCGAAGTAGTGATATCGGTTGGCTAGAAGGGTCCTTCCCCTGCCAATACTTGGCAGCCTTCGATAGTTCGGAATTTATATGATGTTTGCGACCCTGACTTCTGTACAGAGTGACAAGGATGTTGACCAACCCAGGGCTAAACCGAACCACCTTATCGGAGTCATCGCTAGTTCCTTCCAATTTCATGGAGAAATTCTCTAACGTGGATATTGCGGCATTGATGTTTCCATCCGCCACCTGTAGTTGAGCAAGAACTAAGGTGAGACCGAGATCATTAGGGCGCATGGCAGAAAGAGAAGATATTTTCTTTATCGCATTTCTGCCGTCTGCTCCCTGAGTGTGAGCAGTAACATCAAACGCAGCGAGCGAATTTATATCTGATGAAAGGGTAGCAGAGGAGTGCTGTGAAAGTGTTTTAGAGGTCGACCTCGAAATCCCATCAAACTTGCGGACCATAAGATCGATGACAAGAGCATTTCTGTTTAAGATGTCATTCTGATAGGAGAAGAATTTATCATTGCCAGCGGGTATTGGGGTTCGGCTAAAGTTCTTGTGTTTGATGTAGGGGTTTATGTTTCGATCGGTTGTAAGAATAGCGAGGTTTTCGGCAATGAGCTTAGTAGAAAGATCGGTAATCCTGTGTATGCATGTCAGCTATATTGATCTGATAGCAGTCCTAGGCGAGGGGTGGGATGTACATACTCAGAAAAATCTATGCCTCTAATAAGAGCTTCTCCCTCCTCTATTTTCCCTTGCTGCAAATAGACATGTATCTCTTGGATTTTGATGGGCAACAATTCCACTTTCTTGTCTTCGGGGGAGAGTTCATCAGACGCTTCGCACAATTCTATTGTTGATGTCAGAACGATCTCGTAAACAACAACTGTTGGCGGTAATCTATTCGTACCTTTTGATTTCTTCAAAAGTTCCAGAGCTCTCTCATAATGGCCCCTGGCTATTTGTTCACACGCCACGTTATACGCAGCTTCAAAAATATCCAAAGCATCTCCCTTTGACACCAGGTCCTTTGAAAGCGTACTTTGGCCTGCCCAAAGATTTTGTGCCTCAGCCGCCGTTATGTTTATTTGCAAATCAGTGAGTTCACCCGCGGAAGCTCTCATATCACTAATCAAATCCTGGTAGATCTTGAGAGTTCGGTCAAAGTCTTCAGCTCTATAGGACTATACAATGTTGACAAATTAGCAAGATTTCTAAAGAAACTCAATTCATACAAAAGGAGCAAAGGAGCATATTTATTTCAGGTCATATGCCCTGACTAGCTGACGAACCGCTTGTGCTTCAATATGCTTTGCGCCTCTTTCAGAGCCAACGGATGCCGCAATTGATATTGCCTCATCCAACCTCCCAATTTTATATAGGACATAAGACCATTCAAGCGGCAGTCGTTTCTTTAACACATCGCCTCCTTCCTCAATTACACGAATTGCATCCTCAAATCGGTCTAATTTTATAAGCGCAATGGTTTTGATATGCTGTGCATCCACATCCGTTCGGGACTTTTTTAGAATCGAGTTGCAGGCTTTGATAAGCTCCTCATGGTCATTTATAGAAGACCTTTGCATAAGAACGCTAAGGCTCTGCAAAGTTGTCCCCATGGAAGCGGACATTGGCGATAGCGATTTATCAGGGCCAAGAGCGGGGGGTCAGTGAGAGTAGGCAAAAACCGGCAAAGCGTTCGGTTTCGGTGTTGATCAGTTGCCGGTAGGGATTGGGAAGTAAATTCCAGTGTCCCAGCTCCCACACTTCAAAGTATCACGGCTATTCTGTCATTCGCTTGTTCTATCATCCATTCTTCAATCTGCCCGTTACATTAACATGATGTCAGGGCACATCACGTGAGTATGAAGCCCTGCCCGTACCCTATTTAGTATTTGTAAGCATAATTATGTAATTCTCGTAGATTTACGCTAGTCCTAAAACGGGGAATCTGATATAAAACTCTAATCTAACTTCGCGACGTCGTCGCTTTGCAAAAGAAACCAACCACTTCACCTCTCGATCAAGCGACAGCCTCTTTAGCTTTGCAGCCAGCACAGCCGGTTTTTACACCATATCTCATGGCCCGGGATACCAAACGCACTTAGCATGCAAGTGGCAGGAGTGACTTCTGCCGCTAAGGCCGCTGCACCCCTTAGGCCCTCAGTTTTACAAAGCATCGCCCGATCTAACCAATTGCAATTTATTGGGGACGCGCCGCTCATAGACGAGATATACTAGCATATGTGGAGCGTTATGTGCTCAGATCACTGTGGCTATATCGATATTCTCTGAAAGTCCATAATCTATGAGTCTCTTCTCAGCACATGTTACGATATATCCGCAGTTAAAATACGAAGAACTAACACATCTGGGTCACTGGCCGTCGATTGAGGGTCTTCGGTATCAGGGATTCTAATGCCCAGATAAGGAGGCTTACAGAGACGCCACCAAACCATGGCTGATCCGATTGTAGATCCCACCACCCGTCGCAATTACTAAATCTCTTTTTTATATACGGATACATCGATGCGGATGGACTCGTGATCGAGAGACTTTAGGGGCTGGTAGGCCCGCGAACCAGGCAAACAGATTAAAAATATACGATCGACGCGAGACGATTTACTAGCTGCTGACCCTACCTTACCAACTTAATGGAAATTTTGGTGAGACAATAAAATGGTTGATTTCCAACATAATTCTACCTAAATTTGGTCTTGACTGTACTCCTTAGGTTTTGCTCTATTGGGGATATGGTATCGGGTGAACATTTTCACCTGAGTATTGGGGAACCGAACCCCTGCATCAAGTTCCACGCAAACTGCATAGATCGGCTAACGGCCGATGTTTAGCTGTCAAGGCTGACGTTCATGTTTGCAGGCGATCCTCAATGTGTGGCGAGCGGTGGCTAGGATTCAGACGCCTCTAATTACTCCGCCTGTCGATTTGCTTAAATACAAGGCAATTCGAAGCACAGTTTAAGCTACATGTGTGCGAATTCAATCTTTTCTCCAGAGTACATGATACCAGAAATAAGGTCGGTCAGAACCATATGAGAGGGTCGGAATACTGTCAGAAGTTTTCACCGAAATACTGTTCGCCTTATTGTACACTCATAGAAAAGGACACTGCCTGGGATTGGGCAACCTCGATATGCATTAGAGATTACATGGGCTAATACGGATTAAGAAAAGCGTTGAGTCTGAAGCAGAAAAACAGAAGAACAGTTAAGGAAAGTAATTAAGGAAGGCTTGAGTTTTTTTCGGATGGGGTCCGCAAATAATCCGAGTCATCGTCGCTGTGACGGGGGCTGCTATTCCTCCGGCTACTGCTGCTGTCGCTTTCCGAGTTATTGCGGGCTTTAACCTGGCTACGCAAAGATGCCACCTGCCTCCTCCGGGCATTTATGAACCAGTTGCTGATCTGAAAATAGGAATATGTCAGTCCGTGTTGAAGGCTGCCATACCACTAAAATATAGAAAAAGGCTTACCTGACTAATAGTCAATCCAGTCCTGCTCATAAAGATTTGTTTATCCTCTTCAGTTGGGTATGGATGATCAAGGTGCTCCCATAACCAAGCTCGAAGCATGTCTGTAACCGGCTTTGGTAGGTTTCCTCTTCGTTTTTTCTCCCTCATATCTCCAAGCTCACATTCTGACAGGCAATAGCCTGAAGCTGGTCTGAAATGGCCAAACGTTGATTGGGAATAAGCCCTGTCGCAAGCGTGAGGCTGCTCAAATGATGAGGGATACGACAGTTGATCACGATAATCACAGGAAGAGACCATGTTGACTGGAGAGGATGAATGTGAAAAATTCGACGAATCGAAAGAAAATTGACTTCTAGGGGATGATATTGAGTAGTTTGATAATTCTCCCTCATTCCTTCCGCGACTGTTCAGAGGTGCGTATATGGCGTTGCTGTTGGCGTTTGGCGAAACCTTGACGAAATATTCTCTTGATGGAGATGGAATAGGTGGGGGTAACGATCGGTTGATCTCGTTAAGGGTAAGTTTAGGGCGCGAATGCGAGTGCGAAGCAGACATCGAGGATTTTGATTCCACTACATGGGGTTGCTGGAGATTTGACGATTTGGCACTGTTTCCCATGAACCTGTCCGGCCGCAAGGATACATCATCAAACCGGCTATCTCTGGCAAACAGTCTAAATGGAAGCCTATCAGCGCGCTGGGTGGGTGGTGGCATGGTATCCTGCAGCGAACTACGCCTCCAGTTCTGATTAGACTGAGTATAAAACACTCCACCCTCTATTTCATCATGAAGATGATCGGGCAGGAGCTAAACAATGTTAGAAAACAATGCTTCACACATGGGTATGGGATTAAGTCTCATATCTTACCTCTCTAAAAGAGGGGAGCTTCTCCGAGTGATGATCGGATAGTACCGTTGAGTAGGTGACTGTCATGGTTCCTGATTACTTCCAGTTCTACAAAGAGATTTGAAGTTGGGTGTTGGGAGTGTGGTATCGTAGGCAGCCGGCTTTTAAGCTATACGTTCACAGGACCGGTATCGTTCGATAAGGGTAGAAGGACAGAGCGGTTATGGGATATGGCAATATATATATATATATATATATATATATATATTCTCGTACTGCCCGAAGACGTTGGGCCGGGTTCAAGCCAGTAGACCGGTTCAGTGATTAAGCGTGAGTTAGGTATCAAACGCCGATAAAGTTCAAGCTTCAGTTCAGGCTGACGAGAGAAGTGTATGGTATATAGGCTGATGTAGGCCAAACTGAGAAAACGTTCACTGAAGATGGTACTCCGTTTGCAAAGGACGCTTCTAGCTGATATTGGGGGCAGAGACAGGCGAGTATTATATGCATCAAAAAGGCACACCCGCGTCTGATATCGAACACCGTCCAGCGGCCACCACCGTCTTGAACCCATGGCGATCAGTTTCTGTGGATCCAAGAAATCCCACCCACCTTCACAGCGTAAAATGGTAAGAAAAAGAAGAATGACAGGGGCAAGACGCTTGAAAGGGCCTATCCTGATCTGGTCCAACTGTGGAGGGCTTGGAGGAGGGTATGGCAAAAAAGCAAATTCTGGTCGGACAGAAAAGCTCCCCATAAGACTGATTGCCTGGCCTGACGAAGAAAAAGCAAGTGTGCCCTGCTGCTTGTTCCCAGACTCAGCATCTTTCGAGCGCCCACTTGCTTGTTCAATGATACGATGCTCGGCCCTTTCACTAGGACCAATAGCTAGTGGTCAGGGGTTCAAGCTAACGAGGTAGTTGCTCTGCCGTCAAATATCATGCTCTGCCGCAGGGTTTTAACTTAACGATCCAGCCAGCCAGAAGTAGCGTCAGACCCCCCAAAATACTCTCTGACATGTCCCAAAGAGCACTGACAATGGAGGCTGGTGGATCCTAAAGGCTGCATCTCGAGCTTTATGGAGTGAGATCTCCGAGGGTGAGGCGTTTTAGCATTCCCAGATGCCCGCCACAGATTGGGTTGCCTCAGAAGCAGGATGAATTAACGCCCATTCTTAGGCATAATGCCAAATCCTAGTATCTCGAGTTGGTCTGATGGAATACTGCATGGCATTAACTCAACTTGAGATGTGATTGTGGTTGTCCCTTTTCTTTTTATCCTGACGATTTTTTCTTCTGCTCGGTGACAGGCTTGAGGGCCTCGCGGAGCCTAGAGGGAGCAGAGGAGAGAGAATAGAAGAAGAAAAGAGCCATATTACTTCCTTCTCCATAGCCCTCCGTATCCACATGGCAAAGAGACTACATTTGCATCCACCAGACGCGGGGTGGAAGATAACAATAAACATACTCCGGGACATGTCAATATAGGTACGGGAGCCAAAGTACTTGCGTTATGGTTGACGGTTGCTAATCGTCCTGAAGACCAAAGACCGAGCGACCGATTATCGTCAGGAACAGTTGACCAAGTACAGATTTGTGGAGTGTCGACTTTGTAATTGCAAGGCAGAGAACCTTGATCTGGCATCGAATCTTCGTTTACTTTCAAGCCACTATCGACTTGCAAATTCAGGTTTTTTGCCTTGATAAAATTGCAATGGGAGTAAAAAAAGGAAGGAAAGGAAAGGAGCAAAAAAGAAAGGAAAACGATATCCATGCGTTCGGGCTTTGAGGCACTCAGAAGGCTATTCTGCAAATCGATCCTTACGAGGAAGAGAGATGAGATGCCAGGTTGAAGGACATGACAAGCGCGAACCGAAAAATCATTCTCGCAAATGCCAAAGGCTTTCCAATAATCCGGTCTCCTCGTACCATCTACGGAGCATCTCTGCGCTAAGCAGCCGGTTCCTTGGACCCCGAGCTCTGCGGTTTGGCCTTTTAAGGTTGAAAAACGTATATCAACTGGCTCTACCAAATATCTGCTGTCACACAACATCCGAGAAGAAACGATGGTCGAACTTGTTGCAGTAAATAAATAGATTTCTATCATTCTGGCACGATTCAACCCATCACCGGCCACCACCAAATCCCTAGTACATTGCCATCTACTAGGTAAAGTTTCAGTTAAGTCGAAACATGGCTGGCTTACGATCGAACGATCGGCCAACCACACGACTCGAAACTTGGATTTTGTGGGAATATTGACTTCGACTTACTCGATATATAACCTGGTTCCTTTCAATCACGACTGAATCTGACAGCAACGGGCATATCCTTTAGGGCCCTGATCTGCCGAAATACTGGGATAGTCTATACAAAAAACCCCCATACAAGAGAGAACACCACACCGTACAGACATGTTTCTTCACTCCTCAGGGTTTCTTATGACCCCCACCCCCCGCGCGCAGGCAGGGATATGTTGGCCCTAGCCTAGTTGTCTATTAAATCGATCGTTGCCACGTCGGGCGGTTGTCAGATCTGCTAGTCGCTCTCAAAAAGTCAGGTATCTGAGAGGTGGGAAAGCCATATTCATTCTCGCACATCGCCGTATCAAGGGCGACGACAAAATCCATAGCTAGGTAAAATGGTTAATACCGGGCTTATCTACTCTGGACCTGCTTGCCTGTTGCGGACAGACGGAGAAGCGTGTAACATGGGTCTAGATGACGCTTTTTTGCCATAAAGCCAATACAATGGCGGGTTCGAAGCAAACACTCCGACCACCCCAAATAATTGACAGCTCATCTAATTTTGGAGAAGGGGTAAAAAAGCAAACTAAGGAAACGAGAAAATGAACGAACAAACCTGCCTTTCTCTCGTTCAATATTCGGCATCCCATCCTTACTCTACGCCATGCCCCCAAGTCGTGGTAAACGTTACTGGCTAACATGATGGCCTCCCGCAGGTGCTCAAATGGCTTACAGCGCATGCTGTGGTGCAATGCATATAATCTCGGTGGTTTCAGGCTGCGCATAACATGCTCTTAATATGGAGCACTCTGTACATGCAGTGCCATAAATGACAGGTGACCCTTATCTGTTACCAATGATATAGTTCCGTCCGCCACTGCTGTTCATGCTTCTTACGTCGTGGTGCGTTTAGGATGTGTGGCCAGACTCCTGACTGCCAGACAGAACCCTGGAAGACAGCATCCTATAGAGATACAACCAGCAACAGTGACTTTCTCCAGGAAACAGAGAAGGAAAGAAAGGAAAAAAAAAAAAGACGAAAATGAAAATACAATGCCGATAACTCTATACAATATGGTTGGAACTCTGCCCATGAACCCCTGAAGTGCGGAGTATTGTTGCCGAACTTCATACTCTTGAGCAGGCCCGTTCGCCTGCCGGGTGCCAGCCCGAATTAGTCTTATGCATTTCTCCCGCCTGAGGTCGACATGATGGTGGTACAATAGGTCAACCTACTGTCTTTGCACCTCGTCTCCAGGAAATCCTTTTCGCCGACAAACCAGGAAACGTTGCTCTTGTGTCACAAACCGGTTTCTCTCACAGACCTTCAGTTACGTTTGACTAGCAACAGGAGCGAGCAGCAAATATCGTTGAGGTATACATATGCAGATGGAAAAGGTGGACAATATCAAGAAGGGGGAGCCAGCAGACCTAGATTCGTGGACTTCGCGACGTAAAGTGACAAATCATAAAACCAGCCTTGAAAAAGCAAATACATTCCTGATTTGATCCCTAGGTCTCCCTCTTCCTGGCGCACGGAGTCTATCTCAACATACCGACACAGAAAAGCTCCTCTCGGGATTCTAAGGGGCGCCGCCACAGGTCCCGATGGCCGATGCGTGTATGCGCGGTTGTCACACATAGCAGTTGCCCCCCTCCCCACGCACTTGTAAGGGTGTGTTTTGTCATCTTCCACCAGCTGTTTGTGCAAGGCCGATGCGCTGTACGAAATGTGTTAGTTATTGCACGATCCTGGGGTGATGACTCGACATGCTAAAAGTGTCACTCCACATCCCTGCCACCGCTGGGTGTTGGACTCGAGCGCAGTGCATAGATATATTCCTGCGTGAGATGCCCGAAAACGTCTGTTGAGAGTATCTGTGTCGTATATGCATGCGCCGTTCCGTCATGCGACCTCGATCGAGCTTTTTCTGTCCATGGCAAACAAACCAGCCGAAACATGCTGCGTGCGCATTGTGTATGAATAGTGCTTGATACACTATGTTAACCCAAACTCCATTCCCCATCCGGCCACAATTTACCTGTCGTTCAAGCTTCTGTATGGGCTAGCCCAGAAAGCCTCTTCCCCATAGACGGGCCGCACGTAAGACAGACACAGATCGGATGCCTGATCGACGGGGATTTAATAAATACTACGTTGTCAAAGTTCGCCGTCGACTCTGACCCTGGGAAGCCGCTTGACTCTTTGACAGAATCTCTTCCTCGGCATCTGGCCGTCTACAGTGCCAGCCATACGTAACTCAATTATGCCTGACTGGCAAACAGAAGCTCTCAGAAATAGCCCGCATGGTGGTATAAATTTATTCAGGGGCACCTGCCAACGAACGCTCAATTTTGACGGTAATTATGCTTGAAGCTCCCCAAATTTATCTCATACTATTATACGACAACTTGTTAGCAGTATTTTCGATTGGCAGCCGGCTTCTTTGTTATCCAACTTCTTCGCAGGGCCTTTATGCACGGCGTACAGTGTCTTCAGGTCGAGACCGAAGGCTGCGATCGTCTTTCGATGTCGGAACATTTTCCTGGTTTGATTACTCAGAAATGATGGAAGAGATCGCTATCTCGTTTTCTCTTTCCTGATTTCATTGCCAATGGCTTATTATACCCAGGTTCCTCCTTAGCCCACTGTTAGGCCGAGAGGGGGGGAGGACAGGCAGCATACTTGTCAATATGTGATGGACGTGACTTGTTGAAGACACCTCTCCTTCTACCTTTTTAGAAGCCAGGCTAGGTCTTTACAGAGAAAGAGGTGCTCTGTACAACCCCGCTGTAGATCATTCTGTGGCGTCTACAGGCGCAGCATATTCCATGGTTCAAAAGTGATAGTCAATGGTTCCAGAAATCTGGCGCCTCAGGTCTTACGGAGCTCCCGTACGTTGGATTTCCATATCAACGGGTACAACTGGGCAGGCCAGGGGAAAATCAGACCAACATCGTCCTCTACTGGGTAGTACTTATCCTGCCATGCTTATTTTACTTGTATAACCCTTTTTTCTTCCTTCCTTCTATAGAAGAGCAATCTGTCTTCTTTTTCCTGGTTCCTGGCCGTGGGCAGTTGACTGAAACCTGAAATGCTGTGCCCCAACTTCCCTGATTGCTGGCAGGAAAGAAATAACGGTAAACTGCTGCCGGTAGTGCCAAAAAGTACTGACAATATCCAGGCGGCTTGATATCAGTATTTCTCAGCATGACATGTATTATTTTCCCTGGGAAAACGACTACGTACAACCCGACACTCGAGCTCCCCTGCCTACAGGTAACCCTTGTAACAGTACCATCACCGAAACGGGTCAAAAATCCTAATAAAATCAAGTTTAATAGGTCAGTGAACGGCTTATACAGTGAAGTTGTTTCAATGTGGCTGCGTTCAAATCTTGTATAAAGGACAGATGGCATGGATAGACAACTATGACTAAACAAGACACACTGAGTTCACATTTTGTAAATGTGAGATGTAATGAAGGAATGAATAGATTGCTCCTAATGCTAACAGTTTATTCTATGCCAAAAAAAATGACCTCGAATTAAAATGTTAAAAATGATGGATGAACTCTAGAGATGAGACGCTGAGGATGCAGAGAAGAATGTATGGAATAGGAGTCTGGATGATGAAAAAGGAGATTTTGAAGTCATTCGTCTAGATATCGCCGAAGAGGGTGGTCGTTTGATAGAGGGCAGACTTTCCCGAAAAGTTCAATGTAGCTCAATTTACCAAGTCTCCTATTACGGGTGGTCAATATGGATTCATACTCAAATAAGGATAAGAAAAAGAAAATAGAACTAAGACATACTGCAATGTACTGGCCAGCCGCTTTTTTCTCTTCCCAGAAAATTCTTGCCTGTTCTGGGTTCAGGTTGCCCTTTGCAATGGCGACGTCAATCAACGCAGCCTCGACACCTTCGCCCATACCCTTGCTGCTGCCGCAGACGAAGACTCGCCCATCAAGAGAATTGATTACGAACCAGACCAAGTCTGCTTGATGGCGTACCTCCTCCTGCACGTATCTGCCTTCGCCTCGTCTGCTCTGGACGACCTTCTTAACTTCATCTTCGTGAACTCCCCATTCTCCAGAGTAAAGTTCGTCAAGCAAGGAGTCACGGATTCCCTGGAGCACCCAGACCTTGTTGGCGCAGTTAGCTGATCTGAGACGGCTCTGGACGAAGCCGCGGAAGGGAGCAACACCAACGCCAGCTCCAATGAGAAGCATAGGTCCGTCAGAGACAAATCGTCTAGCAAGTGGATTGGACATGAGTCCACGAAACATGGGGACGTGCAAGTTCAAGCTAGCTGGATCGATACCATCATTTTCGGCTGCCTGAATCTTTCGAGCTAGACGTTCTAAGAAACCCGATCCAACTCCTGTGCGGTACCCTCCATTCCAGTCGGGGCATTCGTGAACAGTCACAGCAATTTCAATAACTCGTCGTGGTTCTTTGCCATCAATGGTGCGTTGAATCATAGGATCCTGGGAGAGCGAGTAGAAACGAGGCATAAGCGTGTTCAGGGTGGAGAGAAGATGATCCAAAGGTGGGTGAGAGGAAGGAAATGCATCGAGAAGCTGCAAGACAGTGATATAAGGACCAGTACGGAGATCACAGAAAGCAGCCTGGCCCTGAGCAGAACATAGGTACATGAGAATTTTCTTCTCATTCTCATCCGATGCATACTCCGCGAGCAATCGAAGGAGCGGCTTTGTAGGAGGATAGCTCTGTAGGTCCGAACACCAGCTAAGAAGTTCACGTCTGGTAGTTAGGAGATCTCTAGGCTTTTCGTCTCCCCATATCGTGGGCCATCGACCCTTGGTGGTATGGAGTGTGATCTTTTTATCCCGTATGAATTTAGGAACCCCGAGACGGTTGAAGATGGCTTCAACGACAGCCTCAGAGTTACTGGGGCAAACACCAATGGCGCCTCCAACGACAAAGTCGACGTTTCCACCCTCAACTGGATAATCTGTAACATCGATATCGAAATGGTAAGTTCGTTTCTCAGCACCGGGTCTCGTCAACTCTCGTGCATGGTAAAGGGGAGCACGATACACTTCATAGGGTGCGTGTGGTTGGAGGAATCGAGGAGGATGATCTGCTGGCCCTAGTTTCTTTCCTACAGAATCAATTGAGGGAGAAGAAAAGGATACAGTGTTCTCTGGGAGAGGGGCTGTCTTGGTAAGCTTGCTGTCAAGGGAGAGCTCGCCAACGTATAGCCTCAAGCTCTCAAATGCAGCGTTCTTTGGCCGAACAACTGGGTTTGATGTGATAGATGGTAGAGCATTCTTGAGAGGCTCAAGCTTGCAGCATCCTCCTCCGCAACATATCTTCCCTAATAGGTTGGTTCCGCCGCGGATATCTCCCAATATCCTTTGGACATCCTCTGAATTCTGAGATATCAATACTGTGGATGCCCGCCTTCGGCGCTGGGGTATTCCATCTGACTCTTTGCTTTCAGTATATGCATCATCCAGCGCCGTGTCGCTGGACGGTTCTGTTATTGGCGTCAACGGGACGTCTGAATCAATAGACATTTCTGATGCGCCGGCTACCGAGGTTGCTGCTGACTGCGAGTCCGATGTACCCGTTGCCGAACGTCGTAGGAGGGTCAGATGCGGTATTGATGTAGGCTCTTCGGGGACAGGATCGTTTGGATGCGATGTAGAGGTGAGTGGGATAGGGACTGGCTCTTCATCAGGAAGAGATGATATTGTTGTCATTGTGTGAGAGAACCAGAGAGCCAAAGGGAAAAGCGTTCCAACAAGGGTATAGCTAGGGTAGAGGGAGCAACAATCAGCATCAATTCAGGCATGAACATGTCGATATCAAATAATATAAATCGGAAAGAAATGGATGTTTATAGAGGAAATTTCGGGGTTGGTTGGGTTATGATAGCAAGGGGCTGCATACCGAGCTCCAGAATGTGAACACAGCTCTCCGTACGTTTTTGATCAGATAAGTGGGGAAAGCATGAAAAATGCGGTTATCTGATGGCAGAAGATCGCCTACAAGATGGACGGCAGCATGTGTGACGCTGGAGTGGGAGAAAAGCCCTGGAGAGCCCCGGGGCAGACTGGGCGAGTTATATTCTTTCCCTCTGGCTTCTTTTGTCTGGCTGTCTGACTGTCGGCGGCCCTGGGGCGTCGAAGGCGAATTTTCTCCTGAGAAGAAAATGTCCCTAATCAGATCTTGCCGAGACTCCAGAGAAATACGCGGGATACGTAAATTACGATAATTACGGGGCCAGTCGCGGCCTGCAACACCCGTCCTTCGGATAACAGGCGCGGTCGGCTGCAGGTCCATCCGGCCTTGGTATCGACAGTGATGGGTCAGTTGCGTTTTGTCGGGCCTAGCACGATCGAACTCCTTGCCATCGCTCCCCCTGTCGTCTGCGCGGCCCATCAGGTGCGCCTTTGGTACACTTCAAATAGCCGATGTTGCCCCCTTAGCTGATTAGGTAACGTTCTGTAAATTACAGTACGGCCAGCCCACAGGTTTCATATCAGATCGCGCTATTATTGGCCGAAGTGCCGAAAGGGAGGTCACGCCATTATCAATCAGCGGATCAGATTAGATCAGATTATATAAGCGTGTAACATAAAGGGGAAGAGGAGGAAGAGGAGGGAGGAAAGGGACGAAGGGGAGTAAAGGAGGTGGATGATACAGAGATACTCATACGCCAGTCGAAGGGGAGGGCCAAGGACCAAAGACATGTTTCAGTCAGAAGAAAAGGGAATGCACATTTGCAATGGAGCTACGGAGTACAGTCTTCTCCCCTGCCAACAAGATACCGATCCTGGGCTGACACAGCGCCGAAACACGAACATGGCTCGTGCTCTCTGCGAAACTGTTCCAGATCTAAACCATTCTCGTTTATATGCATTTACGGGGTACTTGATGGGAAACCCACCGCCCGGCTCTTTGAGGTGGGATCCAGAAAGGGCCTGTACGGAGTAGTTGTCGTTGTCGAATACCGAGCAGGCGGCATCATGAGTGTGGTTGAGCGGCAGATTCCTCAGCTCTATTTTAATATCTCCTAGCAAACCTCGTCGTCTACTTGTTGTATATATACTAGGAGCAGAAGGTAACGAGCTGTGTGTATCCGTACCTCTCCCTTGCCAGCTTGAAAGCTGCCGTCCATGATGATTCTTGAATCAAACGACTCTATGAACCTCGTATGAAGAACCAGCCGTTTGCATATCCGCTGTTCTTATAGTAATCAAGTGAGAAAAATTTTTCAGAAAAAAAAAAGGGGGGGGGGAATTGGTTTCAATCAAACTTGGCTTTTGGATGTTCGCTGCTCATGATGCATGCATTCGGGTGGATCAACCGGAACGTTGAGTAGCCAGTTGCGGCATTTTCAGCCCCATGTATAGCGGCGATATCGGTATTCCTTGTCTCCATCTTGACAGAAACTTGGTCACCATGCCTTTCAAACCAAGATGGGCCTGGAAACTGTTTGTTTGATAGTAGCATCGTTGTTCCGTACACAAAATGGTTAATTTTTTCAACCGGAGAGAGTGGATAACCTCTCTGTACTCAATAAAGACCAGTTATGTTTGTATGTCAGTATCGATCCACGAGATGCGGAAACTATAATCTGATGTCGAGCTCGGCGCCCAGCGTCCAGAACGAATCCTTGCCTCCTTTCTCTGCCGCGTTGATCGTAGGCCGACTGCTCGGAGTTATTTGTTGCAAGACAGAGAGGAAACGCCGATACAGAGTGCAAGTGATTCACGATAGTCCTTGACTTTCTCAGGCTCGGCCATCTTCATTCCCCTTGGTTCAGAAATAAGCCACAGGGGTATTATTAGCAGGGTCTGATATTCCCCAGACTGTATTCTGGCATTATTGTTAGCCATTGGATCAGTGGGCCGGGCAGAGCTCGGGTGCACCCGCAGGGGATCTTTGGGTCCATGCTATGGTGAGCTAACTAACTATCTTTACCCACTTCTGGTGACTTCAACATGGCATGTTACTTTTGAAATCAAGAGAGGCCAAGTTTGACGTTTGTCCTGCTGTGTGGAGGCCAGAGTGGATGAGGTCAGGATATCATCACGTGAGTGGAATTTTCTCTAACTAAGTTGACTAACTTAACAAGAAGGCTTCATCAACGTCGAACACACCGCAGCTAACTAACAATTTTACCAACTCTACGTTCTGGATACCATATACCATTTAAGATCTATGAGTGACAAGAATATTTAAAAATCTATTCCATCTATTACATTCTCTTTTCCATGATTCGCTGGATAATGTCATAATTTATATATTCAACCGGCTTCGAATTTCGAGCGTCGGTTGGCCCTGCCGTTAAATACAAATATCCAGGATAATCATACCCTTTGTACCCTTAATACAGATTTTAAATATCCAGAACAAAGAGTGGCACAGGTCTTAACTTGTCTACGCTGTTCAATACCACTACGAAGTAGCACCAACCCAGGAATCTCCGATTACCTTTATTTATCACATTAGCTCCATCAGTTAATCCTACTTCAAATCCCAGGAGGGACATTCTACTCCAGATACAGTGTGGGTGTGGGGGGCCGAGTCTCCCGGGCCTGTGAATCTGGGCTTAGGGGTTTTTATATTATAAGTCGTTACAAGAGGGAGCTGGGTTTTGTCCAGAAAACAATGTCGGTAACTGGGTATGTTAACCATCCACGCTTGAGATCATCGACAACGGCAGAAGCTCATTATTACTTAGAGTGTACTATATTCCAAGCAATCCTGAGTTGCCAACGACAGCAACAAGAACCGTGATTGATCAGTTCAAAGCAATCCATCAGCCGGCCAGGCTTGGACGTTGGGCTCTAGAATTCAAACTCGTGAGAGACACTGCATCGTGCCTGCCAGCAGCAAACTTCCCCCATAATAAAGTGCCAACTCCGCGATATATGCATTTTCTATCACTTAGCCATTACCAAAATCATGGCTTCGTCCGAATCTCACCACGACCTGAGGTTGATCCGCTGGATCCAGCCGAGATGGAGAAACAGATGAACTCACCGCCATCTGTTCCAATACCAGCAACTGGGGTTTCTTCTCATTCGAAACCTTCAGCTGATAGTAAAGACTCTGATTTATCCTCTCAAAACGAAGCTTATACGACGACGATAAAGACATTCGACCCGCAGTCCTACCTATCCTTTTTCTCCATGACAACAAAATTCTTCCAGCCGCTCTGGAACCACCGCTATACCGTGGTTGTCACCTCTGGAGAAGCATATGAAGTAGGCGACTTTCGGGTCCGGATAGGCGAAGTTCGTCAGACAATGCCCAGGCCCCGTCTTCGTGGAGCAATCGTGGAAATTGAGTACCGTGGCCCAGGCCAGAGACAGTCGGAGCCAAATCTCACTCGAGAACCTGAAGAGGATTGGGATTTTGCTCCTCCTCTCCCACACTACCCACCCCGCGAGGTTATTATACCTACGGAGGAAGACTGGGAGCTGGGAGTGATGCTAATACGTGAGCTGTGGGATAATTTTTCAATACCAGGGGCTTCAGAATCAATCCAAGTCCCTGGATTAGGCCTCGAGAGGCGGGAATACTTTGACAAGGGGGGCGCATCAGCTCATACTGCACGCAAAAAGGCTAGCCTCGTTGGAGTTGACCTTGCGAGGCAGTACATGGATGTTTTCAAGTTTTACCGGTAGTCCATTCACTTTCAAACTAGGCATAGCTGTTGCTTAATCCACATGGATTGACGGTGCCTTTATATAATAAAAATATAGTATTGAAGATATATGACGGTAGGATTACGATATTTGAATGCTACGTTTATTCTCAAAAGCTGATGATTGGGTAACCGTAAACTGCATGAAATATGCGCTTGTTTCGAAGAGACCGTTAATAGTTGTATCCCTATTCGAATTCGGTGAATATACATTGAACATCACAGGAGCTGGGAAATCTTATGTAATTCCTTTTTTTTACCAATCTTTGTCCCACTGAGGATAGATGATGAACGTTAAAAGAAGGACCAAGACACAGTAATTGACTGGTTACTATAACCAAGGTCCATAAAAACAATGTTGTTGCCAGCATCCATCCACTGATGGGTAAAGTCGACAAGGCAAAACCGTAAAAAGCAAAAAGGGGAGGTTGGTGACAACGTAAAAATATGACCCTGTCGATATCTTTATGGAATAGTAATTAGATTGCTATGTGAACTTGGAGCCTACTTTTGCATCATGAGTTGGACGAATTCGTTATCTGCAGATACCCATTAGCAAAATCCAGCAGTAAAAAAAAAAAAAAAAGAAAGAAAGAAAGAAAAGAAAAGGAATATGATGCAGCAGTGAGAGTACTTACAATCAATTCTGCCATCACCGTCCTGATCGGCTTCACGAATCATCTCATCGACTTCGTCGTCAGTTAACTTCTCTCCGATCGAGGTCATGACGTGGCGCAGCTCGGCGGCGGAGATGAAACCGTTGTTATCACGATCAAACACTTTGAAGGCTTCTCGGATTTCTTCCTCAGAGTCGGTATCCTTCATTTTTCGGGCCATCATAGTCAAGAATTCTGTACCATAAAAGCGATTAGCGTAACATTCCTTTGTGCCATGAAAATCTTAACGACTGAGATCTGTAGCAAACTTTGAGGGTGGGTTGTTGAGCCCTGGAGTAAGTCGCACCTGGGAAATCGATTGTTCCATTGTTGTCGGCGTCAACCTCATTGATCATGTCTTGTAGCTCGGATTCCGAAGGGTTCTGGCCCAGAGATCGCATCACTGTTCCCAACTCCTTGGTTGTAATTTGGCCTATAGGACATAGCGTATGGGTCAACGCTTTTTTCAGGTCTAGCAGGTTACAGTCTCCGTTTGTTTTGGAGACGGAAAATCTCGCTACATACCATCGCCATCTTTATCCTATTTGATGGAGGAATATTTGGTTAGCTATCTGGCCGCACATTTCAAGGGCGGGGCATCCTTGAACGATGCCACTCCGGGGAGAACAAGGGGTAGCAGAAATAACTTACGAACAGGGAGAAGGCCTCCTTGTACTCGGACACCTGCTCTTCGGTCAAAGAGTCGGCCTATATACGTCAAGAGGAAACTGTTAGCTGACGAAGGGGCCTCGGTGGCCCTCTATGGATAATAGGGGGTAGGGAGAACTGAGGAGGGGTCGCAGGATGCGCAGGTCCACAAACCATGGTTTCTAGCTGGATATCGGTGACAGGAAGGTCTGGGTGAACGGGGGAGATAAAAGAACTTATCGCTGGCTCTGATGCTGAAGGTAGAAGCGCAGGAAGCTGGCTGGTCGTTGTCCTGTCGTATAAATAAAATAACACAGTGAAGTTTGGCTTTGAGAAGTTCGACCCCTCGGATCACGTTTGCCAAGACCTCTTCCCTCAGGTTGATCGCTTCTAATAATATAACCAAACAACGTCAGCTTGATGCAGCGATGGAGTGCTGGCCAACAAGCGGTTGTAACTATGTTATATATCCATCTTGTTTGCTATAGCCATGGCCTACGAAGCGGCTCCCTACCACACAGCCGCTAGTTGGGCGGTGTAGAGCAAGCAGCTGGGACAATGGTATGCCTGCAGGAGGCTGGCGAGGCGCCGCCTTGGGAGCCTTGGACCAGCAGTAAATAACTAGTTAGTTACAGAGTAATTAGTTAGCTATATAATAATTGTCAGTATGGTGTAGTTAACCAGCTAACTGACTGCCTAGGCAGCCAACCAGTTAATGCAGCAAGTTGGCTGATGACTATTCCTAGCTCCATGGAGCCTCTCCTATTCTATATAGGTGCTGCCACATACACCACAGTCCATCCAGCAACTAATATTGATCCTCTGGCCACTTTTTGTGCTAAATAATAGCTGTCCTTTTCCCTTGCTTTTTTTCCTTTCTTCTCCCTCTCTCTTTTCTTATTGCCCCTTTTATATGCAAAACTAAATGCCTGACTTGACTATCACGTGACCATTCACAGCCTTATGTCATGGGCTGCTCAGGTTTGATATAACAATAGACACCAGACAAGACAGCTGGTGAGCAGTGAGGAGACAGCAGACAGGCAGACACCAGGTAACATAGTCTCTAGTGTGCAGAATCCAGCCTCGCAGCTCCGGAGATACCCAGTTTCTCCCATGCTATGAGTTCTGTGAGCTTTTGTCCTCCAGGATCATGCGCAGGCATACCCCGGATCGCTGATCTATACTTTGCTGCCTTTGCTATTTTCTCTAGTTTTAATTGTTTTCCTTTTTAATACTTCTGTATCATAATTATGTGGCGGGATCGAACAAACCTGTAAGCTTATCTGTCCACTGGTGTGAACAAATATTGCATGGAAGTAGCTAACGTTACCATTTTAACTTGACATTGTTTAGCTATATCTCCTACCGGCAGTCCTTCGCACATCACCCTTCCAAGAAACCACGGCAGATCGGAGGCGCCTGGAGTGATCATGCAGATAGTACGGGAAATTCTGAGGAACGCCGTGGGCTCATGTCCGGCAGCGGATTTGAAGATGATGGAGACGCCGTTATAGAGATGGACTTGCTCCCGCCTCGGTGGATGGATGTGCAGGACGAAGTAACCGATTACCTGCGAGATATTGCCCAGAAGTCTGCAAAACTGGATAAGCTGCATCAAAAACATGTCTTACCTGGGTTCGGAGACGAGGAAGTCCGGAGAGAAGAAGAAGATATGATTGAAAGATTGACTCGAGATATCACGAGAGGGTTTCACGACTGCCAGAGATCGATACAGAGGATTGAGATAATGGCGCGAGAGGCACGAGAACAGGGCTCTGTCAACAAAGGTGAGGATACCATGGCCAGGAATCTACAGATTTCCCTTGCAGCACGGGTTCAGGAAGCTAGTGCAGGGTTCAGAAAGAAACAAAGCACATATTTAAAAAGTGAGTTGGAGACATGGGAGATGCAGTGTCTAATAACTTTTGTCTATAGTTCACGGCTAATGGTGCTTATTCTTGTGGAAACAGAGCTGCGAGGCATAGATGGAATGGTCTCACCCCTCGAACGATCTAGCTCTCCGGTACAAAACCAATACACGGATCCATCCCTAATAGAATCCGACGCGGACAAGTCGTATTCCCAATCAGCTCTCCAGCAAACGGCACAACAGCAATTGCAACTTGGCAGTAATGATGCCGCAATTGCCCAGCGGGAACGTGAAATCAATGATATTGCAAACGGCATCATTGAACTCTCCGACATTTTCCGCGAGTTGCAGACTATGATCATCGACCAGGGTACGATGCTTGACCGCATTGACTTCAACGTCGAACGGATGGCCCTCGACGTTAAAGGAGCCGATAAGGAATTAAAAGTTGTATGTTTATATCCGCTATATTCTACGAAAACATCCGAAAACTAATAGATCTCCCCAGGCCACAAATTACCAGAGACGAACCACGAAACGAAAAATAATACTTCTACTAGTCCTTCTGGTGGTAGCAATGTTCATTATATTGCTAGTCAAACCGAAGAAACGTGCCGCTGAGTCGGTTTCTCAACCACCGCCACCCCCTCAAGCATTACAAAATCCCCCACATCAAAGATCTCTCTTGCATGATGATACGCCATACACAATAGGCCCGAGACGAAATTCTGCTCACCATAGACTACTGGTCGACTTGTGGAATAGGGCGGACAATCTGTTACCCTCGTAATATAAACATCATTGGCTAATGATACAATTCTTCTGTTTCCTGAGCTTCAGTCATGACTCTCAAGCCCATTTTTATTGTTTCTTTCCAGCCTGATCGTATTCTCTCTCACTATTCATCTTAGAATATTGAAGGGAACAGGTTCAGGTCCTGGCTCACTTCTCAGCGCTTTGTACAACGTTCTACCGTACATATATAGTTACGATATCGATATCTAGAATACCCCTTCAATAACCCTGAAGAGTTCTCTACTATACTTCTTTTTGACCGTAAGCTCTGAGCATACTCGTACTTCTCATGGTAATAAGTTTGTATGGCGTAAGCGTAAGGACTGCTCATCTTGACTGCCTTCTGGAGCGAATAATAAGACACTGTCGACCTACATATACAACATAAAGTACATAGAGAATGGAGAAACAATAGTACAACCAACCAACCTAGCCAGCTATATTAAACATTCCCAACAAATGGCCTGGAGATGACGAAGCCGTCAGATCCTTGCATGCATAGCCGTACATAACATAACCTTCTTGGGAACAAATTTAGTCCATATTTAGTGCTTGCTGCTTTCTTGCCTCAATAGCTCGGCTACATCTGCGTCTAGATCAGCCATAGCGTCTCCCCCTTCGAATTCAGGGTAGTTATCCTGGGCGTGACTGACTTTCCGCTTTTTAGTGGCTAGCTCACTGGTCGAAGAGTCGTTCGAGGGCGTGTTAGCGGCAGCTTGGAGTGAAGAGAGTGTGGCATTCAAGTCAATGGAAGCCATTTGGGCTTGATCTCCAAAATCCCCCGTTGCTCCACTGGATGACGCCTTTATATGACTGGGTATAGTGGATGGCTGCTGCTCGTCCTGGTTGTTTGAGCTGGGATTTAGCGTGGGTGATTGAACCGGAGTCAAGGCCTCAACTGGGGGTGGCGTAAGGGCCTCAACAGCAGGAGCTTCCGGCTCCTCTCCCCCGAACGAGTTCTTGTGGTCTGACCACGCTGCACCTCCATTTGATTGTTGCGCTGATGGATCATCTGCGGTAAGTCCACGAATGATGGCGTCTTCAACATCTCGTTTCTTGTTTTCCGTCTCTGTTCTACGGGACGATAGTTGCTCAACTTGGGATTTCTCCTTTACCAAAGCTGCCCTGTTGGTGTCGAGAACCTTTTCAAGCCCCTCTATAAGTGACTGACGGCACTTTATAACCTCGGACAAGGAGCTTTCAGCATTAGCAAGCGTCTTGAGAAGCGTGCTTAATCGAGCTGCATATACGGGAGGAGTAGGAATCTCAGCAGATGGACCGTTCAGCTTGTCATATTCGGTGTTTGCAATTGTCACAGTAGCGTTGGATGAAACGGAAGCCTTTGAGGTCGCAATTTGTAATGGAGCAAGAGGCTGGAGCTCCTGAGGCAGTGAACCTGGAGAATTCGAGAAGAGGGAACCACCTAGGAGAGGCTTCTTCCCCGCGGGTTTAGACTTATCGATCTCTGGAATTTCCAGTATTAGCCCACTATGTACACTGGGGAAGATGTATAGCGCATTATACGGTAGGTACACACCTTCGACCCGTGCCTCAACGGCGTCTTGGATAGGTTTCTCAAAAATGGAACGCTGTCTCCAGACTTCTACCACACGTCTCAACTTCTGTTGGATCTCGTTTGAAGCGCCCTTGAAAGCAGTTGCAGTCGCATCCGCAATAATCTATATTGTATCTGTTAATTGCAACTCTGGCAGGTTAAATGGTCTAATCGAAGGAGAAACCAACCGGCGAGAATGCAATGAGAAAGTCCTCCTTGCGTCTTCCCTTTGACTGCTGAGCAACCTCTGTCAAGCCAATCTATTAGCTTCCCATCCCGAGCAAGAGGAATACAAGTAGCATACCATTAGCTAGGTAGATAAGATTGAGCCTCTTTGGCGGATTTGCATCGCGTAGTTTCTCTAGCCAAAGCTGGGCTGTCCTATCTGCGTGTCGCCTATGTTCAACGACCAAACACCATCAGCCTTCTACATATAGTCAAAATTTACTGCACGAGGGGACCGATATAATGTTCTTTTCTTACCTATGAAACATGACCCATTGGGCAACAGTGACAATGGATTCCTGCGTCTCGTTGAGAGCTGACAGCTTTGCCTTCACGGCATCGTCAGTATAGGCCATTGCGACCACCAGAAGAGAAACCTGAGGCGCAAAGTATTGTTAACCGAATATAGTTTCAGCGGGCGAGCGAGGAACAACGAGATTGAGGCCCTTCCTTTGCCGTGCACTCGTCGCAGTGAGTGTTGAAGCAGCTGTTTGTTGTTGCTGTGGTTGCTGTGGTGGCTGTTGTTGCTGTTGCTGTCGTTGTTGTTCTCGGAAATTGATTTGAAAGCTGATAAAACCGGCAGATCAGTCACCGCCTGCCCAGAGCGGACGCCTATTGGCCCCTTTTGAAGTGAAAGCTCCAACAACATCCGCTGGGCCTCGCTTTGATAGTTAACCAAAGCCACGACGACAACAAGGAGAGCAGAAGCCGAGCCAGGACACGACGCGGTAGTTGCAGAGCTTGGAATGAGAGACAGCCGCCGATAGACCTTCTTTCTGTCGTACTCGCTTTATTTTGTTATCTGTTTTATTAACCGGCTTTCTTCCTTCTTACGACCTTATTACGCCTCTCTTATCTCTCTACTTTAGTGCCACAGCTCAGGCATCATCGCCATGGCCGACCGATTCCCTGCCCTTGATGACATTACTGGAGGTAGGAGAAATTCTAAAGACTTGCTAGGCGTCGGTTTAAGTACCAGTTATAGAGCCAAGCTGACCGCGGCGGCATTACAACAGACCAGCCAATTCCAGCCCCGGAGGGATCAGGCAACAAAGCCGGCGAGGACGACAGCGATTTCCTTGCTCGTGAGCGTGCAGCATTAGGAGATGACGCTGATCAGTTTATCCTGGCCAGTGATAACAGACCCTCTGCCACAGTCGAAGATGACGATTTGCTTGGAGGAGGAGGTGGTGGTGGTGACGACATGGTGGCCCATGATGATAACTCTGGATTTGAATCGAGCTACCCAGCCATTGAATCGCAGAACGAGGTAGGCACTCTGCCTTATATGATGTTCTTCCTGTCACTCTAAATTAATATCGCTTTCCACAATAGAACGTAGCTCCTGGCGGCACCATCACCGGAGTTGACTCGCCCTTCCAACCGTCATATTCCGCTCATAATCAAGAGCCGGAGGAGGAGTCGGAGGCCATCCGGTAATACCCCCCTCGTTTATTCTGCGCATGCTATACCCACAAGACACAAAAACAGACGAGTAACTGATTTGCGGGTTTTAGTGAATGGCGCGAAAAGCGAGATGCAGAGCTATCCCGTCGGGCGGAGGCATCTGCTGAGAAGAAGGCGGCAACCGTCTCTAAAGCTCAGCAAGATATTGATGATTATTACGAATCCTACAACAAACGTACTGACAAGGCCCGCGAGCGCACTCGAGCAGAAGCAGAGGAGTTCCTCGCAAACAGAGAAGATACCGCTGCCGGTGGAACAAGCTGGGAGCGGATTGCCAAACTTGTCGATGTTAGTGGAAAGGGAATCAAGGGTGGCGCAAGTGGTTCTGGGAAAGAACGGTTCAGAGAACTTCTGCTGGAACTGAAGAAAGACGAGAACGCTCCAGGAGCCACTGGGGTTTAGCTTAGATATAAAAAAAGCCGTGCATTCCCTAACTACCACCACAAGTAATATCTACCTATTCCACCTGGCTTATGACCCAAGGACCATAATTTCTTATTTGCACTCTTCTCTGGTGCATTCTCGCCTTGCTTTCTTGACTCTTTATTCATACGGTGGGAAACAGCTGGGCCAGAATATGTATAATCAAGTCTTTAGTGCCTGGCTTTGGCAATGGGACGGGCATACTGCTACAAATCCAAAGCATCCAACGAGGCAATATAAACCCAAGTACAAAATCGCCGAAGCAAACCAAATCCGTCATTATACATCCAAACAGAGCTGGTTTAGTATACATTTTCGTGTCCCAATGCAAAGCTGTCTACAGCAAATTGGAGACAACCCATTTCATGAATTCTAACCATAGTGCAATGAAGGCAAAAAAAAAAAAAAAAGATACTGAAATCTGGACAAAGATGATGAAGACAGCAGGGGAAAAGCGAAAGTATGTAAGCGATGGTACAGGAGCTGTCCATAGATATGCAGCAAAGATTGTATGCAGTTTGGGTATATGATAGCTCAATCCCTATGACAATAAAAGCCGATAGGAGATAAATATAAATGAGGAAGTAAGAACAGGTTATCAGTATGCTTAGCTCGCAGAACCTCCATTGGGTAGTGGGAGAAGCTTTTCTTGCGAATCTGGTCGCTCCTTGAACATTATGTCTTTCAACCAATCTACCACCTTGCCGCACTGGGGTTCGACGTAGGTAGCCCACATATGAGCAACGAGGTAAAGAACAGCGTAAAATATTGGCAGAATAAAGATGAAGGCCATAGGGCTGGTTCTTCCGAGCTGAAGGAGTTCACCCTTCTCATTCCTTACTGGAATTCGTCTAGCACTTTCTCCATACACCATCCAGGATAAGATGGTTCTAATCAGAATGTTATGGAGCAAGTAGACAGGGAAAGAGACACGCCCGAGGAAGTTGAAGAGGGGCAGGGTGAGAAAGCGTCGTGCGTTCCTTGAGAAGAATATGCCCAACATCAAGGTGCAGGTTCCAAGAGATGAGGCATAGCGGCTGTGATCTGCATTTGCAGGAGTGATAGCGACAATAAAGGAGCGGATAGCGGCAGACCACCATGCCCAGGTTTGGTTATTTTGAGGGAATCCCCAAATAATGAGACCGAAGAAAATAAGTATACTAGGGACAACTTTCGGGAGCATTTGAGTAGCACGGGAGCCGTAGTCGACCTGAAGTTGAGCCAAGATCATACCGGGGAAGATGTTGATACCAACAAGATCTATGTGGTTAAATATTAGAATAACATGAGATGAAATATAAGGACGTTAGAGGAAAAAGAAATAACTCACGGTCGTTAACAAGCCAGGCATAAGCCCACAAGAGTCCTGTTACAGCATACCAGTAGCGTCGCTTAACCAAGGTAAGAGCCAAAAGTGTAAGATAGGTCCTGAATGAGGCGCTGAGAAAAAATTTAAGCGTCCAGTGTGTTCCGTCATATACCGAGGCGCCCGTATGCCAGAAATATATTAAGTTCCAGATCAGGTTGGTAACTGCTTCGCCGAAGGTTGCGGTAGGAGCAGGACTTGTAGCACGAATCCAACTTGCATCAGCTCTCTGAGCCATACTGAATGCTCCCATATGGCACAGTGCCCACGCAATAACCGTAGCAATAGCCGTAGGAACCATCAGGCGACCGGAACGAGTAAAAGTGCTTCTGGCGAGGTTTGTGAGTCCGACATAGGTATTATCGGCACGGGCGTTTTTGACGGGGTTGATAGAATTGACAAAGCCGGTAATAATGAAAAATATCGCAACGGAGCCTCTGCCACCAACGCATAATCTAAGAATCGGGAGTTGAAAAATACTTGACGGGCCACCGTCTGACAACGCAGGGTCATGGAGCCATGGAACGAAGGCGGTGCATAAATGGCCTGTAACAACAATGAACGAAGCGACACCTCGAAGACCCTGAATATATATGTGTCAGTGAAAGTAGACATAAGGCTCTCCGGGCAGGATGCACTTACATCGACCCAGTTATCATCTCTCTTTTTGGGAGCCATAGCTGCTCACAATAGCACCGAAGGAAGCCCTCCACCAAAAGAATAGAAAAAAAAAAAAAAAAAAATTCCAGATACAGGTAAAATTTGAGTTGTCCTAACAAAATCTCATCCTATCCTCCCAGAGGAACTGGATCTTGAAGACCAATGGTAAGCTGTGAACTGCCTGCAGTCTGGCAGGCCGTATATTATTGAGGTTGAATTTGATACCGGGACGCCAAAATGCTGAAAGAACAATAATAAATATATCTAAATGAAAAGGGCTGCGTGTATATAAATGCCAAATGATGGAATTGTCCAAACACGGACCAACAAGAGAAGGTGAATTAGCGAAAGAAGCCTGGTGAAGGGCTATAAAGCAAGGAACTCGCTGTGATGTTAAGACGAAAGTCAGCTCGCGGGTGATGGTTGCTGCGATTTCCAGGGCCTGAAGGATGTTTGGAAACAGCCCTATCACATGACAGTGCTACCAAGGCTATCGCTGGTGGACAGGTACCAAAAGGCCAAGAGGGATTCGATGTTAGCTTGGCTTTAGTTCCTTTTTATGCTCGCCTCCCTCCTTAAGTAGCCTCCACTTGAGCCGGCGTCCAACAGTACTCGGTGCGTAGGAAGTACCCCGAAGGGAGTACGTGGCAGGTTCTATGCCTTGCCTATGACTTATCAATACCCTGGGTTGAGAGAGCGCGATCATCTGAGATTGTCGCTCTTGGTACGGGGCGCTCTCTTTCGCTGTTACATGTGTCGTATGTATCTGTTTCTCCTTATCTCCCATTTCCCTGGCCTCCATGGTACTCATTTCAAAATCTGCCCTTTGGTGCTTCAATTATTCGTTCATTCGTTCTTCCTTTTCGGTCAGAGTGCCTGGTACTTTTGCGGGTTGTATTCGGTACTCGGTTTACCCAGCGAAGGACTTGGTGCAACCAGAAGCGCCAGGTTGAAGCGTCGTTTGGCTCTGCTTTCCGGAATCTCACCCCACAAAAACCATGCAGATATCCTCAAGGGTTCCACCTTGGCATTCCTCCGCCGCTCTTGGCACAGCTCCTAAAGCGCTGTTTCATGTTTGTATCCAACTGGTGTTCTTTCCTCCCCTGACGCCTTAAATCCGTCAATTTGATGTGATTTAGCCAATAAGTACCTTCGTGCCAAAGGGGAAGTTGATGCTGGATGATGCTGGATGATTGATGACAACCAAGTGGAGGAGGACATTGGAGCGCCATGGTCTGTGTCTTGGTCTTTTTTTTTTTTTTTTTTTTTTTTTTTTTTTTTTTTTTTCGCGATCTTTTACAAGTCCTTTCGTCACCTGTACCCCGTAGTATCCGTACTCCTGTGAAGCGTGGTTGCCCCGTAGTAATCCTCTGTGCAGCAAGTACCTTTTTCCAGGGGCTGTGCATATTCGTGTGGCTGGCAATAGCGCACTCTGAAGAACTTGCCACCTTCCTGGCCTTTCATTGTGCCGCCCGGCAAAAGACCTCCGAGGTCGTCGGTGTCTCAGAGAACTGCCATCTGGCGGGCTGCGGCCATCAAATAATGTATTAGTGTGTCATCTGTCGTGTGGGAAGCGGTCTTTCTCGATGTATCGGCCTGTCCGTGATATCCAGAGACGGGCGATGTGTTGATGTACGGAGGAGCGAAGTCTCCTCGTACGGAGTCGATTGCGAAGTCCATCATAATTATATATCTCTCTCAATCGTAATGGCTATGGCTATCAACTGGCTGTCCTCTTTGCTTGTCTGCTTGCTTTCTATCTTGATTGTTTGTCTGGAATCATACATCGGAAGGACAAGCAAAGGAAGTTTTTGGACGTTCCTGCTTCCTGATTGGGACAACACGTGATATATAAGTGCCTTTGATGATGTTTGTTTTGTTGTTGTTGTTTTGCTCTCTATGAAGTCGAACAACAAGAACGAGACGAGAGATGCAGCTGATCCCTTGCTTATTACCGCTTATACCACTCAGAAGTCTAGGAGTGTCTCTCCTAGCGGAAAAGCATGGCCGCAGGCAGGAGTTCATTACGGAGGGGGTTGTTACTGGTAGTTGTCTTGTCCATGGTCCTACTTTGGTTCCGCAAAAGCACTGTCGAATATTCAGTCCGTCCGGGACCGGCGCCGTCTATTGATGACCAGAGGAGGTTCTGGTATGCCTTCCATGCCATCATCAAAGCCACTGTACCCGGCTGCAAATCACCTATCAAACTCGATGAACACCCGGCGCCGCTAGAATTTCACCCAGACAATATCGGAAACATCACTCTGCCGGAAAATCTCATGCTGAATAAAGGGGATAAAAGAAAACTGAAGCTCGCCCATGCTCGGTTTCTCAGGCTGATTGCTCCGCCGGATGGGCCTGTACTACCATTCCAGAAGAGGACTCGAGGGATTGTTTCCACGGCTAGCAAAGCAATGCTTCCAACCCTCGTAACGTCCATATATATGTTGCGAGTGACTGGTTCAAAGCTCCCGGTTGAGATATTCCTTGCAGATAGAGGTGAAGACGATGCGTTTACATGTGGTATACTTCTCCGGTCTCTGAATACACGCTGTATAATTCTGGACGGGATATTATCATTCTCCCCCTTGAAAGAAGGATTGATGAGATATCAATTTAAAATATTTTCACTTCTCTTTTCTTCGTTCGAAGAAGTTTTCTTCCTTGACGCAGATGCGTTTCCCATCCGTGACCCAGCCCGTCTATTTGCCTCGAAACCATTCATATCAACCGGGATGGTAACATGGCCAGACTTTTGGCAAGTTACATATCACCCTTGGTTTTTTGAAATAACTGCTCAGCAATTGCCGAATACCTTTCCCATCCCATCCACCGAATCTGGCCAGCTTCTAATATCCAAACGGACTCACTCTAAATTACTTTTACTTTCTGCGTACTACAACTTTTACGGCCCGTCTTACTACTATCCCCTATTATCTCAGGGCCACCCAGGCGAAGGGGATAAAGAAACATACGCTGCGTCGGCAATGGTCTTGAATCTTCCATTCTATGCTGTTTCCACACGTCCTGAGGTGTTTGGATACATAAACAAGAATGGTAAGTGGGAAGGGGGCGTTATCATTCAGGCAGACCCAACGTGGGAAGTTATATCAAGGCCAGGTAGGATGTATGGATGGAAAGGAAAACCCGCGGTACCTTCAAACGCATTCCTCACATTCCACGCAAACTTACCAAAACTAGATCCAATTCAAGTCTTTGGAGAAGGTGGCCTTGCTTGGGCTGCTGATGGGAGTCCGCAACGCATGTGGGGCACTGCAAGAGACTCGATCCTGCGAGTTGGTGCTGATGTTGAGAAACGTTTATGGAATGCTTTGGAGAGGACATCGTGCCAAATGGAATGGAATTTCGCGCCCTGGGATGGGAGACCCAGGCTTTGTGAAAAAATTCGCCGGTTTATTCGCGGCATGGCTTAGATGCTGGCTGGTTGAAGGAAGAGCCTGTCTTGTCAGACTGCATATATGTTTTCAGTCTATGCAACCAGAACTCTTATCCAATATTACAGATCATGCAGCATTCCTACTTCCATGTGCTGTTACGGAGATATATAGAGACCTTACCAAACCACATATCGGGAATGAAACAGATCCCAAAGTTACCGACAGATCGAGAAAATTGATAGCACACTTCACACATCATCAAACCCGGTGGCTACGAGATCACTTGAGCATGGCATCAAGATAGGATGATAATTATTGATCAGCTGTTAATTGTACATTGGAGTTGAGAAAAAGAATAAATAGCTAATGTAATGAACTCACACGCCCTCCTTCGCTTGTGCATTAGGCGCCACAATGTCTCATTGCGTTCGCTTCTTCGCGCTAGTTAACGTACACTTGGGGCTTGGAGCTGCCATACCTTCTAGCAGTACGTATTCGAGTCGGCTATGCTTCCAGGATAATAATAGACAGGGTGCATATAGCTATTACGAGGCTGGTCTGTCCCATGGTCACATTAGATGACGTAGGCCGTTGCGCTTGTAAGATGCGCCTTGGTTGATTAATGGTTCAGCTTCGAGGGTAACTAGTTAATCAATATGAAAGGGGGGAATCATATCAGAGCCATGACAATATTTTGTAACTAACTTCCCAGTGATTGGCTAGACAATTTCGACTTTCCGTCTTCGGAGCGGTAATCTGGCTATTTTTGGGTGAACGAGAATGGATATCATTTTTCAAAGCTGTAATGGAGATGCAGGCGGCATTTTTAAAAGGTCAACACGAACGGACGAGCCTTCTCACTTATTCGGGATCTCCAATCTCTTCCTCCTTGCCAGTCTCTGGAGCCTTTGTTTTTTTCTCTGCCTCAAGTTCTTCCAGCCACTGTTTGCCCTCCTCCGTGGTGGCGTCGACGATTCCTTGCTCAACGGTCAAAATGCCGCTTTCTCCTAGCTTCTCAACAACATCTTCTGCCTCCTCCACTCTCATCTTTCCCAGCACTTTGTTTACTTCATCCAGGCTTTCAGATTCCAACGCTTTCTGAAGATCTGGTGGGAAACGGTTAAAAATTTCGCGAGCAGCAACATGAGCCTCGTCTTTGCTATCAGCTGGGGGAATGGAGATGTTGAGCTTTGTAGAAGGGTCAACTGCATGAAGTTGGATTTGCTCAATCTCTGATTGTCCCTCGGCAGACGATTTAGCAAGTTCCTTTGCACGAGTCTTGATACGGTTGTAAGTGTCATTAACATCATCACGGAACATCACACCAGCACGATGGTCCTCGGTAGTGATTCTGTTTTCCAATAGAACATCAGTAAATCCTAGCTTAGGCCTCCAGGTATGAAAATAACTAAGGGAAACTAACCGTTTGAAGAAGAGAGAAACGCCGTCTTTGCCTAGAGAGCGACAGTATTGTAACAGTAAGCCGTGATGGACACATTGGCGGGCATAAGTCTCATCACCAGAGATCTGGGCGTTAAAGGCCTCCATCAAAAGCTCATCCGTCCTCTTCTCTGTTAGTATCTCTGGGTGATCGGTGATGAATGAGTATGTTTCACGGTAGTCCCCAATCTTAAACTTTGCAAATTGCTTTGTCAAAGGGCGCACGGTTATACCCTCCTCGTCTCCTTCACCATCCTCAATATCAGCCTCTGCGCCGGAAGAGACGGCATCCACGTTATCTGCGCCAGCGCAGCCTGGATTGAGGAGCTCGACTGTCGACTCCTTGGTCTTCTCAGGCTCAGACTTGGCCTTGGACGATGAGACAAAGGAGCTGTCAAATCCAGTGTGTATGCTATCACTAGTGATCTTTTTACTCTCCTCCTTTTCCAATTGCGCAAGCTTCTCAAGAAGTTGCTGTTGGAGGTCTAGTACCTTGGTTTTGTGGCCTTCAACGCCGGTGATAAAGGCCTGGTATCTGTTCGCCGGCTTCGACTCATCCAGCTCCTTCTTGACCTGGTCCACTAGCGATCCCATCATCTGAGAGTACTTCGGTTGGGTCTCCTGCGCGTGGACATTCTCTGGCGGAGCGGGTGGTTGGTCCTCCTTGGGGTCACCAGCAGACTCGATCAGGGCCTGAAAAACGAGCTCGTCCGGATTTCTAGAGTCACTCTCGTGTTTTTTCAGGGCAGTCAACAGCCCGTCAATCCGTTTCAACAGGCCATCGTTTATAATCCTCTCGTACCCTAGAGTTGCGATCTCATGGCGGCGCTGCTGTCGTTGCTGGTGGATCTGGTTCTGCTTTGCACGGATGAAGGACCGTTTGTCCACATTGGGATGGACTTCGATGTCAGAGTCGTCTGAGAGCTCGAGAGCATCCCATTTACTGTAGTCAAGCACCATCTCTGCGGAGAGATGAATAGTAGTTCTGTCTGGCGCTTCTGTTAGCAAAACTGCCCCGCCACGGCTGCCTATCTATGTAGAAGCGCAGGCACAGACATACCAGAGAGAACGAGTGTCTGAGGAGCAGCTTGAGGGTTTTAAGCAGAGCAGCTACTGCAGCTTCGGCTCGCCAGCGTACGCAAAACGAAGAATATTTCTGCGTCAAGGCGAAACAAAACACCTGGCTATCCCTTTATTTCCACCTTGCTTCTTTCTTCTGCTCTCGCCCAAGAGAACCTCTGAGAATGTTCGGGGAGCGGGCCGGAGAAAGAAGCTCGGGATGACTAAATTTTTTTTTTTTTTTTGTTCCGGGGCGCCGCCAGCGACCTCACCTAAACCTCAGCTCCACGACCGTCCAATTCGACGTCTCCCCCAGCCAGAACAGCCAAGTCGCAAAGATCATGGTCCAAGGCAGCATCGATAGCGACTTCACTATGCCATCCGTGCCTTGAATGCCATTCGTTTCCATTTTGTTCTGGGGCGCTCAGTAGCGGCGGGCGGGGCGCAAACTTCGCGATGCGCGGCTCAAGAGTCCTCCAGAAGGCCAGTTTTTCTAGAGACACCGTACGCTGCAGTCTCTTGGGCCTCAATCTCTCGTCACGATGTCTTGCAACCGATAGTAGGGCGCCGTTGGTACGTCCCGTGGCCTTTTCCAGGCAGTACCATGCCGTTTCGCCGCCGGTGTTTGGTGGAAACAGACTCCATAGATGCGGAATTTTCACCCCTACCTCTTGTCCAGATGTCCTCGGAAAGCTCCCCCGAAACGCCTTGTTCCCCCAATCCTCGAATCTCATATACAGGCAGCTCCGTTTTGTTACTGGGAAGAGCTCTCCGGGTGAGAATGGCTCCTCGCAACTTCAGGAAAGTACGGCTTCGGTGGTGAAGGAGGTCGCTCAAGCAGAAGAAATAAGCCAAGCGTTCGAGCGGTCTGAAAGAGCATCCCAGGCTGCTCAGATAAACCTAAGCGCAAGACTGGCAAAGGACGGGCTGGCCTCGGGGAAGAAGTCAGGTCTTCGAGAGATATGGAGGTTGATCACGATTGCGCGTCCAGAGGCTAAGGTCCTGTCTGTTGCCTTTCTGTTCCTTCTCATCTCCTCTTCGGTAGCCATGTCTATACCCTTCTCTATCGGTAAGATCCTTGACATTGCGACCAGCTCCAATCCCAATGCTTTGAAAGATTTTCTAGGGATCAGTCTCCCTGTCTTCTATACAGCACTGGGAGGGATTATTCTGCTCGGGGCTGCTGCAAACTACGGAAGGATAATCATCTTGCGAATCGTTGGTGAACGAATTGTTGCCAGACTCCGAGCTAAACTCTTCAGAAACACCTTCGTTCAAGATGCCGAGTTCTTTGATGCAAATCGAGTTGGTGACCTGATCTCCCGGTTGAGCTCTGATACCATCATTGTGGGGAAGAGTATTACACAGAATCTTTCAGACGGTCTACGAGCAGCTGTCAGTGGCGCTGCCGGATTTGGAATGATGGCATATGTCAGTTTGAAGCTCTCAAGTGTTTTGGCTCTTTTGTTCCCTCCAATTGCTCTTGCGGCTTTCTTCTACGGACGAGCAATCCGTAACCTGAGCCGGAAGATACAGAAGAATGTTGGCACATTGACCAAAATTGCAGAGGAACGGCTCGGTAATGTTAAAACAAGCCAGTCCTTTGCTGGTGAGATCTTGGAAGTTCATCGATACAATCGTCAGGTCAAGCGAATATTTGAGCTTGGTAAGAAAGAATCGTTCATCAGTGCAACCTTTTTTAGCGGCACAAGCTTGATGGGAAATGCTACAATACTTGCTCTCCTTTATGTTGGTGGTGGGATGGTTCAGTCACAAGCAATTTCAATCGGAGAACTCACCTCCTTTTTAATGTACACCGCGTACGCTGGATCCAGTCTTTTTGGCCTTTCGAGTTTCTATTCAGAGCTCATGAAAGGAGCAGGTGCTGCCAGTCGCCTGTTCGAGTTACAAGACCGCAGGCCGAAGATATCCCCTACCGTGGGTGACAAGGTCACCTCAGCTCGCGGGCCTATCAGATTCAAAAATGTTGCCTTCAGCTATCCTACTCGACCAGCCGTCACTATTTTCAAAGATCTGGATTTTGAGATACCGCAGGGTAGCAATGTGGCTATTGTTGGACCCTCAGGTGGTGGAAAATCCACCATTGCGTCATTGCTACTTCGTTTCTACAGCCCAACTCAGGGCCAAGTCTTCATCAACGGCAAGGATGTTGCAACCATGAACGCAAAGTCTCTCCGAAGGAAGATAGGAATCGTTGCCCAAGAGCCAGTGTTGTTTTCTGGCTCCATTGCCGAAAATATTAGCTATGGAAAACCTGATGCAACAAGATCTCAGATAATCGCTGCTGCCCGCAAAGCAAACTGCCAGTTCATCAGCGACTTCGTAAGTTAAACCCGCATGATTTATCGATTTAATCACAGAAATACCAGGGCTAACATACCATTCCCCTAGCCTGATGGTTTGGATACCAATGTTGGTCCCAAAGGAGCACAACTGTCCGGTGGCCAAAAACAGAGAATTGCCATCGCTCGTGCTCTTATCAAAGAGCCGGATATTCTCATTCTTGATGAAGCTACCTCTGCGCTCGATGCAGAGTCCGAAACCCTCGTTAACAGTGCTCTTGCAGCTCTGCTTCGCGAGAACAACACTACTATCAGCATAGCCCATCGTTTATCCACCATCAAACGATCCGACACCATCATCGTTCTTGACTCGGAGGGCAAAGTTGCTGAAATGGGATCTTACAATGATCTCAATTCAAGACCAGATGGTGCTTTTACCAAGCTGATGGCCTGGCAGCTCAGCGGCGGCGAAGGAATTGCTGCTCCCGTTCACCCCAACAAGCCAATCTCTCGAGGGCCGCCGTCAGAAACAGAACATCTGCAGCAATTGCTACAAGAAGGCGAAGACGAGGAGTACGATGAAGCCGAGCCCGAAGACGAGCCGAGGTCTACTGATGAGATTGAAAAGAAATAGATTTCTTCTCTTGAATCGTCAATATCCCTTTCGCGAAGCCAAAATTATAACCCCTTCTCTTTGATTCTTTTTTCTTCTGTTACCCAGGCTACCTTCCCGGTCGACTGCCTGTGTTATTATATCCAATAGCGCAACCCCACTCTAGAAGTGTGCCGTTTCTCGATTAAAACCGTATGAATTAATCCTCAACGATCTATATCCAGACCCTCCCCTTTGCTAATACCTATATTCTCACTGTATAGATTATATACATAAATGTACTTTTAACACCTAGACATATCGTCTCGTTGCTACTATAGACTTTTCTTTGGCCATCTCTATTTCTCACCCTTGTTTTAGGCTTTCTTCCACCTTACCAGCATCAACAGGCTATATTCACTTATCACTCAAGGGACGGAAAAAAAAAAAAAAAAAAAAAGAGCATAAGCGCCATGCATGTATCATTTAATCATGGCATTTTCTATTGAAGGGAAATGTAATATATCTGCGCTATTGAAATCAGTGCTGCAAAATGAACTATCTACCTCGAGCATCCTGCACCGATCAATAATATCATAGGGCTCCGATAAAAAAGCTTAGAACACTACCGGCTGCTAAGCCTGCTACTATCAACATGCCCATGTATGCGCCAGCTGCCTCCCTCTCTTCCTCGTCTACCAGATCCGGGGCGCTAACCATGACATAAACACAGACGTAGCCATTTGTTAGCCCAAACAGACCCTGAATAAAAACAAGATAGAAGAGGTCGCTATTGATTGCCGCCCCTCTCCCTCGGACATTACACATCAAGAACAATGGGATGAATAAGATGCGAGCCAGCGCGAGGACAAAAAGGACGAATTGCGGAGGTTTCCTGTCCTTTACAGACGGGATCAAGAGAGTCATTCGCCCGAGCAAGTCGCCTGAGTTCCAAAACAAAAGGGCAAGGGCAATGAATACGCCAGGTTGTGAATAACGAGGCGGGGGTTTTTCTTTACTAACACTCTGGATCTGAGATGCGAACACGGGGAAGGCCATGGTAATACAGAAGCAGAGAAATATCGCAAGAGACAGCCACCTGGTCTTTCGGAACAGTGTCAACAATGAAACTGACTTCTTGGTTGACAGCACGTCCCACTCTGATGTATCAGTGTCTTCATCTGGGGTATAGCGAGCACGCCTTGCCTGGGAATGATGAAGGTAAAGGAAAGCGAGGAAAGCACCTCCGCAGACCACTGTTGCAGTCAGGAAAAACCCAAAAGCCGATTTTGCTGCGTTTGCCAGCTCGTCCGCTTCGTGTACAGTAGAGTCTGGCACAGCAAGGACCGAGATAAGTTGTACTATAGAGGGCAGGACACCGGAGAGTGCCTGTCCCACTAGAATTGCCTGCGTATACGCTGGCTGCGAAAAGCCGGTTACGTATGCGAACAATCCATTCTGGTTCATCGATCCGGACAGCGCACATATAAATACCATGAAAAGAACAAACGCGAAAAGGACGTTGGGAGATGGTCCTTGTTTAGGAATAGTGGAGAGCGTGAGCAGTGCAAACACGAATCCAGTGAGGGCAAGTGAGACAAGGACTCTCTGTGAGTAAGATGCATTTTTCTGGAGTCTCAGTAGGAACAGATGTGTAGATAGGCCCGTAACGCAGAACACTGAAGTTATTGAGGACTGTGAGTTGTCCTGGAGCCATTCATTGCTGGCAAACTGGATTTGAAAGTAAGGTGCTGCGGCAAGGAATGAGTTCCTGTAGACTCAATAATAATACCAATGTTAGCCATGTAACTGCACTTCACCAGCTTGATAGAACCAGAGAAAGCCAGCGGTTCCAAAGTGATCTTACCATCCCCATAGCATGGCCATCCCCATCCAGGTAAAGATAGAGTAAACTACCCACGAAAACTCCTTGACAGGCGGAGCATCATACGCAGGCACATCGGCTTCTCCCTCAGTGGTACCTCTATCGTCTCCATTTATTTGTCTGTACGCCTGCTGCTGGCTGTCTCTCGGACCAAAGAACCGGTTGAGCCTGTCTCGGGACATGATGGCGGAGCGTCTATGTTCTCGGCGTTGCAGCAAGTTAGGAGGTAACTAACAGGCTGGCTGGTCAAGCGGCGGGATATAAACGAAAAGTCGAGTCCGACGGGTCAAGCCACGCTTTCAAGTCCGTCAAATGGTGTTAAGCCCATCTTATCTCTGCCCGGCTGGATGTCGAAGCCGGTTGTCATCAGCTGGCTGTTGCGCTTTGAGAAGTGTAGTCAAAGTTAACTAACTAGTTAAAAGCGTGACGCGGTTGGCGCGCCTGAGTCAAGTCACATGAAGCAAACTACCGAGTTAACTAATTAGTTATGGATTATGATCAACAGGAAGAAAACACCGCGATATCAGTACAACGTCAGCCATTACTACTGCTACTATTGCTATATGAACTGATTTCAATGCCATTATCATGAGCGAACATCTCCTAAGATTGGGACTTTAGCCGTTATTCGTGGTAGCATTTAGAAGAGGCTCGCGGAAGAATTTAGATTGCCCCCGAGGTTGGTCATGCAGAATTGCCTATGGAGGATTACGATTGTGATGATCTGTGAAGCTTAGACAAAGGACTCCTGGAGACTGGATATTTCTCCTTGGTTGTCACTGTCGGTGCCAGCCAGAGCTAGCTGGGCCCTGTGTCGAGTTGTGCTCGCCATCACAATTTGCTCTCGCGGGAGCATGTTGCTGGTTAATTCCCTCTGATATATCAGCAAGTGCCTGCCCTGCCACTGTAACTGGATGTCCTTGGGCCGGCCTTTTGATAGCAGCTCCCGCCACAGAGTCTCCCTGTCTGCTTGAATTCGAGACCTGTGATGGCGTAAAAGCCGTGGTAAGCCGTTTCTTTCTCGAGGATGGAGGCACTGGGTGTACCGAACGAACATGGCTTGCCAGCTCGGCCCTTTTTATGTTTTGAAACCCCGTTAGCTGTGATATTCTTTTGAAGGAGACTGTCTGTTGGACCGATATACTGTCATACCTCTCATTAAAAGCACGGCAACACTCGAAACACGGGAATGACTTTCCTTTCCCTCTATCTAAAACGTATGTCAGCCTGGAGTTCTGTTGGCTAATGTTTGCTTGTTTGCTCTTCTCATGGGTACTCACGCATGATTCCATGCCGCAGAAGATGGTCTGCCCGGCGAAACGTCTCTAGGCATGTGGTGCATTGGAACCTAGTGCTCCCCTTTGCTGGGCTCCTCAGTGAACGGAGCACGGAGTTCTCTTGTGAAGCTGTCATGACTGGTTGTTAAACGTCCCTGGTACACTTTACTAACCTGGGCCGCCAGCTCTGTCGAGTGTGAATGTGTGAGAAAGCCGCTGGGAGAGTCGAGCCCCTCCAACACAGGGAGGTCAAACCAACAGGACATCTTTGAGGGCTCGACGCTTCTTGCCAGAGAATGCTCGCTATCTAGTATCTATGGAATAGCAATCGCAGCCCAAGGGTAAACAATTGTAGGATTATGTAACTAAGTAGTTAACTAACAGGCGGCTGTCACTTAGCTGGTTAACTAAATAACTTCTCCGACGTCAAAAAAAAAAAATAAAAACGCCAGCAAGGACCTCACTAGAGATCTATAGCTATATTCAGAAAGCCCACCGTACTGGAATGTATATATCTAGCGATTATCAATGCCACCGAGATTCCCGTTTTTGAATAGCAGTATCATAGATTGCTATTACGTCAGAATAGCTTGTGCTAGGCAGCAGCCGACTTTACTTAAACTGCCGAACTTGTCAGCCCAGCCAGCAGCTTTCCATTGCCAACCATCTCAACATAGATCCATTCATCTTCGAGTGCTATGATGAAGACCAAGCTCTTAATACTTTCTGATACCCATGCAATGCCATATACACCTCCCAGCCAATATGCCGATGTGGCCCTACATTGCGGCGACTTGACCGAGCGCTCTACATTGGAAGAATATCGATTGGCCGCACAGCTCCTGAAGCAAGTAAATGCCCCCCTCAAACTTGCTATTGCCGGGAATCATGATTTCACTCTTGATATCCCATTCTACAAAGCGAAGCTAGAGCATATACACGTTGAACGACATGCACGGTTGATGAAGGAATGTGGTGATTTTGGGGAGGCTAGGCGGTTGCTTGAAGATGCTGGCATCATCCTTTTAGACGAAGGGATTCATCGCTTTAATTTAGCGAATGGCGCCAGTTTATCCATATACGCAAGCCCGTATACCCCGGTCTATGGGCATTGGGGGTTCCAGTACTATCGACAGCAGGGGCATCAATTCGAAATGGAGGGAGCCGACATTACTATGACCCACGGGCCCCCGAAGGGTTTACTTGATACGACCTTTTCAGGGAGTAACGCAGGGTGTACGTCTCTTCTTGGAGCTGTATCTCGGGTAAGACCGAAGATACATTGTTTTGGGCACATACATGAAGCTTGGGGAGCAAAACTCGTCACCTGGAGGAACACGAATTCGTTATTTTCATTCTTCCCTGATTCTAACCCTGTTGATGAAGAAAAATCAATTTTGATCAATAGTCTAATGGGGGCAAGAGATTCAAAGGCGCTATTGGACAAGCTGCAGTCTCACCGGGATGAAGGTTACTATACTCTCAGTTACTGCTCGGATAATCAAACTCCGATCCAGTCCGGTCAGCAAACCCTTGTCATAAACGCATCCATGAAAGGGCTTGGTTGGGACACTTGTCATATACCGTGGTTGGTGAATATTGAATTGCCGAAGGCTAAATGAATGGATTGAGTGATGATGTAACACACAGTAATAAACGAGGCTTAATTTAATAAGGCTATGAACGCTATGTCACATATGGTATCTTTTGCTGCCGGTAAAATTAAAAAAAAAAAAAAAAAAAAAAAAAGAACAAAGCCTGGGTATATATAAAGCAAAGGATATAAGAGGTACCGGTTGTGCTCCGTGTGCATACATATATATACATGCGGTATGGAAGGCCGTTGAGACCATGGTATATAGCGGCTCCTAGCATAGGAAGTCGGACTCCTCTAGCCATTGAGAACCGATGGCAATGGCCACCAGGTCCCCAGCGCAAGATAGAGTCTCATATTCATCTTCTAATTCAAGCAGGTCCAAAACGGTCTCTAACCTTTCAAAGAGTACGTGCTGAATTTCGTCTCGTAGTTTTTGTCCTTCAGTCCTGTAGTCCTGAGCAACTTTGTACTTGGCACTTGGTTTCCTAGGGACAAGATTGCTATTCACGGAGCGTTGTCCAAGGGGCTGACGGTCTATTGGAAGCAGCTTCTCAGTACGACATCTGTTTACCAGCGTAGCTAGAATAAAGGACAGCCAAATAAGATTAGTTCTTGGCCTGTAGTTTTTCCACTGTACTGCGTCAGGGTCACTGTCATGAAGGACCTCTGATCTCATCCTAATAGGGGAAGTATCAGCAACGACAGCCTAAAGTGTAATCAGCATCTATACTTACATCCGATAGGTGTCACGAAGAAATTTCTCCTCTTCATCCCTTCCAACGGCATCGAAGATTTCCTTCTTCTCGAGATTAGACCATGCTACTGATCCGTTGATATAACCAGTGTCCTGTGTTTCACAAGGCGAAAGCTCTGCGCGAGATAAAGAATAATCAATGATGGTTGTCTCCAGCCCGCTTAAGCCTAGGCGTGCTGAAAGTTCAATCTCTGAATCATTCATTTTGGCCATCCCCTTTTGATACTCATCAAGAGGGGGCTGTTTCTGTTTCACACACACATTTCCAAGATGGAGATCACGGTGCTGTTTAAGTGTTAACTATTCATTCCAAATAAAAGCTGTATTTATAGCAAGGAAGTTAGTACCTCAAAAGAAGCATATTGTTCCGCTCTTGCCAATGCCAAAGCCACACCCCAGAACACGTCATACACTTGGAAAACAGAGGAAAACTTGAATTTCTCAAGTTCAAAACCTGCATTCTCCATTTCTAGTATAGCCCATAGCTGATTGTCCGGATATGATTTTTTCTTGCTTGGGTCGGGATTGAAGCAATCGTCCTTGGTTCGACTATATATATCCCAAGCGTTTTGGTAAGACGGGGGAAACCTGCCTTGAACCACGTGTATCTCCCTAAATCGTGCAAATCCGGGAATTGGGTCAAGAAGCTTCAATAACTGAACTTCAGCAACAATCTCATCCACTGTCGTGAATTTCTTTGAACCTGGTCCTCGCTGTGCGCATAATGGCACAATTTTAAAAACGCCATCCATATAGGTTTGTAGTTTAGATGATCGATCGCTTGATAGGCTTGATTTGGATACCCCCTCTTTTGCACACAGCTCATATACCTCTCCGTAGGAGCCTTCTGCAATCTTCCTGACGTCGAAGAAACCTTCGGCTTTGTTTGCCCATTTGTCAAAATGTTGTATTCCTCGCGAAGACCTTGTGGACATTGCCTCGTTCAGGATGGCTTTTACGTAAGCAGTCCTTTGTTTATCATTGACATATTTTTGTTGTATCTTGGTATTCCCCTTTTTCCTTGTACTAACAGGGGATCTTGACTGCTTGATATCCTCCTTTTCTTCCGAGTTCTTCGAGGATATCGAAAAATCATCTTGGGAGCGTTGTATTGACTCAATAGAGTCTGCCTTCTGGGTAACATTCTTCTTGGTAATTTTTTCTGGTGAAGTGTTATTGGTGGGGTGAGTATCTCCCCCAGTTGGATCCTGGTAACATTCCTTTCCATTGACAGTTTGTGAGGAACTCCCCTTGATTGTTATTTGTGATAACTGGTCTCGAACTGCGGCCATAAGTGATTCTGAATCATCTGGGGAAGAAGAAGCTATTGATAGTTCATTTTCAATAGCTAGACTGCCATCGTGCACAATACCTCGCTCTCTATTTGTGCCTTTCGTCCCGTGAACACCTTTTGTAGCCTTCGAGGACGGGTGTCTAGTTTTTTGGCAGTGGGTGGTTCGTTGACGAGTATCGGCCTGCATTTCAGCAACAGGGTCTTCAATGTATATAACCATATTTGGTACTGTACGGTTCGCGTGTCTTCTCTGTGTCGGCTTGTTCAAGTGCTGAGTCGTGGGCAGTCGTTTACAAAAAAAGCGCTTCTCTCTTCGGCGTGCGAAAACCTTTATTTATATATCTCCTAAAGAGGACTAGCTCCAGCGGTTACCACGGCAAACGCACGGTCCAGGTTATATAAGCTAATGACTAAGCCGGAAGACATGGCCGACGACCAGTCAGGTGACGCTTCTCCTATTCCTGCCGCGCCGGAAGGAATATTTTTTTCCTACCTAGTACTTCGAATATCAGGTTTCAGCAGGCGACCCATCTCTCTCACTCTCCAAGGCTCTGGAGATCCAATCCACGGATCATCAATGAGGAGGTCACCGGGTAACGAGCCTTATCCCTAAGTGCTCTTCTCCATCGACTTGCGCCGGTTTCGTCCAACAACCCGCAGAGGATTGCAGCAGGTACCATCACATGGCACGCGACCCATCCATCAACCGCGGATTGTGATCAAACTCTTCTATCGGTTATCGCGAAATATAAACACACAGATTCGCCGGGGGGGGCATCGATATAAACGTTTTCGCTCGTTTTCACACAGGCGCTCGCGCCGTCCGTTGCCAAACATGGCCTTCAACTTTAACTGGTCGCCTCTGATGGCTGATGCTGGATTCTATACTCGCGCTCAAGAGCTACTCACTGCTGCCTTGAACAAGTCGCCGAAACCTCCGATCATTGTAGGCGACATCACGGTCACGGAACTGAATCTGGGATCTATACCACCAGACCTTGAAATTCTTGAGATAGGGGATCTGGCAGACGACCGGTTTCGCGGAATATTTAAAATGTCCTACTCTGGAGATGCTTATCTCACTCTGAAAACTTGCGTCCAGGCCAACTCTCTAAACACTTACATGGTGACACGGCCCTCGTTCACTTCTCCATGTCCCCTTGCAGCAGAGTATGTTTCACTCTCTCTAAATACTATTTCACGATATGAAGGTTTACTGACAACGTCTCCTATAGCCACGGCCTCACTATACCACTACAAATAACTTTGTCAGATATCAAACTTTCTGGCTTTGTAGTCCTGGTCTTTTCTAAGCAAAAAGGAATCACTCTAGTCTTTAGAAACGATCCCCTTGAGTCTTTAAAGGTGTCGTCAACTTTTGATTCTATCCCATTCGTTCGAGACTATTTACAACGAACCATCGAGGGACAGCTTCGCTTATTATTTATGGATGAGCTTCCTGCTATTATCCACCGACTATCCCTTCGACTATGGGTGCCAGAGCTTCGCGGGCAGGATGTCGAAACACAGCCTGACGAAGAAGCCGGCCCAGGTCAAGATCCTTTACTTAGCCCACCCCAAGACCCTGTTGATGCATCCGGAAATGTTTTGAGCGTTGCCCAGATAGCTTCTTTGTCTCTGGACTCTGGAGTTGAAATGCACTCTCTATTCTCTCAGAGGAACCTTGTCCGACTCGCCACGCTGACGGACTCTCAACGGACACTCTCACTATTCACTCCAATAATACATGACGTCGTTTTCAGAGCGCTTACCGGAGCTATGGAACAATCCGAGTACCAAGGAGGCTTGATCTCCCCCGCTAGTCCTCCTCTTTCTAGGACTCACTCTCATGCTGCGTCTCTACAATCTTTGCAGGAATCATCAATGAGTAAAGCATCTCTAGGCTCCCCACTGAGCGGATACAGTGCTCTCACGACTAACGCTGGCCGCCACCCAAGAGCACGTCCCTCAAGGAAACACAAGCGGCGTGTTGTGGACTTACGAAAGTCCAAAAATTCCGATGACACTTCCAGTACATGCACTGAGAGCGAATATACTGTCTCTACTGATGCATCAACTGTTTTTTCATCCTCTGCAAGAGCTGGAGAGAAACCCGATGACCCTATTACTCCACCGATTTCCCCTAATGCTACTATAAAAGTAAAGAATCTTTCACGAGTGCCGGCTGTGCAAGGACAAGGCCCATCCGTCATTGCTCATCCTGCCCAGCCTACCCCGTCAGCCGAGGCTGAAAAGAAGGCTCTTAGTAACGGAGAACCTTCGCATATTCCTTGTCAAAATACCCCTACCCTGGAAGCTCATCGGCAAGGTAGTGACAACACAACCTCTTTGAATGGGATCCCACCTAACGTACTGTCATTTGTGGCCGCGAGTCAGGACCGAAGCATTTTAGAGCAGGCTTGGATGATGAAGTTAGCAAACGAAATCAGCCGCAGAATCCAGGAAAACAAAGGTCCTGGTAGCGTGGGCAGTGCCAGCAACTACTGCAGACATCAAACCCGAGATCCTTCGCCACCTCCAGCATACGGACAGTGATCTCGATACCCCCACTTTGACATAGTTGGGTTGCTATACTATATTATAATCGCCACTTCCAATCTTGTTTTGTCTTTGTGTTTTCTTCTCGCAAAGCGTCTCTTGGTTGAAATTGTACCTTTATTCCCTTTGTGACTCTCTTTTGTTCTTGTACTTGCGATTTTTATTTGCCCTGCTTTGTGTCATTATGTTTTACTATTTATTGCCCACCCTGTTTGATGACAGCTCTTTTTCTTGATACCACTTCTATTCTGCAGGCGCTGTATATATAGCTTTCTTTTCCTTCTGGAGTTGGTTGGTTGAAAATTTGGCTCGCGGATATTCAATGCAGGTAGGCAGGTAAGGGTTGTGCAAACAGTCTTTTTGGCCGCCTAGTTAAATTTGTGTTTTTATGGTTGATATATGTATAAAATAGGGTGAATCGGTCTATCAATTCTATCGACAACCTATGACCCATGCGTCTTGATGAGGCTCATTACTAAGTGGATATTAAATTTGGTGGGAGCAACTACAGTAATTTTTGGATCCCCAAATGTGTAAAATCAAGCTCATACATGAATTCATATGGCGTACTCCGCTTTCCTTCACTGTTGGTCCTAGTAAAAGGGGCATATAACAATACAGGCAGCTACTCGGTCCGGGGTCGTTCGTGTTGGCCTTCATCCGCCAAAGTTCAGCTTCTTGGCTTTTAGCTAGTTAACTAACCAGTAGTTAACTCCGAGTCAGCGACTGGCACAACACAAGCTATTGTTCAAACTCACAAACCAGCAACAACACCACGGCAGCTCTCAATTAGTGACTTATCAGGCCATCCTGGCCAGTCCTGATATCTAGTTACCGACGATGGACGGAGTCTTTAAGGGTCTTTTTGGCGGCAAGGCCACTGAGGCTCCGCAGAAGGCTGAAGGAGGTTGGTGACAGCAAAATTCACAATCCATCATCACGACCCAATATTGTTCAATTCAAATTATTCTCCCGTGAAACCACCTGAAATTACGAGCTAACAATTTACTCGTATTCTAGGCTTTGCGGACTTTGCGCCTCCATCTGCAACTGGATCTGGACCCCAGGGTACTGCTGCCAGCACTGTTCCCTATACAAAATGGTACCGAGTCTGGGAACGAACATCGCCACAGGACTTTGTTCAGGAAGCATTCATCATCCCTTTTATTATTTTGGTCGCCGTGCTGCATGTGTGGGGAGCGGGTAAAAACAGGCGCAGGGCAAAGACATGGGCACAAGCAAATATCCCGGTGCTCTGCGACGAGTTTGCGGTGGTTGGATATACTGGAATCCCACGGAACGCCAGCTCCAACGAAGGCATTAAGATTGATGATAAGATACTGAAGGAGAAGGCTCTGAATGAATTCACTACTTACGCTACTGGCCGTCAGAATATTGCCTTCGTCGATGTCACAATCAAGATGCTGAAACGCTACAATCCGCTGCTGCTGTTTGGTGAAACTCTTCTTGGGCTGTTTTTCGATTCCATGGCACCGTCTACTGAAAAGGTAGAGATCGTTGCATATCCCTTCGACGGCCGGGAGAAAGACCTTGTTCCACCTACACCAATGGACATTGATACCGACAAGCGCTCAAAATCAGGCCCTTCGACTTATGACGGCTTCGTCTTTGCTGTGGTGCACAAGAATGCTATGCGCCGTCTAAGAGAAGACCGATATGATGTTTCGTTGACATTCACCAAGGAGAACGCTAAACTTCCCAATTGGTTAACTGTTATGAGCGAGAGTGCAGAGATTACCGATTCCATGCTCGTTCCTGAACTTGTTAAAGCCATTGAAGATGCCGGTGATCTGTTTGATTACTTGATTGTGACTGATCAGCCTATGGAAAAGCCTACTACGTACGTATATTTGTTATGTTAACTCTGTTCCCTATACACTCCTTGATGACTAGATACTTATATTTTCTTACAATATAGTGTTGAAGAGGCAGTTCCCCGAAAGCGAATTATTCTCTCTCTCCGTATTCCAGAATCTTCGGATGCTTCCGACTATGCCTCCTCCAATATGCTGAAGGCCTTCATTCGCTTAGCTGATCGCCTGGTGACTATCGCTCACTTCAGACCTGAAGTGACTCGCAAACTCCGTAGTACGCGCGAGGAAGAAATCAGAAGGATGAAGCGGGTTGACCAGGATGAAAAAGCTGAAGAAAGAAAAGTAGCTGCTGAAAAGATCAAGAAGGAAGAACGTGATCGACTCCTACGTAACATGTCAGCCGAGGAGCAGAAGAAGTTCCTTGCGAAGGAAAAGGAGAGGGAGCAAAAGCGAGAAATGAAGAGACAGACAAGAAAGGGCTGAAATATATATAACATCACTGCCACCGTGCTAATAGCCTCTACACGCAAGTATGTGTCTTCTAGTGCTGAGCATATGATGTTAGATAAAATTTATCGTCACGTTAATGCACAAGGTTTATGGCCTGTTCAGGAGCGTTTGCTACGTTAATACTACGAGGCAAAACTGCCTTGATGCGTGGTTTCTGTCTACATTCATGATACTATTTGGTTATGCTGAATTGAAGTGCAAATAAACGAAAATTTCACATAACTTATAGGTTAAGAAATGATAGTAGGGTCACTCTCCATAGTCTGGACAATAAAATGACAGTATCTTGCATTGTTAGATACACAACGGTTTACAATTGGCTTTGATAGTCAGAGCTGGTTCAACGCGAGTTGTAGTTTGAAGCTCTATCGGGACTATATACACCATTCCAATTCACCTAAAGTTCAAGCACCTCCTCTATGAGCTCAATTTTTCTTGTGCAGTCGGAACTGGTCTCTTGACTCAGAACCATGTCTTGTGTCCCTGTTTTAATATCAGTATTTATCGCCCAATATGTGAAGGCAAAGCTGTGCTCCGGCGCATTGAGAAAGAGGCTCTCATTTAAAGGAGAATCAGTATTTCATGTTACTCACAAGAACTATTCTGCCCATGGCATACATGGTGGCTAGAAGTCGATATTAGCGAGAAACGTCCCCCCGTAGATAGCAAATTGACTGGTGAATCATACCAATGGTGCTGCCGTAGAGAGATACGTAGAATGGATATAGCAGATATGGGCTTCGAGCAGTCTATCCCATGAAGAATTGTGTGTTAGTCACTGATGCTGGATGGCCGAATTCCGTCCGACTGGCGAGGGAGAGAGGAAAAGACTCGACGGACCTTCTTCCATTGGCGAACACCATCTCCATTCTGGAAAAGACGCTGGTAGTAAGGGACACGGTTCTCCCGGAAGACGAAACTAAATGAAAAGTAGATACTTCACGTTAGCGAGCTGGAAATGACATGAGACGGGGTGCCATATTCCTCCCGTGAGCCCAGGTTTTTCGCAGAGAACGTCAGAATCACATACCCGGCCATACGAGGGAGCGTACGGGAAACCATTGTTGCGCAGATCGAAAGAATTGAGACACAAAACGCAAGACGAGGTGAATTGTTCCGTGGACGGGAAACTGAGGACAAGAGGTGATGTTGGAGCCAAAAGTGGTGAGATGTTTTGCCTTTTCGCCGTGACTATCACGTGACACTAGTCGAGCCCTTGGGTGGTACCTAAGTAGGTACTCGGTGATTATAATCCTTCCAACGTGAGATCAAATCATTCATTGATTGCAGTTTGATTGCAAGATCTCTAAACAGGGTAATTACGGCAGAACAGAAGACTATTTGCAGTAACCGGGGGACTGTGGGTTCAATGAATCCTCTTTTCCGTCTTTAACAGGAACGGCAACCCTATATGCCAGAGTAACTGTCATCGACAATTTCGGCTTTCCTCAATTTTATCAAAAATCCCAAGGCAGCAAGTGAAGAGCTGAGTTAATGAGAAACTCCCACTCGGCCTCTATATTGCTACCACAACGGGAGTCGTACTTCTTCTTGCATAGACGGAAGGCCTTCCCACACCAGAATACCCCTATCATCAGATAATAAAGTTCTTGTCTTGACAATGAAGAACCTCCACAAGGTTTAGCAGCTCCAATTCCTCAGGTCGAGCTGTGGATGAATGGCGTGAGAAAAGCTATACTTGGACTCCCGTGTAGGTTTTTTATGGCATGAACTTCAAGGATAATTTCCACAGTTTGGCCTTACTGGAGTGGCCAGTAGATGAGAAATATGCAGCACTCTCCTCAAGATGAGCTATGGTAGATGTCTACCGTTCTGATTATATGCCTTCATATGGGGATTTAAGAGAATATACAAAAGGGCTTTATCAGCAAGTTTCAACTTGATACTTACAAGCAACGTTACTATTATGTTAAGTAGTAGGAAATACTATGTTTTTTGTGATATTAGGTAGTTCTGGCCTGGGTTAAGGTTTGCGGGCCACGTGATAACTATGGGGTCCTTGTCGGGGCCGGAGGAAGATTCGTTCCATCCATAGATAGGAGGTCGTCGTTAAATCAAACAGGCAATATTAATATTTCGGCGTGAACTGTTCACAGGACGGCATTGCAAGAGACGGGCCTTGACCACCGGATATGTGATGAAATCTATGGTTATAAATGCCCGCCGTCGTGCCTCTTGGGGGTTTTCGGCGACCGCCTAATGCTATTTATGCTCTCGAGACAGCTCAGGTTGTTGCCGGGACACATTCAAAGGCCCGTCGCTCCGCCCATATCCACCAGTGTTATTAGTACTGCTCGTCGCTGCAGAATCGTCAGCGGGCCTACATTCTTTTCGTCAGTGGGTTCACAGATAGCCTACTCCCCCGATCCATCTGTCAATCCGGAGGCCGAGGATTCCAACGTCGCGACCAACCGAGAAACCCCTGATATACCCAGCCGCCGGTCAAACGAAGACCCCCGTAACCCCCTCACAAATTACTTTTCGCAGCCTCGAGGGACGCAGACATGCCTTATAAACACGGATCAGAGTATACCTACCAGGGAGCCTGATCATTTGGAATTTTCCGAGCATTTGCAGACGTGGAAGTTGCAGCCATGGCAATTGGACCTGGAGTCGGACCTCGGGCATAGTCTGAGTATAGGGAGCAAATTGGTTGACAATCCCCACTATTCACGGGATTTTACTCTTTGGAGGGAACTTCTTTTGTACCGCCAACGACATTACGGAGATACTGGAGTCATTGACATATGGAAAGGGTTGGCTGAGAGATGCTCTGGGATTAGACTCCCTATCGAGGGGAAAGAAGCCGATTTTCTATGGGAGACTTTCGTCTCCATAGGGCTAAAGCACGAATGGATGCTAAAAGAGCTCCAATCTCACGCAGAATCCATTTGGAAAGAGAAAGGATTGAGATGGAAATACTTTTATGAGCGTGTTGTAGGTACCTTTGTGAAAGAAGGAAACCAGCCGAAGGCTCTACTGTGGCATCAAGCGCTAAAACACACCCACTTGGATAACCCGGAAGGTATCCTATGTGTTTTTAAAACTGCAATGTCCACCGAAGAGGGCCTGGATATCTTCCGTCGTCTATGCCAATTGTCCGATGGCCATAGAATATACCCATTTGTGGTGCCAATTATATGCAAACATAAGAGCGTCGGATTAGCTCTTGCCATGCATTATTTTTTAATACGACGTGGGGATTTTCCGTCGTCCATTGAGGATGTTCTGCCACTAATCCAACACGTGCAAAAGTACAGCAATCCACAGCAACAGTGTCATTTTCTTACTGGGCTTATCAAATCCGGCACCCTGCCTGTTGGTACTTCAATTGACGGCTTCTCATCCCATTCCTCACAGATTTCCTCAGCCACCGCTAATACAACTGGCACACAATCCCCGATGGTAAAAGACGATCTCGGAGCTCGACTCTTTGCTACAAAAACCTTCACATTCGACTTGATCCTTGGGGGCCTCAAAATGTTTGGTGTTGGAGCCATCGGTCCTTTAACGCTCCAGCAAATGGCATTAAAGGCTGTGGATATTGCTGAGCTGCAACACCAAATTTCTCAGCTAAAAGAGATAGGCATATCTACTGGAAATTCAGTGTTTGCCAAAGCTGTTGATTATTTCATTGCTCGGAAAGATCACCAAGCTCTCCACGATCTAATCCATAGTGATCAACATCCAGATGCCTTAGAGTCTCTAGAAACACAAGAATCTCTCTTTCACCACTTTTCCATGTCGCATGACTGGCGCCAGGCGAACTTGACTCTCACAATACTCTCCTTTTTGTCTCCCGAAGATCCTCAATGCTACAATATACAACTTCGGAATGCGCTAAAACTTGACGATAGGAGGCTTATCTCTGAGGTCCTTGAAAAAATGAAAGCTGACCACATTTCACCATCCAAAAGAACCATAAAGTGGATGATATGGAATATCCTTCCATCTCGCCGTATGGGGACACGCCCCATCTTGGATAGACCTGCAAGGGATGCCGTCTTACGCCTGTTTGGGATTTTCCAATATGTTATAAAGTATGGCGGCTCCATTCCCCCTGAATCATGGGAAGCTGGCCTCAAGCAACTTATTATTAGCCACCGGTGGTCTGAACTTGAAAGACTATGTCTTTGGCTTGCCGAAACATATTCACCTCAGAACTACACTCAAAACCCACAAATACCCAACATCCGCCTACCTCCCACCCATCCACAGTCACCATTACGCATCATCTTCAGTGTGGATTTTCAGCAAGCAATTATCAATTGTGGCTTCTTACGCAAGCCAAAAGTCAACTTTTCTGGTCCTTCGACTCTGAATCCATTCGTACCAACACCTCATCCTGTCGCCCTGTGGGTCTGCGGGCTGATCTTACTTAGGCGGCTGAAGGAGAAAGGTGTCTATATTAACACCAATACTGTCCGGCGAGTGTGTCGTACACGACTTGCCATACTATTTGGTGACGGGCCTCCATCAAAGAGAAAGAGTAATCTATTGCTCAGGAAGGTAAATCCATGGACCCTGGACCAGATAGTAGCAGACGCAAACAAGGTCTGGGGGTCACCGCTTTTCTCAGACTTCACACCAAACATCCATAAGCTAGTTAACCCGCGCCGCCGGCCCATTACTTCTCAGGACCATGGCATGCAGAGAGAGGCCAAGCGTTGAGAAATATGGCTGCTACTAGGACAAGACCGGATGTCACACAAATCCGAGTACCCAAGATTTAACCCTCCGAGTGTCTATGCATTCACGACCCGTTGGCCCCTAACTTCAAGGATAGACCTTCTCTTACTAAAAATAACATATCTAAGCCTACTAGTTAAAGTATTACACGGGTGGAGCATGTCGCTAGTCACTGTGGGAGCAAAGCCGTCATCTTCAGTTTCTGCAAGGCTTTTATGCATGGCAATTCAACGAATCTACTTGTACATAATTTATATCAACGACAATAAAAATTAAAAAACTGTATAGTATCTCTGGTCCTTACATGTCGTTTGTATGGTTCAGCTCCATTAGTAGCTCCCTTCCTGTTACCGGAGACCAAGTACCTGAAGAAAATAGATAAAAGGGCAAGCCCAGCTAACTCCGTAATCCCCAGGGTAACCATCAACGTGACTCGAATCAAAGCAAATCTTTAAGATGGGTTTCGTTCATTTTAACAAGTTGCTACTGGAATCGACGTCGACCCAGTAAGACTGTTTGTTGTTGAGAGGCCCTAATCTGTCACATTGGGAAATTATGGCCTCTTCGGTGTCACTAATTGTAACCGTTCCGAATATAAATGGAAGCTCCAACGGTGGAGTTGGTTTCACCAATCCTGGACGAACGACGCCGTTGCCCTTTCCAATCCACAATGCCACCACTTTTCCGCTCTGTCGATCCCAGGCGATTATGTGTCCGGTACACCTCCATCTCTCTATAGAATCACACAAGCCGGTGGCGTTCGCCACAGATGCTCGAACACCGATACATCCCAGCTGCATTAGAGACACATTACCAAGGCTCCGTATGGGTACACCATTCCCGTCAACATGCGCGCTGATAAGCCCAAGGGATGATGGGGACAGTGGTTGGCCTATATCACGTCCTAGCTGAGGACGATTACCAACAAATTCAACGGGTGAACAAGAAGGGAACCAAGCGTAGTCCAAGGTATCAAAATTTTCGTGTAGTTGTATCTTTAATGGGATATCAACCCCTTCATATTCGTCTAAAAGGTCGGCAATGGCGGTTAAGTTATCCAGAGGTCTTGAACAACCATTTTTTTGCATTCCGCCCTGTAACTGACGTATGAATTTAACGCTTGAAGTGTACTCTGAGGGATTATAGCTGGGCTGGTAGCTGTCGTTAGCAGCACTAGTACTGTGGATTTCTTCCATGTTAAGTGGGTAGTAATGATGACCGGCTCCATCGTTAAACCAGGTAGCACCCAGTACCAACTCGAGAGAATGAATGTCGCGTTGTAGTAAAGTAGCAGTAGTTGCAGGAGCAATTACAGTCCGAAGGAGCCCGTGTGAGTCGTGCTCTAGAAGAAGTTTCCAGGTTAGGGCCGGAAGGTGTTCATTCAAATCAATGTACTTTGAAGCTAGTTGAGCAGCTTCGAGGGCACGACCTGGATTTCCCAGCGTCAAGAAAGCCTCGATTGATGCAATAGCGCTCTCAGTTATCGCTGCCGTTTGCCCATATTCGAGTTCAGCTTGGACTTGACGCCAAAGATCAAAAACTATTTTCTCTCCACCTAGCTCACCTAGGAGCTGCAAATATTTCGGTAACACCTCACTTTCTCGAATACTGGAGAAATCCAAGTGTGAATGCACGGTGTCTGCGCTAGTCGGTTCAGTCCCCGGTCCGATAATCACTCTCAGCATCGCAGATTTATCGATACTTGGATCTTCCCAATAACGGCGTTTGAACCCATTCAACAATGAGTCTATGAGGCTAACGCTGATGGACCGTGGTAAAGTGCCATGGCCTCCTTTTGAATAATTCCGTAGGTATACAGCTAACGAGCCGGATGAAAAGTTCTCAGCCGCGTAACTCATACCCAGAAGGAGTAACTGGTGTGTATCTTTGACCCCCAACCGATTTAACCTTGCCAGGAGGCCGTTTATTGTCATAAGTAAATCCTCCCCCTCCACCCTGGTGTGACACTGATCCAAGGCATTTTCAAGGGATTGAATCGACTTCAGCAGGTTAGCCCCTGAACTTTCAGAATTGATAAAAGTCTCAACGTCCGCTTGCAATCTTGAGAGTCCATGGCCTTTCGGAAGCTTGGGTAGTGGTGGTGAGAGGGGATCAATAGTGCTTAGTCTTTTCGGTAGCCGGTTTTTCTGAAATTGAGATTTCAAGCGTTCATCCAGTTTCTTATCAAGCCTATCTCCGGGTCCGCTGCATGTTGTGCCAGTGATGGCGAAGCGAAGGAGCTGTGCTTGGGACGGTTGGAATAAAGACTTTGCCGGCAAACTTTGCGAATAATTCCGTAATGCGACAAATTGTGAAGATAATAACGGGCCGCAACGCTCTGTCACAAGCCGACAGCCATCAAGCGTCAAAGAGCGCATTGAGACAAGAGTCAGCTCACTCCATGTGTTGCTTGCCGGTTGATATCAATTTGATCAGTTCTTCCTTTGGTTCTTCGAGAGAGAAAAGACGTCAGTGATTATGTAATCAACAGTAGTTAACCTTTTAGTTATCTTTTGAACTTCGTCTTTTCTCTTCAACCAAAATCAATCCTTACCTACATCTGTCAAACGCGCCTCCAACCTCTCTCCAGAACCCACTTTGCCGATATTTACAGAATCGTTAAAGCGCACAGCACGCGATAATGCCTACCGAAGCCGAAGCTGCTGATACGGTGAAACATACCGACGGCGCCACAAGGTCACATCAAGAAGATAAAGCCGAGAAACAACTGAATGATCAACATTCATCTAAAAGGTGCCCTACAGAGACTGAGTCCGAGAACTTGATAGCAAACAAGGCAGAAGCCGAAGATGTGACATCGAAGAACCAAGACAGACTTCAGAGATTCAAAGCCCTCCAGGCAAGAGCAGTAAGGAAACCCCTTCTATGGTGTCTCCCATCTCGATAAGTACTAACCGAGTTAACAGAAAACTGCAGTAAAAAGTAATTTGAAGGAGACTGCGGCGGAAGCACATCGTTTTTCTGTCGACCCCAACGCTCTATCTTCCATATCACGCAAGCATGCCTTTGCATCCCACAGCTTGCTAAAAGCGGACATAGAAGCTGCCGGTGAAGATTTCGAACGGAAACGTGCCTGGGACTGGACTGCTGAGGAGTCTGAGAAGTGGGATCGGAGAATGGATAAGAAACAAAAGCACCGGGACAATGTTGCATTTCAGGATTACCGTCAGGATGCCCACAAGAACTATAAGAGACAGCTTCGACGTATGCAGCCAGACCTGGAGGCATATGAAAACGAGAAGGCAGCGGCAGTTCAACGTGCAGCTGCCAATGGCGGGCTTGAAATTGTTGAAGATGAGAATGGAGACATCGTTGCTATTGACAAAAACGGCACATTTTACTCCACTGCTGATTCAACAGACTTCGTGGAGAACAGGCCAGACAGGGCTGCTATTGACAGGCTAGTTGCTGATATGCAGAAGGCGGAGGAAACCCGTCTTAAGAAGCGTAGGGAACGTGGTCAGGGCGATGATGATGCTGACGTCACCTACATCAATGACAAGAACAAGCGTTTCAACCAGAAATTGGCGAGATTTTACAATAAGGTACGCATTCAAGCTGTTAAAGTCGTTGGAGCATATACAAAGAAGTTTCTACTAACCAAATGCCGTGATAGTACACTGCCGAGATTCGTGACAGCTTCGAAAGAGGGACGATGATATAACTAAGCGGATAAGCGATACAGTTCATATCTTACAATACCGACTTTAACAGTCGATAATAGTCTACAGAGGGTAGATATAGGGCCACAGAATGATGCTACGTTCAAAGCATCGTTTTCCTCCAACCTTTGGTTGCTAGGTCTTCAATCTTCTTCGGGCTAACGACGCCATCCACGTCACCGTCATCGATCGACTCAACTACGGCTTCACCAACGACGCTGACTTTGAGAGGCTTTTCTGCCATAGAGCCCAAGGCCGAGAGCTTTCCGCCAGTTAACAAATTAACCTCCGAAGCTATCATACCTCCCACCGCTATGGGCAAAGATAGCCTGCGAGATGAGTCGTACATGAAGGTCGGTCTCACAAATATACTCCGCAGATTTGGAAACATGGACATAATAGAGGATTCAGTTTCTCTCTTGGACAGTATATACCCTTGCGGTATGATCGGAGCTCCAGAGGATGCTGATATATAGACGAAGGTTGGGATATTTTCCTCGGTTGTCTTTTTGGCAAGCGAGATAGCTTTTGAAGCGATGGAATTAGCTATGTTTCATTGATAAATTGGTCAGGGTTCCCTTACCTGATTCCGTATTCATTGTTCGATATGTCATTTGGCTTTTGCCCGGGCCAGTTGTTACGCCCGCAAAGGACCCAACCATCTTCTGTATCCCGGTAATAGGAGACTCCTTTCCCTGTAATATGCCCTTATAGTCTGCCTCCAGAATAATGCCCATCGAATGTACAACAGCAGAGACATTCTTAAGATACTCCCTGTACGAACTGGGGTCTAGGAGATCTGCTTTTGCCCATTCAACCTTTTGTGCCCATCGTGGGGCCTGGCCCGAAGGGCTGACTGTGTCCCATGTCGGTTCTCCGTGACGGCTATGTTGTATATATCAGTTAGCCAGCGAAAGTATAGAAAGCTGCTTCCGAGTCAGCACTTCTTGGTGAAGCACACCTTAATGACACAACTTCCCACCCCCTAGCTACAGCTGATTGACATATTCTCGCTCCTAAGGACACGATATAATGTATTAGACCTAAGTTTCTGCATCATTCTGATACCATGGAATATTGTTTATAGATCAGGGTTATCTTACCAAGGAAGCCGCTCCCTCCAGCTACAACAATTCTCTTAGCCACAGCCGTTGTTGCCGTCATAGTAAATTGCTGAGGTCTCACGCTTCGGCAAAATGAAGTAAAACAAACCCGACTCTCCGAATCCCACGGTTGAGAGCTATTATTGCATTTCTCTAATCTTCCTTTGGAGCTCCCAAAAGAAAAACAGTCCTTGGAGCTCGAGGAGCTTATCGATCGCATAACGTGATCCACGGATAAGCTCGCGGCTTATCTAATCACCCTTTTTTTGGAGCTTCCTGATACCTACTAGAAATATCAGCACAGCCAAACTTGCCAGCATTTCAAACAGCAGAGCTCAGAGGGTATTTAAGTAAAAAATGCCCGCGCCAGCAGGTACGAAGCGCGTTCGGGTAAGTACTTTATGAATCCATGATATATACACATATATTAACTCTAACCGTGGATGTCTAGGGAACCCAGATATTCCGCCCTTTTGGTATGGCAATTTGCGAACGCACCGACCGTCCATCGAATAACTGACCCCGAGGTTGCTAATTTGAAATATCGCGTAACGCAGTATTCGGAAGCGAGGCATATCCCTTTGATCCTAACAAACGACCCGAAGGCGCTGCGGAAGACCACACTCACCAGTGGCGTGTATTCGTTAGAGGCATTAATGGCGAAGACATTTCCTACTGGCTGAAGAAAGTGCAATTCAAGCTGCACGAAACGTATGCGCAATCAGTCCGAACGATAGAAGCACCACCTTTCGAAGTAACCGAGACCGGATGGGGTGAATTTGAGATACAGATTAAGCTATATTTCGTGCCAGAGTCAATGGAAAAACCACAAACGCTATGGCATGGACTGAAACTTCACCCTTACGGCTCTGATGTTGAAGGAAAAAAGGCAAGAAGGGAAACTGTGGTTAGCCAAAACTATGAGGAGGTGTTATTTAATGAACCAGTTGAACAATTTTACGACTTGCTCACTGGCGGGACTGGTGTTGCGCAGCAACAAACGAAAGGAAAGTCGACAAAGGGAAAACAAGCCCAGTTGCCGCCCACGGCGGTAGGTGGAAGAACTGCTGAAATTCCTCATACGGACAGCCCTAAGAATCCCTATAGTCGAAAGTCTGAAGCAAAGGAAATCGGCCGGATAATAGAAGCAACAAAAACAGTGGAAAAGATTTTGAAGGACGAGAAGGCAAAACTTTTAGAGAGAGAAAAAGTTCTTGCGGGTCTCAAAGAGACTGAAGGTACCAGCCTTCTTCAGAAGAAAAGATAAGGTAGGCCCTTGAGGGCTGTTACCTGACTTTTTTTTCAACGCCGGAGGTCTTTGCATCCCATGACCATTTGGATGCTTTCCCTCTCTCCATCGAGAAAACCATTCACCATAACCATGAAGTGGACCCAGAAGTCACATAGTCAGCATAATACTGTCCAAACGACTAACCGTCAGTCACGCATTTGAATGTTAGTCGGCGATGGATACTACGAGAAAGATTTCAAACTCGCCTGTTGAACATCGCATTAGTCAACTTTTCAGTGACAGGGGATTTGTCAAAAAATATCCTCAACTGTGAACAGGTCAACTTTTAAACACATGTTGTGTTTTGTATGTTTTTATATTCAGTAATAGGCGGAATATCTGGCCTGAAGAGCCAGCAAACTGCCTAGTCTGCTCCATTGCGGCTTTGTGGTGCTTTCCCTCCTATCTATCCAATAATGATCTACCCTAAATGTATCATTAGGAAACGCTAGACGCTCTATCTAATAGGAAAGAGGCCTCGATGAAATTAGTAGGCGAGAGCTTTTAGAATCTCGATATAAAAAATAAAAATGTACCAGCTCACTTTAACTTTAACTTCACCCTTCGGTGATCAATTATAGGGGCTTAACCGTCAGGATATAGCATACACTTGACCTAGAAACAATTGGGTTGAACTTTTTGCATGGCACTATCTATAGATATGTAGTTCTCATGACTTTTGAGGTTTGAACAGCTCTGGTTTCATGTTGATTTTGCATAATTTGGCAATACACCCACTGAGTTGCACCAGGGTTTGTAGTCCTTCTAGAATTCGCATGTGGGTAAATCCAATTTCCTTGATGAACTCCAATTTTGAATGTTCAGAGAGATTGGGTATAGTTTTAGTTACTCGGAACATGGTTGATATGATATCATGAGCAGAGTACCCAAGTTCCCTAAGTAACGAGGTCAGCAGGGGACTTTGTATAAGAAATAAAGGCTCATAACACGCACCACAATTCATTTAGAGTATCCAGGGCAATATCAACCTTTCCTTCCCAGCATGCTTTGATCATTGCCTGCACTTTGACTGGATGTGGGCTATCTACAACCCTGAAAACATTATCACCGCTCACAAAGCCAAATCCAGCCCATGTACTCTGCAAATTGTTGATTGCCTGTCGCATATCGCCTTCCGCGCTGAACACCAGTGCAGCGATTCCGTCATCGGAATATTTAACTTTCTCGGCTTCACATATCTGCATCAACCGCTTCACAACCTGGGCATCTGTTAAGCGCGAGTACCTGAGAATTGCACAACGAGATTGTAGAGGTTCAATAATCTTATTAGATTGATTGCATGCAAATGCAAACCGAGTTGTAGTCGAGAATATCTCCATAGTACGTCGAAGGGCTTGCTGAGCGCCAGATGTCATACTAATAAGACGTCAGGTACAAGAGCTTCTGCATGCAAGTAATACTTTTTCATGACATCAGTATTTCAGCTCACCTGTCTGCTTCATCAAGAATGACAAGCTTATGTCTGCCAGGGGGTAATGTGACTTTCTTCTGTGCAAATCCTTTTATTCTGTTACGAACAACATCGATACCTGTGCCATTAATTAACCATATAGAACAAATTCAGAGCATAGTTTAGCAAACCTCGTTCATCACTGGCATTAAGCTCTAGTACGGCCTCCTTATATGTATCGCCTAACAATTGTCTCGCTAAGCAGAGAATCGAGGTTGTCTTTCCTATTCCAGGCATGCCAGAAATAATGACATGGGGCATGTTTCCATCGCGAGCGATAATCTTTAGCCGCTCTATCGTTTCAGTATTACCCACAACATCGTCGAGAAAAATTGGTCGATATTTTTCAACCCTATCAACGCCCGCAACCCGTCAGCCATTCTATCACAGCTTTTCGTCATTTCCCTTGAAACTCCTTTCATGAGCTCCCTTACCAGGGTAATTCATAATTGACCGGAGCACCTGAAAGGTCGGCGCGAGCAATTTTATTGGCAGCTGCAGTAGATGATTCTGCGTGTGCCATGTTCGAAATATACAACCTAGTATCTTGTGTATCCAGCGTCGTCTTGTGCCTAGATTGGAGTCGAGTTCAATTTAGAATTGAGCAAACGCGATGTTCGCGTTTAAGCTTATCGTGGATGGGCTTCCTTATCACCACGTGATACTGTCTGTAATTATGTAATCTCGACCCTTCCGAAGGCCGAGCGAGCGTGTCCGCGGCGGCGCCCCGATCGAACCATAGCAATCGGAAGCCTCTCGGGGGACCTTGAGCGGAAAGCCGCCTTCATCCCCGGGCCAGCTTCAATGCACGAATTAATTGCGACCTTCTCGTACTACGAACCACTCCGCTCGTTTTCCCGCCGCCGACAATAAATTCGCTAAATCGCAGTCGAAAGAGACGCGCACGTGGCGCCCCATGGCCCCGGCCCTAGTCCTAAAGAGGTAGCTCTCTTCCTCTCTGCTCTTCCTCTTTCTCTTCCAGCTACGCTCAGCATGCGTGTTACATCAAGGCTAGCTCGGGGCTTCAATATGGGGAGAGTGGCATCCCTGTATGGCGTGCGTGTGTATATATATAGCTGAATACTTCCCTCCCTGGAATGGTCGTCTCGGTTGTTTTGTCTTGTTGGTATTCACTATAACGTTGGTTTACGCCCAAGTTGGAGGCTATACAAGACTGTTTTTAAACTTGACGGCAGCTGGCACTGATACAATGCCGGGCATCAAATCACCACTAGCACTTCTCGCACTGCTTGGGGTCCAGCAAGCATTAGCCGTGGACGGTTCATGGCATGCTCCCAATGCTACCGACATCAACAACCTTGGCAAGGTCTTGAATAGCAACGGAGTTTATGGCTTCATCTTCGATTCCTCTCAAACACCAGACAAGGAATATGGCAAATACAATTGGTGTAATATGCCACACGTCCGCCCCAGAGAATACCCAAAAGCCCCAAAGAAATACAAGTTGCAATATGTAGAAGTTGTATGTCTCCAGGAAAGCATATTAACGTTGATGGTAGCTAAAATAGTTCATAGATACACCGACACCATAAGCGTACTCCTTATCAATCCAATACATTCCCTCAAGAATCTTACCGCTGGGACTGTGACGACGAAGGCTTGTTTTACTACGGTGAACCAAAGCAGGGCCGAAACAGTGCCAAATCCTATTGGAAGGGTTATCAGAACCCAATAAATCCCTTCCAGCCTTCGGGATTCAAAGGATCATGCAGCTTTCCCCAGATTTCAAAGGAAGGACTCGATGATTCGTGGCAGCATGGGCGTGACTTATTTGCAGTTTACCATAAGCTCCTACATTTTCTCCCGCCCCAATTGGACCAAAGCAAAGTCTCGTTTCGTGTGACCAACAACATGATCACTAGCCAAGTTGCAGGAATGCTTATCAATGGAATGTACGGCATCAAAGGAGATGTACCTCTCAGCGTTGAGGTATGTTACCAATCCTATAGGCACTCTCAGTTTGTGATCGGAGCTAATAATATCTTTAAAGTCCCCACAAACGGACTCACTTGAACCTAAATATTCTTGTCCAAAATCGAGTGCTCTCTTTTCAGGTGCGAAGGATGCTCCCAACACACCATGGGCTGACCATCTAGCCCGTACAAAGGAGTTTGTGGCAGAGTTAGATGCTATTTCTGGCGTCTCTCCATCCGACTCCGGATGGCACTCCAGTTTCGACCACTATTTTGATAATTTGTCGGCACGTCTCTGTCATGCCAAGCCGTTGCCGTGCAATATCAAAGACATCTCGAGATGTATTACTCGGACTCAGGCTGATAAGGTATTTCGACTGGGCCAGTTCGAGTATTCTTACATGTATCGCGACTCCAAAAGCTCTCTCCCTGCTAGCACATCTAGCTTAGGTGTCTGGATCGCAGAACTTGCTCAGCATCTCCATGACCAGGTAGCTGGAAAGGATGGGAAGATGCTCTATAGACACAACGTCGCCCATGATGGAAGTGTTTCCAGGCTTCTATCGATTCTCCAGCTGGATGTTATGGTTTGGCCCGGCATGGGCTCCGAGATTGTGTTCGAACTCTACTCCAAGAAAAAGACTACGTGGGGCCGTGAGAAGGAGTACTTTGTACGAGTTTTGTTCAGTGGCCAAGTCATGCGCAGCTCTCACCCGGAACTTGGCTTATTGGATATGGTCCCCGTCACAACCCTGTTGTCATATTTTGATGGCCTCGTTGGTGAAAAGGCAAGGTTGGTGCCTGGGCTTTGTGGGAATTAAGGTTTCCCCAGTGTTATTACATCTAGTATTTGCCCGCCCTATAACTTGGGTGAAATTATACTGTTCATAGTTGTCATGTCTATTTATATCCTTCTATTAATATTTTTAACACTTTTTCATGGACAAAAGAATGTTGAATAATCACCTTTATATACGACGGAGAAAGGGGTTGTTGTTGACCGGCAAAACCTTTCGGCTCTCGGCAAACTTGCCGACACCTCACCTGCCCCCTCGGCATTATTACGATCAGCCGTATACCCACCCATGATTTGGTATGGACGGCTTTCATTTGGCCCTTGTCGAACTCTTGTTGATAACAGTAATTAGCATTATGGTCTTCGGGGCTTCTGCTCTTTCCAAGCCTCTCTTATCTTATTTTTTTTATTTTTTTTTATTTTTTATTTTTTTACAATAACTAGGAGGCAGTACGAATTATTCCGGCTATGAACGACATGGAGAGAATGGAACTCCGAACACGAATATGAACATCCAGTGATTGGTTCCCTACAAGGGTACAAGAATCCGTACGGAGTAGTTTGTTCATTAACATGTTTCATCCAAAATATTAAATGTGAGTGGAGAAGTCTCCGACTTCACCGCCTCGTACCAGGTATTGCATTCAAGTCATTTAGTTACTGTAGGTGCCGTAGCCGTGATTATATATACCTGGTCTTCCAAAGGACCAGATACGAAATAACCACAGAGAGCGGAACCAGAAAAGACCAACGCTGAAGATATGGGTGCAACATTTTGTGACCGAGACGCGTTGCGTACTAGGTTTTCCAAGGCGATGTCGGATATGTATAAAAGTGAAGTGCCTTCATATGCTGACTTGATCGATATTGTGACTGAAGTCAACGCAAGATTGGCATCTCAAGATCAATCGAACACAAGAGTGGGAACCAGTGGTCCAGATACCAAAGATATTGACAGACTCACGCTCGAGCGACATGGAGCAATTCGCCTTGGGACATCTTTTGAACTTTCAACGATTAGGCGATTATTCTCTCAGTTTGGCATGTATCCTGTGGGATACTATGACCTTAGCGTCGCCGGATTGCCTTTACATGCAACTGCATTCAGACCCATCGATGCCGAGGCGCTCGAGAAGAACCCATTTCGAGTTTTCACGACACTTCTGAGGCCCGACTTGCTAAGAAAAGAAGCTCGAGATCTGTCCCAGGCCATACTGAGAAAACGAAGGATTTTCTCCAGTCGTCTCCTAGACCTTCTTGATGAGGCGGAAATAAAAGGGGGAATTGTACCTGACCTGGTGGACGAGTTTATCGAGGAGACACTGGAAGTATTTCGTTGGCATGAAACTGCTGTAACAAGTCATGACGAATATTTGCAGCTCAGGGATGAACACCCCCTTCTAGCAGACATTGCATCCTTCCGAAGTGCTCATATCAACCATCTCACACCCAGGACTCTGGATATTGATCAGGCACAAGTAGCCATGAAGTTACGAGGGTTGGAAGTCAAGGAAAGGATAGAAGGTCCCCCGCCTCGGAAAAATGGGATACTTCTCAGGCAAACAAGCTTTAAAGCAATCCATGAGAAAGTATACTTCCATTCCTCTGAGAATGGAATGGTGCAAGGTATTCATACCGCAAGATTTGGCGAGATTGAACAACGGGGTGCCGCGTTGACTTATAAGGGTCGGCAGCTGTACGACATTCTTCTCACGGAAGTCAATGATAGGACAAGAGGTTTGGAACTTGGAGCACCGGCCTATGACCAAGTTCTAGCAGATGTATTTGCCGCATTTCCGGATGATAAAGATATCCTTCGAGATCAGGAACTTATATTCTGCTACTATAAGCCAACCAGTAAAGCACTCGCACTTCTATCAGAAAAAAGTGCTGTTTTTCCAACTTCGATAGATGGGTTGCTGGGCCAAGGGCTTGTGAAATTCAAGCCGGTGACCTATGAAGATTTCCTCCCTTTTTCTGCCGCTGGGATATTCCGCTCAAACCTTGGTGAAACTGGCGGTGAAAATCCGACTATAAAATCAGAACAAGACAAAAGGGGATTTGAAGAATGTCTGGGTGCCAAAACGCAGGATAGCATGAAGCTATATTCGGAAATCCAGCGGAAAAGTTTGGAATACTGCTTACATCTTTTCAATCTCAAAGACACGGGCTCATAGATTGTGATGAAAGTTGAGTCTCGCAAGTAACTTTTCAAGGAATAATAGCTAAGTAGTTAGCAAATCCAACTTCTAATTATAAGGGATAGTGTTTCTGCGTAGTTAGGAGTCCCAGTCATAGGCAACAAACGGGCTGCGCTCTTGCAGTAATTCCAGGCTTATCAGCTTTGGATATATATGTGTTTTAACAAGTTGAATGTAGTCGCAAAGCACCCCGAGTCAGAATAACTCGTTAGGTAGTTAATTAAAGCGGCGCCAACTTATTTCCGAAGCTGGCTTCGCTCCCGCGCAAGAACTGAAAGCGGCCATGAAGGTTAATCGCATATCAAAACCAACACTTCAATGAGTTGCTAGCACAACGCGACCTGACCACCTAGTTCTTCTATTTTATTCTCAGGCCTTCGAAAGACAGCACCTCTTATTTCTCCCTAGCTTTATTACGAATATTCGACATCGCATTTTTAGATTGCCCACGAGAAACATGCGCCCTTCATGACATCACGGCAGCGACACAGACGCATCCCCTCCGGGGGTAGCGCTACCACAACACAAACTACCGCGTCAAATGCGTCCACGACGGTGCAGGCGCCAAACTCCACAAGAACTGGATCTTCCCAACCTACATCTACGCTTCCATCAGTGCGCAGGACTCTATTCAATTCTGGAACCAATTCCCGGAGCCAGCAGTTAGCATCCAACTCGGTGTCTGTTACATCCTCAGATTATGGTTCTGTCATACCAATGGACACCAATACAGGCCTGAGTGGAAACTCAAACCCGTTTGGTGGAAGCAATATATCGAAATCAGTACCTAAGTCTGGCACGTCTCTATCGCCTAGTCCTGATAACGGTGATATTGTCCCTCGTGACAAGAATGGATGCTACAAGCTGGATATCCCTATCCTACCGCCAGCAGTGTTTGAAGCAGCTGGCGGTGGCGATTCAATGGAAGGCATAGAGCACTCTGGAGGTGCTGAGATACCAGTTGAAGAGGGAGGAGAATTGGCTGGGAGGGACAAAGAAAGTATGCTTCATCTCTCTTCATTTATTGCACTTGGAGTCAGTTCTAGGTATAAAAGCCTATTTCTAACAAAGGAGACAGAGATTGATGCAAGCTTTGTTGAGATGATGCGTCATAATAGGAGTAGGCATATTCATGGCGAGCCATCTGGTATTGACCATCACTTTCTGCTTTTTGTCTTCCTGGAAATAAAACCAGTATTATTAGAACACCTGCTAACGATAACCCTAGAAGTGTTCCTATTAGTTCAGCAAAACCTCAGGGACAGAGTATTAGAGCTCGAAGAGGATAATTGGATGTTCGAAGCTGAGGAAGAAGTCAAACTATAGCCGCCAAATGCTTGCTTGGTTTCTTTACAGAAAGAATCCTGGCCTACAACAATCATCTGCCCGGACTACCAAATTCTTATCCATGGAGGGCTAGTATTGTCTATAATTCGTACCTAAGAGCCTAATCTAGGTCGAGGGACGGTGGAGCCTCCACTCTCTTAGAGGCCTTGGGTTGCTCGTTCGATTTCGACCGGCTGGATGGCCCTCCGAAAAACATCCCCATCATATCCATCAACGGGTTTGACTGTTTTGGTATTTTTATACCAAAATATAGCTCTCCGATGTGGGCCAAAGCATGGTCCCATTCACCTGCCTCTTGAATATGGGACTGATACTGCTTGAGAAGCTGCCTGAATAAATCAGGAGTGCCGCGCTGGATTGCGAGCAGGAGTAGGTTTGTGAAGTTAAGCAGAGGTAGAGAGGGGTATACACGAACATCGTTCTGCTGGCTGCTTACTTCCTGAACACCGAGGGACTTACCAGGCTCCGATGTGGAAAGGAGCTGTGTAAATACCACGAAGGCCTTATTCGCGTTCAGAATGTTGCCAGTGAGAAGATAAGGGAAGACAGCGCGGCAGCAGTATATCCCGGCTGTGTGCTGCTCGTCATATGTGTACCACTTATACTCTAATTTTGCTAGAGTGTCGGCGGATTCAACAGTCCCGAAAGCGAGATGTTTCTCGGCGTCGTATGGTTCATTTTCTAACATCCGCCCTGGATTAGACTCCAACCCTAAGAATCAAACTCGTCAAGACGTGATAAACATACCTTGTGCATAGGCAGATCCAATAGAGTGGTGCAAATCCGAGTCACCCCTTTCTAACTCCCCAAATTTTGAACTCCAGGAAATAATTTCGTTTATATATCTCTTCCTAGTTGGCTCCTCTGGTGGGAATTCCCGAAGCAATTCAATGAGTCGTTCTAAGGAAAGATTAGTATTATTCCAGGAAAGAATTCAGCAGTGGAAGGAAAGTCTCGATGGCCGTACGTTTTCTCTTTTTTCCGACTTCATCATCCGCAACCTCCCACCCCGCCTTGTTGTAAACTTCCAATACCAGCATGATTGCTAGATCTCCACCACTTGCAGACGCGCCCTGCTGAGCCCCAGCTTGTAGCAGTGCCTTAGCACCCTCGGATAGTATATTTGCAGCTGCATCGTAGTTGGACTGTTTTATATATCGTGCTGCGATCACACGGAGCTGCTGGTGGGATTCGTAGTAAGCTCCGGAGGCAATCCTATTGCAAGCACAATGATAATTAGAAGTGGCATACAAAATCTTAAATGAACCAAGGGTATTAAACGATTAGTGACTTGAGGCTTCAGCCTTACTTCTCTTGCTGCCGGGCAATGGTTTTCTCAATTCGAGAGGTCATGATAACCACCACTCTGCTGTGGCCTTCTGGATGTGGGGTAACTAGCTGCTATGGGAGAGAAGCGTATGTGAAATATATTTAGGAATAAGCCACAGGTGTAGAATCGAGCTATTATTGTAAAACAAACTATTATTATAGAAGAGTTAGAAAGAGTCTGGACGTGCAATATATGTCTTTCTCTTTTTCGAGATGCAAGAGGGAAAGCATCCAAAGAAGAGTGTCGTCAACACAGCCAATCAGAGAGCGTTCTTGGTTATCTAGCACCTAGGCAAGCTCTCCGTCACAACACTAACAAGCATCCTTTTACGTCTAACTACCTACCAATAACAACTGACTACCTAAATTATTGTTGACGCTGATATCCAAGACTCCATTTATATATTGATACCACAAACTAGTTATTTTGAGCCGATTCGAATTAACCTAGTTCACAACTGATTAGTTATAGCCTGCTTAACGTCTCCTGCATGACTATCAAATATAACTAGGAAAACGACGGCGCTCCTTAACTAACTAGATAGGACTATTCAGAATAACCAAGTGCCTGCTATTATCCATGGGCTGTAATATACCACCTGTCTTGCACTACCAGCCAGAACTAACATGCTCCATAGTTGTTTAAACATGGCTGCTATCTTTGAGACCCTGCCTGTCGAGAAATTCTGTGGAATATCGGAACCCCTAAAGCGGCCAAGGGTGGGATTATACGCAGTAACTGGTTGTGTACAGCTGATTTAGGCTAACCAGAAGCCTCTGTTATAAATATCCAGGAAATCGCTTGTTTTTCTTATGACGAATGGCACCGTTTTCGACTTGATGACTCTGGCCTCCGTTACTACTATCCTCCAAAATTACCGGTAGACCTAAAGGCTGGCTTTGACACCTTTATACAACGTGATGAATCGGAAGATAAGCATCTCAATGCGCTCCTTGACACCATTATTGCGACCGAAAAGGACAAAGGGAGGAAATATGATATGGACTTTGTTACATGGAGAGGAATGATGACCAAGGCGAGTCCATATTTTATTCACCAGCGGTGATGCATCCGGATGCTAATGACCCCATTCTAAAGATATTCACCGCTCCTTATGATACTATGAACGGGTAATAAAACACTACCTCGTTCGGGAACCTGATACCTGAATACTAATTTATCATTGGGTTTTCTCATTCAGATTTGAGATGAATGCCACATGTTTTCAAGTGTGCTCCCCCTTTTCCTCTAAATTTCAAAGATATACTGACATCTTCGCCTTTCCAAAGGGCCAAATGTGAGACTCTGCTCTATCTAACCATTACCACTAGCGGTGCGCTCACCAATGACCCTCTTGATATGTTAGATTTATTGAAGAGTCTCACTCTTACCACCTTGAGCAACTTAAAGAACAGTCAAATAGAAGAGTGCGCCCAGGAACTCATTCATCTGATATGATGTCATATTGGGGTATGTCCCTTGACTTGACCGAAAACAACTGTTGCCTTCTACTTACTTATTCTTTTGAAACCAGGTTATAAGTTCGAGACCGTCTCCATACTCTCGGAGCCATGGGACGCGGTAAGTAGAGAGACAATCGAAGCTAGGGAAAGTGACGTTGTGAATAATAATCCACAATATTGCTCGCTTGTCCGCACGGGAATTGGAAATATAAGGATGCTTCTTGCTGGAGAGGTCGATGCAGGTATGCCGCCATCTAAACCCAAACTCAAGGAGCTGAATATTCACATAGGTATTCCTGTGCCAAAGTGTGGGACTGCAAGCCCGACAAGAAAGACGACCCTATCAATTGGGTAGAACTCAAGACATCTGCAACAATACGACATGCAAACGACGCTATTTATTTTGAGCGCAAGCTTCTCAAATTCTGGGTCCAATCATTTCTTCTCGGAGTTCCAAAAATAATTGTCGGCCGGCGTGACCAAGATGGTTATCTCCTAACAATTGAAGAGTATACTACGGATGAGATTCCCAGTATTCCCAAAAGAGGGGCAAATACATGGGATGCAAACACGTGTATTAATTTTGCCTCCCAGTTTCTGACTTGTATGTTATAGAGTCAGCAATCTTCTTCTTGAAATCGTACGGCTAATCCGGGCAACGTACCATTCAGGGCTGAAGACAATCGTGAACTCGGAAGGGGTTTGGAAAATTCGAAAGGCTGCCAAGTCTGGTCAGATCGAAGTGCTTAAAACCCAAGAAACTGGCCATGGAAATATCCTAACCCCTGAATTTGTCGAATGGAGGTCGCAAGGGTAGGCCACAGCAAGCTTGCTTTGAAACAAGCTACCGTTTAGCCTTCATCTATTAAATGCAGTTGGCGTCATTAAGCGACCTCTACTTTGACCACAAGTAATTATGCTTCCAGACAAGTGTCACGATTGTTCTCCTCGGACTGCTCTCGCAATTTCTGGAAATATTCGTCTCGGCGCCGTCTATTTTCAGCAGATTTTACTGCTCTCTTGTGTCTCCTCCCTTTCATATGGATTTCCCAGGTATCTGCTCCGGCAATCGTAGCATTGCAGGTCGAGCATATCCTCATCTGAGGAATGTCATCAACTTCAAAGCGAGCAGGTGCATTCGCAGATTCAAAGAATTCTTTTGCAACCGCCGACACCTCTTTGGGATGCGGGAGAGAGACTCCAGAAAGGAACTTTGAGGCGATTTCTTCGGCAGGCTGGCGTACAACAGTGTCCCAATCTTCCACATTCGTTGAATCAGCAATATAAAGACGGTCTGTCATCCCAGAAGTGCCTAAAGCCTTCCACAATTTATTTCTAATCCATCTTGTTTGATGTTTAGCATATATTTTTGTGGCAGCCTGAATTGATTCAATGCACTCCTCCTTCACTTTATCAAGTTCGCTATTTGGTTCCTCCTTTGCTGTGAGCAGTTCGTTAATGTACGGCTCCAGTTCCTTGAACCCAATTGACATCCAAACTCCGCGAGTTCGATCGACTTCAACTCCCTCCGAGGCTTTGTCCTGTAAATATTTGAACATTCTCTGGGCTTCCTGCAATAGGCCTTGATCTATCATTTCGTGCACACGCTTGTCAAGTCGCTTCCGTAATTCCTCCTTTTCAGTATGGGCCCAAAAAACAAGAAGAGAAAATCTCGCCTGGCCTAGCTGAGTGGCTGGATCCTCGAACTCACCGGCCTCGCAGGAATCGTCATCCTGCAGCGCTGCCTGTCTAATCTTCTTTTTCTGTTCTTCATATATATCTGAAGCTCGCCGTCCAGTCTGTAAATAGATCTCTAGGGACCGTCGCACCTTTCTCTTCTCGTTTGGATGCCACCGATTTGCCATTATGGGGTCCACTTCTTTTAATTTTTCATAGACCTCCTCAGGGGAAGCATTCAGTATCGAAAAGTCCACACGCTCCTCAGACTCTGCCTTCGAAACTTCGTAATTTGGAAGTCCTTCCGATGGCTTGAACATCTGGCTATTCGGATTCCCCTCGCCTTCATCAAGTAAGGGTTCATGGAAGAGAACGGATTGCGTATAGTAGTGTGTCCCGCCAACCAAAATAGGAACTTTACCCCTTGACCTAATCTCATCGATGATCTTTAGACTCTCCTTCTTGAATACTCCAACCCTCCAAGGGTCCTGATCCAGGTCTACACATCCGATCAAATGGTGTGGGATACCATGTCGCTCTTCAATGGGTATTTGGTTGGTGGTTATCGGAAGGCCCTTGTACATCTGCATAGCATCTGCACTGATTATTTCTCCATTGACTCGGACAGCAAGGTCAACAGCTAACTATGTAAAGTCTTTAGTACATGCTATCACTCTAAGGCATATAACAGTTATACAGTATTCTTTAGCTACTCACTTTGGACTTTCCCGTCCCTGTAGCGCCAACCACAGCAATTAAAGGATTCATAGTCGAATTTGTCTTTGCCATAAGTGATCGAGTAAATCTGAACATATTCTTATGTGTTACATGTCCTCGGTAACCGATAAATTCATGCTCTATTCTGAAAATGGTTTGCAATCATTTGATGTTCAATGCGAAAGGAGGAAGAAAAAGTTCCTCACGAGAACTTGTAATTTACATGTGTATGATCTCGTATAAATTAAGTTGTAGGTAGTGCAACTATACATATTTTCTTACACCAATTACAATACTTACACGGAATCAATACACAGATTTGAGATATCAATGACAGATGCTCTCCCGTCCAATTTGATAAACCTCCATAGAAGACTTCGCACTATAGGGTCTTACCAAAGATTGTATTCATATCCTCAAAGGAGCATTTACACTCCCCGCCCCCCGCATGGCATTGACGAAGCCGAATTTTCACACACATTGATATCCGAGAGCCGGTTATAGAACTTGGAGATCTTAACGTGTCCCTCATAACTATCAACTTTTCAGCCCAGCAAATGCTTTCCTCTAGCACCCTTTTGGACATGTTGAAATAAACCCAATGCGAAACAGCACAGAGACACCACCAACTAGTGAGCGCTTTGACATGGATCGTTTGAAACACTCGGTGATTATAAATCTCTTCACGTGGTTTTGCGTCTAGGTCGGGGTCTGCAAGGGAAGTTTCTCAAGGACTTTGAGAGAGACAGAAAATTATATAAAAGCATCAAAGACATCCTCCCCTTGACTGACCAACCTCGGAGGAAGCAATACACCCTCTGTTGTTACTGTCCATCAGGAACTAGGTATATCCCTGCCAGCTGGCGTTCTTTTCATTGGAAGTAGTTATCTACAGCACATTCAACCCTCCCAATGGCGTCCTCCGACAACACCCCAAGTACCGATATAAATATCAATAACCTGAGCTACAAGTTCCCCGATGGCTCGACAGGACTGTCAGATATCACTATCGACCTCCCTCAGAACAGTCGAACACTCTTGATTGGCGGTAAAGCAGACTCCATCCCTCATCCTTGTTATACCACTTACCCTCCATGAACCACCATCCTCACTCCGCGATTTCACATTAATTGCCTTTTCTAAACTGTCTCTGCTCTGTCTTTAATTCTCTCTATCCAGCCAATGGTGCCGGAAAAAGTACGCTCCTCAGGCTCCTTTCAGGCAAACGCCTTGCACCAAACGGTTCCATCGTCATTGGTGGAGTTGACCCGTTCAAAGAAGGCCTCGAAGGCGTCACGTACCTAGGAACCGAATGGGTTCTCAACCCTATCGTTCGAACCGATATCGATGTGCCGACTTTACTTGCGTCTGTGGGTGGAGATTACTATACGGAACGAAGAGATGAGCTAGTTGATATCCTTGACATCGACATGTCATGGCACATGCATGCTGTGTCTGATGGAGAGAGACGACGTGTGCAGCTTGCCATGGGCCTACTGAGGCCCTGGAACCTCCTCCTGCTAGACGAAATCACTGTTGACCTGGACCTACTTAGCCGAAGCAACTTCTTAGATTTTTTGAAACGAGAAACTGAAAGGAGGCCTTGCACTATTGTCTATGCTACCCATATTCTGGACAACCTCGCTCAATGGCCTACACACCTAGTACATATGCACATGGGCCATGTAAGGGACTGGGGTTCTATGGAGAAGTTCTATAGCAACCGTCCTCGCATGTCGGAGAACAGTCAGCTTGGCGAACTGGTGCTGGAATGGCTAAGGAAGGACATGAAGGAGCGTGGTCCTCGACCCGGAAGACCAGCGGAGGCGAAGGAGGACATCAGAGATGAATGAGTAGCAGGCATACGTCCAGTTCATTGAATGTGATACTTGCGTATCGAGATAACCTATCACGTTAACCCTTAACGGTGAGCTAGATTTTCTTATTTTCTGCTGTTAATGCCCTTGGGTGGTTGCATTTGAGCATAGGCGCGGCCTCAACGCCATAGACAATAAACACTGTTTGCCCTTTGTGTTGGAATTTGGTCTTTTAGAACCTTGTCTCGTTTTTTTTATTATTATTTTTTTTTTTTTTTTTGGCCGTTCACTATTGTAACTAGATAGTTACCCTCTTTTGTACAGGGACCTACCTATTTTGGCGGAAGACTATCAATATTATATAGACGAATTGAAGAATCTTCACTGGCAACAGCAAGCTGGTATCCGGGTTTTCTGCCAGTTGCAGTCACATCCTCTCCATGAACTTCTACCAGTCCCTTTACTGGCCTCCAGGCTATTTGAGTAACAGATTTTGACGGGCACTCGGTTTGTGGAATCACGAGCATCTCTCCTGCCTCCAAACTCTCTACCTGGACCCTGCCGACAAATATCCGACCCGAGTCATCTCCAATAGCGATGTAGAGTCCACCATGCACCGATATAGGCAGGAAATCGACAGCAGTAATTGGGTAGGAGAAAGGGATTGTGGTTTTGGCAGTAAATGTGTCATCCTCCTTGAGCCATATCTTAACGGACTTGTCACGGCCACCCGTAGCAAATACCGTAGCTGTTGGATGTGGTGCCCAGCTCGCACTCAGTATCATTCTTGAATGGCCTTTCGGGTTGGAAGCAAGCAATTTAAACTGTAATTTGTTGACCGAGTCTCGTTCAAAAACCGCCCATTGCCGATCACGCCCAACACTGAGCAGATATTTGTCATCCGCAGAAAATCGCAATGAGGTTATCGTCAATGAATGGGCAGTTAACGGAGGCCGTACTTCATTCCATGTTGAAGTGTCATATAAACGAATGACTGCATGGTCGATAGAACTAGCCTTGCATGCAGTAGCGATGACTGATAGGTCATGACTTGCAGTGACTGCTGATATTTCGTATCCATGGCCATATAGTTTCTCATGCTCCGGCCAAAGTGTATGTCTGGCGAGATGGTCCTCTAGCGGTGGATGGTCAAACTCCAGGTTATATACTTCTGGCTGCACCGTTTGCTGTTCCCCTTGGTCGCCGGCTTCGTTTGCTCCCTCGTCATCGCCAACCTCTTCGTCCATTGCTTTATTAGACAGCCCTAGAACTGGAATACTTGCAGCATCAGGCATGTCCTCGTCGCTTTTCGGGTTAGCTAGTCCACTTAGCCGTGTAAGTAAATTAGCCACAGCCCTGGTTTCATTAAAGACTCGTAAAAGCTTTTCATCGGCACCCGACACAAATCTAGATGGGCCTAGTGGTGCAAGGCAGTTGAGGTCATAGCCATGTATTTGAGGCCGTGAAAACTCATGCCATGAGTGATGGTTGCCCTTCTTCCACTCAGCATATAATCTCGTTGTTTGGTCTCCACTAGTAGACAAAAGATACCCTCCGTTGGTCTCCCAAGCAATATCACAAACTGCTCTAACGTGTCCTGTGATTCCTGGTATAGGAAGCCATACATCTGCCGCAGTATCATGTCTCCAGAATCTCCAACTGCCTGTCCTGCCTAGGCACACAACAACATCCCCGCATGGTGACCAAAGACCAACCCAAAAGCCACCAGCACTACCGGTAGCCGTGGTAGAGCCTTTAAGAGAGCTAATTTCTCCCATTCTCGATAAAGAAAACCAGACGCCAGTTACGGGGTCCTGCTCCCAGATGACCAAAGAGTTATCTGCGGAAGCAGATAATAACTGTTGCTGGAGAGGGTTTGGGTGCCATGCTACAGTATAAACCCAGTCTTCATGGCCAAAAAGAAGAGCTTCAAATGTTATTGAATATTTGGCACCATTCAAGTCAAACTTATGCGCCTTTGGAGTTAAAGTCGCCTGCTCCACTCCAGCTAACAATTGGTCTTCCACATTCTGAGGCGTATTTGAAGTAGTGCCTTCTCCTAGGCTCACTTTCCAAAGGCGAATGTATTTATCCTGGCTGCATGAAGCAAGAAGGAAGTCCTGAGAGTTTGTAGGCCCATCTTCACCGGTAGGGCTATCCTTGACAGGTGAAAACGCAAGAGAACGGATCCAGCTTTCATGTCCAGTTAGAGTAGTACTCGGCTCAAACTTGAGGCCATTGGTATCCTTCGCAGAATATATCTGGACTGTAGCCCTAGTGCCTCCAACTGCAAGCACCATTCCATCTGACTTGGCTCCCGAATTTTGGCGAGGTATGAGTTTTAGAGCCATAGCAAGAGGGAAATATCGAGGCTTTAACGAAATGCTCTGCAGTAGTTGGCATTTTATCTCATCACTCTCCTCAGTTAAACTCCAGACTTTCACAGTGCCATCCGCAGCCCCAGAGACAAAATTATTTGACCCGCAAGCGACCTCAATGCAATTCAGCGACCCTTCATGATACCCCTCCACGACTGCCGCTTGTACAAACTTCGGCAGACTGGAGGTATCTGGTTTCCATATTCGTATAGTATGGTCACTACTGCCCGTAAGAAGTAGTGTCGACCCGCTGAAGGGAGATGTGTAAAATTTGACAGCGTTGACTCTGTCAGTATGACCCACTAACAGTGTGTATACACCTGTGCCATTTTTGTCCTGTAGTGCAAATCATTGGTTAGATTTTCAGCCAATACATTCCAGAGAGGAAGTAATTGAACTCTTACCAAGGGGTTCCAAATGGCAACATTGTTGTTCGCACCGAAGGCTAACAAACCGGACCCATGGTGCCAATCTGCTGCCGCGGGATTCCTGTTGCCCCCGACACTGATGAAGTCTGTGGTGATGGACACCATGGATGGCAAAGTCATTGAGTCTAGCTTTGAATAATGCCAAATACCACCCGTCCGGCAGGCTACTCTTCAAGCGAGGATGTTGTTCCTTTTATCGTTCATTATTTGCTAAGGTGTTAAAGTTAGGTAACGAGAGTGTGAACTTGCGCAAACAACCTTCGTAGTCTTATCGATAAGAGATTTTCTCCCTCCCCACCTTAATATGTTAATGACATTGTAGAAACTGCTACAACACGCATTTGGAGGCGTATTTTACGTCAAGGAGAACTACATCCTCTAGCCTGCTTGATTAAATATGGGCTCGGTTATAGCTGGTACACCCGATGATACCAAGGGTAATGAGACCCTTGATATCACGGTAGAGTTCACGTTCGTCCCCCAGGAAGAATTTTAACGGAGCAATAGAACTAATTATACAATCGCTTTCAGAGGAGGCCTTGAGATGTTATTCGCCAATGAAAGGGTTCATAAGATTGCACTGCCGTCCAGGGACCCAAGCGGTTCTGCTGCGAATATCAGCTTCTTAGTCAAATACTTAATCGAAAACGTGATGAAAGACCCGAGAAAAGAGCTATTCGTGGTTGATGATGCAGTGTCAGTATACGGTTTTGCCATTACTGGAAGTTGGAAGGCCGATATTATTGAAATGAGGCTAACATCGTTAATTCAGACGACCTGGAATATTGGTATTGATCAATGACGCCGACTGGGAGCTGGAAGGAGAAGACGCCTATGAGATTTCGAAGGGTGATAACATTCTATTCGTATCTACACTCCATGGAGGCTAGATACTAGCACGCAGAGTCTTGTTCAATAACAACATCATAAGAACAGTTTCGTCATCAATAAAGGCATAACGGGGAACAGAAAGAGTGAATCATTATCTCATTCACGGTCTAGTTCATAAGCGGAATGCGAACTGAAGACCCGTCAGACGACATCTTCAGCCTGGTGCTGGGATATCTTTTCTGGATCTCTGGGTGTCCTAAATCCGAGCTGTGGAGTTGCACCCCTTTCAAAAGAGGAGCCATCCAGTCCACCACCAGGCATTGGTGAAATGATACCACTTGGTGGGACGTGAATCTTAATGTCCTCCGGTGAACCTGGAACAATTTCTGGTGGAAGATCTGGTATGTGAATACGTTTTGCCTGATTATTATAGCTGGCAGGGATTATCTATAATGCTGTCAGCGCTATACCTCATGAATATATATATAATTAAACATGTCTATAATCACCTCAATTATCTGGTCGCGTGGGAAGGACAGAAACGGGATATCTGTAGAGTTACACGCCATTAAATACCCATACAGCACTCTCAAAACGCCTTCATGTGCAATGATAAGCAGATCGTTTTGTTCACGTTCAAGCTCAAGGATGACAGGCTCAAGGCGCACGGCCAAGTCGTGATATGACTATAATTGTGTTAATATCAATAGCCAGCGTATAACCAGATGGATCTACCGCTTACCTCAGCTCTGGGATACCTATGGTGATAGGGGTCCAACTCATGCATTTCTACTTCATCAGGATATTCTTTTCTGATCTGTTCTTCAGACATCTTCTCGCATACTCCAGGATTCAGCTGGCTCATTTGAGAACGATGTCGGACCTTGTATCCCTGTAAACGAAGAAATTGTGCAGTTTCTATAGATCTGCGCCGGGTTGAGGACCAAATTATGAGCGGCCTGAGCAGTGGATCAGGCTCCCCCTGTTCTAGTAGGTCTTTTCTCTCTTCTTCCCGATGTTTAATGAGCGTGTCAGTCATCTTGCGGGCATAATCTTCCCCTTTTGACGAAAGTGACGAATCCGCTTTGTACGAGTCTGACTCCGTAGAAGTGCCGGCCTGCAGAAGAAATGAGTTCGTGGACTGTAATATAGAACAACTGAGGGACATACCCTAACAAAATAGGTACGCCTATTCTTAATATGTAGGTTCAACAGGTAAAAAACAATCCGATGATGAAGATAACCGAAACCACGGTTGTTAATCATCATCTTTTCACCGGCGTTAAACATCTACTAATTCGTTAGCATTGTTTCCCCCTCGAATTCAACAAAGAATGCACCTTGATATAGTTCAACTCTTGCTCTTGCATGGTTTCGAACAGTGGAATTCTCGCGGATATTCGAGCTAGATAATCTTTTACAGCCACTTGGAAATCCCACCCCACATACTACCATCCAAAAAGCGAAGTGTTAGATCAAGTGATGGAATAGCGTAAGTTGAAGGGGTCTCATACGTCAGGGGACGATATCTTCACTCGCCGCACGTTCTCTTCAATTATACGCTCATCGCTGCAAGATGATTCAATGAATAAGGTCTAGGAGATTAGCATTCTCCTTCCAGGTGCCATTGTTATAACATACCTCGATATCTTGCTTCGCAAATTCTCTTGAAAGAGATATTCTACCAGCAGCCAGTGGGTTAACAGCATCATATATGGCGATTTGTCCATTTTCGTGGTTCAAAAAATGATATATGTCTTCACGGCATCTTTTGACAATCTTTTGTCGAAGAAGGACCGAAGAGGCAGATGCTATTGGATTTGTTAGCTTTCCAATATCTTTCATCCGAGAACTAGGGATGACTACCATTCGCAAAGAAGTAATCCTCTGGCAGTTCACCGCCAACACCGACAGTAGCTCGTCGGTAATCTCCAAGGTGAAATATGCGAGTTTTAACACCAAGCCTGTCTAGATGTTAGCAGACTAAAGACCTGAGCAGACAAGGGTGTGTATGCATACCACCTAAGATACCGAGCAAGGGCTACAGATATGTGCCTAGAAGCAAAACATTTTCAGTACGGCTACTAACATGGAGAAATGATAAAAGTTAACTGACGTCTTTCCCCGGGCTGGTAAACCAACTGTGATAATGACAATCCGTCCAGAATGAAAGAGCCGCCCGGATTCAGTACTATAAAGTTGAGCTGGTGCCAGGGCTGGCATTTCCGGCATATCATGGATAGCATCGACAAAGGTCGACGACTTCCGCCGAAACCGAGGCGCTGTCGCCACAACATCGGCAGTTCTATATGATGAGGTGAGTTTCTATGCCTCTCAACGCATTGTCTAGCCACATTTATAGAGTCGATAAATATCAATGTATAAATGTGGTCAGGGTCGGAAAACATACATGAGGGTATCCATGGCAGCGTCCACACGGCTATGTAGTATGTATAGCTCGTAGAAGCAAGATTTAAGTATTTCAAGATTCAGCCTGTCTTTTACGAGTGTTGATATCAGAAAGAGGAGCTCCCTGCAAGGCGGGCCACTAGAGAAACATGTGGGGAACCGAAGTAGAGTGCAAAGAAGAATAATGGTAGTGAGACCATGCAAAGGGGAAAAAAATACAGGCTTCCTTCGCCGGACTACCAGCTTCTCGGGCTGCTCCAAGTCGTATCCTCGTAGAGAAATACCAGCATCAAGACAGGCGAAGTCGGAGGTTGAAGCCGAGCAAGCAGAAGGCAGTCGGTCGATGGAGGCCCAAAGAAGCTAGCGCGCGTCGAGGGCTTGGCATTGAAGGCCTTTTGGATTTTGCGGAAAAAAGAAGTTTCAAACCAAAAACCTCATTTTTCTTCATCTTCAAGCGAACGCTGTTGACGGTGAGCGAGCTTTAGTAACGGAGCACGATTGCCAATTGCCATTCAGCAGTCCGACAGGCGGTCACGGACGTCCCTCGTTCAGGGCTGTGCGCTAATTTTTTGATCTGAGAACGACGCCCTTCTTTCACTCCCAACGACTCTTTCATACTGCGCATTCTATCACTTGCTTATCCTAATATCCCGTCACCATGGCCGACTTCAGCTCTGCTCTTTCATTTTTGACGGATAATCCTGCCGCGGGAGTTCTAAAAGATTCATATGATGCGTTTGCACGGCGGAGAGCAGACCTAGGGCTGTCGAATCCCGGCACTGTTGAGATGGTTTCTCGAGAAGTCCAGAAGGAGGTCTTGCTCTCCAATTTCATGTTCACAGGCCTTCGTGCCGATTTGACCAAAGTCTTCGGAGTCTCGCCTCTTTTCCGAATCTCTCATGCGTTTACCATGGGCTCTCAAGGCAACCTTCCTCCATATGCCTTGTCTACCATGTTTGGAACTTCGGATGTGAGTTGAACAGTAGTATTTGTTGAGAAGCTGGTCTGAGTATCTTAAAATTGAGCTAGCAGCCAGGCTGACCTGATATCTCTTTAGGTGCTTATGCAAGGAAACATTGGCAGTGACGGAGCTCTGGCCGCCGTTGCAAACTATCGCTGGAGCTCATCCTTGATCAGCAAAGCCAACGTTCAGATAATGCCTGGTTCTGCGCAGGGCCTCATTCAGCTCGATAACGATTACACCGGATCTGATTTCTCGGCGTCTCTTAAGGCTTTCAACCCGTCAATTTTAGAAGGGGGGCTTACCGGTATTTTCATCGGAAGTTACCTACAGTCTATCACTCCTGGGTTGGCTCTGGGACTCGAGGCTATGTGGCAGCGTGCTGGACTCGGTGCTAAGCCAGAGACTGCTCTTTCATACTGTGCACGATACAAGGCAGATGACTGGATTGCCAGTGCCCAACTACAGGCGCAGGGAACTATCAATGCGTCATTCTGGAAGAAACTCTCTGACAAAGTCGAAGCTGGTGTTGATATGAACCTTCAATTTGCACCAAGCGGCAACCCCATGATGGGAGGCAGTCTTCAGCGAGAGGGAACTACCGCTATCGGAGCCAAGTATGAGTTCAGGGCGTCTACGTTCAGAGCTCAGGTTGACAGTGACGGGAAAATAAGCTGTCTGTTGGAGAAGAGAGTTGCCATGCCAATTTCTCTCACCTTTGCTGGTGAAATAGACCAGGTTAAGGTAAGTGATATAGCTTCACATTGACTGGGCGACTAACTCTTTCAGGCAATTGACTAATTCTCTTTGTAGCAAACTGCCAAGATTGGTCTTGCTGTCTCCTTCGAGATGGCTTCTGAGGAGCTGATGGAACAGCAAGAGTCTGGAGAGCTGGCTAGCGTCTCTCCACCTTTCTAAATTCATGCTCGGGGGGGAAAAAACCTCCGTTTATCACCTCTCGTCTTTGCTCTCCTCCCACTCTTGACCCCTAAAGACTAGATTCAACCAGCCAGCCAGTCACGACCATATATCCCGCATACTCTTTATAATATCCGCATCGTGGGCAGCTTTAATTGCCTGTGGTCCTGATCACCATGAGGCCTCGACAGTCTAGGTTGTTCCCGTCTCTATGGACTCTCAAAGGCCCCTTTCCTTCTATTTCCCATGCATAAACGTCCAGGAAGTTGTATTAGGTGTACGGAACTTCATCTTGTATAGAGCCTTCCTCCCCCCTTTTTCTTTCTATTCATTACTCTCCTGTTTTAACACACCCACTTTCACCCTGTGTTACTGTTTTGAATGGTAACTTTTACTTTATCTTTCCCAAAGTGTCATGTCATGATTTTCCTATACTCACACTGCCTTTCTGTTTGTGTTCTGTGGACAGATTATGGGACATGAGATTCAGACCAGATGGGAGGATAGGATTATTGTTTAGGCTGTGTTTGTTGTTCTACCTTATATTTTTTTGATCTTTCCTTTGGGTTTGTTTTTGCCTGCAAAACTTAGAAGGAAGGAATGTAAAATAACACGATTTGATTTTTTGCGCAGCCCGCCCTCTGCTCGAAGCGTCTTAAGAGTAAATTGAGATTCGATCGTAATAGATTGTCATAAAACTTGAACTCCCACTAGCTTTGTAGCTAGCCCAGTTAGCGGAGGCCTGTTGTCCGACCTTCAATTGATATCCTTCCATGGTTCCAAATTAATCAACCACCTTCAATCATGGCTAAACACTGCCGCCTATCCGGAACAGCTATACCTCCCCAAGCATGAGAGTCCAGCTGACGGTTGATGTCTGCAGAGTACTACCAATACTGCAAACCAAAAGGGGCGAGGGCCTGACAATTCTAGCAGCATGCTCCGTCGTGTCTGCGATTTACACGCGACAATCTGCATCTACGTGGCCATGCAACTGTACGTGGCTTTCGAAGAGAGGAACAGAGCAGAGCAGATAGATCGGGCCCTCCACTGATATTGGCATTGCATGCCAACAGCCACGGAATACACGAAGATAATTAGACGCACCTCAAACAATACAGAGCAGATAACAATAATAATGAATTAAAGGACAATAAGCAGCATCTAGCGAAGTGCTCCATGGCAGCAAGAAGAAAAAAACCAGCTCACCTATCAATTACCATCACCATGCATGAATGCACCCTTATATCAAGCCCAAATTATTGCATGGGGGACCTAACTACAGGGAACAGGGAAGTTTACTGACAGCTTGATGAGATCATCTGACTCCTATATAATGATGTATGTTCTTGATCAATCAAGATGGATTTGCATTGCATCATCTTCGCAGCTTGGACGTATGCCGTGCATCTAGAGTAGAAAGGTACGACTTGTTTACCGTCCTGTCCGTCTATGATGTAACCTGTTTAAATAACGCCAGGTAGACTTGGTGTTATTAGTATCCATTTGTTATTAAGGTTGGCGGCATCACATGAGGAGGCTGAGAGTAAGCAAAAGACGACTAGGCTACTATAGGCTAATTTACTGTGGATAACAACTTAATATTCTGGTAAGATGGCCGAGTGGTTTAAGGCGGCAGATTTAAGCTCTGCTGAGGGAGACCTCTCGTGGGTTCGAATCCCACTCTTATCATCATCTTTTTTTATTCCCCTACGTATTACTATTCTCCTCAGGTTTCTCTTTTTTTTTTTGTCTTGCTTCTCTACCAGCCGTCGGTGACACAGGAGAAGGTCTTGCGTGATCAAAACTGCTCGTTTCTCCTCTTCGTAGTTCCTTCGTCGACCCATGGAACCTAGCTCGTGGTCATGGAGCAACGACCATGGCTGGCAAAAAAGCAAAGCAACGCCAGCTAACAAAAGAGAATGAAAGAAGTGAGGGAACGAGAAGAAGGAAATGTAAGGGGGCAATGAGACGGAATTGACTTTTTGCTCTCTATATATTCTTTGGCTGGAGAGACCAAGCCTACATAATGGTTAATTTAGTCGGACTCCGTACTCCGTAGTTACATACGTATTGTCCCTCGAGAGGTTATCGGGAGTACTCCATAGAGAAGGACGCAATTGCTGAACGGGATTAATTAGCCGTTGATACATGGTTGTTATGCTCGAGCAGGTCAGCGGCTTCTCGAAAGGTGGCCCGTCCCAACCTCTGTTCGTCCGATTCGGCGTTACGAGCCCGGTCAAGAACGGAACGAACCCCGTCCTACCATGTCACGAGAAGGTACAGAATGGAGCACAGCAAGCAAAGTGGACAGGAAAAAGTCCCCATATCTTAAGGTGTCGGCGCACGTAAGGATGTGTCTGACCTGTAGCGTCCGCGCTAGGTTGGTGTGTTGAGCCCGAAGAGTATACGTTATGAATGGTTTGTATCCATAGCTCTGAATCCCGGCTAGTTGCCCAGAGTGTTTAAACCGATCATCTGGACAAAGCCAGCCGCCTGAGAAGCCGAAGCGAGGGCGGGAAAAGAATACAAGCAACGTCGCTCAGGACGGCGAAAAAGGGCGAGTCGAGACCGCTGTGAGCTATTAATAATTCCTCCCAGCAGAGATCGGTGGGCGAAAGAGAAGAAAATTAACAAATATCGATCAATAATAGGTGCTGTCCTTGGGATCCCTCGCTTGCTGTGCTCCACTTGTGCCTGTTCTCTTTTAGTGTCTGTACCTGTGCAGTGCAGGCGTACAGTAGTTTGGTCCAGGTCAGGCCGGGTCAGTGGCCACACACGCGGGCCTTTGCTGCAGGAGTAACCTCGAGTGGCGTCAGAAGCCGATGGGCTCGGAGCTCAAGAGAGGATCGAATCAACCCGACAGACAGGCACAGGGAAGCTTCATGGCTGGTTGGAAGGGGTACATAATAGATAATAATGGCAATATCTAGTTTGCTGGTTCAATAAGTAGCTAAATAAAAAAAAGAAAGAAAGAAAGGAAAGAAGGAAAGAAAGAGGAGTACCATGCAACCAATGATCGCTCAGAGTAGTTTGCGGTGTTGTAAAGGCTGGGCTAGGAGGAGCAAAGGATGATATCATCATCTGGTCGTTAGTTTTAGTGGTTGAGCAGAGTGGAAAGACGCCGCATCGATCTCGTATGATGTTCAGGGAGCTCTGGCTGGGACGCTGGCTGGAGTGCGTGCAGCTGGCGTGGCAATATACACATGTGAGCATCTTTGGTGGCCAAGGAAGGGGCTGTAGTCCCTGCCAGCGTTCCCGTCTCTACGTGAGATGTGTCGATGTCGATGTCGTTGTACTGCACATCAATAATGCCTACCCACTCGGGATTTGAGTAACTATGTACATCTACTATGTCATTAATTCCCGGGAGACGGTTGTTTCTGCTAGACAGCATACCGCCAGGAGGTTAACTTTGAAGGGTGATGTAAGCTATCAATAGAAGAAGAAAGAGGAGGAGAAGATGGAAGATCCGAGGCTGTCGAAGGTGATGTATGTAGTCCGAGATACGCTCAACCTAGGTATATATGATGCACGTCGATGCTAAGATCGTTGCTCCAGCTGAAGCCATCTCCAGCTGCTCTTGATTTGTGTGTTCCTGAAACACGGTGGAGGCCCTGACTCGTGCAAAGCTGGTAGCTAACTTGGGACAGGGGAGCTTAGCCATAGTTGGCCCGTCGTTAATTAGCTCTTATCCGGTATGTGTCAGGGTATGTTTTTATATAGCTATCGTTGTGCGCAGTTTGGGGCTGGCCAAGTGTAGAGTAGGACCGATGGATGGGGTGTGCAGCGGTTTGGTGATGGGAAAGTGTAGAAACGGCGATAACTGCTCAAGGAGTTACATTATACGGCCTGGACAACACTAACGGTTATCGAGAGGCACGGACATGCAACGCCCTTGTTACACACCCCTTGGCCTCGTAAATGGCCTGTTGTAAGTGTGCATGGTATACGGAGTAAGATGAAGTCATGGGGAGGAATGGGCACATATTACCTTTACCAGTTGGTGTGGTAACTGCGCCGTATAGATGGCATAGACGTGGGTGCAGGGGTTATCTGGGGCGGGGAGGGAAAGCGAGAGATGGGATGGTCGAGCAGGAGGAGGACCCTGGTGGGCCGTTCAGATAACTAGCCATAGCCAGGCTGGGACCTGGCTTCGAAAAAAAGCAGCTTTTGTATGTATGTTTGTACGCTAGGGTGCATCCACATAACCGCTGTACAGGTTATATCGAGGCGGATATATGCACGTCATGGGTTTCCCGTTTTCCTGCTCCCCCTTTCCGGCATCAACATATCGTGACTTATATTGGGAAACCCAGGGAGAAAAAAAGGGGGGGAGGGGGGGGGTGGAAGGTGGAAAGGTAGCCAGCATTATCATCAGTCTATAGACTAGGCTGGGTGAAAGACCTCCGTAACTCCTGGCTTGGCCTCGGAGCTCCTAGCCTTGTTCCCGTACCAGGGGAGGAGGTGGACTGCATGTATGTAGATGTTTCTCGATGAAAAGATGAGTGCAAGAAGACAGCTTCGTCTCCCTTCTCCTTTGTTGGCAACGAAGGTAGCTTATGTATGTTTAGACTTTCATATCTCGACCTCGAAGCTAAGGCGCAGATCAAAGCCGTTGAGAAGGCGAAATGGGGAGAGCAATCAGCTCAACGGATAGCTAATCCTTGCACGTTCTCGCAGAACAGCTCGGCTACTCGGAGACAAAGACGCACAATCCTAGCCTGTTTGGTAGGTAGTATTTGAGATTACATGTAGCAGCAGCAGCAGCAGCAGCAGTGCTTTGCATTGTCCCTCAAAATTATGTTTTATTTTGCTGGTAAGTTTTATGCAATAAATTAATTAATGGAGTGATGGATCTATATCAAGCAAGGGGGAGAAATAGAATATGGATAGTGGCTGTTGCACAAGGTCGTTAAGATCCTGGGTGTTAATAATAGGTAACCAGTGATAGGGTAGGACTATACTAGCTGCTCTAGAAGCCCAACTATTATGCTCACCCCTTTAACATCTGTTGAAATCACAGTTAAGCTTGCATATAGGTATGCTGCATGCGAAAAGGACATATTGTATTGTAAGAGTAGCTAAACCCCTGAGCCCCGAACTGATAAGTTTACAATTTAATCGAGGTGGGCGGTGCTTTTTGGTGAATCTAATTTCAGCCTCAGAGGCGGCGTCAGTTCTAACGAAGCTCGTAACTAATTAGTTAGTTAGCCAGAGGGGGGGTGGTTTAAAGAGGGGAGAGAAATCAAACAATCTCTACGTAGAAGATGGTGAAGGCGATGCAGGGAGCCGAGTCCATGCTCCCATGACGACTGACTGTCCCTATCCTATCCAACCATGGGAGGCCGCACAGAGAGCTGATCCTGTCCCCTTTTACGCTGTTCCGCCCCGTGTAAGCTCACAAAAGTCGAACAGTTTTATGGACGCAGTGACATCCTCCTTTCACGTGAAGTGATGACTAATAGATGTGTCATCGCCAACACTCAGTCCGGGAAGAAAGAAAGAAAGAGAGAGAGAGAGACAGAGACGGCTGGAGTTCTCGTAGAGAATAGCTGCTTAGGGCTGAAAGAGAGCAGGCGTCTGTCTATATTATTATTGGAAAGGGAGGGAGACAAGAAGGGAAGATCAAAGGCAGAGAGAGAGAGATAAGGGGAAACTTATGACTTCATCTCCTGGCTTGCCAAGCGAGCACGAAATTCGGCTCTCAGTGGACATGCTGTGTATTAATAATACGGCGAGCAGCGCTGGTCAAGGGGGAAGCTTTGCACCTGCAAGCAAACAGCGAGCCAGCCAGCCAGCCAGACAGACAGCTTAGTTGTTTGACAACCGCTGGTTTGGCCGTTGAGCGCAAGCAAAAAGAGTGGCCACGAAGGAGGCAAGAAAGAAGAGGAAGAAGTACTTCACTACTCCGTATACGCAGCAGTACGGGGCTGGTACAAGAAGAAGAGAAGAACAAGCACGCCCACCCAGCTAACTAACTAACTTAAACCCCCGGTGGATACGCGATCCTGTGACTGCCGACAGCTTATCCTTGGTCCAGGTGAAAATTGCAATTGGTCACCCGACAATATGCAGTCCCAGCACACGATATACTCTTTGAAACCAGGAAGTTCAAAGAGTCGAGATGGTCGGAGAAGGAAGAGGTGAAGGTGATGATGATGATGATGATGATGGCCAATCTTCCATCCTCATCCTTATTTCTTTTTCGGCTATTCTTTTCTTTTTGTTTTTGGTCGTCTATCTCTATCGTGGCGTGAGATGGACAATGACGATGACGATGGACAGGGTGAGTGAGAGACAGAGATAGAGAGAGGAGAGAGAGATAGAGAGACGGGGTCTCAAGGCCAATTGGCCATCCATGCCCTGGGCCAAAGGGACGGTCGGTTGTCCTGCTTTTCTATTCTTCCCTTTTTCCTCTTGTTATCTTTCCCCCTGTCCCTATGGCCGCAACCTAAGTGCAGGATCACCCCCCGTTAGTTGAACTAGTTAGCAAGGAGACGATGAAGCCGAACCCGAAGCAAAAAACGAAGCTGGAGAACGGAAAGAAACCTCCTGGGTTTATGCTTCCTCGTTTATTTCCACTACAACCACAGCCCAGGATCTCCTTTCCTCAAGCTTCTCTCGTGACTGCTTCTTCTCTTCTTTTCTTTTGCTCTTCTCCTAGAGTCGACACAAGCTGAGGGACGGGAGTGATGGAGATGGATGATTCAGAGGGAACGGACATGTAGTCAGAGCACGCGGTGGCTGCCTAACCCTGAAACCAGAGGCCAGGGGACTGCTTGAGACGCAGGACGAAGATGATGGCAAGTTGCGCTGTGTAGCTAGCACCCGTAGGGCTTCCCGTAGACATGGATCGGGGGAGGGAGCTGCACCGTCTCCTCCGCCCTCCGACGCCTGGTGGCAGCTCTGTCTGTCTGGCGTCTGTCTGGCAGGGCGGGCTTGCTTTTTTGCAGGAGAGTTGCGAGCGAGCGTACTTTAAAGTAGGTCGAGCAAGCAGCAAAGTAAATAATAGGTAGTTAGTAGAAAGGGAGAGTTGACTGACGATGACTTCTTTCCCCCCTTCTCCCTCCTCTTAACCAGCTCCCTTTCCCCCTTCTCTTTTCTTCTTCTTCTTCTTCTTCTTCTTCTTCTTCGTCTGCATCTTCGTCTGCATCTTCGTCTGCATCTTCGTCTGCATCTTCGTCTGCATCTTCGTCTGCATCTTCGTCTGCATCTTCGTCTGCATCTTTGTCTTGTCTCCGCCTTTCTGCTTCCTCTCTCTTACCACACGAGCGTCTTGTTGGGTGCAAGTTTAAATAACTAGTCAGGGTAGTTAAATAAGCTTGCACGCGGGTTTGAGCAGTTCTTCTTGGGAGGGAGAGAGAGAGACCTGGCGAGCTTCGACCTCCAGCTTCTTCGTCTTCTATATCCATCCATCCATCGCCCGTCTCTCTTCCCTGGCCGTCACTGCATCTTCGGCCGTCGTCGTCTGTCCCCGTCGTCAGCATCGTCTTCAGCTGTACCGCCATCCACAAAGCTCACTCACCAGTCCTCCTTCACTGTAGGTCTCCCCTTTCTCCTCTGCCTGCCTGCCTGCTCTTTGGTGGCAGCTCATCCTTTCTGTCTGCACCTTTTCCGTCCTCTCTCTGCCTGCTGTCCATCTGCTGTCCATCTGCTGTCCATCTGCTGTCTGCTTCATCTTAAGCTTGGTGGAGCCTGCCAGGAAACTCTCTGCTGCCGCTGCCGCTGTGCCTCTGCCCTCTGCCTCTCCCTCCCTCTCTCTCTCTACCTAACCTAACTAGCCTAAGGGAAAAACCCGCCCGTCTTGTCTTCCTCCCTTCCTGTTCCCCCCCCCCAAAAAAAAAAAAAAAATCCCCGCCGCCCGCCTGTCGTCGTCCTTTGCCCTCCCTCCTCTTTTCCTGCACGCAGCACGCCCGCCTTGTGTTCCTCTCCCTCCCCTTTCCCTTTCCCTTCATACTCACTACCAGCTGCTTATTTATTCACCTGGCCTGCCCTCTTCTTCACTTCCTCTCCCTCTGTGAATTTATTTCTCCCCCCCCCCTCTCTCTCTTCCTCTCTTCCTCTCTTTCTTTCTCCCGCCCACCTCCATCTTCTCTTCTTCTGCTCTTCTCGACCGTACCGCAAAAGACGATCGAGAGTCCAGTAAGAAAAAGGTATCTAAGAGACACACGGAAAGGACCGTTGAGATCGTTGCCCAGCAAAAAAAGCCTCTCTCTCTCTTTCTTTTCTTTTCCTTGCCCTTCTTGCTTCGGCCTGGTCTCGCTAATCTTTGTTGTGGTGGTGCCCTCTTTTCTCTTCCTCCCAGCCAGGCCCTCGAAACTCCTCAATTTCGCAGTACCACGCGATAGTTATCCCAGGTTCCCCCGTTCCTCAACTCCCACGCCAGAGCGCCTCGTTTCGTCGAGAAAGAAAGAAAAGAACCGAAAAAGAAAAGGAACTTTCCGCTGTCAAACAGCTCGATAAAACCGGCCAGCTCTTCCGTGTTGGCTTTTGCAAGAACAACATGTCACAGAATAGGCCTGGGATGTTTTCCAGCTTGCGTATGGGTGGTAAGTCGCTTGCTCTCCCTTCGCTGCCCTTTACCCCTCCACCTCGAACCCTCCCTCATCTTCGCTCTCGACAACGACCACCTCCACCTCCACCTCCTCCTCCTCGGCCAGAGAGCTCCCGGCTTGGACTCGCAGGAGCTGGCAGCTGGCTCGAATGACTGACTGACTGACTGGCCTGCAGAGGTGATCCGTGAGAAGGTCCAAGATGGCGTTACCGGCGAGACTCGTGATATGCAGTACACCCAGTGTAAGATCGTGGGCAATGGCTCCTTTGGCATTGTCTTCCAGACCAAGCTGTCTCCCGGCGGCGAAGATGCTGCCATCAAACGCGTCCTTCAGGACAAACGCTTCAAGGTGAGCCCTGGCAGCAAGAGTAATTCGCGTCCAAAAAGAGAGTCATAAACAGCTGACCCTTTTTTTTTTTTTTTTTTTTGCGTGTTAGAATCGTGAACTCCAGATCATGCGCATAGTTCGTCACCCAAACATTGTCGAGCTCAAGGCGTTTTACTACTCCAACGGTGATAGAGTAAGTCGTTTTCTCCGTCATTTCTCGCATTGTGGTCGTGTCTTGTGTGTGTCTGGTGAAGTGGGAGAGTGGAAAGTGGGAGAAAGTGTTGTTGTTGACGACATTGACGACATTGACGACATTGAGCCTCTTTGCTGACCCGACGACTTTTTTTCTTCATAGAAGGACGAGGTCTACCTTAACTTGGTGCTTGAATACGTCCCAGAGACCGTTTACCGTGCTTCGCGTTACTTCAACAAGCTCAAGACTACCATGCCACTCCTCGAGGTGAAGCTGTACACATACCAGTTGTTCCGCTCTCTCGCCTACATCCCTTCCCAAGGCATCTGCCACCGTGACATCAAGCCCCAGAACCTCCTCCTGGACCCCAGCACCGGCATTCTCAAGCTCTGCGACTTTGGCAGCGCTAAGATTCTGGTCGCCAACGAGCCCAACGTCTCCTACATCTGCTCCCGCTACTACCGCGCTCCTGAGCTGATATTCGGTGCCACCAACTATACCACCAAGATTGGTATGTCCTCTCTCCCGAGCACCAAATAAAATAAAATAAAATACACAAGTCTTGCTAATATCTGTGCAGATGTCTGGTCCACTGGATGTGTCATGGGAGAGCTCATGCTCGGCCAGCCGCTTTTCCAGGGAGAGTCTGGCATCGACCAGCTGGTTGAGATCATCAAGATTCTGGGAACTCCTACCCGCGAGCAGATCCGCACCATGAACCCCAACTATATGGAGCACAAGTTTCCCCAGATCAAACCTCACCCGTTCAACAAGGTACCATCCCGGCCTCCATACTTATTTTTCTTCTTCTACCTGTGTATGCTGATTTGTTCGTCTCCCTCCTATTAGGTCTTCCGCAAGGCCTCCCACGAGGCAATTGATTTGATCACTGCTCTCCTGGAATACACTCCCACCCAGCGTCTTTCCTCCATTGAGGCTCTTTGCCATCCATTCTTTGATGAGCTCCGCGAGCCAAACATTCGTCTTCCAGACTCGCGTCATCCAAACGCTCCCCCCCGTGACATGCCCAAGCTTTTCAACTTCACCCGTCATGGTATGTCTCGATGCTTTACTACCTTACTCTATATTGGTTCCATTACTAACTTGTACCGGTTACAGAGCTCTCTATTGCTCCCAATATGAACCACCGTCTCATTCCACCACATGCCAGAGCCGAGCTTGCTGCGCAGGGTCTTGATATCGACAACTTCACTCCTCTCAAGAAAGAGGAGATGATGGCCCGCCTTGATTGATTCAGGCACTCATATCCCGGTTTTAACGTCTTGAACGATGATACATGTCCTTGAAGTGGTTTTTCTATGCACGGGCTCACGAACGATCCATTTCCCGTTGGTCCGTCTATCAAACCCACCAATCAGTCTATTTCCCATCTCGTCCGACTTCGTGATATGCCTCTCCCCACATTTCCAAACCTCCCCTCCCCCTCAACCCCAGCGTTTTCAAGTCGACCCGCCCACCACTGTTAAGCCCTTTCTATTGCTCGAGGATTCGTTAAGCATCATATATCATAGCAACATATCTTAGATCTGGTCCGGTCTGGCCATGTGTCTCGATCCGGGGTATGACGACGCGATGCATCAATTACCACAAAACCACAAAAAACCCGAAAAAAAAATCTCACCCACTCACACCTCGGTGCCACCACGACGCACGATCGGACGGGTACCAAACCAACCACGTACCAATTACCACTTGATGAATCATGACTCCATTGAACAGAGATGAAAATAGGCGAAAAGGGGAGAAAGAGGTCCAAAAAAAAACTAGGTGGGATTAGGAGGAAATGGTTTCTGTGAATAACCTCGAGAGCTTACAGGTGAAAGGAAAGGCACACATACCACGCACACATATCCCCCCCTCCTTGCACTCATCAAGGTCGATTCCCTCTGTAATTACATACACGAGGCTTTCTTTTCTACGTCTTCTTATGTTGCTACGGTGCTGTGTTGCTCCTGTGTCTTTGCTCTTTGCGGGGAGGATTTGCTTGCATGATACCACTTGATTTTACCTTCTTTTTTTTCTTCTATTTCTTCCTTCCGGCACTTCAGATTCCCTCTTCTCCCTTGATGTCCTTTTTTTTTTCTCTCTTTCACTTTTACTTGCTTATGAGGACGGATGCAGGTTTTGCTCTTTTTATCTTTTATTCCACATGTGTTGCTGATTTTTTTTTTTCTTTCCCTCTTATTTTTCCCACCGTCCTCTCTCAAGACTCCTTCGCCTTCGGTCCGACACAACCATGGCATGACATTCTGATTGACGTGGGACCACCTCTCAACCGACTGGCTTCAGTTCGGACTCGGATCAAAGTGTGAGAGCGGGAGTAGGAGTGGGAATAGGGACATGGCTTAGGAAATAGGATTACGGATAGGGATAGTTAGAGAGATACGCTCATATCCTCGCGCAGCCAAGCAGATCCAACCTTCACACTGCGAGATAGGCGAGAATTTTCTACTACTATTTCTTCTTATGATTCTTCTCTTCTCTTTGTCTTCTCGTCTTTACTTCCTTTCCTTTCTCCCACCCCTACTTCTCATACTTTCTCTTCCTTCATGTTCCGTTTTCTTCCATACAGACATGGGTATCACCAAGGCAAGCAGGGAGACAACCGAAGACGGGCCTCCTGAACGAATAGCCATATTTGCAAATGTCATGGGGGTGGCACGGCATTTATTTGATATTGATACATGCAACGGCGGTGGAGGTGGAAGGAAGTCAATAGAGCGCTAATGTGTGGTAAGGAGTGCCAGGTGACACACGGCGTGTGGGAGCGACCAGTGATGCAATAGAGAACAGAAATATGAATATGAACATGAATATGAATATGAGCATACCTGAGAATGACAATTTGGATGTATTTCGTTGGGCAATCATTATCTTGATGGTGCTGACGCTGTGAGAGTAACATATCATTCTACCTCGACATGTCCGGGTTATTATACGTAAACCAAAGACTACAGTCATTAGTTGTACCCCCAGCATCAGCCTATCATCATCTACTATTCTCTCTTTGCTGTTCAATGCCTGTCTGGTCTATGTAGATGGATGGCCACACAAATAGAATCCCCTACATGTGAGAACTGCCATCCACGTGACTGCTGGAAAAAAGTAGCAGCGACAGCCTGCTGGGACCTAACTTCCTGCACCTCTGCTGTAAATAATAGTTTGTTTAATTCACTGCTTGTTCACTCCTATCGCCTTCACGGAGGATACCGCCAGCTTCGCAGGAGCTAGACGGTACAATCCAGCCTGCTTTTCAGACCACAGGTGCTGGTCTGTTGCTGATCTCGAGTAATTAAACCATTCTGGTGTGAAGTTGGTTGTTTCCCAGGACGTGTCGAATTCGCTCCCCCGTCGAACGCCGAGCTCCCTCGTCGAGATTGCGCGCACACTGAGATAGAATTGAATAGGTTATCTTGTTGACCATCTTTTGTATCACGCATTAATGCTTTAGACCACTCCATTTAAAGGAGAGGCTTGGAAACGGAGAAACTCTTGTGCGCAAAGCTAGGTTGGAAGAGCTAGAGAGCTCCCTGGAGCTACGCGAGTCACGATGGTGGAAAATGAACAGCGCAAACAGGGACATGGAGGAGGGTATAGTAGGAAGAGAAGATATAGAGGTTCGTTGTTGGCACCTTTGAGGTGCGGGATTCTTTTTTTTGTTGGAAACATTACTAACTCATACAGATGATGAGGGCGGTGATCGGTATCGACACCAGCGCAGAAGATACGAAGAGCCAATTGCTGCGATCGTTAGGAGACAGCTGTTGAACGTTGCAGAACCAGTAAGCTAGACCAATGATCTCGGGTTCTTGCATGCAGCTGGTTTTATCTAACGGATTTCTTTTCATTGTGGAATGTTAGACTTCGAGACGTCCTGAAGATGATATCCCCAAGATCGCGAACATGATTGCAGAGAACTATTCGGATGAGTCAATGAAGGTGGCCTTTCAAGACCTTGTTCTACAGATGTAAGTGGTGCAGTACTCCAATGGGCCTTGTAATCAAGCTAATAGCCCGTCATTAGGATCCTCGAACAACCGTTGAAAATACCTTTTATCGCTGCGGTTATCCTCGTACTAAACACCCTTAAGCCTGAAGCCACTGCCCCAGTTATCTCCAACATTGGAGAACAAGCTGCTCTGTACGTGGGACAGGGCCATTGGCGAAATGCCAAGCTTATGTTGCGGTTCCTGGGGTGTTTGCAGGGCCTGTTTGAAGGCGATGGTATATTCCCGGTGCTGGAGGAGCTATTTTCACGTGCTGTCGACCTTCAGACTGGCTCGTCTGAGGATTCTCTGGGATTGGAGCTTGTCAGCATCATTCTCTATACCATTCCTTACGTCATGGCCTCGTCTGCCACCGGATTCGAGTCTCAAGCTTCTGCTCTCCTGGAAAAGACGGATATCATTGCCTCAACCCCCCATACCCTTGAAGCAATTGTTGACCCTTTTCCTAAGAAACAAGGCGAAGATGAAGGCGGCAGATTAAGCTCCTTAGGTCTGCTTCAGAAACAGCTGCAAGATGAAGCTGCCCAATCGTGGAAGCTTGCCTGTATTCCGAGACCGTGGAAAGAACCGCTCGCCCAAAAGGAGCCAAAGGAAAATGGGGACGAGGAAGAGAAAAAGGAAAATGAAGAAACTCCCAAGACTCCTACGAAACACGCTTTTCCGACAATCGCGGTCCCTAACCCAGTCAAGACTGGGCCTAGGGCTATTTTCCCTGAGATCTACTTCTCCGTCTATACTCATCAAGACATTGACACAGTTCCTCCGACATCCAATATTGCATCGTCATTGGTCCGAGACGCATTGGTTGACACCATCAATGTTCTTGACTTCAACCGAAATGCAACGGCCAAATTCCTAATCGATGTGGACTGCTACTTTGCACCAGATACCTTTGTCAAGCGAGCTGTCCCTGTAGACCAACTGCGTGACTCTCCATCTCCTCAGAAATCAACCTGGAAACCAGAGGATGTTGCTGTTGACGCTGCCTTCTCCCAGCTCCTGCGGCTGCCATTCCCAGAACATAAATTAGTATATTACCATTCTGTGCTTACGGAATCTTGCAAGATTGCTCCCGCCGCAGTTGCTCCTAGTTTGGGACGTGCGATTCGATTCTTGTACCGAAATATTGATCAGCTGGACCTTTCACTTGCCTATAGATTCTTGGATTGGTTCTCCCACCACCTGAGCAACTTCGGTTTCACGTGGAAGTGGACTGAATGGTAAGGCCGCCAAAGAGAGGTAAAATAGACCCAGCTGCTAATGACTTTTTACAGGGTTGCCGACCTTGAGCTGCCAGATGTCCACCCCAAGAAGGCTTTTATCATTGGCGCCATAGACAAGGAGATTCGACTTAGCTTCGCGCAGAGAATAAAAGGAACCCTTCCAGAGCCCTACCACGAGCTAATCACCGAAGGCAAAGAGAAGGACACGCCGGACTTCAAATTTTCTCAGGAGAGTACGTTTATTCTTAAACCTGTAAAACTGATGGAAAGAAAACCAGCACTGACTCAAGGACAGCAACTCCATATTCAAAGGAGGGACAAGAGTTAATGAAACTCATTCGCCAGAAGTCATCAGATGAAGAAATCGAAGCTGTGATTACCTCAATTGAAGAACAAGCTAAAACTCACGGGCTGACGGATCCTCTTATTGCTTCTACTGACGTCTACGTGACTTCTATTTGCTACGTGGGATCCAAATCTCTCTCACATTTCCTCTCCTGCATCGAGCGCTGCAAGGACCGACTCCTTGCCATTGGTCCAAAGTCTGATGCTGCACGCCGTCAAATAATCAATTCAGTCATGGATTACTGGGTCGATCAACCTGGAATCGGCATCAACATCATCGACAAGCTGTTGAACTATACCATTCTCACTCCTCTCTCTGTCCTCGAATGGGCGCTAGTTGACAACCTTGCCGCGGGTTCAACATTGGCAAAACCACATATCTTCGAAATGATATCCGCCACAATGCGCAAGGTGACAAACCGAATGCGTCAGATTGTGGCAGCTAGAACTCAGCCAACGCTATATGAACCGCAGCTCAGCATCCTAGATGAAACACTCAAAAAAGAGAAGGCGGACATGCTTTCTATGTTCCAGCTAATCGAAGATACACTAGTCCCTGTAGCTGGTGGCTATAGCGATGGCATGATGGAGCGGACGGAGGACGACTCACTCCAGCCTGAAAATGCGATGATTCAGCAGTGGGGAAGCAGATGGTTGAATGTCTTTAGACGCAAGGTTGCAGTTGAGAGGGCGTTCATTGATGAGGCAATGACCTCCGCTCCGGCTCTTGGAACCATGGCTCCTCCTGCACCATCGCTGGGAATTGATGAGAAGACCGAGGAAAGTAAGACGCTCGAGGAACCGCCTATGGATGTTGAAGAAATGCACGACACTGCAGAGATTGACTAGGCTAGACCATGGCCGTTTCTCACTCATTCATACTCTTATCCAACCGCTGCTTCCCATGCTCTGTATCTTGATGTATACTTTATCTTCTCTTTCTGGTTCACCTTTACTTGATTTTCCACCCTTTCAATGTTTGAGTTCAGGTCAATGTGTTAATACTCCGGTTCTAGCTCAATGTACCAAGTTTCAGTCAATTGAATTTTGAATGATTTTATGGAGGCTAAGAGTGTATATTAACTGAGGTCTGGACAACTCTATCAAAAGCTGACCAATAAGTCCTAGGAAGCGAAATATTAGGTTCACAATTATTGACCCAAAATCTCCACCGATTTATAATATATCTCTTCTAGACTCTTCAGCGGTCTCTGTGGCATGGGAAACATAAAGTGGGGGCATAAGAAATAGGGGTATGTACTTCGTGCATGGTGAAATGAAGGTGACATTGAAAGAAAGACAAAGAGATATATATATCAACAAATCAGTTGATACACGTGGAAATTTAGAATGATTAAAAACGTAAGTAGGCTGGGTGCAAAGGGGGGACGCGCAAAGTAGCATATATGCAGAACTCCCAAAGCGTGGGAGCGTGGGGGCATATTTACTCGTTATTAGCCAATAAATGCAACATTGAGATGGTAGACAAAAAATTTGACTATGATATCCGACCGGCAGACGCAGTCAGTTCGGGTAGAAGGATAGAACGGGGAAGAAGCAGAAGGCAGAGACAATTAAGTCCGAACTTAAATGTTCTTCTTGGCCTCAGTGCCTTCGTACGTGCGATCATCGCAGCCTTCGACTTCTTTGACCATCTTTTCCATCTCCTTAGCCTGTCGATTCCATTCGGCTGGTCCCATCTTGGTCTCGCGACGGAATAGTTCGTCATTGGGCTTACGGTAGCTTTTACCTAGTCTATCCCAGAGAGTAGTGAACTGACCGTAATTGTAATTGAAGTAAAGATGGTGCATGGTGTGGCATGCTGCGCCATTGATAATGGGACTGTTGGCAACATATTCGCCATCGTGGATCATAACGGTCCAAATATTGATAGCGACGAAGAGCAGGACATAGGCAAACTTCTGGAGCGGAAAGATGAATGGGAAGATATGGTAAGGGAGGCCCTGACTCCATCCATCTAAGGGGTGAAAGGCGTGGCTTGCATAGGGAGTGGGCATGATCCATTTATGATGTGGTTTGTGGATATTCTTGTAGACGAGAGGGTGATGCAGGCCACGGTGAATCCAGTAAATGCAGAAGTCGGTAAAAAGGAGGAAGAGCGGGAACTGCAAGATATTGTACATGGGGAAAGGAGCCTCGTCAATGGTGTCGTATATCTTGGAGTAGCCCTTGACTTCGGTGAGAAAGATGGGGGCTGTAAGGAGGGCCATGACAGGCATTGAACCCATGGCCTGACCGATTTCAAGAGATATTTGGTTCTTGAGGTACTTTGGATGGTTGAAGGCGGTTTTATCGAAAACGAAAACATAGGAAAGCGAGGCAACTGTGAAGTAGAGTACTAAACCAAAGACCCTGCGACTGAAATTAGAAATAGTGATTGAGAGGCCTAGGGTAACTACACTGGAGAATACTCACCAAGTAATCAAGAAAAGACTGATGACTTGGCGGAAGCCATTATCTCGAGGCAGAGACGACTGGTAGGCATACTTGAATGGCTCCAAAGAAAAATACTTGGTGGCAGGAGTGTAGACAAACCCATTGCCGATCCCGTTGACTTGGGCGATGGTGGAGGCAGTGGTCGAGTTGACGCCCTTGAAAACATTGGAGATTATATCACTAGACGGCGCAGAAAGAGGTAGCGCACAGGCATACAAGTAGTCGAACACGAATGTATCGAAAACTTCCAAAACGATATCCATGGCTGGCGCGGTGTATGTATGTATCTGTGTGCCTGTTACCAATTGGGCGCTGCTGATATCTGCTTGATAGATAGTAGTTAAGGCCAAGATTCCGAAAAGAAAAAAAGGTTTCTCGAAGTTTAAGCTTGTTGACTGGTGAGTCGACGAAAAGCTGGCCCAAAAAAGCAATGCGCCGAGGTATCAGCGAGCGTCGCCCTGAGCTCAGGGACGGAGAGGAGGGATGGATGGAAGTCGAGGAGGAATCTGAGGACCGCAGATATTGAAGACGTCGCAGTTGACGGGAGGATTTGAAATCGCGAGGGAAAAGGACGCTGAATAAAGAAACTGACTAACCCGAAAAGTGACATCTGGATCAGATAAAGAACTGCTTAGTAAGACAGTAAACCCGCTAGTCCCAAACGAGTTCCTTACCCAGCGTGGTCTGTGCTCCATGACTAAGCCGGGTGGCTGATTATCTAAGCCATGATTTATGCATGTACAATTGTCTTGGCACTTCCGAAAACAGGCAGAGAAGGAGCATAACGTCGACTGAGAGGGACGAGAAAACCAGATAAATAAACGCAGCAACGCCAAATTTGACGACCTCAGCAATTTCAGCGTCGAAATATACGCAGAAAACAGCTCGGACAAGCAAACGGAGAAGACGAGGCGAACGTCAGGAGAAGCAGAGCGAAGTTTTGGGCCTGAAACCCCAGAAGCATCTCCCAAGCATCCACCAGGAAACTTTCTTCTTTTCTTCTTCCTCGCTCTTCATCCTTCTTCAACTTCTTCTCCCTTCAACCTTCAAACTCGCCCAATTCAAGCCAACCTTGCTCTGATCACCCACCACGCCGGCTGCTCTCGGGCTTCAACTCTCCATCCTGACCGAGTTCGCCTTTACTTCTCCTCCTCCTCTTTCGTTCGTCT